TATTTGTTCAGACTTGACAATTAGTTTTGAGGAACTATTTTATAACGGAAGGTAAAAATTCAAAATCATTTCATGGAATCAATACATTCCTTCCACTATAGACCCTTAAATTTAAACTTTATTAAGTGCTAATACTTTGAATCATAGTGACACTTTTGTTTTTCCTCCAAAAATCTTTCAATCAAATACTAGATATAAATTTGGTGTAACTGTTGAAAGCTTTGCCAAATTATAGAATATAAATTATTTCTAATTTGAAGCCAATTAATAGTCCAAAATCAATTTTTATCCGATCTCAAATGACGATTAATTTCATAGGTATGATTAAATCTCAATCTAATCTTAAATATCTTATTCAAATTGTATAGAAAAAGTGTATCCATAATAAACCTTATTTTATGAAATTAAATTGAAAAATACAAAAACTCAATTATTAAATGGAACTTTGACAGAGAATTTAGAAGATGGATTTGTATTAGATGTTCCACTTAATTTCAATTAGTATTATTTCAATTTCTCTAATCCATATATTTTAATTTTTAATACTAAACTAACTAGACCTGATTATACAGTTAGCACATCACAAAACTTTGAAATCTATATAGTGCCTTCTAGTCCAGTCCTTACAATTGCAGGTGGAAATAGAATGATTGGATATACAGATGATCTATTTTTAAATACCACAATTACAGATCAAGACTTAACTGAATTAGAAGCATCTAAAGTCATTTATGAATGCAATTGGAGTTGTTAAGATATAGTAAATGGATCAGCATGTTAAAATTAAGAAAATTAAACGATTCTATTTGACAAGAGTTGTAATCAATATTTACCACCTCGAACATTTGCACCTTATCAAGTATTTAATTTCGAAGTAGCCATTCTAAAGGAAGAAATTGTTCATTCTACTAAAATATCTATTTAGTTAATTGAAATAGATTTACCAGCCTTAACAGTTCTAGGAGTAAATGCATTAGAAACTCATAATTACTATGATGAATTCATCTATTAATTAGTATATCCTGGAATAAATCCAGATGTGTTAATGTATGCTGGGGCAGTCATTTATGATCAAGTTGTTCAAGCTACCTTCCAATTTTATTATTTAGAATTTAAATTTAAAGTCCAAGACTACTTCACTAATTTCTAGGATTCCTTAGGAAATGGACTCAAATTAAGACTTTCAATTTATGACCCTCGTTTCATTATGCCATCCTTAAGCACTCAAATGTTAACTATGAACATTCCTCCTTAGAATTGTGCATTGGAAATGAAATACAATGAAGGATTTGTTGAATTCATTGAAGCACTAGATGTTTCAGTTGTTAATTGTACTGATGCTGATGTACCACTTTTGTATAGCGTTTGGATATTTCCTAATGAATCAATTTATCAGTCTGACCTAGTCTAATCGAAATTTTACAATTATATGTTGCTTGAGCCATTTCAGAAAACTAATTCATTTAAGCTATACTTACCATATTTTAATGAAAAGTAGTCACTTCTTGTATTTAAAATATAAGATTCTTTTGGAGGTGTAATTAATATCACTTAGACCTTTTACATTAAATAATATTTATAGATTGATGAAACTACATTTACAAATTATGAGAATTACATTGTAACTTTGGATTAATAATTAATTGGATATAATTTAATCACTGAGAGATTAAAAATAGTAAATGGATCTCAAGAATACAAAGAAAAGTTATTCTATAAATTGATAGCTTTTGATTAAAATTAAACATTTCTAAGCAATTAAACGGAAAGTTTATATAGATCAATTTCTAAATTATTGAGTTAGAATGTAACTCTATTAAAATCAAATGAGTCAATGTTACTCAATTAATTGAATTATAGAATCAATTTAGCATATGCTTAATTGACAACATTTTATAGTTTGTAAAGATAAAATAAATTGACTTCTAATTAAAACATTGAAAAAACTACTTATATTTCACAATATTATACATTCTCAGATATTCTGTCCTCATGTCTCAATTATAGAGTCTCATAGAATTTAACGTCAACAGATATCTAAAACCAACTCTAAGAAATGCAATCACAACTATAAGCTATTAGTGTAGCCAACGAGCCACTTTACAAAGTTGAATCAAACTCACTAAATTTGAATTTTGGATATCTTACAACCAAAATGGCAGGTGAGGTGACAGGTTCAAAAACAATCACTAAAAGTAGATTATTGGAAGAAGAAGCCAGCCAATCAAATACTGATTTAAATACCTCAACCAATTTCTTCAAATTTTCAATGACTAGATTCATTGATAACCCATTTTATGCAGACAAGAATTTTCCCAAAAATAGTAGTGGATATCAAGCTATTGATCCGAAATTAATTGCAGATACTAAATCTAATATTAGTAAAGCAACTTCTCAAATGAAATACAAGTTCCCAACTCCCAAAAAATTAGAAAATAACACTTCAATTAAATGTATAACTGAAGTGGAAAGTGGACAATGGAATGCTGATGTTTGTTCTACAGTCGAGAAAGATGGAGAGGCTACTTGTTAATGTGAATCCCTTAATCCAACTTCGGTCATGGAATCCTTGAATTTTATTGCTGATAAAGCTGCACAAGTGTTTTCCCTAGATACTCTATTGGCCTTCGGATCATTCCCTTTTTATAAGACAGCTGTCTTTTATTTCTATTTATTAATCACTGGTATCTACATAGGTGTCGTCTATTGGGGAGTTAAAGTTGATAATGCAATGTTTGCAAGAATTCATGCTGAACAAGAATTAGCAGAACAAAAACTGAAAGAAGAATAGATGAAATTAGAGAACCTTGAGTAAGACCTAGAAAACAAAGGAGAAAATAAAGAAATTACAGAAAACAAATAAGAGTCTCATTCTTTCAGACAGCTTGAGGAAGTGAAAGACCATGATACTCCATAGGTTGAAGCCCTACCAACTCTAGAAAAAAATATCTTTAAAAATCCAAAATCATTTGATAGAGTAATACTTGAGAACAAAATCTCGATTATTAATTCTCCATAAGAACTGCTAATTAATCAAACTCCTGATTCTAAACTTGATATCAACTTAGTCATAAATCCTGAAATACCCAAGGGATAAGGATCTGATCTCCTATTGCTAAGGCAAACGTCTTTAAAAATTGACAATGGACTTCATACTTTGTAAAATATTAAAAACGAAGAAGCTTAAGAAAAATAAGAATAGGATAAGAAGAAGGAAACAGAAGGAAATGAAGAGTAGAAGTAAAAACCAAAAGGATTAAAGGATTTGATGATTAAGAATTCCATCTCTAGAATTAAAGCCTACATTGAGTACCTTAAGTTCTTCCATTAGCTATTACAGATTGTTTATAAATCAGATCAAAAGAAACCTCGAGGTTTGAGGGCTTCAATCGTTTACACTAGCATTTTGGGTAGTTTGGCTGTGTTATTTGTATTTAATCAGCCAAATAATCTTAGCTTTACTGTTGCTTTAGCATTAATAACTGCCCCAGTTAATAAGATCTATTAGATTATTTTAGAAAAAACATTATCTCATAAAAAGAAGTTAGTTAGATCTTTAGGGGCAGTTATAATGATAGTAAGTGCCGGTCTCATTTCTTATGTTATGTTGGCAGGATTAGTAATGATGGATTCAGTTGAAACTGCAAATCAATGGAGTTATATTTTTTTAGGAACATTCACTTTAGATAACCTCCTTTATTGTCCAATTTCATTAATTTTCCAATATTTTGTTCATATGGAATTCATTAAGCTACCAATTTTCTAAAAATTGCTCGATAAGATACTTGATGAAAAGGCCAAGGAATTTTTATATGGTTTAATTGATAATTTAGGAGGAGAAGAATGATAAATATTTTATTCAATATGATTATTAAAACATAACTTAAATTACATAATCAATGTATAAAGCAGTTGATTCTGCATATCAAAAAGGCTCTTAATATGAAATAATTAACTATAATTAATATGATAAACACATCAATAAACTCAAAAGAAAAAGTTCTTAATTGATTAAGGTACAAATTTCCAAAACTTTGCTGTTGCTTTTGGAGGTGCACCTTCATGTGTTAAATACCTTCTTTCATCAACAAAGTCATATATTAAATTTAGTGCTTGTTCTTTCTCATCCATTTGATTCAACGAATATCTAATTAATCCTAGAATGACCTATTAAACTTAGTAATCATAATAGATTTTGCTGTAGCTATCTTTTTCTTAACAATATATACCAGTCTTTTTGAATCTCTCATTTTTGCCTTTATAATATAAAATTATGTGTACATAGTTCTAACATTCTCCAATGATTTCCATCTGTCTATAACATTCTAACTTTATCTAGTTTTTAGACTTATGAATTAGTTAATGCCCATAATCCTGCCGCAACCGGCTCAGTGATAAGCATTTCTCTTTCTTTGGCCACCAAAGTAAATGCATTGATTGGTTTAGTTCTCATTACGGGTATTATAGGGTATTTGTTCACTTTATTATAAATTAAAAATGGTATGTCTCCATAAAAAGGACAACTAAAATGGATGAACTTGAAATGTACTAAGTATTAGACTCGCATTTATAATCATAGTAGTAATCGAAATCAGTATTTTTAAGTGCTTCAAAAAGAAATGTGTCTATCAGTTCAGAATAATGATGATCTTCCATCACAGTAAGTCTCTAGAAATATTTCATCTTCTTTAAAAATTCAGGTGTTTGTTCAATTTTCTAGATTTTCGGTGTCCATCTGAATGGACTGTTTAAATCCATGTTAAAGCTTAAACCTCACAATAGTCACAAACCATATACCTGCTTAATATGCAACAAGTGGAACATCTGCTTAAGAAAATGATCTATTGCACAAAGTTTATTTTGTGAAATAAAAACAAATTTTCATTTAATTATTTATGAAGTGAAGTAGAATATTACCTAATCAAAATAGAGAAGTAGCAGATGATTAAATTCAATAACGCAATTCAAATCACCTTAACACCCTCCCTATCGGAATTGCGATGTTTTGTCTAACTGATATTACTATAGAAAAACTTTAGGGACTACTTAGATCGTTAAATTCATTTATTTTAAGGAATATTAAATAATTTATTTAAAGTAGAGTATTTTAGAGTGATATCATGATAGGAATCTCTAGATTTGCTGGCTCAATTTATAAGCGACTTCCAAAAACTCCGATTTCCTATCATATTACGCATTCAAACAAAGTTTATGACATGATTATGATGAAAAAAAATATCAAAGAGTTTGACAGCTTTTTTGATAAGAGAGTTAAAGTTTTGAGTAACATTATACATTCAAATTTGTTAAATAATAAGTTGATAGAGGAAGCAAAACTAAAGGAGTTATTATTGCAAAATAAGACTTCGGAATACATTGAAGAATTGATTAAGAAAAAAAAGTATTCTACAGCATATCGATTTATGAATGCCCTTTAGTATGACACAGTCTCATATTAAGTAAGAATCAGAAATTTCATATTAGGAACTTGTGTATTCGATGGCTACTAATGATATGAAGTTACAAAGCAAGATTATTAAGGAGTAACATTTAGATACAAAGGACAATCAGAAGGTGTTGAATCATTTGCATAGTGAATCTATGAGATTTTTTATTTTTGTAAAAAAATATTTAATTATAGAGAGCAGAAATACCAATATAAAAAGTAGAAGAATTATTTTTGGGGGATGAAAGTAAATTATAATTTTTGGTTGAAAATTATTTTACGTCAAATAAATAAATAGCCATTCAAATAGCTAAAAGAAATAATATTAAAGTTTAAAATCCATAAATTTAGTAAGAGATTGATAATTGCACAAATGTAATCGATAATGCACTATTAAAAAATGATGATTTCTGTATTGATTATTACCATATTTTTAGTGCCATCAGAATTAATACTGAAAACAAAGAATGCCAATAATTTTGTACTTCTAAAGAATTTCAATATATCTAGGGAAGATGTTTATTTAATTGAAGATGAAACCCAATTAACTGATGAAATCATAGATGAGATTTTAAAGGCTCCTTAAACTGGCATTGACACTGAAAGCTTTTAAGAAATTCCTTAGACTAAATTTACTTAGAGAATGAATAAGGTTTGTTTACTCTAGATAGCTTTACCACAAAAGATTTTCTTATTAAACACTGCCAATCTTACAAGTAGTAGCAAATATCAATAATTTCTTGTGAAATATACAACTAGTAATGCTTTAAAAATTGGATAAAACCTAAGATAGGATTTCTTATCATTGTTAGGGTAGATTAGAGCATCTGATGTTTAATTAAACTAAATTATTGAACTATCACAACTATTTTAGTAGAAATTTCCATAGGAAAAGAAAACAAATTTATCTTTTTAATGTTCTAAGCTTTTAGGGAAAGAACTAGATAAAGTTGAGTAAATCTCAAACTGGTAAAAGAGACCATTGAGGAATGCATAGATTCATTATGCAGCACTAGATGCATACATATGTTTACACCTTTATAATCTATATAAATAATGATTTGTTAAATTATGTATTTTTTTCAGTTCAATATAATATTATGGAGTCTATATATATTTTGATCTAATCCAAAGGACATCAATTTATATTATTAATTCTAATAATATATATAATCGTTGGAAAGGTGAAAGATCTTTTTCCATTAAATAATGAATTTTTAATTATTAGACACACTTGAATTGGGAAACAAGAGGAATTAAGCAAGACTGCTTGAATAGATTCACGAATTAACAACACAATAAAAAAAGAAACTCTTAATCAATATTCTTAAATGTTCATTATAAGAGAGAAAATAAGAGATTCTTCAAATGATGAGAATTCTTTTGGAGAAGGTCGACATTTTTTAATAATTTCAGACTGACCAAAATGATCTTGAAGCTTATGACTATTGTTTACGTCATATTCAATATGACACTTTTGATAAAGTAAGATGAACATATTAACTGATTTCAGAATGCTGTGATTTACGAAATAGGCGAATACGCAAATAATGTATATATGGTAATATCAGGCTAAGTCTCTCTGTATATATATGACGATATATTTAACACAACTAAAAGAAGGTAGTAGTCTTTCAGTGTGGGTAGTGATAATAAAACTCAGCAGAAAGAAAGACTGAAATATTCTGATCATATCATTTAAAGGTATGGTTAAATCATAGTTATAAATAGTTTGGTTCGTTTGAGTGAAATTAAGGAATGGAAAATCTTCGGAGAATAACTAGAGAAGAAAAGAATGAACATTGCTATTTGTGACATTGAAAGCTAAGTAGGATTTCTTAGTAAAGAGACATTTTAAACGGCAATATCAATTATGTAAAGAAAGTAGGAGTAGAAAAGAATGAAGAGCTTTACATTGAGTCCTAGTTTCTAGGGATTAAATAAGAGGTTACTAAATTTGATGTTGTTTTCTTTCTCAACTTAGGATTATAAATTTAGAGATGTTGTTTACAAAAAGGGTTAATTGGATTCTGATGTTATTTACATAATAAAATAAGGAGAGTTTGTAGTCTATCAATAAAAACAGAATGTAAGAAAATAATTGGCCATCATGACGGAAGGTGAGTTTTTTGGTGATTATGAGGCTTTCGAAAAGGTTCCTCGTTAATTCAATGTCTCATGCCATTCTCATCATGGTAGTTTAATTGTCATACCAATGTAAATCTTAAATTAAAAATTATCCTAATATAACGAGCAATGTTATCTATAGTAATTGAAGAAGCTATGTATTAAAAAAAATAAATGGTACAAGTCATTTGAAAACAATATTGAATAAACATAAGGAATCTACTAAAGATATTTAACTGTGTAAGATTTAAAAAATGAAATAACTAAAAGTTCAGCATAAAAAATTGAACCCATTTAAAATGTTCCTGAAATTCAATAATAATAAATTAGTCCAATAAGGGAATTAAAAAATACACTGAGTTATTTAACATCAATTGAAGAATCTTAAGTGAGTAATAGTAATATTAACATTAATCATAATACTAATAATAATAATAATAAAAATACAAAGACACATAATAACAATCATCATAAATTATTAACTGATAATGAAAATAACTAAAAATAAAAAGCAAAAAGCAAAAACCCTGTCTATATTGCATCTCCTGATAAATTACAACCACTACCAAAAATATAATTAGTTTCTAATAAACAATAAAATAGAAGTGAATTATCAACGCCTGATAGATTCAATAAAGTTATTCAAAATAAAATTAGTGTCTTAAAAAGAATAAATAACCTCTCTCCAGAAGAAAACATTAATTTAAATACTCTTCATTAAAAAACCTATTATGTTCAATTACCAAAGTAAATAAAGTTAGAATAACATCTTGATAAAGAATGGCCAATAAAAGCAACATTGTACTTAAATGATTTAGATGACAGATTTCGTTTTTAGAATAATTAATCAAGTCAAAATAACAATAGCAATCGTAATTGCAATTAATTACCTGAATAATTAAGTTCGAAGAATGAAAATAGTGAATAAAATTCATAAAGGAATTCTAGAATTGATATTTTAAATAACATTCTGTAGTATAAAACTCCAAAATAATAAAATAATAAAAAAAGGAGAGCATTAACCCTTAAGTATCGAGAATATATAGAATCGTAATTCCCACCTAGAACGGAACGCTCTTTATTATTTTGTTGAAACAATGTCATGAAAATGTAAATATGTGATTATTATATAAACATGAAAATCTTTCTCAAATAAGTTTGATTGTCTGAAGTTTTTCAATAATTTCTTCATTCTAAGTTTCTTAGATAATTTGCATTAGTTAATTAAATTTCTATTGATGAAGAATGGCTAACTTCTCTTGATCCTTCTAAGCCTATCTTAAAACATGATTTTCCTTGGACAACGCTTTGTACATTTCTTATAGATTATCACTAAAATGTAAATTACTATATCTTACCAAGTGTATTGGCATTGAGGATGTATTTGATAGGCATCATTTGATTCCAACGAATAATATAGGAAATATTCTTTCCAGAAAGTAATTGATTTTCCAGTAAATTGTTCTGGAATAATAACATCTTAATCAATTGATTATGGATTTTTATAGTAAGCATTTATATACTTGTCTTTTTGTTTCATAATCCAAGACCAGATAGATACAGTTTGTTCCATGATTCTTTGTTTTTGAATTTCCTAAAAGCATAAATAAAAGTGATACCAAAAAGGAATCGCATAAGAATGTTCCAAATAATGAAGTCAAATGATGATAAGCTAAATCTAGTAGTAGTTTCCCATTGAATTCAAAAGATAATGGATACAATTGCTACATCTAATACACACAGTCTAAGAATTATAAGAAGATTGGAGATCTGGAATCCTCATTATTTTATTTATTGCCTATAGCAGATCGTTAACAGAATTGATGTCCACTATTGATCCATTCCTTTTAAACTAGAATCATGAATCCTTCGATTGTTCTATAATACGAATCGATCATAATTGAGACAAGAGCAGTCAATTAAGCAGTTCTATCCCACCCATCACTACAATGAACCAACACATTGATTTTCTCTTTGGTCATTGTGATTGCTATTTTTGCAGATCCTTTAATGATGGCTACGATGTGATCATACCATTATGATTATTCCAATTAAGATAGAAATTGAACATTTTCACTTAAATTTATTTGAAATTAGATACTTAAATGCTGCCTTCAACAATTTGGTTTGTGAATCTCTTACTTTATGTATATTGTGAATATCCAAGAAATCTATGCTACATCTTCTATAAAACAGAGTATTCTCATAGCCTTTTCCAGCTACTTATTATCCAATAGCATTTATGTGAGGTCTTGCATCATAAATCCTTAATCGAGTTTCCTTCTCTTCATATTGACTCTCCTGCTCATCAACAGTCTAATACGACATATATTTCAAATAGCATTCATCCTCAGTAGATCTGTTCTATCCGATTCCAGTTCTACATTAGGAACTTCTCCACATCGATATCACTTTTCCATTTATAGTGAATGCATATGATAATATTGGTATTCTTTCTTTAGATCTGAATTTAGCAGTTTTTTGTATACAATCTAAATCTGCTTTTGTAGGTACAACTAATCTATTATAATAAGTTGAGCAAATGATGCCATTCTCATTATTTAGATATTTAAATAATCCATTTTAGGTTTGTGAATTTTCTTATAAAATATTGATGCCCATTCTTTCAAAATCCTTTTCTATATTAAATATCCTCCATCCTTAAAAGTCGTTTTCTAAGTTTGAGAAATCCTTGTAAAATGTAAATGCAAATAATGTCTATTTATTTAATGTGAATGCGTTCTTATTGATAACATTAAATATGCTATTGCAGTCATCATTCTGCTCCCTCAAAAATCTATATTTGAACCATCTACCATCTTTACATTATATTTCAATAAAATTGGCATCATTTTGCTTCCTATCCATAGTCTTGTCTACTTTAATTATTAGAGTATAAGGAATATAAAAATAATCCTTTCTAAAATCTTTTGGGTATTTATCAGGTAAAAACACAATCTATATTTGTACATCAATCTAATTACTTAATAATTAGTTGCTAAAAATATTCCTTAAAATTATTGAATGCCAGTAGAGCATATGCCTCTAAGTTCCTATAAAGCTATTTCTCCAGGTTGTACAATCTCTAGTCCAATACTCTTAATGTCACGAGTTGTATAGGTCTGCACAATATTAGTTTGGATAATTTCTGGCTCATTCTGATCAGTCGGTTGCCTTTATCCTTATTAATTTGGTTATTGTTGAGTTGTGGTATTTCTAAAAAATAATTTCTAATATTGTTGAATGAATTACTCTTGGGGCATCCAACATCTAACCTATTTATCCAAATACAGATTGTGGTTATTAATTAAGTTATTGTTATTATGAATAGGCAGGCTATTATTATTATTGAGTGGTTGGTTATTGTGTAGTAACAATTCCTGCAGATTAGGCTAGCACTATTAATTATCATGGATGATATGTTACTTCTTTCTTCCTCTTGGAGTTGTTTTTCAAATTCTTTTGCTCTATTATTTTTTTAAGTATTTTGTGTCTATTAATCTGGTTTCTATGTAGAGCGTCCAAGTGGATTGTTCATTTAATTATTTATTTTAATCAAAAAGGGTTTTAATATAAAATATAACTTTAAAACTTTATAGAAATAGGAGGAATCCATAAATAGTCACTACCTATCTGCTATGAATTGAATATGTTTAAACTTAATCTAAAAGTATGACAATATATTTACATCAATTATTCTTATTTGGTTATCTTAATTCTTAAATAATATAGTATATCTGTTAATTCCATAATTTTTATAATGAAACATCTCAAATAGTAGAATTTAACATCCAAATTGATAAATGGTCTAATACATCACATCACTTTAATCTAAAATCAATTAGACAAACTATTGTAATCAAATAAAAAATGATAAATTTTATAGGAAGAGCCAATTTCTATATAGATCATTAACGTTACACTACTTTTTCTTATTGTATTAAATGATAAGATTGATAATAATGATAATACTAAATAATTTCCAAAAAGTATGATAAGAGTATAGTAACTATAAGCCAAATTCTCCAAATTCATGAGAAGCTAGCTTATAACTATAAGTTCTTCACCATAATATCTCTGATATACTGCTGATATTGGTTGTCAGTTGATTCATAAGATGATATTACTAACAATAAAAAGTATTATATATTGAATTTGATGATAAGTTAGTATTGTAACTGGAATTAGTGATCAATTTCAAGTACTTTAGCAGGATTAATATAATAAAGAAGTTAGAGGATTCAAATTTATTTGACTTTAAATACAAATAATTCTGACATGCTAATCTTGAAAAAGGATATTTGTAAATTTAAACTAATATTAATATATATTCATGTATCTGTATTCAGAATCAAAATGTTTGACAGCAGGATTCTGCTGGTTCTTCATAATTAGAATTATATTGTTTCCAATTTTCTACAATAAATACTTAATTTAAGTTGGTTGAAATGCGAAGACGCTTCAACTTCGACACACTGTTTTTACCTTATTTTTTCAGTATGCTTTTTAGGTTCTAACTTCTTTGACTTGAGATGACCAAATTTTCTTAATTATGTTGTGCTTCTTCTAATTAATCATATTCAGGAGGTATAAGAGATCTCGTTCTAAGGGAATCTATTGCATGTACTTTCTAAGACATTGTAGAGTTTAGTATTGAGAATTAGAGAAAATGAAAAATATTAAATTTTAATAAAATGAAGGGTATAATTGGTTCTTAAGGCAGCAAAGTCAATTTATGAAATAACGCAGAAAAAGTAAGAAATAGAAGTCAGACAAGGTGTTATTAAAAATTGAGATATTCATCGCAATTTAAATGTTTTGACATTATCGTTATAGATGGGAGGATTATAATACAGTAAATAAATGAATTTAATCATCTATGAAAGATAATAAAGGTTTAACTTAAAAATAATTGATGGTCAACAAGTTATTATTACTATTCAATTGCATCAGACATGCCTTTCAATTGAATCTTGAATTTGATTAGATAATTGAATATCAATTTAGTGATTTAAATGATTGCTTTTATTAACTATATTGCTCTTGTTTATTTAATTATCACTTGCATAATCTTATCATAGGGTTTTTTGCCTTCTTATTTCTACTTACAATTAAAGGCTGTTTATATTTATAATATTTAAGTTTTTGTCTTAGGGATTTAATTAAAACTGAAAACCAAAAGCTAGTTATTCAATCTTTTAGTTTTGATACCTGAAATCTGCATATTCAATTAAGGAGTTTAGAATAGGTGAGACTTCCTTTACAAGGTATAATTCTGATATTTACTTAAGTCGACTTTTTTAATTAGTTTTGCTTAGAGGGTAATTCCTCGGTATTAAGGTAATATAGGAGAAATAATATGATGATATAGGATTAAAATGAATTATAATATGAAATTGGATATTATAAATTAACTTATGATTAGGATTGAAAAACTAGGGTAGTTTAAACTATTTATATTGAGCATATAATTAAATTCTGTAATTTATACTTTTATTTAATTATCTATAAAGTGATAAATTAATTAAAAATGCAAAATAAAATATTTGAACCAGCAGAAATAGATCTGAGTATAAACCTACGATTCCAATTATAATCCAAATTTCTATCCAAAAATAATAAATATATTGAAATAATGTGTTCTGAAAATCTATTGTTTAAGAAGGTAGTTCTGGATACATATCTCTAGTCGTAAAAATCATTTAAAATGACGAAACTTAACAGCGCTTTAAGATATTAAATCAAACATGAATCCACTTCCATAATTTTAAGATTGGAAAAAGATGATTGTTTATTTAAAGAATATTTATTTCTTGATAAGTCCGGGCCTTGGGAATAAAAGTTAAAATCTCAAATTCCTTAACTAGATTATTAGACTTACTATGAACTTGAGAAGTTGATAGGAAGTGGAAGTTTCGCATCTGTCTACATAGCTAAAAGGAAAACAGATGGAAATAAATTAGCAGTCAAAGCATTTCTTAAGAAAATGCTTATGTAGAAAGACCCAGATAAATGGAGAGTAATTCACATTATTAATTTTTAGGAATCAATTGATAATGAAATCAAAGTCATGAAATCTTTAGATCATCCCAGTTTATTAAAGTGCTACGATCATTTTGAAAATCGAGCATAATGTTATATATCTATGGATTGGGCTAGAGGAGGAACTTTAGAATAAGGATTAAGCAAATTGGAAGAACCTTTGCCGTTTCTTACAGTCAAAGTTATTTTCCGATAAATAGTTGAAGCAATTAAATACATGCATTCTCGAGGATATATGCATCGAGATCTAAAGCCAAGTAATATACTTCTCAAGAGACCCATGCCATTGAAACAATTCTCATTGATTGCTCAAGCAGATCCTAATATAGTAGTCAGTGATTTTGGAGTAAGTTCAGAAATAAAGGTTGAGATGGATGTTGGGAGATACTGTGGTTCTCCAGGTTTTATGGCTCCAGAAGTTATGCTTTGTGAAAATAACCAAACCGTAACATATAACGAGAAATGCGATATCTTTAGTTTAGGATGCATATTATATAGATTGTAATTAAGTATATATAAATTGTAGAATCACAAACAAACCATTATTTAATGGATAAAATTCAATGGCAATGAAATAATAGAATTTAGAATGCCATTTTGACTGGATTTAGATTCAAGAAGAGCTATATTAAAATAAGACTTTAACAAACTTATTAAGCAAATTATTATCAATTGATCCCAAATAGAGACCTTCTTGCGAAGAAATATTAAATTGCAAGATCTTACATGTAGAATTGGATAATGATGGTTGCCCTCTATTCATCAATTATAAGAAACCAAAATCCTCTTCAATTTAATAGATTAAAACCCCTAGACTACCAACAAAATCTGCTAGCAATTGCAAATTACCATAATTATAATTATCTCCAAATCATTTACATATTAATAACCATAATAATAATCATACCAATAAAAAATCAGGTAATTTCTTATTACCTCCTATTAATAATAGAGTTAAAACTGAATAAAGCGAATATTGAATTATATATATACTTAATATTCTATTAATTAATTAGTAAAATCAATTGCTTTCAATTCTTCCAATATTAATTATTTGTTTATTAATTCTGAGATAAAGGATAGAATTCATGTAAATTAATTTTAAGATTAAATTTGTTTATTTATTCAATATATTATGTTAGCTTGAGATTTACGTAATCATGTTATAGCTATGGGAGTAAAAAAAGTAATAGAAAAGGTCATTAAGATTCAAAATTGTAATTGTAAGCACACTCAATATTATTTATTATTATCTATTTTGTATTCTTTACAACCACACTCATTCATATTGATATTAACAAATTTAATTAATGGGTGAGATTGTCCCTAATCAACTCTTCGTCGCTGGATACAGTCGCAGCAAAGTGACTGATGAAAGAGATGTGAAGGAAATCTTCAGAAAATATAGCTCTGTCAAAGAAGTCGCTTACAAAGGCTCATACTCCTTCATTGTAATATATCCACCTTATCAGACTTTCAATAGCGAGAATGAAGCTTAAGAAGCACTTAAGGAGACCAATGGAATGACTTATAAAGGTCAGAAACTCAAGGTTGATATTGTGGATAATCGCAAAAGTCGAAAAACTGGACCTTCTGATAGTGATTTGTGTTTCAAATGCAATAAAGGCGGACATTGGTATAAATTTTAATTAATTCTTAATAGGGCTAGAGATTGTCCAAATGGCAGATCGCCTCGAAGAAGTAGAAGATATTCAAATTCCAGATCTAGGTAGGTTATATATGTAAATATATTCTAGACGTCACAGAAGGAGATCTGATTCTCGTTCATATTCTTCACACTCTTCATCAAGATCTAGAAGAAGAAATAGATACTCAAGAAATAAACACAGACATAGTAGAAGTCCAAAAAGACAAGACAAGCCCAAGAAGAGAAGCATTAGTAGAAAAAGATCACCCTCAGATTCTTAATCATCAAAGCGAGCTAATTCAGACTCAAAGTCTTGAATAAGAATGGGAAAAAACACATTTTATTCATCAAAACATTTTATAATTGTAATAGTTAGTTACTCTCCTATGATCAAAATTAATCACTACAATCTTACACCTTTGACAACACCAGATTTAATTGCTCCCTCACCCACATAATTATAAGTTACAAGACTAAATAAATCTCGCAATTTACTTCTTTATGTATTTGTTTTGACTCTTTCAATTTATAGAGTGCTTTTTTCGTACTTCAACTTGTGTTTTACTCTTTAATTCTTAATTCTGTTACCTCTTCTCCTCCTTAATGAAAGATTCTATGACTCTCTAAAATTATAATTATTTTACATAACATAAGTAATCTTCCTTGGATCATTCTCTTCTACATCATGTAACTTCCATAACTTATTAACTTTTAGAAATTCTCAAGTCTCCCAACCATCTTCTCTTCCCTCTTCAATTTCTTCTTATCCTTAATCCTTTTAAATTCTCTTCATAAATCTCATCCATCCCTCGTTCTTCTAAATGCTCATCTATATTCTTCATACCCTCTAACATATCTCCAGAACTCACTGATATTCTTGATTACTCAAAATCCTCCTATCCTTTATTCACATTTATATTATGAGTTCTATCTACATCTTGTAATAACTTCATAATTTTTGAAATCTTCATTTCATCTTGAGAATCCCTTTCAATTCTGGCCAATCCTTACAAATAGCATTATTTAATTCTGTAACATCTATATTCTCAATTATTTAAGGTTCTATCCCTATTTCTTAGCTTAAATTCTGTAACCCAATTAAATTCTACTCGTTTGATAATTACTTAGCTTTTTACACTATTTAGCTTTGTACTTATTTCACATTTCTCTTATGTAAATGCATTTATTTTCACTTTCTTATTTTACACCAAGATATTTCTCATTTACTTCTGAATATCTTCTTCACTTTGAAAACCACTAAAATTTGAAGATGATATCAGACACCAATTTAAAATAATACCAAATTATATATATATTTAATAATCAAAAAGAATTAATACTTAATGACTCCTCGTGATGTTATCAAAATATTTCTGATTTGCATCTAACAGTTTCAATACCTGTAAACCATAAGACTGTCTATCGATAGTTACTTGAGTAGATGGAAAAGAATAACATAAATTCAAATTCAATCTGCAATTCATTTGAAATATTTGTTTAAAAAAATAACCAAAAGAGATGTTCTTTAGATTAATGAATTTTTGTTATGAGAGATTTAAAATTTATAATAGTTCTTATAATTATTCAGATATTTGAGAAATTATTTGATGAAAAAATTATATTTGGCAGTAATATTTATCTTATGATTATGATAGTAAAACTATTAAGATTTTAGTATGGTTGATTATTAGAATTAGGATGATGAAAAAAGTGATGAGGATTATGAATATGAAATATCCAGATGTTTATAAAATTTGAAAATTTGATTAAATATGATTTTGAAGAAAGGTGGCTATAAAGGAAGATATGAATTTATGGATTCACAAAGATAAGAAAGTGCCGTCGAAAAGTTAGAGCATATTTTGTTTTAGACAGAATTCACGCTTTATTTTGATGGGAAAATTTGTTCAATAAATTTAATTACGGTCGACTTTGCAAGAAACCTCTACCCTGAGACTTAATTAAGCGATGATCTTTCTGAAATGCCATATTGTCATTTTTTTCAAGTCTCTTAAAATTTTTTCTATTAACTTAGAGATTCGTTCATTATACATTCTCACGAGAGGAAACACTATTTATTAAATCTATCTTGAGAGAATTCTATTTCAATAAACTCTAAAATATCCCAAGCAAGGCTCATCGTTTTTTTGCTTATTATATTGTTTGATATTGAGACTCGTTATGAAAAAAAATCTTGTTTGATCTATTAAACTTGGCTAAGTATTTGACTTCATTATAAGATTTGAAGTTTTATTATTGTTTGTATTTCTACTTGTTGGTTTTTTTAAGGATCGAATCTCATCAGACATCTTCAAGAGAAACTAAATCCTGGAGATAAATAAATTGAGCAGTTTATTGTATAGGAGTCAACGTGTTTTTTTACATCATAATTTATTATTTTTCCAATTAATTAAATAAAATGTGACATCAATAAGCTATGTTCATATTTTTTGGAAAGAATTAAATATATGATTTCTTATGATTATTGTTATTTAATCTTATTAATAATTTCTTTTAACTATGAGAATATTATCCTTCAGTATGTAATTTTTAGTTAAATATTATATTATTATTCCAAATTACTTAAATATTGTGTCAAGTTTCTTCATTCTCATTACATAATCTACAGGCTTATCTTTGAATCAAATTCTAACACTAGTTATTTACTCAGTTGAATTGGATTATTTAATTTTGTCTAAAGTGCTTATTCCATCATTTTGAGTTAAAAAAAATTCTTACTTTTTGTGAGAAAAGCAAGTTACAAGAATTTGCAACTTCACTAATGTTTTCAATTCTTTTTAACTGCCAATATTTAGCATGATCTATGCCTGATAACGTATTTTAGGTAGCTTTATAAGATGCAACAAATATATTTTTATATTAACTTTTCATCGATGTTGCATCCATAATTATATTATGTCAATTCGCATAAATTTAATTCCAATCCTCTAATTTATCTATAATAGTTGTATATATATCGATATGCACTTAATCAAGACCTAAAATATTTGAATATCTATATAACAATTTTTATGATTCTCAGATAAGGTAGAAATGCTGAATCCATGCATCAAGATTCAGTTTTCTATAGTGATTTTAAATTTATCTTGTTCTTATTAAAATTCAACTTGGGACAATTTACAACATCAATCAATCTACGTTTATGTTAATTTTCTTTATCTTCCAAAAATAACAACTTATAATATTATTCTCTTGAAAACACTTAATACTTATACTTATTCCTATTCAATTATTTATAATTCTTAGTCTTTTTTTGAGTTTCCTAATTTTTAAGAATGAATAAGAAATTGCTCTTCTATTCAGATATTTCTTGAGTACCATTTATTGGTATCCATAATTACAATATATTAATATTTTATATAAACCCATAAAGAATTAGTACGATTCTAAGTAATACATATAATTGTCAGTTTATTTAGATTAGGATCATAATCTCTGAGACAATATTCTAAACATGGTTATTGTCATCAATATTATGATAAAGAGACTTATGGTTTAACTTGGAAGCTTATACTCATTAATAGTATATGCTTTGTTTCAATATACCAATATTATTATTAATTCTTTATTATTTTTATCTCATGAACAAAAATGCTCATCATTCTAGACAATAAAATAGCAAAGATGTAATAATGATAAATGAGGAAGAAGATGAACCAAAAATGTAGATATACATATCATTAATTTAAGTTCTAAGAAAATAAAAAATGATAATGAAGATGATTGTGTAATAAATGTAGATGTTATTCCATGGATGAGTAAGAAGACTATGATGANTAAGCTATGTTCATATTTTTTGGAAAGAATTAAATATATGATTTCTTATGATTATTGTTATTTAATCTTATTAATAATTTCTTTTAACTATGAGAATATTATCCTTCAGTATGTAATTTTTAGTTAAATATTATATTATTATTCCAAATTACTTAAATATTGTGTCAAGTTTCTTCATTCTCATTACATAATCTACAGGCTTATCTTTGAATCAAATTCTAACACTAGTTATTTACTCAGTTGAATTGGATTATTTAATTTTGTCTAAAGTGCTTATTCCATCATTTTGAGTTAAAAAAAATTCTTACTTTTTGTGAGAAAAGCAAGTTACAAGAATTTGCAACTTCACTAATGTTTTCAATTCTTTTTAACTGCCAATATTTAGCATGATCTATGCCTGATAACGTATTTTAGGTAGCTTTATAAGATGCAACAAATATATTTTTATATTAACTTTTCATCGATGTTGCATCCATAATTATATTATGTCAATTCGCATAAATTTAATTCCAATCCTCTAATTTATCTATAATAGTTGTATATATATCGATATGCACTTAATCAAGACCTAAAATATTTGAATATCTATATAACAATTTTTATGATTCTCAGATAAGGTAGAAATGCTGAATCCATGCATCAAGATTCAGTTTTCTATAGTGATTTTAAATTTATCTTGTTCTTATTAAAATTCAACTTGGGACAATTTACAACATCAATCAATCTACGTTTATGTTAATTTTCTTTATCTTCCAAAAATAACAACTTATAATATTATTCTCTTGAAAACACTTAATACTTATACTTATTCCTATTCAATTATTTATAATTCTTAGTCTTTTTTTGAGTTTCCTAATTTTTAAGAATGAATAAGAAATTGCTCTTCTATTCAGATATTTCTTGAGTACCATTTATTGGTATCCATAATTACAATATATTAATATTTTATATAAACCCATAAAGAATTAGTACGATTCTAAGTAATACATATAATTGTCAGTTTATTTAGATTAGGATCATAATCTCTGAGACAATATTCTAAACATGGTTATTGTCATCAATATTATGATAAAGAGACTTATGGTTTAACTTGGAAGCTTATACTCATTAATAGTATATGCTTTGTTTCAATATACCAATATTATTATTAATTCTTTATTATTTTTATCTCATGAACAAAAATGCTCATCATTCTAGACAATAAAATAGCAAAGATGTAATAATGATAAATGAGGAAGAAGATGAACCAAAAATGTAGATATACATATCATTAATTTAAGTTCTAAGAAAATAAAAAATGATAATGAAGATGATTGTGTAATAAATGTAGATGTTATTCCATGGATGAGTAAGAAGACTATGATGATCAGACACCCAGTTTTGAGGTTGCACAATGAAATCATTGAATTTTTTGAATACATCTCACCATCTGATTAAGAACATAAAAGAAGAGTCACTGCCTATTTAAGAGTAGAGAAATACTTGTAAGATGTAGCCCCAGAGTCTTAGATTGAATCATTTGGTAGTTTCAAAACAAGGATGTATCTGCCTAATGCAGATATAGATATGGTGATGATAGATTCTTCTTGCACACAAAAATAATTATTTAAGAAAGTTGCTGCTAAAATGATGAAACAAACTAATAAATTTGAAAATGTCAATTTAATAGCAAATGCTAAAGTACCAATCATTAAGTTTATTGAAGTGGAATCTTAATATCATTTCGACTTATCATTCAATTAATTAGATGGATTGAAGCAAATTGAAGAATTAGAAAAGGCTTTTGAAATTTATCCTGAATTGAAATTTCTCTTAATGACCTTAAAGTGTGTATTAAGATAAAGAGATTTAAATGAAACATACAGTGGAGGAGTGGGTTCCTTTTTATTATTCCAAATGATCCTGGCTTTTTTAAGAGAATATCGTAAAGATTTCTTCTAACACAACAAATAAGATCAAATCAAGAATGTTACTTTGGGAGAATACATGATTAAGTTTCTTGAATTCTATGGAATCAAGTTTGATGTATCAAGGAAGAAGATTGTTATGGGTCAAGGAGGAAAAATTGAAAACAAGTCTACTTAAGATGACAGATTCTCTTTAATCAGTCCATAAGATCCTGATCATGATGTTGGTCATAGTAGTTACAAGATCAAGGAAATATTTAAAATCTTCTAAAACAGACACAATTTCTTAACCAATTATAATTTTAAATCTGGAGAGTCTGTACTGAGATACTTAATTAATCCAACAGATCAGAAATTTTCATTTCTTAAACCGGCTTAGGTCTGAAATACATTTACATGTTATTATTTAAATAAATCTAAAACACAATTATCTTTTCTCTTTCTTATAGTTATTGTTTTAATTAGAAAAAGATTTTTCAAATTACTCATACTCTTAGTATAATTCCAAACTATCAATAATAACTTTATTCATTATTAGTATTTGAATTATAATAATTTAAATATTGAATTTGATTAGAGTATATTTTAAAAATTACAATGTATAGTTTTGATATTGATATATTTCAAAAATATATTGATGAATTCATTTGTTAAAATATCATTTATTGAAAGACCCCATAATTTCTAATGATAATTACATTTGCTATTCTTCTCAAATCTAATTTTTAATGTAGGCAAATCTAAGAACATAATTTTTTCGCAAATTTTAAATATTCTCTTGTGCTTTTAATTAGATATCTATTTATTATTTAATACATAATGACCTTAATTAAATGGCAGAATAATAAAGTATCTAAAAATTGAAATTTAACTAATATAATATCGAATTCGAATTCATTAATATATTTAATAATGCAATAAGATACCAATAGCGCTATGGAAATGACTGATGGATAATTGCAATTATAGCCTGTCTAAATTGAAACTAAATAAGGTAGTGCTCAAAAGCTTATAATTAGTTGTATACACATAATCCATGATTACAACATAGTCTCAACCATAATATCCTCCTCCTCCTCCTCCACCGTCTAATCCTCAAATAAATATCGTTGTTTAGAACGCTCCTTGTAAATTTGATTATAATAAATTATAGATTAACCCCCCCCTCCTCCTTAGGAGATAATAGTAGTAGGGAATACTGCAGTACTTTGCACTCAAACAAGATTTCCAATTTTGATGACCTGTCCATATTGTTCAAAGTTGGGAACAACAAGAATCAACTTCCAACCAGGAGCAGGAACATGGATTTGTTGTTTCATTTTGCTTCTACTTGTCTGGATATGCTGCTGGATTCCTTTTGTGTCTGATAATTGTCAAGATGCGAATCATATGTGTCCAAACTGTGGGTAACTTGTTGGAACATGTATTTACAAAGTGTGCGAATGAATATGATTTATATGTTATTTGTATTTGTTTTTATCCATGCGATCTATTTATCAATCTTATATGTATAGCAATATATATAGAGCAGCATTTAATAATTTAGAATATAATAGATTCATAAATATTTAAGATATTCTGATTAAGAGATAAATAGATAATAACTCAAGTGATATCCTTAATTTAATTGATTTATTTATTAGGAAATTCAATCTTGATCAATAGAATAAGTTTGAGTTTCTCAGCAAACAAATAACAACTGGGACAATATTGAATTATTAAAATTTACAACAATATATTGTAAGTTGGAAATATCCAAATATTTACTTGAATACCACAAGACAATTACATTGTTAAGATTTATTGAATTGAGCAAATCTGAATAAATTAAGAATTTATAATATTTTCATAATTATATATAATTATCATATATTTACATATAAATGAATAGAAGAAAAACAGTCGCAAAGGAAGCAGTAGTGGATGTTGAAGATCAAATCAACTAGAAAGAATAGATGTTTGCAGTATTGGTTTTAAGTTATGATCAGCCTGTCATCTAAGTATACAGAGATAATCTCAATCTAACAGATATATAAGTAGATTCCATTACCAGTATCATGTAAAATATAGAGATCTTTAAAACTTGGTGTCCAGAATCAAGTACATTGTTTGAGTTCACTCGTTTAATTTGTTAAAATCTATAGTATGAAAGGATTCAAAAAGAGAATGCAGTATTTCATATAGGTTAACATTTACCTCTATTTCAAGGTGAACAAGGAGACAAGTTCTACATAATCCTCACTGGAAGAGCAGGTGTATACATTCGTAGACAACAACAATAAATAGAAGCTGAAGAAAGTGCTATGATTCCAAAAATCGAAAAAATTCTTGAAAGACTGCAAATTAAAACAATTGAGGAAATTGAATAAGATCAAAAATTGTCCTTTTATGAAAAACTTATCAAAAAATAATCGAAACCAGTAAAGCAGATAGAAGCAGAACTGTTATTGTTATATGTTGGTAATTTTGATATGTATTTTACTATTAATGGAATATGTAAATTCTAGTAATTGTCACAAGTACATTCTGGTCTCTATTTTGGAGACATGGCTTTGACAACTGATAAACCTAGAGCAGCTAGCATTATTGCTGTAACCGATGTCTAAGCCTTATCACTTAATAAAGCCAATTTCAAAGTATAAATTAGTATCTTAAATATTTAAAGAAAATCTTTGAGAAGTAGATCAAAACACAATAAGAAAAAATAGATTATTTTCTTAAAATGTTTCCAACTATGACGAAATTCAAAATGAGTAAACTGATTATGTATTTCACTTAATACAAATATCCAGTCAATTATACAATCTGGAAATAAAATGATATTGTAGATGGATTTTTCCTCTTAAAGGATGGAGAAATCTAACTTTAATAGACCGTTGATTTTAATCCACTTCTTAAATCTGAATAGAATCAAATTATTTTGTCCCCTAAAAAAGAGAAATCCAATCAGAAAGAACTTCTTACAGTATAATTTTTATTCAATATGTAGATAGCTCATCTTACAGGTGGATGTTTTGTTGGTGAAACTGACATTTATTTGTAAAATGAAAGAAGAGATTACACTGTCAAAACCATAACCCAGTGCAATGTATTTGTTTTACAATTAGATAATTATGCAATTGTCAAGAAATCTTTTCCTGAATTTATTATACCTCTCTAATCTCTTCAACAAAAAAACATAGCTTTATATCGAAAAAGATTAGCTGATATTGTTTAAACTAAAATATCTAATACTAATCTTAATAAAAAAGAGGAAGTTAAAAATATTGAAAGAAGATACATCAATGAAATTGAAATCAAATAAAAAACATAGAATTCAGTCTAAGAACAATCCTCGCCTATTCTCAGATCGACTTTATAACCAAAAATGACTAAATAATAAATGGTTGAACAAAATTTATCAATTGCAGATTAACATACAAAGTCTGATATAGCAACTGGTAAGAATGAAGAATTTAATATGCTAAAAATGGCTGGAGAAAATTTTTAAAAATGTTTGATTATCCGAGTTGAAAAATAATTCGAATAATTTTAGCCGACCAAACCCAAGTAATTATTTTAAATTTATGTTAAGAAGCAAGACTCCTTATTTTAGTAAACATCAAAAGGATATTAAAGATCTACTTGAATAAATTAGAAGACATTAATTACCTTCAGTTTAATTAAAAGAACCAATAGTATTTAATTAATAACAAGAAGAAGATTTATAAAACAATAATCTGCCATTCCTAACCATGACTAAACAATAACTAAGAATAATTAATCCTTTAATTTAATAAAAAGTTGAAATACTCAAATAATGTCTAAGTCGTTAATCTCATACATCTATTTCGAAATCTAAATCTTTATGTTAAACAGCAGATCAATTTTATAAAGCCAAGGCATAACAAGGATTTATACTCTGTGATACTCTCTTTCCTTACAAGCCGGTTCATAGTACTAAAAATAGTAATAATTAACATTATAGTAATTTTAAAGTTGTCTAGAGAAATAAGACAACACAATAAAGTCAAATATAAAAAAGATCATGTCAAGACATAACAGACACTAATTTTTTTAGTTCTTAGCCTACAGTCTAATTCACATGATCTCCATTTATAATTTAATAAATTAAACAAAACAAATTATAAACTCAATATTCTTAACCAAACTAATTTAAACAATTTAACTTTCATCGAGGATTCTTCAGACTTACTTTCGATTGGATGATTGAAAAATATCAATCCTTTCAAAGTAAATCATAAATAAATATAAGTTTGTTATCCTTAATTCTAAAATTTTGAATATTTTATATCAACAATTCAAATAGGATGATCTTTCGATTTTTTGGTTCTCATTATAGAATACAAGAATTAGCTTTTGAACTAAATTTGTTATATTATATAAACAAAAATTAAATCAATATTTGTAATAACTAATATTATATGACTGACTATGTTAAAATGCAATAAGATTACTAAAATTTGGATACGTATTGTGATTAAGTTGTTGTTCTAATAAATGATCTAACTTGAGGTTCGGGAATTAAAGGAGGGGGTGTAAATGATGATGGAAGCATGTGTGCTAGGATATGATGTTCAGCTGATCTTAATTCTAATAAAGAATCATCCTCATGCAAAAATGAATGGGACACAAAAACACCAACTTCATAAATTATAATTGAGAAGCATCGTCCTTTTTTTTTGGATTAATAATATACCATATTTCTCCTCAAGATTGTGTCTGATGTAATCTGTTTTATGAGCATAATGTTCTTGATATAAGGATTTAGTATAAAATTCTATAATATCAAATTTCATTTCATTGCTAATTAATATCCTTGTTTTACACATTCTATTTTCAATTTCTAAAACATAGTGTTGTTAATTATTTAAAAATAAATTAAATTATGTTAAATATATTCTTAAATAAATATAAGTTTGCATTTACTTATCCATGTCCTAGGAAATTGAGAGAAATCGTGAAAATGTCTCTATTTGAAAGGGAATCAAAAGATTAAGTTGTTTCATTGTGGATGGAGTATCATAAAGAAAAATAAAATAATGTTGCTTATGTTGTAAGCAAGGATGAATACGAAATACTCAAGAGAAATATAAAGGAATCTCCATTGTTTTTATTGCCTATCAAAAGAAAAGGAGGACATTTCTAATTGATTGGATAATCATAAACTAATAGCATAGTAAGGATAACTCATATTCTAGTTATTTACTTTTTTAGAAGAATATAAAAAATCTGGGTCTTTTTCCTCTCCTTATTTTATATTAACTATATTTGAGGAGTTGCTAGCATAAAAACAAGTAGCCTTGATAAGAGGAGATATCATGGATTATAAAATAGATAAAGATGAGGCTACTTTTTTAACCAATCAGTTTCTTAAATTTTATATGACACCTGAACTTTATGAAAAGTACATTTATACACTGAATCATAAATAACAAGAATTCATTTATGATGATTTTAAGAATCATTTTTAAATATGATTATTTATCAATAATAATGAATCACTTATAATATTATCTATGTATATTTTTCACCATTTAAATGTTTTGAAATCTTCCCTTTATTGTGGAGATCTCTTTACAAAATTATCTGCAAATCCGGCCCAATCACTACCTCCAAACTCTTTATTAGCATCAAAATCAATTTAAACTTCATCTGCTTGTTTCATTCCTTATTCGAACACAAAATTTTAATCAAAATGTATTGACGGATTTTATTCAATGGAATTTCTATTATCAAAATGATCACCAAATCCATCATCAAATTAAATATCAAATACTTAATGTTTTTCTTCTTGATTTTGAAATTAAATATTTATTTATTAAACATCTTATTAAATAAATTCATGATGATCTTCAGTATTTGTATTAGGAAATCCTATATTATTTTCGTTCTTATTATCAAATCCTAAAGCATCATCTAATTTAACTTCAACTTATTATTATGGAGGTAATTAAACTTAACCATTTTCAGTGAATCCAAAATCTTTCACATTTTATGATTCAAATTGCTATTCAAAGAATTCTACTTATTAATTTGAATCATTCTATTCTGTTTAAACTACCTATTTAATTAAATCTTTTTGTTATTTATCATTATATAAAGAAAATACATCAATTTACTCTTTATTATTCAAATCAACTTGGTCAAATTAATCTTACGAACATTCTTATTACCTTTTTATTGATAAATCTATTTTATCAATATTTTTCTCCATTACTTCAACAACTTGTTCTTAATCCTATGATATTTAACTAGACTTAATCTATTATGATTATTAAATTTATGAGAACGGTACATGTTTTTCTTGCGTCTCTACTGTCTAATAAGGAGGAGAATCTTTTCTTTATGATTTCATATTTTTAGATAAAGAAGCCAAAGCCTCAAAAATTGAACTCATTTAATCTCTTTATATTTTAAGTTCTTTAAAAATTTCCTATTCTTATCTTTTTTTTCTTTCTTACTCAATTTCATAATTAGATCTGAAATCTCCAATTATTTAATTAGCGTAATCTGTAACTGCATTAATTGTATTAGTAGTCTATTTTGAGTATTCTTGTTTTAATTAAATATTCAATCCTAATTTTTAATTTATTTCTATGGCTTATTTACTTAGAGATTCTGTCAGTTTCTTCTTCTATTGTTCAACTTATTTAAGTTCTTCTTAAAATAAATAATTTTCATCTGAAATCTTTTTTAATAAGGTCTTATATTATTCATTTGTAGTCTGTAGTGATTCCAATTAACTTTAACTTGAAATCAAAATCTTTTCATGAGATTCCTTGAATTCATTTAGTAGATCATTTGCCTCCTTGAAATTTTATTCTAACTATTGCTGTTGTAAGAATATTTGATCTTGAAGTAAAACTTATTTTTATAAATCTATTGTCTTTTTAGGTTATTAAGCAATTTGTTATGTTTAAACAGCAGTTAATTGCTATGATTATGGAACATTTTACTATAGACTCTATTATGGTTGGGAATCGTTTTCATTCAAAATTAAATCAAAAGACTTTTATTGTTTTAAAATTGGTTATTAAGTTGATGTACCTGGTATTTTGAATGATTGAGATGCCACTAGCTATGTCTATGGCTATTATTAGGCAGTTTACTCAATAACAGGATTAGGAATTTCTATGTAATTGAAGGCACTATCTAAATATTATTCTAAGATAGATACATTTTTCAATGGGAGATTTAGATTTGTCAAAATTTGCTTCAAAGTCTATTAAATCATTAGATTTAGGAACGACGGTGGGTTAAGGATTAATAGTTGGATTATTAACATTAAGATTTTAAGATATCAAGATTTGTTAATTTAAGTATTCTTATAAGGAATTTGGTAATTTTTATGGTATTGGTACACTCTAAGAGGTTAAAGATATTAGATGAGTGATAATAATATAGGAATGGGTAGTCATCCTTGGTTTGGTTTATAGGGTAGGATCAACTAGATTGATGATATTCTATAATTAGAATTAAGTGATTGGAGATTTCTTGAATAAATTCATTGCCATTTAAGTTGAGACCTAATAATTGTATATATCTGTACTGTTGAATTGGAATGATCTAATTATTATATATAATTTTGATATAACCTCTCTTATTCAGGTCTTAGTTTGTAAACTTCTTCTGTATCAGATTAGAATTATGGTAATGGACTTGGAATGCATCTTTAAATGGAATCATTCGAAACCTCAATATTATTTTGAGCATAACTGATGAGCTTAAGAGCTACATAGAATTCCTCCTTATTCAAAGTTTAATTATTTGGTGAACTAATTAACCAAATCTTCTTGAGAAGATCTATTGATAATCCTGACCTTTTGAAAAAGGTGACTGCTTAAGCTCCACCAATTTAACCTGTATTCTAATAGCATAATTTATTCAGATACTGTAGCATCCACTGCTTAATACAAAGAAGCGTAATAACCTCTTTCTTTATTATCGAGTTTCACTCTGACACTCATTTATTATAATAATATAATTTAATTAACTAAGAATCCGCGTTAGTATAGTGGTTAGTATTCAAGCCTGTCACGTTTGAGGCCCGGGTTCAATTCCCGGACGCGGAGCTTTTTTTATTTTTTATATATATTGAGAAAAATTTTAATTCATTCAAACAGTATAAATTTTGAGGTTCTTGGAAATAATTACTTTGTATTCATTTATGAATATTAGATTATAAAGTTAATAATAGATTTAATTATCTTTTGGCTATCTACGTGAAATAAATTTCAAGTCATTATACCATTACATAAGCCAAGTAATATAAAATTATACTATATTTTAACTGATTATTATTAGAAAATATTATCTCAGAATGTTTGTTCTATTATTTTCAAATGATTAAATAGCTTGTAAAATAATAAAATAAATATTTTCTTACCACTAACTAGATTTTTAATTTTAAATAAAAATCGAATACTCCAACTGATATTTAAATATTATCATATTAAAAGGATTCTAATTGTGTTTGTTAACATATCTAAATAGCTCTAACTGCTAGTTAATAATCAAAAATGAGTAATATCATCTAAAATTGGATCTCTAAAATATAACAATTCATTCATAAATAATAAATATGAAATTATCAATAATATTTCATGAGGATTTCGCTGCATTAATTTTATTTCTCCAAGCTTACACATTACACATGTGCCATAATGAATCATTCATTTCAGCCCCTGAGAAGTTCTAATACATCTTATATGTATCCAATGGCAAGATCTCAGGTTCAAAGAAGAAAGCAAATGAAATCAAGGTGGACATGAGAGCAAAGACCACAACAGGTATTATTTTCCTGTGTTTGAATCGTCCTCTATTTATAATAAAATGTAAATAATACTTTTCAACTTAAGATTAATAGATGCAATCAACCGCTCTGCCAAATAAGTACACTCTGACTAAGTATTTAACATTCTCCTCCTGAGTCATAAAGCTTAACCCTCCAGCAATGAAGCCAGACAAGAGAGCATTGATGCCATCCTCTTTCTTTCTTATTGTTCTTAATGAACATTAAATTCCTTTGAGTAAGAATGTTTACAACCCCATAAACAATCCTAATTGGAAATTAGTTCTTAACATTAATGGATTCATACTTATTTAGTAGAATTTTAAATGCATTTAAGAATTTCTTATCCGATTTCATCACCTTCTTCAAACTTAATAATAGCATCAATCCATTCAAACACAATTTCGCAATAAATGCCTTTATAAATGCTTCACTTGCACCTTGGAAAGTATTTCTAATGCAGGAATGCTTATGCTGGCAATGTTCAGTTTTAAAGATCAATATTTTTGATACGAGCTCTAAAATCTTCTTATTATTCATTAATTTAATTTATTGGTTCATATGGGAAGTACATATAAATATTAACCTATCCAGATTTTTGTTAGGGAGATAAACACCATGATTTGAATTGCCAAGAAAACATAACTGTTTATGAGGCTACCATTAATTGTTCCACAATAACCATCATCCATGGAAACATCCTTTTGAATAACCTAAGAGGAATATGTAAATAACTAAATTTTATTATAGTTAATGCATAAATCGATCCCAATTCATTTTCATTAATGCAAATGCCAGAAATGCAAAGAGAATTCCGTAATCTATTATAAATACTTAGTAAAACATAAAATACCAATTATCTAAAGATTGCCACCAGGAGCCTGTAAATTCGAATTCATAATTAATCTCAAAATTAATTATTAAGATACTAGCAAGGAACTTATAGAGGCATATGAACAAGGGTAGTTTTTAATTGAATCAAATTAGATTTGAACTTATGTTTGAACATGAATTAGAAAATGTTGGATATAGAGAAGGAAAGGATAAATTCAAAGATAAATCTGAATAATTACACAATTCAGAATGCTTAATAGAAGCAATCTTCAATCAACTTAATTTAAATAAAATGATAAAGAATTTCCAAATTTTCAGCATTGATATGTAGATCTGCTAATAATACAAAAATGAATTAAAAAAGCAATAACACAAATACTTGTCAAAAAAGAATTTTCAGAGATATTCAACTTAGGAATAATTGAATGAATCTTATACTGAAAAAATCCTTACAACAAATTCTTATAATCAATTAGATGCAATCAAGAAAAACTAATTAAAGTAAGAACTCAAAAGATCTTTTCCTAATACATAATAAGATTTTATATGAATTTCTACATTTCTTTATTATATTTCTAAAAGAGAATATTTATCTATTCATTTATTACTTTTTAATTTTGAAGTTTTGCCTTTGTTTTAATATATTAATTAATATACAACCAAATTATTAAATGGATCAATATACGACTTTACTTAAGTATTTTATTAGTAAATCCTTTTTTTTCAATTCCTTTTTCTTTAAGTATGCTCCACTTACAATTACTTTGCTAAAAATCCCCTCTTGGGAGACATATTAATGGAATTGTTTGAATTGAAATTCTTTTTAATTCTATCAGTCATTAGAATATCTTGTTGAGCTTCAATCAATGATTGAGTTCTATTAGTTTACTTATCAAATTTTAACTTTTTTGTTTTTAAAGTATCACCTATAAAATAGAAATTGTATCTTTATCGCTTTGAATTGATTTCTACAATTCTTAATTAAATTGTTATCCTCCTTATTTGAATTCTTTTGGATCAAAATTGAATTTAATTAAATTGGGCAAAAAATGGAGGTTACATTTACCTTTTTAAGATGTTTATAAGGTTTACACCCTCAAAAATTTGATGAGCAACCTTTTCAATAAATCCTTGGCCTCAGAAGATCAACCTTTAAAGGAAATTACACATCATCATTTAAAATGCTTTAGAATATTTCATTTGTATTTTTTTAATAAAATGAAGGCAAACCCGTCAATAATTCATAAAGCAAAGCTCCTAAACAATAATAATCAACTGCAAATATATGCCCTTATTACTATAGTATTTCTGGTGACCCGCAAAATGAAAGGTTTCATCAAATTAACCCATATTTGGTATCTGGTTTTACATCTCGATACAATACTTTTTTTTATGCAAAAATCCTATAGCAATGTAAACTTCTATAAATAGATTTTTGCCTAGTCCAAACTCATCTTCTAAATTTTCGTAATTAATTGAATAATTCACCATCAGGCAATATTCCATACCAAAATATACACAATTTTTAGTTCCAAATGCACATTCCAATTGGCATACAAATGATTTAGCCATATATTGATCACTTAAATTTAATTAGACCATAACATCTCTTTCATTTTAAACAATCTATTGTTTTTAATGCTCTATTATAAATTATTTTGATATCAATTTCAAGGCTATAAATCTTCCATTTCTTTTTGATCTAACTAAATATACTCTTTAAAATCCTCCAATTCCTACATATAAGAAAAAATGGAAGCTTTTTAATGACAATTTTGATGTTTATTCTGATTTAGTGGTTTTAATTTAATGGTTTGCTTATCCAATATCATTAGGTCTTTACTTTTGAGACTTAGATAGTATTCAATTGAGATGTTATTATTTATGGGTAAAAACCCCAATTATATTCTCATCTTTATTATTAATAAAATATATACTATCTTAACAAATTTCAATTAATTAAGAAAATAATTAATCTGTAGTTTTTTATGAGTAGTCATATTTAATTGCCAAACTTCTATCTTAGTCAAGAAGGTGAATATTATATAAAGCTATAGTATTGCCGATTATTATTCATTTTTTCTAAAAGAAACTTTCAAAAATCTTAATGTTTCTGATTTTTGAATTTTTCAGTACTTTTAGCTTTGTTCAGAGTTAAATGATATTTTTGAAGTAATTTTTTAAAATTAAATTCGATTGGGTTGCTAAAACTACAATTCTTTTACTAATTGATTATTCTTTGATTTTGTTTTTCAAATTTTTATTGTTTTATGTTTTCTAAATTGATTCTGTTGTTATTTTATGAGATTTTGATGTAGATAAAACAAAATTCTACGTCGATTATAATAATTATTCAGAAGATTTTGTTTTTGATTGTTTCTTTTGAATTTTTTTGACCTTTAACTAATCCTTTTTTTTAAAACTTAAATAGAGTTTAGTTGATAACAAATCTATTTGTTGTTTAATCTAATGTTTTTTATTATCCATTTCCATTTAAATAATAACATGAAATGAAATTATAATTTTTTGCTTAACTAAATCGTTATATTAGGAGATTATTGTTTTCTTCTCTTCTCTAACTAAGATTATCGATGATTGTATTCTCTTAAAGTTAAAAATTAAAATTTAATTGCATCTGATTTTTTATTTACACATTTATCTATGGAACCAGATTAAGAATGTTAGGATATAAGATCATCTAACATTACTTTTAAAGATGAATTTAGGTTCCATTGGCTTATTTTTTTTATCATACTACTAGATGGTGACTGATTCAATAAATGAGGATTTGATTTACCAACTCAATTTTGTTCATTTATTAAAATTAAATTCATCAATAGTTGACATCTTTATTTTATAATGAATATATTTCTGAGATCAAATGATACCTAGGTCTGAGAGAAAGAGTGTCAATAATTTAATGGCATTAAATAAAAATGAGATATCCCGAAGTGATGGGACAAATTGATCCTTAGGATTAGGGAGTTTTATGGTTTTATATTGGTCAACTTATAAAAATTGCAATAATAGAAGCAATGTTTTAAAAAATGAAGAGTTTGAAAGTAGAGACATCCTAGCTGGTTTCGATTTGAATAACCATCGAAAATTATTAGGTGGAAAAGTTGTACACTTAGATTTTTGATGGCATTGCATGCACAAATAATTAATATATAATAAAAGTAATTGAGTGATGCACAGAATTTCTTATATCTAATATTAAATTAATGATGATATGCATTTTGAATTCTTCAACCCATTTTGTAAAGTAAAATTGCCATTTATCCTTCATAAAAGAACATATATCTTTTACTCTCGTAAGATGCATAAGAATTAAAATGTTTTCCTTAAATATTAATTAACAACATCTGTACCAACAACACAATGCCAATTGGGACCATATTTTTCATCAAAGAATTTTTTAATGTAATTTGAGACCTAAGATTCTACTTTAAAATGTTCGACTGCATATTTTGCCTATTAAAATTAGATAATCTCTTATACTTGGGTTCTTGCATCGTTAATCATATCAGATTATTCAGGCATATCTATAATCTAATCTAAATTCTCGTCAGCCATGTGAAACTGAAATTAATATAATATATTAAATATAGTAAAGGAACTCTGAATTAATATAAATACAAATTTTTAGTCTAAGGTGAAATTTTCATTAGATAAACATATAAAGTTAGTGTCATTTTTAAGAAAAAATCAACAAAAATTAATTGCTATAGTGTCCTCCTCTCCTGATTTTTGCTCATTCATTCAAATAGCAAAATTTCACAATGATTAACAATTTAAATTAAACTAAATTGTCTAGCTAATGATANTATCCATTTCCATTTAAATAATAACATGAAATGAAATTATAATTTTTTGCTTAACTAAATCGTTATATTAGGAGATTATTGTTTTCTTCTCTTCTCTAACTAAGATTATCGATGATTGTATTCTCTTAAAGTTAAAAATTAAAATTTAATTGCATCTGATTTTTTATTTACACATTTATCTATGGAACCAGATTAAGAATGTTAGGATATAAGATCATCTAACATTACTTTTAAAGATGAATTTAGGTTCCATTGGCTTATTTTTTTTATCATACTACTAGATGGTGACTGATTCAATAAATGAGGATTTGATTTACCAACTCAATTTTGTTCATTTATTAAAATTAAATTCATCAATAGTTGACATCTTTATTTTATAATGAATATATTTCTGAGATCAAATGATACCTAGGTCTGAGAGAAAGAGTGTCAATAATTTAATGGCATTAAATAAAAATGAGATATCCCGAAGTGATGGGACAAATTGATCCTTAGGATTAGGGAGTTTTATGGTTTTATATTGGTCAACTTATAAAAATTGCAATAATAGAAGCAATGTTTTAAAAAATGAAGAGTTTGAAAGTAGAGACATCCTAGCTGGTTTCGATTTGAATAACCATCGAAAATTATTAGGTGGAAAAGTTGTACACTTAGATTTTTGATGGCATTGCATGCACAAATAATTAATATATAATAAAAGTAATTGAGTGATGCACAGAATTTCTTATATCTAATATTAAATTAATGATGATATGCATTTTGAATTCTTCAACCCATTTTGTAAAGTAAAATTGCCATTTATCCTTCATAAAAGAACATATATCTTTTACTCTCGTAAGATGCATAAGAATTAAAATGTTTTCCTTAAATATTAATTAACAACATCTGTACCAACAACACAATGCCAATTGGGACCATATTTTTCATCAAAGAATTTTTTAATGTAATTTGAGACCTAAGATTCTACTTTAAAATGTTCGACTGCATATTTTGCCTATTAAAATTAGATAATCTCTTATACTTGGGTTCTTGCATCGTTAATCATATCAGATTATTCAGGCATATCTATAATCTAATCTAAATTCTCGTCAGCCATGTGAAACTGAAATTAATATAATATATTAAATATAGTAAAGGAACTCTGAATTAATATAAATACAAATTTTTAGTCTAAGGTGAAATTTTCATTAGATAAACATATAAAGTTAGTGTCATTTTTAAGAAAAAATCAACAAAAATTAATTGCTATAGTGTCCTCCTCTCCTGATTTTTGCTCATTCATTCAAATAGCAAAATTTCACAATGATTAACAATTTAAATTAAACTAAATTGTCTAGCTAATGATACATGCATACTTAATTGTCATTCAACCTGCCATTTAAATCAACAATTTGGTTTTCTTATATGGAATTACATAATTCAAACTTTTTTCTTAACTAAACTACCTTCTATTAATTCTTTGAGAAATATTTTATTTATGGCATTTTATTGCAAAAACTTTACGAAATTTTCTAAGACTGATTTTAATAACAAAATTATATATATATATATTATTATATTTTTATTGTATTTTTATATCTTGATTCCTTCAATCATCATCTCCACCTTCATCTCCTCCTTCTTCTAAGTCACCATATGTCTTCTATTCAAATTTAGGATCGTGATAATCTTGCCAATCGAATCTTGGTTTCGTGTATAAACAACTAAATAGCCAACATCCTGTTAAAAATAAACCACATCTTGTAAACATAGCTACATTTATTTTATTATTCTTACTTCTAGTCCAATAATCATTGAAGTCTCTGTGAGATTTACTTAACACATATCCCCATTTATTTGGATTGTATTCTACAATACCTTCTCTGAGCATCCAAGAAGCTGTTTCGTAGCTTATTGCTATGTTTTTCACTTTGTATTAGAACTCTCCTGGTTTCTCAAATAATCCCTCTTTGAATGCTGCAGGCATTGTAGATCGTTGCCCTGCTTTCTAAAATACTTTCCACAAAGCCATTATTTATTTAAAATAATAATAATAAATATTATTCTTTAAGTTCAAAGTTCATTATAGATATTTACTGCCATCATTCCAATTCCTTCAGAATTGCTTCCGCTAATTTCATATAATATACTTTTCACTTCCTGCATATCCTCATGGTTGATTTCATCAAAGTATTCACACTCCTTTATTTGTTTATATAAATTTATTCCCAAAACATTCAATACTTCTGTTTCTCTCATTTCGTTCATGAATTCAATAATCTTATTCATAATTTTATTATTTAATTTGTTGATTTGTAGATCTACCATCATCATGAATCTATAATTTAACCATTAAAATACTGTATCTTTTATAAATCATCACAATTTTCAAACACCATTTCATACCCCTCGTTCACATTCTGTTTTGCCTTATTTAATGCTTATTCAAAATAATATCTATTTCTTTTATCTCTTGCTCTTTTCTAGCTCTACTTTTCAACCTTTTTGTTTGTCAAACTTTCTTTAAAATCTTCTTTTTTAATTGACTCTTATTATTATTATTTGTTATTGGATTCTAAAATTTAATTGTCAATTAATTCTCTCTTATTTTTTTATATTTCTTCTATCTTTTTTATTTCTTCTATATTTAACAACTATTTTCCTTCATTATCTTTTTATAATATCGCTTAATCTTCTATATTCTCCTTTTATTCTAAGTCATCTCTTGTTGCATCAAGATTTTTGATATCCTCTATTGTTAAATCAAGTTCTATATTTTCTTCTTGCATAACTTACTCAGATTTAACTTTTAATTCATTCTCTTTTCTTTCATAGATATTTTACTCTATAATTTCTTAATCTTATTAAAGTGCTTAATTCACATTGTTAACTTCAATCAATTCCTATTCATAATTAATATTATTGTTTTTGGAGATATATTCTTTTGGGAATTCTTAAATGGATGCATCGAAATTGGATATTTACTTAATTTCAAAAGGTTTAAAATAATTACTATCGCCATTTTACTAATTTTCTAATTCTTCAAATGATATTTCATCTTCTTCCTGTTTTTTCACATTTCCACTTCTAACTTTTTAAATCTATTGTTAAATCCTCTCATACTAAATTTCTTAATTTTTGGATTCTCCTTAAGATGTTTCTTTATTTTATAATCCTTAAATCAATTATTTACCTTTCTCTAGATGAAAATCATTAAAGAAATTTTCTTAAACATTGTTATCTTGAATTAGCTATTCCTTTTCATACTCTGTTTATTAATTAATCAAATTTTCTTATTTATCCTATTCTATATTTTAAACGATTTCTTTAACAGGATCAGAGTTTCCTTTTTCTTCCTCTTAACCTTGTGAATGCAATGATTTTTTGATTGTCTAAACATTATCAATATATTATATATTTGGCATCCTACTCAATTACTAAGCATCTTCTTTATTTTGCTAACCTTGCATCAAGCTATATTATAATTCTTCTTTTTATTCAACAATTTAGCTTTATTTTCTATGAGATTTTTGTGGAATAACTTAGAATGGATTGGTTTCTAAAGAATCCTCAAAAATATCTTCCTCGTTATTCTTTTACTCCTATTTACAATCACCTTTTTTTTATTTCAATAATTATAAAGCTTAGTTTCTTTTTATTTCTTCTGTGTCTTCCTCTAATAATTAAAACTTTGGTGAATTAGACCTTATTTTATTAAGTTTCTCCTTAATTTTAGGTTTTGCTGCCTAATTCTAAAGTTTCTTAGGTAGGCTTGGAGATCTTGAATTCTTTCTCACAAAAGAACTTGCCCTTATTAGACTTTAAAACCCTCTTTTTTAATATTCAGTATATGGAGTCTAACAAAATCCAATTTTATTGTAAAATTAATCCAATTAAATATCAATTAATTTTATTTCTTATTCTTTCCAAGTTGATATTGCTTTTTTAGCTGCAACCTACACATCCACTCTTCTGTCATTAACTAACTTTTCCATCTCTGTTATTACTTCATTTGACATCAATCTTGTTTTTGATCCCATATGTTCGATAATCTTACAGGCTTAACAAACTATTAAATAGTATTTTGAATTCTTATTAATAGGTGCCTAACAGTACTTTAAAGATTTTTAAATAATGATTTCATGATTCAAATTCAAATTTAAGCATAGTAAAAATTCTATACACTTCAAAAACTCGAAACTGTCAATCATCAATTTCTATTCTATTATAAAATTTTTACTTTAAAAATTTCAAAAATTGATTATCCTAAAATAGTAAACTCCTCGATCTTATTTTATTACTATAAATAATAACACAGGTAAGGTAAAATTGTACCCACTTGAACTTGTCTTGCTTTGTCATATATACATTCATTTAATTCTTAATAAATTTTTGACACATTAATTTGAGATAACAATTACATAAGAACATAACTCATTGCTTAAATTGTTGTTTCAGCATTACTCTATATATAATCTATTCTTACATTCATTTGCTTTTTTATTATTTGAAATATCTTATCAATTAAGTAAGGGGTTAAGGATTCTTCATTTTACTTAATTATTTCCCCTAAAGTGATCAATTCCATATCAATTGCAAGTGTATTTTAACTATTTGTTTTAGGATTAATGTTTTTTTTTGAACTGCTGTATAAACATTCTATCATTGTTTAAACTGATTATAAGTCTTTGTTTTTCTCAATCAAATTAAAGCATAATGAGACACCTGAATCTCTGGTTAAATTCTCATTGAATTTTTCAATGGCATTCACGAAATGGGCTCCTAACTCCTTATTTTAAGGTAAAGGTGAAAATCTTTGATGAACTTATTGATTGGTTCTTTCCTTTTTTGCTTGCTATTATTATAACTGATTGGACGATGTAAAATGTTCCTTTAACTCTTATAATTATTGTTATCTTCTATCATGTAAAGCTGTCTTGGGTCTGGGTTAGTTTCTTCTTGAATTCCATTCCTTATCTATATTATCATTCAATTCTGGATTATTTAGACCAACTAATAGCATTTCTTTTGCTAATTCCAAGCTCTCTTAATTTACTTAATTCATATTAATATAAAAAAAAATTATATATTAGGAAAAAGTATTTCAACAGAGCACATTTGAAAGTGGAAACTAAAACAAAAGCATGTTTTCAACAAATAGGCCTTAATTTAGATTCATCATGATCATGCTCTAAAATTCTGTATATCAATTCAATTGATGTTCAAGATTTGCTTTCAAAAGTACATAATAGACAAGCTTAAAATGTTAACCGCTTGGGATGTGTTCAATTGTAGAACAGAATTGTATTGTTAGCTTGAAACTGATGAACTTATTAGTTAGAATTTTGAGATTTTCTCTTCAAATCTTAATTCAATTCGTCTATATTTAATTTCTTTCTACTATTATTTGCTAAAATTTATTAATATTATTCTTTAATCAGAAGGATTTAATTAAGATTAAATAAAATATCATTTCATTAACTTTTTAGCAACCCAATTTACATTAACAGTCCCATTTTGAAGTTAAAGTAAATTATGAGGTTGTCTTTAATGAGTGTCTTGATAATTCTTTTATTTATAATGATTGTGGAAAATATTTCTTTTTTTTTAATTTCCTTTTGGAGTGATGAGAATGTTAATTTAAGTATTAAGAATGTAGAATTATGTTAACATCCGAAAATAGCTCAGTTGGTAGAGCGAGGGACTGTAGTGTTAAATCAGTTATCCCCAGGTCGGTGGTTCAAATCCGCCTTTTCGGAGTTTTTTTATTTTTATTATTACGACAATATTCTGAATATATAAACTGAATTTTATCAAAGAGAATTAATTTTTACGATGACGTATTTTATTATCATTTTTTTTCTATATTTAAAAAACAAATTTGATTATACAAAGAATAATATAATTATGAAGGTTATGATTAAGCGTGGAAGGCCGAAATTACAAATAAAAAAAAGGTAACATAAATATGTAAATCATTTTTATATGTAAAATGATCATGATTGTGTTAAGCTTTTTAAATTATTTACTATCCAAGGCAGTTATAAAGTTAGAATTTTAACAGGAAAAAAAAATTAAGGAATGCCTCATGCTAAACAAAAAAATGAAGTTAAGAAAGCTGAAGAATCAAATTATCCTTAATACTTTTTTTTAGCCACAGAAAAGAAGATATTTTCAATAGAAAATGAACAAATAGTAGATTATAATTACTACATGAGTATTGATCCGAATTAATTCTAACCCAAATTTGAACTTCTGATTTAGAAGCTGAATGTTGTATTAATAGAATTAGACAAAAATTTTATATGGCTCCTATTAGATATATTAATATTATATACAGAGTTATTTGATTCAAATTAAGATGAAAATGTATTAGTTGAATCAATTATTCAAAACTTAAAATACGGAGAATATTCTAACGATTTCTAATATTTATTGAATTGGTAAACTTTAAGAAATAAAACCAAAGAAGCTAGGTATAATGTTGGTTTAGAAGAAATAAAATAAGTGGAAAACCTTATAAATAAGAGGAAATCAAGAAAAGTGATCGAAAAACTAGAAAAATTTATCAAAAAGCAATATAATCAATTCAAAGAAGTTATGGATATGGAACCTATTAACTATCTTCTACTAAAGTTAGTCAAGAGATTTAATAAAATAATGAAAGTCAGTTGAATTATATATTTATATTTTATTATATTTAATATTTAACATATAAATTTTATCGAGAGTGATTGCTTTGTTGAGGCAAAAAAATTGCAATCAAGCCCTAGAAATGGATATGGCAAATAATTCTTATCTTAATTTCTGATATTTAAGATAGACATGCATAAATTAAAGGATGTATAATCATAATATTAAAGGAATGGCTCATTTTTGATTTAAGAAAATGAAATGTGTTTTAAGTAGTATTTTCGTTTTTGAAAAATACAACAGTTCTTTAATAGATTCTTGTTTTTATTTTATTCTTTTAGTTTTGTATTTATTTAATAAATATTAGTTCGGTATCAAAAACATTCTTAAATTTCAAAAACATTTTTAGTACTTTATTCAAGTNTTTCCTTTTGGAGTGATGAGAATGTTAATTTAAGTATTAAGAATGTAGAATTATGTTAACATCCGAAAATAGCTCAGTTGGTAGAGCGAGGGACTGTAGTGTTAAATCAGTTATCCCCAGGTCGGTGGTTCAAATCCGCCTTTTCGGAGTTTTTTTATTTTTATTATTACGACAATATTCTGAATATATAAACTGAATTTTATCAAAGAGAATTAATTTTTACGATGACGTATTTTATTATCATTTTTTTTCTATATTTAAAAAACAAATTTGATTATACAAAGAATAATATAATTATGAAGGTTATGATTAAGCGTGGAAGGCCGAAATTACAAATAAAAAAAAGGTAACATAAATATGTAAATCATTTTTATATGTAAAATGATCATGATTGTGTTAAGCTTTTTAAATTATTTACTATCCAAGGCAGTTATAAAGTTAGAATTTTAACAGGAAAAAAAAATTAAGGAATGCCTCATGCTAAACAAAAAAATGAAGTTAAGAAAGCTGAAGAATCAAATTATCCTTAATACTTTTTTTTAGCCACAGAAAAGAAGATATTTTCAATAGAAAATGAACAAATAGTAGATTATAATTACTACATGAGTATTGATCCGAATTAATTCTAACCCAAATTTGAACTTCTGATTTAGAAGCTGAATGTTGTATTAATAGAATTAGACAAAAATTTTATATGGCTCCTATTAGATATATTAATATTATATACAGAGTTATTTGATTCAAATTAAGATGAAAATGTATTAGTTGAATCAATTATTCAAAACTTAAAATACGGAGAATATTCTAACGATTTCTAATATTTATTGAATTGGTAAACTTTAAGAAATAAAACCAAAGAAGCTAGGTATAATGTTGGTTTAGAAGAAATAAAATAAGTGGAAAACCTTATAAATAAGAGGAAATCAAGAAAAGTGATCGAAAAACTAGAAAAATTTATCAAAAAGCAATATAATCAATTCAAAGAAGTTATGGATATGGAACCTATTAACTATCTTCTACTAAAGTTAGTCAAGAGATTTAATAAAATAATGAAAGTCAGTTGAATTATATATTTATATTTTATTATATTTAATATTTAACATATAAATTTTATCGAGAGTGATTGCTTTGTTGAGGCAAAAAAATTGCAATCAAGCCCTAGAAATGGATATGGCAAATAATTCTTATCTTAATTTCTGATATTTAAGATAGACATGCATAAATTAAAGGATGTATAATCATAATATTAAAGGAATGGCTCATTTTTGATTTAAGAAAATGAAATGTGTTTTAAGTAGTATTTTCGTTTTTGAAAAATACAACAGTTCTTTAATAGATTCTTGTTTTTATTTTATTCTTTTAGTTTTGTATTTATTTAATAAATATTAGTTCGGTATCAAAAACATTCTTAAATTTCAAAAACATTTTTAGTACTTTATTCAAGTTTTAAATTTAATCTATTTTAATTGTATGATTTTTAAATATGTTTAAATTAATTCTAACGAAATGGTAAAATTCAAAATATAGAACTTTTTCAAATGAGATTTAGATAGATAATTAATTTTCTGATTTCTGATAGCAAAAGAATTGATTGAGTAAAGTCTTTCAAACTTTGCTAGGGTTTGGGTTTGGGTTTGGGTTTGGGTTTGGGTTTGGGTTGGGTTTGGGGTTGGGGTTGGGGTTGGGTTTGGGGTTGGGNGAAGTTCAAATTTGGGTTAGAATTAATTCGGATCAATACTCATGTAGTAATTATAATCTACTATTTGTTCATTTTCTATTGAAAATATCTTCTTTTCTGTGGCTAAAAAAAAGTATTAAGGATAATTTGATTCTTCAGCTTTCTTAACTTCATTTTTTTGTTTAGCATGAGGCATTCCTTAATTTTTTTTTCCTGTTAAAATTCTAACTTTATAACTGCCTTGGATAGTAAATAATTTAAAAAGCTTAACACAATCATGATCATTTTACATATAAAAATGATTTACATATTTATGTTACCTTTTTTTTATTTGTAATTTCGGCCTTCCACGCTTAATCATAACCTTCATAATTATATTATTCTTTGTATAATCAAATTTGTTTTTTAAATATAGAAAAAAAATGATAATAAAATACGTCATCGTAAAAATTAATTCTCTTTGATAAAATTCAGTTTATATATTCAGAATATTGTCGTAATAATAAAAATAAAAAAACTCCGAAAAGGCGGATTTGAACCACCGACCTGGGGATAACTGATTTAACACTACAGTCCCTCGCTCTACCAACTGAGCTATTTTCGGATGTTAACATAATTCTACATTCTTAATACTTAAATTAACATTCTCATCACTCCAAAAGGAAATAAAAAAAAGAGAAATTTTTTCAAAATCTTTATAAATAAAGAATAACATACCCTATAATCATTACTAAAATGAGAATTCATTCTTTATAATAAATTATCAAGACACACATTAAAAACAACCGACAAACTTCATAATTTAATGAGGGAAACAAAATTTTTACTCAAAACCATGTTCTGAAATTCTTCATCGCCGTTCTCTGTCATCCTTAGAATTTTGCTTATTTCAGATCTCTTCTTAATTACTCTTGAAAATACAATATTTCCTATTAATGTATTTCACAAATCTGCTTTACATTTAACATTTTTATTCTTTCTTTAGAATATAGAATATAACTTGAAGATCAATAAAATTATATTATAGAGATTTTCAGGAAATTCCTTTCGAGTATCTAATAAGTGGAAAAATCAACAGATAAGCAAAGAAAAACATTTAATTTCATCAAGTTCAGACCAATAATTATGGAAAGAAATTTATTAAAAATTAGTTTGATCTAGATGTAGTGGAAAAGATCTCCCTTCATAAATTTTAATAATCAGTTCATTTATTTATGATAAAATTCAGCGAAATGAGAAAGAAAGAATAATATTTATTGAGAAATAAATAATTTAATTTACTCTATGGTGAAATTTCACTTAGTTAGTTGAAGAAATTGAAAAATAGAATTTATTTTGGATTTACATTTCAGAAATTCTATAAGTGTATTTAAAATAGATTTTTATTCAGATCTCTTAATTAATAGTCCACAATGATTTAAAGACAATTATATGAATTTTAAATAAATTAAACTATTATGAATCATTTCAATAAAATATCGGTTCCAGCTGTTATTCTTGTTTCTTTTCACCAACTCCAATTACTTTAATTAATTTTTTTATTTACTAAATAAGGTCAAGAATGAAAGTAGCTGCTAATATCAAAGAAAAAGTAAAAATGTGAAACCATCCAATATTGATTATACTTTCTGATTTTAAACCCAATTCAACTTAATAAAGATAAAATAAAAATGAGATTGAATTGAGAATTATTAATGCTTCAGTAATTAAGATTTTAAAATATTCAAATTAATTGCTTAAAGGCTTATTTAGAATAGTATGGATTAAAAATAAAGTTTAAATAAATGATATCCCAATAGCTTGAATAAAGCCATTTTCTTACAAAAACACAATTAGAGAAATAAAAATAAGTTTTTTTATCAATTAAATTGAATTATACTAGAATGTCCAAATATTATAACTTTCATTTATTCCATCAAACATCGCTTAGTACTTTTATTTATTTCTAATTGAATTCTGTTTGGAGAACGAACTAGAAATATTAATAAAATATATGATAGTTCCATGTATTCCGATGTAAAATAAATATGACAAGTAATAATTTAACATTAAAACATTATTCTTTTCAAGAGGTTGATATGCCATCTGAATGGCACTTGCAAAACTAATATCATAAGAGTTTGAAAGCATCAATCTCAAAAGAGAATTGTAATAAAATTCAGAGATTTTTTGTTATAATTGTCTTCTAGAATTTATTAATAACTTTAGGATAGAAAATCTCCAATTTACTATTTTTTTAAATAACATTTTATTAAATAAACCATATATTAGCTATGCAGCTGAGTAACTTAGATATGCTGTAATTAAACAAAACAAAAAGCTCTGGAAATTTGTAAGGAAATAGGCATTTATATTATCCTTTTTAAATTTATTGCTTGTTTCAACCACATACTTGCTACTACCATCCAAATAATCAAAAATTTTTTAGAATCCTAAAGCAGCCATCAATGGAGAGACTGTTATCAATTAAAATACATCAAAAAAGATATCCAAATTAGGCGAAAATCCTATATTAATGTATTTGATATAAGATAAATATTATAATTAGTCCATAAGATTCCAAAATATTTCCGATTAACCTGTCAATAAGCATATTGACGATAAACTTGCAAGAGATATGATAATTGCTTCATTAAAACTTGAAGCTTATTAAGCTATAAGCACTTCTTAAGAAGAAAGGACTATTGGAGTTTAGAGTTTAATACTTTTTTGGCTTTAGGTGAGAGTTTAATTAAGTTCTGAGATTATTGGATCATTGCTAAATTAAATTTAAAAGACAGGTGATTCTATAGGGTATAGAAAATTAACCCTAAATATAAGAACTAAATCTGTAACTTAATCGTGAGATATCTCAGTCTCTTAAGTCATCTATATATTATACATATCGTTTTGATGATTTAATATGCTTGCTTGAATATGCTCACTTAAATTTTATTTAACGTGTTGAGAGTACTTAACTTGCTATGTAAATGATACTTGAATATCGCAATATTCATGAGGATAAGGTGTGAGTACAATCATAGAAAAGTCTGGTTATTTTTCAAAATAGCAAATTGAGAAAGAATATTAATTAGTATTACATATCCAGTCCTTTTCAATTTTGCATTACGAATTACAACCATCACCATTTCCTTTATTCCCATCATCACATTTTTCAGTTTTTTGAAAATTAAATCCATCTCCACATATAGATTAACAAATTTAGTCCAATAAATACATTCCTTCAGGACATTCTTTGCAAACACCTTCCCAGCAATCTACACAATATTAATCACACATGAATCTACATTCAAAACAACCATCATTTTAATTAGAATTCATGTCATCACATTGTTCATTTCCAACTATTAGGCCATCTCCACAATAAGGAGTGCATTTATTATTCTTAATGATCCATCCTAATTAATTACATTCATAGCAAATTCCAAATTCACATATTGTACAGAGTTGTTCACATTAAAACTCACATTTATAACAGCCATCATATGGTATATCATTACCATCATCACACTATTCATACGGATTCACTGCAATTCCATCTCCACAATAAGTAGAACATAAGTTATTTTAACTAAGGAGCCAACCTGATTTATTACAGGCCTGACAATTCCCTTTCACACAATCAGTGCATTATTCTTAACATTGAAATTAACATTCAAAGCATCCATCATGGGGAATAAGATTTCCATCGTCACACTCCTCCTTGCCTAGTACCAATTAATCTCCACAAATAGTTATGCATTTATTAATACTAAGTTTCCATCCTTCAATATTACACTCTCTGCATTCCCCATTTTCACATAAAGTGCATTACTATTAACATTGAAAAAAGCAGTCAATACATCCATCATCACTTACATCATTTCCATCATCACACTATTCATTCCCTAAAACTAATAAATCTCCACAAATAGGTTAACAATTTCTATTAATTACATCTAATTGCCATCCTTATGAAATGCATTCAAAACATTATCCCTCAATGCATGCAGTACATTATTATTAACACAATAATTTACAATTCACACAGAGTTCATCAGGAACTAAATTTTCATTATCACATTATTCATCATGTGCTAGAATTCCATCTCCACAGATACTATAACATACATTTTTAGATTAATCTAAGTAGTAACCAATTGAGCATTATAAACATACACCATTGTAACAAGTTTGACAATAGTAATTACATTAAAATTTACATTCATAGCATCCATCATATGGGATGTTATTTGCATCATCACATTATTCAAAATGTGATAAATACCCATCACCACAAAATGATAGGCATAAATGATTAAAAGTATTAAGTTAGTGTGAATACGGATTACATTGTAGACACAAGTCTTGATAACTATGTTCACAACCTTCAGAACAATTCAATTAACCATTAAAGCAAACATCTTCTGCGATTAAATTCTTTTCATCACATTACTCATTTCCTTAAATGAATCCGAGATTCAAGATTTCAAGACATCTGCCATCCAGATTTTAATACCCATCCTCACATTTGATACAAATTCCAAATCTGCAATCTTTGCATTGTTTCTAACATTAGTATTGTGAAAGATAACAACCATCATACATTACTGAATTATTATCATCACATTCTTCATCTCCAACAACCTAATGATCGCCTTTGAAGGAATAACATCTCTTATCTAAATGTATTTGCCATCCATCTTTGCATTAGAGACAATCACCATGATGGCATAATAAACAAGAATCTTAGCAGTTGTATTTGCATTGAAAACAATTTTGATCTTTTAAATCATCACATTCTTCATAATATTAGACAGTAATTCCATCACCACAGATAGTCTCACATTTGTTTTATAATTCATCTAATTTCCATCCTATTGTATTACATTCTAAGCATCCAGTTGCAGTGCATAAAGTGCAGGAATCTTAACAGCTTAGTTAACATAAATAGCATCCGTCATCCAATAAGTTATTTCCATCCTCACAAACTTTTTCTATGTTAAATAATGCACTATCTCCACAAACTTTGACGCATTCTTAAATTGAATAATCCCATTTATATCCTAAAAGACAAGAAATACAAACTCCCTTATAACATTATAAACAATTGATATCGCAGGTAATTTAGCATTAATTGCAAAGACTATTAGGATTACTATCATCGCAGTCTTCATCTTCAAGCACTAGTATATTGTCTCCACAAATGCTTTTGCAGGACCCATTTTATTACAAATACCATCCTCTTTATTCATTACATTATTAACAGATCCCAAATTTACAATCTATACAATGAATTGAGCATTAAAATTAACAATTAAAGCAACCATCATAAGGTGCCATATTTCCATCTTCACATTATTCAGGGAATACTAATAGTCCATCTTAGCATAACGGAATGCAGTGGTTCTCTATTTATTGATAACCACTTTAGCAAAATATGCACAAAGAATTGACACAGGTTTCACAATATTTATCACAAGAATATTAACATTAATTACACCCATCTGATGGGTTAGTATTTCCATCATCGCACATTTCTGTTAAACTAATTACTATTCCATCCCCACAAATTGAATTACATGTTCCATCAATTTAGGAGTACCATCCTCTTTCCTCATCACATTTCACACATTTTCCAAAAGAACAATCAATACAATTAGGAGAGCATTCATATAGACAATTAACGCAATTTCTTTGTTATTCAAAACATTATTAAAGCAATGCAAGTGTATTTCCTTCACATATCGAGCGACAGTCATTATTATGCACTTCATATCCACTTTTACATTAATAACATTTTCCATTTAAACAAATATCACATGCAAAATTGCATGCAAATTAGCAGTTATGACAACCATCAAAAGGGTTATTATTGCCATCATCACAATCTTCTTCTTCAACTACTATTTAATCTCCACAAATAGGAAGACATGGTAAATTTATTCCGTCATCATAATATCCAGGCAAACATAAGCATTAATTTCTTTGAATGCCTCTATTATAATCTCTTACACAAGTTAGACAAGTGTATTAGGTGTCACCATAGCAATTTTCACAATATTTATTGCATTATACACAATTATTTCCTTATAAAACAGTAAATGGATAACATAAACATATTCCATTACTCAAATAAAATCTATTGCTTATACATTAAGTGCATTATTCTGAGCTTGTACATGTGTTGCATCCAGATTAATTACATTATTTGCAACTATAAATTTCAGTCGATGAATTAAAATCTAAATAATATGTACTACCACAATTGGGACCAGTGTATCCTGCATTTGAACATACATTTAAACTTGTACAACTAGTGCAAAAGGGAGGACACTAAAATAATAATAGTAAATTAAATACATAATGAATAACAATGAAGTATTCAGATATTGCACAAAATTCCTTTGTTATATTTGTAGCACTGACATCACATTTGAATTCAACATAAAGATTGTTAGTATAAAAGTTTGTTAAACTTACATTAAAGAAGCGGGAGCTTTCTAAACCAGTACGACCAATTAAGTTTGATCCTCCACCAGGGTTACTATATGAAGCTGACCATGTGCTGCTTGAAGAAGGACCTATCTTATAAGAAAATGATCCAGTGTAAGCGTCTCCATATGTTAAATTGAAGTATATAGTAGCTGCATAATGTGGTTTTTAAATAGTCCATGTTTTGATGTACGAACCATCATTCCAAACCAATAGACCTCCCAAAACAATTTTATTGCTTAAAACAGAAAAGTCTTATTTTGTTGATTAACTAAATGAAGGATCTGTTCTAAAATCATAAAATTCTTTGATTTCATCTAGGGTCATATTCAAATTGTAAAATCCTTTGGCTAAATACCTAGAATCTTAAAATAACTTAATAATAATTTACATGGAATGATATCCTCATAGTCAATGCAATTTGTTGAATGAATAGGACAAGCTTCAATACATTTATTTTTATATAATTTATATGTTGAATCACATAATGTACAAGTAGAGAAGTCAGAACACACCAAACATTTTTCTTAACAAAATCCTGTATCTACTGTAATATTTCTAAATCCCCAAGCTTCACTTTTGTATTGAAGTGATCCTTTAATCAAAAGAGTTGGATTAGGATTAGTAATTTAAAAAATAGTCTCTATCCTTAGTAATGTATAATCACCAGCACAATTTTCACTCTTCTCAAATATTATTAATAAATTTTCAACCTAGAAACTTGATGAATCTTTGGTGATGGAAGATTGTATTTGACCATTATGTATTAATTTTATATTACTAGTTGTCTAAAAGTTAAATAAATAAAATGAAATTCGAATTCTAACAAATTTGACAGCATCTTCCAAACTCATTTTATACAACATTCCTTCATTAAATTACAGCTTTCCTATAAAACTAATCCCATTGCAATTCTCAATGACTAATTCAGTATATCTTGGATTGAATTCATCACCTTCAAATGTTAGAGGTTGATATCTTTGAGTCGATTGAGGAATAGTGTCATCTTCAAATAATGTATATTTTGATTTTATTCTATTATCATTAACACATATTTTATCATATCTTGCTATCGAAAAATCTCTACTGCATTCTTGTCTACAACCTATGTAAGTTTCAGAAAATTATTAGTCAGGTATGCAAATGCATTTCCCCCCTTATTGACTCTAACTATTAAAGCATGATAAGCAGTCTGTCTCTGTGGGACCATCACAAGTCAAGCAAGTTGGATGGCAACTATTAATATAAATTAATAAATTTCTAATTCCGACTTCCATACTATCACTTCGAGGACGACTACAAAATTTTATTGTAAACTTGTTGGTGTTGGAACTGGCAATTGTACTTACAATTGTGTAGAATTCAAACTTGCCCCAACTACTGCGGCATATTCTTGCACTATTCTAAATTAGATCATCTTCTTCATAATCTCTTCTATACAATTATTAATCACTTTCTGAGTCTTTATTACTTTCATAACTAACTTTTAAATATGATTCGTCATCATCATCAGCGTCATCATAGAATACATCAAACACTACTCTAACTTAAAAACTCTTATAATTGAATGTTTTGTATAAATATCGTCTATCGTCATCAAGCCTCACATACTTTAGAGAATTTGAACTACAACTTGGGTAGTCAAAAGAAGTTTCAGAAGAATCTGAACAACCATCTCTTATCTTCCAATTATTATTTACCATTGAAGCATCAGTAAAACTTTAATCAATGAGCCTCCAATCACCTACTACTTGATGAAAAAGGATTGTCAAAAAATAACATTTGAAAAAATGAAAAAACATAAAATGTGATGCTAATAAAAATTGAAATAAAACACTTATGGTTGCGTAATCATTTGTGACTGCCCATAAGTTTTAGCTAATAGTATATTTTTTGTATCAAAATCGTGCTTCCTTACTCTATGAGACCACTGTAAACATCAGTTTTTGGCCATTAATAGTTATATATAACTTGCTAAAATCTTAGCAGTAAAAATACTATATATTAATGTATAATTAATTTTTTTAATAAATGTCTCCTAATACAAATTCCTTTTTAATTTTTCAAGGAGAAATAAGGAGAGGAATTGTACTATTGCAATCATGATAAGAATCTTTAAGAATTTAGGGGGAGGATAAGAAAAAATATTTCCAAAATAAATTAGCCATTAATTAAATAAAAATTAAAAGAAATAAGGAAATTCTCCATAACCTCCATTTGTAAATTTTGATAAGAAATCTAAACCTGAATAATATTGTAGAACTAAATAGTGATCATTCTTTTTTTCAATAAAGTGCTATATAACACCCTACGTAGGTAAATAATAGTAGATATTGTTGTTTGCCACAGTATAAAGTGATAAGATTAGAATAAATTTAAGGAAAACTAACAATTCTTTATGTGATATATTTATATTGCAACTTTTATAAAAAAAATAATTATGATATTGAAAAATGCAATAATTCCTTTATCAGAGTATTTTTTGCATGTCCTTTTATTACTATTGAGGAAACAAAATATTGAGTTATATAATTCTATAAGATTTTTAATAAACAATGAATAATTATTTCATTGATTCTCAAATTTTTTCACAATTGCTCTTGTCTTAATTTGCCTCTCAAAGTTTTTCAAGCAATTTAGACAATTCCATTTACCTTATGGTACTTCCTTCAAATTTATACATTTGGGATGGAATACTTTTGGACAGGTATCACAACAAATAACCTTGCCTCCTTTATTACATTTTTTGCATTTATCATCCCATTTTGTTTCTGTTTCAATGTATTATGATTTATTTAAATTTCTTTTTCTAAGATTTTAAGGAGGATTCATCTATGAATCCTATTGCTGATCAATCTACTATTCAATAATTTTTTTAGTTGTTGATTCTTCAAGTTTTTTCTTTTCAAAAGGAGGTTAAATACATTATTAAATTTAAATTTTTTTCCTATCAATATAATCCTTAACAATCTATCCTAAAACCTCTAAGCAAATCTTCATTTTTGAAAGATTGCATTCATTTTTTAACTATCCAATCAGATTTAATCTTAAAGTTTCATAATAAGTACCAAATAGTTTCATAGGTAGTTTTCTAATTCTAACTTTATTATTTTCCATTTGCTCTAATTATTAGAGAATTGTTTGAGGTTATTCGTCAAGAGAGGAGTCATCTTCGACAACCTTTCTTCTTCTGTTGGGTTATTAATAAGAATCATCTTCATTTTCAATAAATTTTTCATCAACATCCTCTTCTAATCTTAGCTCTAGTTTTTCTTACATCATTGTGTTATCTACAAAATATTCGATGGCATTTGCTAAAGGTTTCAAATCATCTTCATCATATTCTGATGGGTTTTTCTTTTAAATTACATTTTAAAAACTTTTAATGAAATTGTTTCTCTAATCTGTACTGCACCATCTTGAATTTTTTTGATTTAAGTATTAAGTTAAACTGGTTTCAATACCAATAAACTCATTGGTTAGTTAATCTACTTCTAAGTTCAATAGACTATTAACTCTTTCTGGTTGTTCACTTTGTTAATTGATTTCTTATTCTATTTCCTATTCTGTTTTTTTCCCGTTTTTAAGATTTTCTTATTGAATGGATTCATTTTAATCGTTATTTGACTCTGGTTCAATTAATAATTTAGCTCTTTATAATTCAACAATGTTGTTCTTCAATGTGTTTTCCCTAACACCTTTAGCGCATAAGGAATTTAAGAGATTAGGGATTTCTTTCTAATCATAATATCCCCATTGAACTGATCCATCATCATCAATGATTGAGTGTCTCATACAAACAAAAATCTTGTCTGGTTCATAGAGAAAGAAATAGTAAGAACTATGTTTAGCATCTTAACCTAAACACATAGATGGGTTCAGTAATAAGGCTGGCATTTATGTGATAGCTAATTCCTATGAGATTTTATCAATATTTACTTTATCATATTCGTTATATCTTTCGGTGAGAGTCATAATTTCTTTTTCTAATTTTTGATACTACTATTTGAATTTTTGAGCCTATTTTTAGGCTGTTTCCATTTGGCGAGTGAACTTTTGTGCTTCTACTCTCGTTAAACCTTCTGATTATAATTAAGACTTCATAGATTGTTAATTATTACTTTAGCAATTGATATGTTACCTTCGGCTTCAATAATTTCTTTTTTTATATCAATTTATTAGCTTCTCTGTTATTTGATTTGCATGCCTAATTACTATTTGATTCGATTATTTGACAATAGATTTTCTGTTCGAAATTAATATAGAAATTGGGTTTTTTTCAAACCAGCCAATCCATCAGATAATTAGATGATGAGTCTACAAACCTTTTTGAGGTCAGTATAATCAGTAAAGTCCATTAAATCTAAGGACAATTATAAGATGCCTTATCTTGCAATATTGGTTGGGAGTTGTTTGATATCATCTCTCAAAAGTTCGTAATATCTGTTTCTGTTTGTAAACCACATATATCCTAGAAGATGCCAGTATGGAATTTTCTATAATAAATTATGGGTAATATTACATATTATTATTTTTGCATTTGTTCTTGATCAAAATCTTCTATGATTTATTTCAAATAGAAGTAACAGAAAAATAAGATCAGTTGTTCAGGTTTGGTGTGTATTAATTCATATATTTCCAATCTACTTTTTTCACTGTATGGAATGTGGTTATCTTTGAAGTGAATCAAGGTACCAATATTATTGACTTAACTTTGTTCTAAATTATTTATATAATTAAATACATTCAGCTTATTATTCTCCCGCATACAAAATATCACTAACTATTTTATCCATGTTATTATAACTATCCCATATCTTAAGAACATCTTCAAACATATCCTAAGGGATGTTGGGATCAAGCTAAAGTTGAGGCTTCTTTTTAATCTCTATGTTAAATAATCCTTAATAGGCAGTAAGATATTCATCAAATATTGGAAAAATTACTCTTCCTTAAGAAACATATGTTGGGTATTTTTGCTGAAATTCCGAATGTTTTTTAGTTTTATCTTCTTGTGTCTAAGGAGTTTTCTAAAAAAATTCAAGTATTTGATTGGTTTTCTTCTTTTTCTAAGGTTCAGACTCTTTTAGTTTTCTTTTGGCCATTCTTTCTATACATGATAGACAATGCCATTTGGCTCCCTCCTGAAATTATGGCTCTTTATTTTAAGTTCGTATGCATTCCTAATGGTACTTAAAGTGGCACCTGATGCAGATCACAGTTGGGGTTGACATTGTAGTCACCTTACATAATCGGCATATTGATTTATCTCCAAATTATTATTTACCATCGATTGGCTTTTTCTGCTCAAGCTTCTTAACTAGTTTCTTTTCTTTCTTGTCTTTCTTCTTTTTCTGATTGTCTTCTTCATAAGATTCAATTCTTAAATCATCTTCTCTGTGCTGTTATTCCTGGCTGTCCATTAAGTATGTCTATGATTTATTTCAAATAATTTAAAACTAGAATCCAAAGAAGTGCTAATAACTTAATTACTATAATATTATAATATGGAAATTTTTTATAAACTTCATACACCTAAAACATTTGCTCCGCAGTACTGTTTTGCAAATGATAATATTTTGCTCCTTAACATCCGTACATATTCAATCAGAATTATCTATCAATTAATTATCATGCAATTAACTAACCTTATTATTATTATGAGTATTTAAAGAATTTCTCTCTCCAAATCAAATCCAATTTATAAAACCTTGAATTTAATGTTCCAGTTTATGATTACGTGTCAAATTTACACACCTAATTGATGCTTTTCATGTTTGAATCCCTATTTGTATAATTAATTGATCCATTATCCTTATTTACCTTTCGATCATTCGATAATCAGGTTATTAATCAAAGGATTATAAAATCAATATTACACAATTCAAAAATATTTAAATTATGTTCATTCAACACGCTACTCATGACTTGTGCATAATTATTATATTGGATATTAATATATAAATTATGAAAACTGGAAATTCAAATTAACTATTTACCTAGGTTCCAGATTCGAATGAGATAAATGAATATATCAAAGAATATCTGAGATATTCAGCATATTCCAACACATTTGAATGTTTCGAAGCAGAAATCAAAAGCAAACAAGTATCCAGTAAAGTAATTGAAATTCATATATTAGATGTCAAATAAGTAACAATAATAAAAATAATCCAACGATGATATGCCAAGAATCTTTCAATTATTCAAAACTGACAATATCAAAACTAAGAGAGAAATTAATTTGGAGAAGGAATAGAAATTATTTAATAAAAAATATCAATAAATTTTACAAGCAGGAAGACAGATCTTCTCAGTCAGCATTAATCTCTTATAGTTGTTACACTCGTTAAAGGAAACCGCCAAAAATGAATCACTTAGTGAAACCTTAGAGAATTATAAGATTTAATTAGGAAAATATCATAAAGTCATCATCAATGAAGGGAAACCAGAAGGAACAGAACTTATTACAGAATAAGTCATGCATGAACACAAAACTAAACTTTTTAAAAATTACTAAGATAAAAATGTAGATGGCATGATAGAAGTATTATTATCTTTGAGAGTTAATGCACTTCAAATAGCCCCAGAATTAAGAAAAAACTTAGTTTATGAATTGATTAGAAACGATGTTTTTAACATTGAGGCTACTGAGAAGTTTGACTTTGTAGTCCATTTATTGGACATTAATAATCAAAGTTTGAGACATGCTATCACTAGTTTGATAAGTGTAATTAGTAGCACTTTAAGAGGAGTTGAGTATTTGACATTTAATGGTAATATGATTATAATAGAAAAAATTATAAAAATCTTAAAAGAATAGGAGAATGGGTCTGTAACCCAAAGATTCTGTTTAGCTATTTTATAAAAAGCCAGTATCAAAGAAACAGTAATTCCTACATATGTTCACAATGAGATGATTCAATGGATTATATCACTAATATAGAAATCAATAAACACAAAAATCCATATTTTTTGTTTAGATTTTGCTTCTGCAACTTTGGCAAATGTAATTCACACTCCATACACATTATAATATTTAGAAAAACAGACTAGATTCACTCATTAAGTATTAATCATTTATTATATTAGATTATGGAGTAATTGCTGAAATTTATCAAAGAATAGATCTAAGTTAGTGTTATGATGCATATTCTAATATGTTTATCATATTTAAGTAAGGAGAACTTTGCTAAATAGATGGAAGAGTGCAGATTTGTAGAGAGAATTAGCGAATTTGTTGAATATTACAGTGTAATAAATACAGGTATTAGAAATTCAATTTAATTTAGAAAATGAGGCTGCAGAAATAGATAAAAAAACAGTTCTTGATCTATGTGCTCATATGTTCCATCCAAAGGATACTTCATTGGATAATTCAGAAACTTTGGAGTTGAACGAATTGAAAACTGAGGATAGAATTAGAGAATATGAGAATGAGTAAGGTGAGCTAATATTCGAATGCTTTTAAGATGAAGTAAGTTGATTATTAACCTCTATTTGAATTTAATAAATCTAATGTTATTTATTTGAATATAAAATATCTAATTTAATTTTGATTGTAAAGTTATTTTACAAACATATCATTTTTAAAGGAATGCATAAATTGAAAATAGAAATGAAAATAAACTTTAAACAGTTTTACTGAAATGATATTTATTCTTCTCAACACTACGATATAATTATATAAATTAGATTTGAAAATCGGCTTAATCATACATATAGATCAAAAGTATTAAAAATATTTCAAGTCATTAATATTTAATTAAAAGATACATAGATATTATTATAAAATGCGTTGTTCTAATATAATTATTATATAAATATTTATAACCACTAAAAACATCCATTTATGTTTCTAGACTTAGTATTAAGTTTTTGTTGTTCTAAAATTCAGAAAGATGATAAAGATGCAAATTCTCTAAATAGTAATAACAAAGAACAAGAGAAAATTATTGAATACAAGAAAATTTAATTAGATATTGAAAAAGGAAGTCCTGGTTAGATATAAAGTACTAAAATATTCATTATTATAAGTATCAAGTGACTCATCAGCAATAGTATCCCCATCTGACAATTAATTCTAATTGAATTGTGAGTAGGAATAAGAAAAGGGTATATTCGAGGAAGATAATATAGGATAGAAACTATTTGATATTTAATAGGATGAGGAACTACAATTAAATAATAACCTTGTACAAGATCATTTTTTATAACGGTAAGAAAATGAGTTATAAAATATAGTTCTAAACCTTTAGAGAAATAAGAAAAGGATTTGAAAAAGAAGATTAACAAAAAAAAACAAAACCTTAATGGATATAAAAGAGTTGTGAAGATCTGGAAACCAGAGGAAGATTAGAGGTTGAGAAATCTGTATTAAGAACACAAAGGAAGTTGGAATAAAATAATTTAATCTATGTCCGATAGGAATATTTCACAATGCTCCTAAAGATGGAGAAGGATTAATCCAAAATAAGTGAATTAGTTATTTTATCAAAGTGTAAATAAAAATGGATTTAAGATGAGGATAAAAAGTTAGTTTCTATGGTAGCACTTGAAGGCAAAAATTGGACCAATTTAGCCAGGCATTTTCTTGGAAGAACAGGTAAACAGATTAGAAATAGATATCTTAATAAATTAGATCCAAATCTTAATTTTGTTCCATGGACAGACTATGAAGATCAAGAAATAGTGAAATGTTACAATTAATATGGTGCAAAATGGAGTTTGGTTGCGTCACATTTAAAAGGAAGATCAGTATTGATTCTAAATAATTATAGGAAAATATGGTGAAGAACAGGTTTTATTCACATATTCAAAAACATCTTTTGGGTAGATAAAATAAATACTAGATAATATTTAAATAAGGCAATAATTAAGAATAATAGAATGGCATTTCTTAAATGATTGAGGGAAATAAAAATAAGGAAATTGAATATTCTGAAACTTCTAATAATGATATGAAATTCGTTAATTCTGAAAACTATTCAGTAATTGCTAAAATACCAATATTTTAGTCTTCAATTGGATAGAGTACATTTACTTTTTATTATTATGAAAATATTGACTTTGAAGGGAACCAAGAAGTGCTGACCAATAATATATAATTTGATCACAAGTTTAATGAAAAGCCATGATTATTTTGAATTGTTATATTTTTTAATAATATAAAATCATGATTTAGTTAAGACCTGAAATTCATGGAAGGCTGATTCAATAATTAAAGATTGTAATTTTATTGAATATTTGGATTGTTTCTATCTATCATAAATAGATCAATAAACGATTTGTCTTATAACATTAGATTTAGGACATCCAAAATAGATGGAAATGTTAGAACATTTAAGATTTTAATGCCATTGGGAATGTGCATTTACTTTTCAAAATAAATGAGAAGAGAATTGAATCTAAATATTACAATCAAGAAATATGAATCATTTAATTTTCGAATGGCTAGGATGATTTAGAAATTATTTTATGATAAAAAAGGAGGAAACACTTAATGAATGAAATACTAATTAATTATATCTTTAACATCTTTTGCTCAACTAAGAAAATTCAACTTCATAAAAATGCATATTAAAATAATAATTTAGATGACATTAAAATCAATCATTAATTATGACTATAAGGATCTGTATTATAAATTATCAGTTTATTATTGATAATTAAGCATTTGATTATCAAGGTCTAAAGATATGGTTGTCGAAAATTATCTATTAATGTATGTTGCACAGTAATACATGCAGTAAAATTAGTCAATTGAAGATACTTAATAATAATGAATTCATACAGACTCAAAAATGGAGTATTTGAGCATGTAATAACTAATTAAATATCTATTATTAGTATGAGTAATGAAGTTAAAAATAAAATCTAATGAATAAGAAGTTTATACAAAGTAGAAAGATGAACAAAAATGTTAAGACGATAACGAAATATGAGTAGATGTAATATGAAATATGATGTTATAATAAATGGCAATTCAGTTATATGAGGATGATGTCGAAGAGGAGGAGGAACTAAAGTCATAATTCTTAGGTTTCTTGATTTTCTTTTAAATTTTTGTGGATTTCACATTATTTTATGAAATTGTCTTTTTATTTTTTGACGAATATTTGGGCTATTGTTTTTGCTATTCTTCTTCTAATTTTATTATTGGATGAGGGATATATTTCTATTTTTTTTTATTTTGAACCCTTTTTTGTGTGTTTTCATTGCTGTCCTCTGATTATTAAAATTATTCAGTTTTGGGTGAATCAAACTCGTAAATGTCTAATTGAGCTGATAAGGATGCACATTTTTCATAGAGTTTAGCTAATACTTTATAGTATTTAGTTTCACTAACAACTCTCATAAATTGTAATATTTAATAATTAGATTGCTAAACGAAATTGAACCTAAATTTTGGAAAATCCTTTTATTTATTGAATTAATCATAAATTATTATTCGTGCGTATAAGTGTAATGGATAATTGTCAGAATAAGATTAAGGATATCATTAATGATGGTAATATTATGAAATGTTTATATCTTCATGCTAATAATCCTTAAGTTATTTGATGCATCAACTTGTCTTAGTTTTTTTCATCTGGTACAAAACATACTTTAGTTCCATTACTGCCAGCCAATTGTTATAGTGTTTCTAGATATCTTACTTGCATGGCAGTTTTAGAATCTAAAAATTCAGAGGCCTACCTCATCAGTTTGGCTGACTCAACATCAGCTTTGGCACTTATCAATTTACCTTAGGCCAATCTCTATTCTGTGGCTGCTGAACCTAGTGCTTATTAGAGATCAGCAGACAATTGGATGTCTTTCATGTAGATGTTATCAATTAATACACCCCTAAATTTATTATTCTATATACCAATCTTTTACATATTCATCAACCTAATCTTCTATCTAATCTGCTACTTCCTATCTTTTCTCAAGCAAATCTTAGAGTACAAAGGAACCTACTGTGTTTTTAAGAACAGCATAAGTAATTTGACGGACTGCTTAATCATAGTTCTCCACTCTATAAACAGCAAATCGAGAAGTTTTGATTCTATAATAAACAGACGCATCTATGGAAATAGTTACATTATCTTTTGTCATAACAGACTAGAGAATATGTAATATACATTACTTATCTATCTAAATCAATAACAGTAATCCTCAAGTCTAGTTGTTCTAATGTGTCTGTACAAGGATTGACATAATGCAATCCTGGTCTAACTACTTTGATATGTCTTCCAAATCTTTTGAACAATCCTTCAGTGCCTAGAATATAAAAGAGAATTATCAACCTTATTCAACTTCTTAGTATGGATAGTTAACACACATACAAAAAATACAAGGAATCCAGGTTCTCAAACAACCAAAACATTCTCCCAAACAATATTAGCATTTGGCATATGCAATCATTGTTTGATTATCTTAGAATTCTGGAACTTCCAAATGGGCTATCTTTCTTCTTGAATGAGCATTCATATTCAATCTAAATTATTATTAAAATCAATTATGAATTATAACCACCATCAAATTGTTGAAAAATGGTTATCCCGATTCAGAAGATGTCTTTCCTTGTGTTATTCAGATGACTCCTAAATGATAACCATGGAATTGCATAAAGGAAATGTTTAGTTGCTCAGCGTTCCTTAGAATAAGAACATTTTCAACACACGTAAATATACTGTAAATATACTCATCTATATTTATTAGTTACTCAACTTCTTACCCAAAACCCTCTTCACAGGTTTAGTCAGATTCGGAAACATCTATTTACTTGCCATTTCATTGATCATGCTCATAGATCCCACTCTCTCCCCCTTTTATCGTTGGATCACTATTTTCCCCATTGGTTTAAGTGTACTCCTCTATGTTATCATTGAATTTGTTCTTGACATTCGTCGATAGAGTCACGATCATAAAATCAACATGCAAACAACTTCAAGAGGAGCTAAAGATGGCTCAATTGAGACCATCAAATGGAGTGATATTCAAATTGGCGACGTTTTATACCTCATCAAAGGAGATATTGTACCTGCTGATATCATACTCTTGGATACTGGATAAGTCAGGGATCGAGAAGCTATCTGTATGGTAGATACCTAATATTATGATGGCAAATCAAGTCTAACCAAAAAGAAGTCTTCCTATCTAACTTAATTGATTGTCTTGAGAACCAGATTGAAGAATTAATTCCCAGAATACAGAAAGATGTTAACTGGTAAATTAGAATATGAAGCACCTAATGGAAATACACAAAGGTTTCATGCTAGATTGAAACTCAAAAAAGATCCAAAAAATGAAGAATTAACTATAGATAATTTCATTCCCAAAGGAACTAAAATTAAATAGACGTCCTGGTTATTTGGCTTAGCAGTATATGTTGGTCACAATACTAAAACTATGCAAAGTAGTCATTATGGAGCATAAAAATAGAGTTTTGAAGAAAAACAATGCAATTTCTACTCGTTCCTCATGGCCTGTTTATCATTATTTTTTACATTAATATCAATAATTGTACTATTAGCTAGATCTGATGAAAACAGTTTCGCTTTAATAATAGACAACTATACAACTAATGGGATGAAAGTATTTTAATTAGCCATATTGTATGCCCAATTAATTCCAGCTACTTTGTATTTATTATTTGACATCGTGAACTTCATCTCAGTATTTAAATTTGAAATCAATCAAATTGAGGAGAATCTAGTGAAATATGTGAAAATCAACTCATCAAATAATTTATGTGATTTAGGTCATGTTGATTATATGTTGATTGATAAGACAGGTACATTAACTACATCATATTATAAATTGGATAATTTATTATTCGGATAATTAGCATTCAGTCTCAATTATGATTAACTATAATTGACATTGAACCAAAAATCAGCAAAATAGGATGATATCGAAGACCCCTTAAAATATGCAAGTATAAATGATAACAATGAATATTTGATTCCGTTTGAGTATGATAAGAAGAGTAATCAAACAACTGAAGTTTAACCAAGTGGTAAGTTAATGCTGAAAAGTGTTAGGACTTCCAACAATAACCCAATCTTTAATTAAATCACTGCCTAGCCAATCAGTAAAAGATAGACCTTTCTCAATATGGATGTTTAATATTAATAACAGTTTCAAGATTATTCATAGACTAGGATGTTTTTACCTCAACCAAAACATAAAAATAGTCCAGGCAATAACAATGATGAATTTATGCAATTAGTCAACTAACTAAAGTATAGTTCCCCATAGAAGGAGTACTTGTAGACAAAGGACATTAATACATTATATTATGATGCTTTCTTAAAGTGTTTGATGTTATGTCATGAAGCAAGACCAGTCTTTGGGGCTGATTCAATAACATATGAATCATTTTCCAAGAATGAGGAGATTTCATTAACATTCGCTCGTTCCTGTGGTTACTAATTGGAGAACTTTAATAAATTCGATAGTCCAGATATTTACTTATGTAAAGTGAGGGGAAACTCAATTTGGTATCAAATATTAGGATTAAATTTGTTTACCTACAACAGAAATTTGAATTCAGTAGTAGTCTAAGTACCAATGACTATGGATTTAGAATTGGGTCAGGAACATGAAGCTCTGAATTAATTATGTGGAGAAGGCTCCAAAAATAAATCATTATTGATTTGTAAGGGAGATTATGAAGCAATTAAATTAAAATTGTAATTAAATCATAAGGAGAGAGAAGAGTTAGATGCTTATATTCAAAACTATAAAGTGAGAGGTATAAGAATGATAGTATATGCAACAAGAGTGTTGAGTGAAAAAGAAACTGAGAATTACAAGCAAAAATTCAATTTGTTGCATAGTTCTCTGACTAATCAGGATAGTTTGTTGGAAGAATTGGCTTTAGAATATGAAAAGGAATTAAACTTATTGGGAATGATAGGATTCAAAGAGGAATTAAAGAGTGATGCATTAGATTTTATTAAGACAGTTAAAGAGTGCAACATCAATATTTGGTTATTGAGTGGGGATTAAGAAGCATAGACAATTAGTTGTGCTTAGGCTTTAGAGATGGCAGAGACTTCTAAGTATCTCAGGATTGTAGCAACAGAGAAGGAGTAGATATGGTTATAAATAAATACTGCAATAGGATAGATATAAAGTGAATTGTAAAAAATACAAGAGAAGCAATTAATTAAACAATAAGAGAAACATTCACAATAATCAATGAGTAGAAGTATGATTAAGTCAAGTGTAACATTATTTGAAGGAGCATCCTATTAATAAATGTTATAATTTGTATTGGTTGTTAATGGAAACTCTTTATCAATAATAAGTGAATCCCCAGATCTAATGAGTCATTTTAGATTCTTGTCATGTGTATGTAAGAATGTAATTGGATTTAACATGAATCCACAATAGAAAGAATTAGCCTGTATTATCATTAAGGATTACTTCCCAAATAAACCAACTATTCTAGGAGTAGGAGATGGCTATAATGATGCTCTTATGATGTAAGCCTCTCATATCAGTATTGAAATAATCAATAGCAAATTAAATCACATCTATCCATAAGTGAATGCTGGAGACATTAGTGTTAATACATTAAAAGAGATAAAAGTATTATTGTTATAGAAGTGTAAACTGCACTCGGAACGTGTCTCTTCTATGATAATATACCTATTTTATTGTGCAGGCTTTTTAGGTATGACACTCTTCTTTTACAATTGGTTTTGCTAGTTTACTGCTACTTCCTTACATGATTCAATGACAGTATTTTTGTTCATATTCTTATACACAACTCCCAATGCTTTGGTTATTGGATTAGCTGATTTACAAACTAACCCATTAGTAAACACATCAATTCCTACTTTATATGTGGATGGCCAGATCAGAACCAAAAGGTTTGGATATTATTATTTGATTGAAGCATTTTTGGAATCATTTATATCAGCTGCCTTCACTTTCTATTCATGCACATATATGGTTAATTATGCTTGGACTAATGATGGTCATCAGAGTGATTTCTAAATGGTAGCGACCAGCATCATTTACGTAGTGATTACAGTATCAGCATTAAAGGTGTTATTTAGATTGATCCAACATAATGTACACATAGTCATCATAATTTCCCTATTCACATTTGGATTATTGGTTGGGTTTGTATTTCTGAATTACAGAGGAAACTTTAGCGATTTTGATTACTAAGAATTGACTTATCAATTATTCACTAGGTTTAATAGCATAGTAGCAATCATCTTTTGTTTATTTGGATGTTTCTTCATAAATTACTTCCTTCATGATTTCATTAAACTGAATGTGTTCCCAACAGTCTATTAATAATTTGCATTTATTAATTAGGATGGTACATAATGGGAAGATGCCACTCACTCGCATATATTAAACTAATGTTTAGATCAACATGTGTAACTATTCTATTTAAATTTAGTAATGTCTCTACTATCATACAAAACGTGTTTATTGATTGTTCTACCACATCTCCTTACATATCAGAAATGCTCAATCCCGGAGATACCAAAGTAACTGAAATGAAACTAAAACCCTTGACTTTGGAAATGAAGGAATTGGTCCTCGAATAAAAGTTCCTTGCTCATAAATTGTCTCAATCACTCAGTCATTTACGTTTCTTCTTGTGCATTTTATTAATCTATTTCATAGCCTATTGCTTAACTGATTTCTTCATTAATGATCTCAGAGTATTCACTGGAGTCTATTATTTGATTATCTTTGGCATTGTATTCCTTATTTTATTGCTAACATGCACATCAATAATGGAATAACAGTACTATACTTATTCACATTTGACTGTTCTGATCATATTTGCAATTAAAGTTGCAATCGATTGGTTATCAGATGATTTAACCATTACATTATCTGCAACCTTAGTAATCTTGTTTAGTACATTTAATACTATGAATATGACAGTCATACCTATAATGTTATACAATATCTGTTATCTAATACAATTGATAGTAAGAATATTAATTATTGTTGTATCTACTGACTTAAGCACTTCAAATGGAACATACACACAAAGCAGGATTTCAACCTATGCTGCTAGTACACAAATATTGTTGGTCATCAGCATTACTATTAGATTTTTGTTCACTTATTATAAATCAATAAAGCATAGAAGAAATGATTATTTAGCAAAGTATTCAATTGAATAGGACAACATGACTGCATAGGACATTTTAAGCATTCTTGTTCCTAGATTTGTTAGACAATAAATATCAACTGGAGTTTATTCCATGCAATAAGCATAGGATGATGTATCAATCCTATTTGCTTACATTTGTGATTTTGATACTATTATGAAAGAGGAAGGCAAGAATGTTGTTTTAATGTTGGATTCTCTATTTAGATTGTATGATAATTTATGTATTTAACATGGAGTTCAAAAGATAGAAACAGTAGGATACACTTATATGGCAGCAACAGGAATCAAGGCATGTGAGTAGAATATGACTGCTCATGTAATTAGAACAGAGAAAACTATGAGATTGGTCAATATGGCATTTGATATGATGTAATAAGTTTAAGGAAGAAAATATGGAAAAGGCAACTAAATAGAAATGAAAATTGGAATCCATGTTGGAAGAGTGATTGCAGGAGTGATTGGACATCATAAACCTTAATTTTCATTAATAGGTGATCCAGTGAATCAGACAAGTAGAGTAGGTTCTACTGGAGATACTGGAGCAATTACTTTAAGTGAATAAGCTTTTAAATAAGCCAGACATGGAATTAAATATTACTCAAAAAAACAGAAGGAAGCCAAGGGTCTAGGAATAATAGATACTTATTAAGTGTTTAAGACTAAACCACCAGGGTATTAAGTACCTAAGGCATTTCTACTTTGGCAGAATTGTACTAAGATTGTCGTAAAAGATCTAAGATAATAGAGAAGTCAAAGATAGATAGTATCAAAAAAGGGTCAATTCTTATCCTAGTTGCAAAACTCAATATATGTGGATAATATGAAACAATCAAATAGACTAGAAATATCTCCAAGAGCCCCTCAAACAGTTTAATTTTTAATGCCGCAAAATTCGCCTTAAGAAGTAGACAATAAATCTAGACTGTCAGTGCCAGTCCAACCATCAGAAGCAGTGTTGACTGATGAATCTGTGTTTATAACAAATGAATAGGAGGACAATGGTGAATTAGATCTAATTAAGCCTAATTTGATTTTGAATATACCTGAGAATGAGATCAAAGGCAATTTTATTTAGATATTGAAAGAATAGAATTTAGATGAATCTAAAGTAGGTATTGTATTCTTATGGTTCACATATTTCGTAATCACATTGCTATCAATAATTGTTCGCAAACTATTCTAATACAACCTTCTTATTTTTGTTTTAAGAGTACTATTTCTTAATTATTATTTAGGCAATATTTTTAATCCTTCTGATAGTGCTGTTCCCAATTTTATCCCAAGCCTATAGGAACAGATTGGTGAATCTGATGTACTTCCTGCTATTGATATATGCTGTCTTTACAGTCTTGTTTTAGGCCTACCTGACTGACAATTCAGAAGTAGCCATCATATGTCTTTTGGAAATACTGTACATAATGATTGTGACTTGCCAACTGAAGATGTTCACTTTCTTATAAGTCATCATTTATATGTTCATTATGTTAGGATTTTTCTTGGGCTTTTACATAGCTTCAGATTTAGTAACTCATTTCGCAATCTTTTATATTTGTTGTTGTATGCTCATCCTTTTATTGGGCTACTATTTGGCTATGAGGGAATAGATTCAAATGTTTAACAATCTATAAATCAATGAGGATAAGAAAGTCAAATAAATTAATTTGGTGAGTCAATTATTGCCTATGCATTCCTATTTGAAGATGAAGAACAGTTCAATATATGACAAGAGTGATTTCATAGATGAATTTGAAGATGTCACTCTATTATTTGCAGATATCAAGGGATTTACTGAATATTCTCATACCCAAACTCCAGAAGGAGTTGTGACCATGCTTAGGAATCTCTTTACAGAATTCGACAAATTATGTTAAAGATATAATGTGTATAAGATGTATACAATCGGGGACTGCTATGTTGTTATGGGATTCACAAACAGTGCCAAAAGAAATGTAAATATCTATATCTTATTTTAATTAGCCCATATAAGAAGCCATCAATACAGTCAAAATGGGATTCTAGATGGTGGAGATTATAATGTAAGTGAGATTGAAGATCAAATTCGATAAACTCAATATGAGAATAGGTATTCACACTGGTCAAGTTACAGGAGGGATCATTGGAACTGATATTGTGAGATATGACATTTATGGCAAAGATGTATCAATTGCCAACAAGATGGAAAGCAGTGGAGAAGAAGGAAGAGTCCAAGTTTCATAAACTACTAAATAAATGATTGAGAGGGCAGAGAAACACCCATTTAAATTCAAATTCCATCATGTAAGGATTTCACGTTTATTTTAGGATGTTGAATTAAGCAAATTTAACATGAGCACTAAAGGTTATTTAGTAGAATGGGATAAAATAAGGGAAGAAGCCAGTTATGAATAACAGTGATACTTACATATTTTAAATTTTAATATTTACAATTATTAAAATTATTTAATTATACACTATTATTCCATTTTATTTGAATCCGACCAATAAAATGCTATCTTAATTTTAAGTTCTAAATTGCTTTGATAACCTATCCATTTGAAGAACTCCATCTCTATTAATGTTTATTACTTGTGTCAGACATTCTTACTGTTAAGAATAAGTAGTTTTCATACACTTGAATTGATAGTATTCATAAGGATATAAAAGAGAGTACTAGAGTGTTGAAGAGAATAACTGTTGAATTTGAATTAATTAAATCTTGAATACACTATAAAAACTCATGCTCCAAAGCCATAAAGTGTTCTTCCTTATCTCTTTAATGAGTAAACGACATCCATGACTGTGACTGTCTTTCTTCTTGCATGCTCAGTGTATGTGATAGCATCTCTAACAACATTCTCTAAGAAGCTCTTTAAAACATTTCTTGAGTCATCATAAAGGAATGATGAAATTCTTTTGACTCCACCTCTTCTTGCCAATCTTCTGATTGCTGGTTTTGTGATTCCTTCAATTGAAGCCTTATTTGGTTTTCTGGTATGTCTCTTAGCACTGACTTTACCAATTCCCTTTCCTGATTTTCCTGCCATTTTGTCTTTTATTATATTTGAAATTAATGGAATTAAAATTAAGAGGTTGTATATTGTAATTTAAATCCAAATATTCATAAATCAACCAATCATAATTTTATTTAGAAAAGTTAATTTTATAGCTAGGTAAAAATGTTACAATTGAATAATACTAATAAAGCCATAAAACATTAAATTTAAAGAATCACTAAAAAACTATAGATGGCATAGAATTCTTCTTTTCCACAATTTTTTATCCAATATCAATTCCCAAGTTGGTTAAATTTTCAAAGAGTTTTTGGTAATTTGTAGTTTAAATTTAATTAACATTTAATATACTATAAGTTATTTCTATGTTTTTAGAATTTCTTTACATAAAACCATTTGAAAATCAATCATTTTTCATGTTTTTTGAGACCTTTATTAATTATGAAGTAACATTATAAAATATTTGTCATTTAAAAGTTTTGTTAGTTTGAGATTTAGAGATTTATGAGTATAGTTGTTCATCATCTTAATTCATCAGTTTAAACTCTTAATTCAAATAAAATTAAGAATATGTTAATATTCCTCAATAATTATTGTTAATGCTATTTAAATTATTTAAAATAATTTTATTAATAATGTCCAATAACACACTAAAAAAATGGATGGAATCATTTAATGATCTCTTAGGCGATCTCACCAAAAAGATCCAACACTCCTATGATAAAAGTGTTAAACAATAACAAAAAGGAGAGGAAGGCTCAAGTAATGATTGGATTAAATATTTGTCATTAAATTAACTTGCTTTTGATAATCAAGATGTTTATAGAATGAAATACATAAATGATAGATTTGTTTTAAGCCAATTTATTTTCTAGCAAAGATATGACGAATAAGAATACTAAGTTAAATTATTGAATAGTTTTTCAGAAACAGAAATATAGCAAGAATAATATCGAAATTCAATTTTTGAGTTCTGCATGAATGATAATAAAGCTCTCCTTTTAAGTAATAATTCACTCTTAATCTTTAGTAAAATAATAAGTCAAATCAAATAATAGTCGAAGTGATTTGTAATCGGTACTGTTAATCAAGGAGGTTTATGCAGGGTTTATTCATGATGACAAGCTATATCTTTTCCTCATTAAAAATATCAGCCTTTGTCAATAGGCGGGATTTCATCCACTAAATCCCAATTATCTGGTTCTTCTTTAGGCATCTCAAGAATTGAATAGATAACATTCTTATCAAAAGTAATATAGTATTTTTATCAATCTAGGGAATAATAATTCTTAGTCTTTGAAATTAAAGATCTCAGACAACCAATTGTAAGAATCAATTTGAATTCTGCCATGAATGGAAATGCATTAGCCTTCTCATTTGCTTAAATAGAAGATCCTAATTCATTTCTCATCTATTTTGTAAATAACTTAGGAATCATATATTATTATGAGTTGATTTTACCAGATATGACTTTCAGACTGCAAACTAAGATGTATTTACAGGCATCAAAACAAGAATTGGTTTAGTTTGTCAAAGACAAGCCAGAAAAAGAATTCAAAATCAATTACAGCATTACTACATAGGATGATTATCAAAAAGGAAATATTAAATTTTAATCATTTTCAAATATAAATTACTAATTACCAAAAAGTAATTATGTTTTATTTCAAAAATTGGCAATTGCAGATTATTATTTATTCTTTATTGTATCTAAACAAGCCAATGAAGATCTTATTGTTTAAGCAGTGATTGGAAAGGATTTACAAAACCTCTATGAAATATATTAAGATGAAATTAGATTCACAAAATCAGTTGATAATGATCTCCTCATATCGCATCTACGTAAAAGTGACTTACCTAAAATTGTGTATTGCAGTGAAAATGTTACCTATGTTGTGCAGAATCAATTTGATTTGCCTAATAGACATCAACTACTCTTGCTGTATCATAATTCATTAATTTCAATTGATTTTTCAAATTTGGTTCAATATAAGTAAGATTAATCTCCTATAAATGTTACTTGCATTGATTTGTTACCTTTTTCAAGCAATGATTAAAGTTCATCAGAATAATTCATACTTTAAGTGTTATGTCTGGATCTATACAAGTCCAAATAGTTGCTATTAAGAACTGCGAATAAAGCCCAAAAATAAACATTTCAAATTATACCTCAAAAATTACTCTTGGGTTTGACAGAATCAAATTCAGAAATTAACAAAATCGCATTAGATTTTCATTAAGCATAAAATGTTTATTTGATGAATAAAGCTATTTTACAATAATTCAAAAAATATCTTACGGTTATTAGTGAAAAGAGACTCCCCTCATGTAAAACAGAGGAAGATATCGTTTCTATAAATGAAGATCTTTCAACATGTTTTCAGAAATCTATCAAAGGAGTGGCAATCAAAATTAAATTAGAATCTGAAAATGTAATAATTTATATAATATCTTAGATGTATAATGACATTGAATTAAAAAGAAAAGAGGACCTAACTCAATAAGAGGAAAGAAATTTACAACTATAAAAAAAGATATCTGAGAAAAATGAAAAGATAAATTCACTACTTGAAAGATTGTAATCAACACCCTCAGCTGTGATAAGATAGTAACTAATAAATTAACAATAATAATCTGATCTAGAGTAATTTCTACTATAATTTGAATAAATTCAAGAACAAATAAGATAGAATAAACGACAACTTGAGGATTAAATATAAGTAAGTAATAGAACCAAGTAAGAGATTGAAGCTATATAATCGAATCTGATTTAGTAAATATTATAAAAAAAAGATTGATTTTGATAAATCTTAAGTATTTTTGATTATTCATAAAATATTGATATTTTTTAATTTCTTACAAATTTATTATAAAAGAGTAAATTCTGTTGAATGTAAAAATTGTAATAAGAGCTACAATTTAAATGAAAAAGTAACTACTCTAGAAAATGTCAACTATTTTGTAGGATGATTTATATTAATAAAAAATAATTGTAGTTTATACTATAAATTATGATATTAAGTATATGTGTAAATTAAATAAATAATTCCTCAAACTAAAGATTTATTATGATAACCAGAAATTGGGAAAACAAGAAACATCACAAAGATAGTTCTTTTAGGAAGAATTAATTATGTAAGAGGATTTTTAAGTGTATTTCTTAGTAAAACAAAAAAGCGTCCAGTAGCTTTCTGAGAATAACAGAAATTTTTTCTCTAATTTTTTAGCCTTTTACGAATAAACCCAGGATTAATAAATTCCATCAATTGAGTATAATGTGTTTATATTTAGGTTTATCCAAGAATAATTCCATGTCTCATAACTTTTTACAAATCATTAAATATTGGAGTTGTAAGAAGAATTATCCAAGTAATGGGTGTCTAGGATTAAAAAAAATTGGGCTGAAGAAGATAAGTAAATTCTGATTTGGATTGTTTTGAAAATCTGTTCAAGAGACAGCATAAGCATTAGAAAAATTGTAAAATGATTGATTTAAAAAATAGCCAACGAAAGTGTGGGAAGAAGTTGAGCTATTAATGAGTAGGAGGACTGTAGAATTGCTTAAAAATAAATGGAATGATTTATTGAAATTATCTTTGTAATAAACACCTTGGACATAGGAGTAAGATGAATAATTAATATAATTGATAAAGTATAATATAATATTAGAGTTAGTGAAAGTAAAGAGTAAGGGATGCAGAATAAATGGTGTAATATTGCTAATTAATTAAACGTACAGTTTAAAGACTCTCCAAGAACAGGGAAGCAATGCAGAGAAAGATGGAATAATCATCTAAACCCTGAAATAAATAGACATCCATGGAGTATAAAGGAGGATATTGAGTTGTTAGAATTAGTTAAAAAAAAGTAAAAGAAATGGGCTTTAATCTCAAAAATCTTAAAACCAAAAAGAAGCGAAAATGCTGTAAAAAATAGATATAATTGTTTATTGAAAAAAAATAATTGCTAATCAATAAATGTCCTAATGGACATATTAAAAAAAAAATATAAATCTGAAAATCCGGCTGTTACTTTGTAAACAGTTAAAAGAAATAAATTAACATAAATAAATCAAAGTACTTTTTCTTATTAATTTTAGATTAAGTTTAAGAAGCAGAACCATAAAAAGTTAATACTATGAGGGAATTCAGTATCTAGCAATTTGAGATAGTGGACACAATCTAACTGAAATGTCTAACCCCTGCTTTCTATGATTCAAAGACTTAATCCATATATCTTAGCAATAAATCATAATTGATGTCCTACTTAAGCAACCAAATGATAAAGATTGGAAGTGAATAGAATGTCTAAAATTTTGATCAGCACTATTAATAACATGAATTGTCCAATTAAATGAGTGGTATATTAAATATAGTGGAGTCTTCTAATTATTTAAGGTGTTTACCAAATGCTTTTTCGCAGCCAATACAATAAGAAGAAAAGTATATTTATATATATTTTTTAAAGATCGCAATTTAATATTCCAGGAGTATAAAATGAATAAACTAATCCAGAAAAACCTCAGTAAATTTAAAAATGCCACATGTTCTCATTTTTTACATCAAAATTGATTGATGCCTAACATAAGTTAAAATGCAGAGTTGCTATGGATTAAGAAGAGAACAATTTACAAATAAATAAATGAATAATTTATATTAATTATTAATTTGACATAAGTAAAAATTCATAAAGTCTCTTTTGCTTCGCTAAATTTATGTTCTGTAAGGATAGTTGACTCATAGATATCCTCTACAATTTCTGGAAAAATAAACAACTTTGGTTTTGGTCTATAATTTTTTTGTGCTTCTCCACAAGCTTATATATAATTGCAAAATTTTACTTTAATTTTTACAATCCATATTATTATAGGCAAATTTAGTTTGTTGTTCCTTGGTGTTCAAAATTGATTATTATATCATTTAAGATCCAAAACTATTTGATTGCCCAAAAGTAAAATGACTTTGTGAAGATGAGAAGCTTATGGATTCCAATTATATGTTGATTTGTAATTAATTTTAATGGAAGAATGTTTGTTAATCTTTGGTTTCATAAGTCTGTTGCATTTTTTATTCTATCATAAATTAAGGAATGTGTTGTTTAATGAAATAGTTTTAGGTGTCAAAATTCTAATTATGAAATGTTGGAGTTGAAATTGGCTGATTTTACCTTTAGGTGGTTGTATTATTATAATTAGTTTTTTATTGAGGAAACATCAATTGCATCTTTTGTAGGTTCGATTCTTGCTATTTGTAATTTTGTTTTTTATTTTTTAATTCAATAAGTTTTTTAAGTAAAATCAATCTCAATGGTTCTTTGTTGTGTTGTTCTAAAGATTAAAAATGTTTTCTCAAAGAAGCAATAATTTCACTTGTCTCTTCATATTCTTTATCTTTTGATTCCTTCTCCGAGACTTGAGATGAAGAAAAAATACTTCTTAAAATATACTTTAACTTTTCAAATAAGTTCATTAAATTTAAATTTGATGTGTTTTTGCTTTAATAAATAAAATTAAGAAGATAGTTTTTTTCATTTAAAGTATATTATTAATAATAATTTCTTGCATCATATTTGCAATCAATTATAAATCATTGATTTTATGATCATAATATATAATTTAAACACTCTTATCACTTTTATGTGAGGTTCAAAATTTATACTAACTGATAACACACTTCAAGTGCTTTGCAAATAGAGTGAGTATTTATTATTCATACAGATATTACGGTTATTTTAATGATGTTAGAATATCATAGATTTTTAATAAAAGCATTATTAAAACATTTTTAGGAGTTTAATAATGAACCAAGTTAGATAGAGAGAGAATAGAAAGCTTTCACAGAGTCAGAAGAATCAAAACTACAATCTACCAAAAAGAGCTTCATCATAATTTAAGTAATTATTTAATAAATTGAAAGAATCCATCATTTGCCAAGCATCTCGAGCAACACCACATGTTGCAGTAATTCATGTACTTCAAGTCCACCTTAGAGTTGTTCCAAATTAGATGAGGATAATGTAGAGAGTATTATAAGTAAAGATTATTAGATATATTGATTTCCAAAAATACATCATAAGATCCTCTAAGTTACTTCAACTATGATGATTTCAAAGGAGTACTACCTGTTACTATTAATGGAATCAAAATTCTGAAGATTGATTGGAGTTATTTTACAGCATCTCCAAATCTGTCATCTCCATGGAAAGCTCATTGTTTTTGGACCGTCGGATATACTTTTGATATCAATATGAGGAAGATAAAGAGATCATAGAATATAAGATATCGTTTAATCATTCAAAGTTGGTGTTGTTTGAATAATAAATCTTGGGTGAAAAACAAATGGGATAGACTATTGGAACATGAAACTGGGCATTATCTAATTGGTTGTTTGTGTGCTTTAGATTTTAAATATAAGTAAAAATATCAATAGATAATAATTAGAGCAGACAAATTCAAATATACTAAGAATTATCGAATGGAATGCACCAAGTTATTTCAAGATACATTCTAGTTTTATTTACAAATGGAGAAACAATATGATGAGGAAACTAATCATAGTCAAAATGTAGCAAAACAAAAGGAATGGAATCAATTCATTAAGGAAGAACTTATAAAATATTGACACAAACATGTTTCTCAATTAAATTATTTTTTACTCCTCATCAATCATATATTATATAAATCAATATATATATAACCGCCAACAATCTATATATTTACATTGGTTTTGTAAAGCTATAACGTATTTATACTGTAAATTATAAATCATCAGAAATTCGAGATATAAAAACATAAATCGAATGATAATGAATTAGTTGCGTATTAGTATTTTGAATCGAATATAAATTAAAACAATAATAATAAATTAAGTCATTTTATGTTCAAAGAGATTAAGCAAGAATTGGCCTAAAAGTATAAGCAATTAGAGCTAGATCAAATTGAAATTATGCAGAAACTCTAAGCCTATAAGGAAACTGCCCAAAATAAGTAATATGTAGATAACACATCATTATTGATTGATGATATACAAAACTCATCTCTTCTCTTACTTTCAAATACATAAAGGGATGTAACAGATAAAACAATTTCTGAATTAAAAAAAGCATTAGAAGAATCTGAAAGAGATAGGGAGAATAAAATTGAATAAATTAACGAATTAAAAAAATTAAATTAAAAATTATACGAAGAGTTAAATGTTGCAAGAAACAATGTTTTCAAATCAAATAAACTTTTAAATGAAATCACAATATAAAAGGAAGAATTACAAAATTAAATAAATATGATTAAAAAGCATAAATCAGTAGACTCGTCCTTTTATTAGACTTCTATTACTGATATTACGAATCAAGATATTTCAATTCAGATGAATCGAAAAAAGTCAATGTCATAATATGAAACCACAGATTAGAAACAATTAAAATAATATAAAAAGTTTACGGAATGTGTCAAAGACATGATATTAAAGTTATAACCAAAATTATATGATAGTAAACTAAATTATTAAGTACTTTTAGATTAGAATGTGTCACTGTCTGATGCTTGGAAATGGCTAAAGATTATTATCAATGACTATGTTCAAATTGCAAATACTATAAAACAATTAAAGTCGATTCTTAATGTGGAATAGCCTTACATAGTCTTAGAGGTTCAATAATTAATCAACATGATTGTTTATAAATAATGATTCATTATCACAAATAAAATGATACTTTTTGGTCTATTTCTATTGAAAACTAAATACAGAAACCAATACAATAATTTAAAAAATCAAAATTCAAAAATGGATAATAAGAAAAAAAAGAATAAGAATAAAGCCAAACAAGAACAACAATCCAAATAATAATAATAACAATAATAGAACTAATTAGTACCTCAAAATTAGCAACATCATCACGATCATAATTGCCATGATCATCATGGTAATGAAGATCATCATCATGACCATAATCATTGTAATCACAGTTTGCCTACTGGTGATGCTCCTAATATTGATCCAGCCAGTTTATTAAGTGGTCTGAATAAAGGAGAAGGATTACTTGGTAGTTTAAGCATGATTCCTAAATTGACAGAAATGTTGAATCAATTAACCAATTTCGGAGGTTAAGCCTTCAAACCTGATGATCCTCTCCCTGATTTCACTAAATTCGATTAAACTAAAGTAACCTAAATTTATATCTTTATAGTAAACTTTGGAAGTAGCAATTGAAGAATTTTAGTAAACCATTGAAAATGTTCAAAAGAAAGATTTCACAAATCTAACAAAACCTGCTGTGTAAAAGTAACAATCGCAAAAACTAACCAAATAGCAACAACAATAAAGAGATAAGTATGACTTTATTTATCATTGTAGAAACAATTCAATTATCAAACAAAATATCGATTACCTGAATACATTGCAAAAGGACTTAAAGAAACTCTTACTAGATGTAATAATTTCATAAATATAATAGCAATCTATGAGTGGAATTGCACCAATATTAAATCAAGGTATTGAGAACTTAAATTAAGATATCTAATATTATTAAAAGCAATAAGAAGTTTGAGAATTAAATGTTTAATATTAATTATTCAATTATAAAAATTCAAAATAATTTAATTGATCTTCTAGATATAGACTAATATTTAAATAATATTTGCATCATTTTGTACTTCCTTCTCGCGTTACCTTCCTTAAAATTGATTAGAAATGCTAAGTTGCAAAATATTATGCTTGCACAGCTAAATTATCATAAAATTGTTTTATTCAAATTTTATAGATTATAGCTTAATTACGTATTATTTTTTTGAATACTGAACTAATTTAGAATCCCTTATATAAGTTAAAACATATTGGACCAATTATATCTAATATCTTCAACTATTTTTAGTCGTTGTATTTACTACAATGATTTGAATTACAACACTAAATGACCACTTATATGAGTATTAATATAAATTTTTATTTTCCTCTAATAAGAAATGAATTAATATGAATATATGAACAGAATCCTATAAAACTAGTTAGCCAATTACCCAATTTAACTCTGGTTATAATATTAACCCAGTATGTTTTAATACAGTATAAATATCATCTAGCTATAATTAGTTCCTTAAATCTATTGTTTTGAACTGACTTAATAAAATAAAGAGATAAAAGGTGTAAATAGTAATAGCAATGGAACAACCAAATAGGAATTATAAAATTAAAGCTGTTCAAAGTTACCTTAATTATTGGAAGAGCCTTTATGTATTAAAAATGAAACAGAAAGAGAAATAAAAGAGAATAAGCTTAATGGTATTGAAATTCATCCAATTTATTGTTTAGGACATTGGACGAAAGAAGAACATGGATTTTATCTTGAATTTGTTAATAATCACTTTGATATTTTGAAATCAAAATATGCTAAAAAATCCAAAAAGATTTTTAAACTCATGAGCTAATTCATACCATCAAGAACTCCTACATAATGTAGATCACACCATCAAAAATTTAACCCACTTTAATCTAGGCTAAAGAAGAACAATTTGAAATAGATGAAATATTGATAATTAAAACATTAATATTGCTACTTATTCTAAAATTAATGAGATTTATTCTTTAATTTTCATAAATCAATTAAAAACAGTATTATTTATTTCTTTATAATTATTGCAATAAAAATAACTTCTAAAATGCTATTCAATTATTTAACAAATATATATATATTAGTATCATAGAAAGTTTTATGATATATTAAAAATTTTGGATTTAAAATCACACAAGCCAGTTATAGTATTTTGGTAATTAATAAGAATTGTAAATAGATAGAGTTCTAATTCCAGATCTTCTCAAGAGCAATCACGCAGATAAATAAACTAAACTAATTCTATTCAAGTTAAAAAGGAACGTAATAACTATAATTAATTAAGATCCAAAGCTGGTTAGAGCTGATATTTGATGATTTTAAATGGCAAAGACAAAATTCAAAATCAAATTTGATTTTACAAAAAAAAAAATAGTTTAGAATTAAGTTGAATCATTTAATACATCCAATTGCCTCTGAGTTTACAAAAATTAAGATTTATGCCAGATAAATCAAACAATAGAAAATTTAGAGAAATTATAAGAATGATTATCTTCACTGCAATTTAAAACGTTTAAACCTTAAAATATGAAAAATTAATATTACTATTTTCAATCCTAAAAATATACTATATAAGGGAGGTGTGTATATGACAACGGAAAAAACAATCTGATAAATCAGCATAGCTAAATTAACTTGTCAAACGAAATTTAGATGAATAATTTTTTAAATAATCATGGGTAATTATTGGTCTTAACTTAAATTCTACATCAATTAAAGAATGACATTTAAATTTATCAATTACGATCAATTACTAATGATTAGAAGGATCATAAATTGATTAACTTGCTTAGATAAATTTACACAAACATTTTGAAAGCTCATTATGTGAGATCAGTGATTTCTGGCATTTCGAATGGACCAAATTAATATAAGAGTGTGGATTATTTAGTCTAAAATTAGTATTTTTGAAATCACTCTTCTGTATATTTTGATAACACATTTTTTTAAATGGCAAATGCTTTAATTTAATACTTATATCAGATTAATGCAAGCTGAAAATGACCATTAATAGGAGAGTTCAAACAACATTAATCATCTTCGCTAGAAATCATCATATGTATGAAGTATTCCAAATATCGTTTCAGTTAATCAGGAATAGGAGAAAAATTTATGATGACAATGATTTTAGGGAGGTTGTCAAAAATTTCTACAATTTGATCTCAGAAATAAATAAAGGTTAAGAATCCGTTTAGCCACTATCGGTTAAGAAAATAACAAAAGCTGCCTTACGTAAGTAGCCTCAATAATTGAAATAAAGAAATGCAAATAAAAACAAGCAACCCACAAAGGAACTTCCTTAGTCCAAAAGAGAAGTCAATCTCAAACCCGATTAACAAGCCTAATAATTCTTCAATTCATGTTTCAGTCAATAAATAATGAGCCATCTGTTGCCTAATATCGATTAACCTTATCGTAAATAAGTTCCTTTCCTATATGATAAACCTAAGCCTCATCTAAATTTCAAGCGAAATCAAATTCACATCCAAGCTGCTTATTAAATATATATTAAGGAATTCGGTTCTGGATTCGCAGAAAGTCAAGATCCCACTTCATTTGCAAGAAAAGTTATGAATTCCAATTTTAATTCTAAAGTAAAATTTCATTAAGAACCAGACCCAATACTAAGAAGAGGAAAAGGAGAGTGAAAGATCAGACAAATAAAATAAATCTTATGAAGATGGCAAAAAGAAACCCTTAAAAGAATTAGTTCGAGAATTTTAGAGTGATTAATGATTTTCAAAACAATAGGAGTAGTATAAAACAATAAAATTGATTTATTTTTTTGAGTGTTCTTAATTCTAATAACTTCTGGTCCTAAAAGCAAAAATTAAAATGATCTCTTTTTCTTAATCTATTAGTTAATACTTTCAATTTCAAATGTCGCCTATAAATATTTTCAAATTGTCTATTTTAGTAAATACATTGAAAACCTATTTTATTTTTAGTTTAGTATTTTATTTTATATTCTTTTTGAGTCAAAGAGCCATTTTATTATTGATAATTAATTGTAAAAAATAAAGGGCAACAAAACTAAATGAATTGTAATTGAAATTTGTATTTTACATTAGAATACAAACTTGTAGGGAAAAAAGGAGAAGGAACATTTTCAGAGGTTATCAAATCACAATCATTCAAAACAGGAAACTATGTTGCTATAAAATGTATGAAAAATAAATTCACGTCAATTGATTAAGTATACAAAAATATGAAGACTAAAGGTTAATCATTTGAGAGAGATTCAAGCATTAAGGAAATTAAGTCCTCATAAACACATCATTAAGCTAATAGAAGTTCTATAGTAACTCAATTTATTACAATTTTGTAGTGATGAACCTACAGGAAGATTGGCTTTAGTATTTGAATTAATGGAATAGAATCTATACGAACATATCAAGGGTATCTGAATATACGTTACATCTAGGAAGGAGACAACCGTTGAATCCTTAAAAAGTCAAATCCTTTATGTTCTAACTGCTAAAATCTATCGATCATATGCATAGAAATGGTATCTTCCATAGAGATATCAAGCCGTATACATTAAACATTTAAATAGTGAAAACATTTTATTGAATTCAGATCATCTGAAACTTGCTGATTTTGGATCTTGCAAAGGGATTTATTCTAAGCATCCTTATACAGAGTATGAATTAATTTCAACTGATAATAGATATATTTCAACCAGGTGGTATAGAGCACCAGAATGCTTACTGACAGATGGATATTATGACTAGAAGATGGATTTATGGGGTGTAGGATGTGTGATGTTTGAAATCATAGCTCTATTTCCTCTATTCCCAGGAACAAATGAATTGGATTAAATTCATAAGATCCATAATATTTTGGGAACTCCAAGTCCCAAGGTTTTTGACAGATTCAGAAAGTAAGTGAATTCAAAATGATATAGATAAGCCACTCACATGGAAATTAATTTCCCCAGCAAACATGGAAGTGGTATTGAGAGACTTCTCCAAGGATAAACCAAGGAATGCATAGATTTAATTAAAATGCTATTGGTGTATGATCCTGAGGAAAGAATCACTGCTTAAGCCGCTTTGAAGCATGAATATTTTAGAGAACTATATGAAGCAGAAGTCACCCAAAAGAACTTTAAACGCATTGGATGTTGCCAAAGTATAGAGTAATGAAATTATCTATAAATAGTGATGATAATCCTTTGGAAATAACTAAAAGAATTGATGAATTTAAACCATAGAATTAAACAAATTTGAAATAGACACAAATTCATTAAACAAAAACATAGAAGAATACTGGAGTAATTGTAATAATTTAGATTATAGTTGCCATTGTTGTAAGGCGAATTGAAAGTAGACAAGATTACACAAAATCATGATAGCGATGATGGTGTAGATAAGTTACCTGAAATTAAGAGAAAAAAAAAGTATGATCCCAAAAGTATTTATGGGAAATAATATCAATCCAGTCAAGCATATTAGTTTAGTTCCAAAGGTATCTATAATGAATTCATTAAATTAGCTGGTAAAAAAATGGTGATTGGATTATAAGCAGATTATATAGTTTATGGGAAGAAAGCTATGAATTAATAAGTCTTAGGCTGAAAAATTTAATTTTTTGAATTTTATGATTCATCATCTATTTGATATTAATATACTTTTTGAATCATCATCATTTCCAATTATAATTAAAAATGAAGATATTAGTGATAGCTTGTTTAATGGTTCTAACATTATCCAACCCTTTGGAGAAAATCCAAAAGATCAATGTTCCATGCATTGAAGAAATAGGATTCCTCACCAAGGATTTATTTGTCTTTGGCTTAGACATTGCTAGACATAAATTCTGTCATCAAGTTAAAGATGTTATTGTTATCATCATGGAAATTGTCAAATTGAAAAAAGCTTGTTCATCAACTGATAGCACAGCAATATTGGAAGAACACAATAAAACTTTGACATGTTTACAAAATTCACTTGATATTGCCGAAGATGCTCATCACGCATATAATGCTTATATGAAACATGGAATCACCGATGAATTGATTGAATAGACAACCTCTATCCAATAATAATTAGTCTCCACATTGAGTAGATGTAGTGCCAAGGCAAAATTACTTGAAGACATCTTCCCTACTCATTGCATAACAGTCATGAATGATATGGCCAGAAATGCATTATCTATTAAGGAACAAAGACATCAACCTTGGAAAATAATTGAAGGATTAGTGGAATTGGGTGAAAATTATCAAGGAGCCAAACAACATTGTCCATTTATGAAATGAACAATTACCAATATAAAACATAGAATCAATTATTATTTTCTATTAATTATTCTAGATTGTAGTATTTGCTAAATATATATTAAAATTACATCATATGAATTATCTTAGGGTAATAATGAGCGTTAATTGGAGAAGCATCATTCCTAAAAATAATTGAACTCTACATATAAATTCTAAAATAAATAGCTTTAAAGACAATTAATCATAAATATCATAAGAATTTATTACTATATTCAATTAAGTTTAATTCAAAAGAATAAAAATATAATTGCTATTTTTAATTTGAATTAGTTCTTCATTGTTTAATTAGAAATAGAAGTATATTTTCAATTAAGTCTGTATTATCTTAATTTAAGCACTGATACACGTTTGTATATCAAAAAAAAAAGTCTTGTTATGATTAAAAAATGAAACAACTTATTTTATTAATTATATTATAATTATATATACAATTAGAAATTTGATGCTCAATCGAACTGATAAGAGCTCTTAATTTAGAAGAACTAATTAAAGTATAGAAGGTGCATCCAGAAAGGACATTATTTCAGATTAAAAGTCTAGAAAGGAATTGGGCGTTCCTTAAGAAGAGGAGAGGAAAATGTTAGGATCGAAAGACAGCGAAAAGCGATCTCAAATTAAGATAGGCAGTCATTAATAATCAAGGAAGACTCTTAGAGGGTAGGATGATGAAGAAAAGGGAACCAAGGTCATTGGCGAAGGGAGATTAGATGAATATGGGGAGGAGGAAGAAGACATTGTTTGCTTAAGGTTCCCGCATCTTACGTTTTGTCCGTACAACTACCAATCGCAATTAAAGGAGACATTGTTCATTGAAATTTAGCCTGGAATTTATCTTTGTGGATTTGCAATGGGGTTATGGACTAAACACTTGTTATAGAAGGCAGTTACAAATGTTTTGAATTTGACTTCCATGGAATATACAAAGAGAACTAAGTATTTTAAATATCTGAACATTGATGTTCACAATACTTCTGATGAGGATATTAAAAAACACTTTAGGATTAGCAATAGATTCATAAGAGAAGTAGATTATTTGAATAATTATAATGTAGACATTACTATAAAAGGGCAAAGTGCTTATTCATTGCAGAGATGGACTAAATATTGGACCATGCTTTATCTTGGCTTACTTGATAAATGAGATAAAAATGCCCTTGAAATTAGGTATTGAGTTGTTGCAGAACCTTATTCCACAATTAGACATTGCTGTTCATTTCTATAAACAATTAGAACAATATGATTTGGAGAAGTTGGCTCTATTATAAATAAAAACTAAGGATTCATGATTTTGAATTGATTCACAAACATAGGATATTATTTTATTATATTTCATACACTATTAATTTGCATTTTTCAGTCAACAACACCAAATGATACTAATACTACTGATATTGCTATTTAACCTATTGAATTATTAATAAATGGTCCTTCTTTTGAATAGAATCAATAATCCATAATCTTTTGATTTTTGTATCCACAATAAGGAATTTATGCATGAATTTGTGGATTTCACATTGTGAGACATCTTCATTGTTATTTTTAAGGAAGTTAATAACAAAATAAACTTCGTTCATAATAAATAATATAATTGATTTCAAAAGTCTTCCTCATCTGATAGTTATCCATTGCTGTAGGAATATGATTTAGTCAATTGGGTCTATAAAATACCAATTTTAACATTCATATCTTTGATATCGTTCTATCATAATGAAATTGAATTAATACTTTTAACTAATTGATAATCAACCTTTATCTAGGTCTATTATCACTAAGGGTAGGGATTTTAGATTGGATACCAACTATATTTTAATGTAATTGTTAATCAAGTTCTAATTTTGAAGAATTTGATTTGCTTAGAGTATTAATTTAGATTTCAAATTATGATATAGATTGTCTATTGTTTTATAAAATCTCTTTAAGTTCAGGTTAGATTTAATTGGTTAGTTGAGTCTCCAATTTAGGTATTATTTCGAGATAATTAATCCATTATTATTGGATATCTTAAACTTCATTTGATTTGAAGTACTACGATACGATAGTTAATTGCTATTGCTATTCGTAAACAATTTACCTTTGAGCATTTCTTCACAAGGTTCATAGATCTTTGATAATCCTTTAGATATGACTTATTTTCTTTGAGATTGATTTCAAAAATGTTGAGTTCTTTTTCGACTCTATTATATTCATTAGTCCATTCATTTTGTGCAATTTTAGTTTAGATAATTTATCTATCTTGGGGAACCTAATTGAAGTCTGGTTATTCCGTTTTGAATTTCTTTTGATAAAATAGTATACTCTGTGTGAGTTCATCATTTTCCACTTCATCCTGATCCTCTTCCATTAGTTCTTCAGGGAAATCTTATTCATCATATTAGATATGGTGACTTAAGACCTGTGAATTACTTAAATCACCACCAAATTATGGTTATTCAAATTTAAAATTGACTCGTATCAATTCCCTATTGAGTAGATCATTGAGGATAAAACAAACCATGTCTCCAAAGCCAGAGGAAATATGAGGAGATCCAAGTTATTCAGGTAGTTTGATACCCCATGCTTTGATGTCTTGTAATAGTTTTCTAGCAGTATCTTCTATATTATTGCCATATTTAATAGGTTGTGCCAATTTATTCTTCTTCTACTTTGGTAAATTCATTAACCAATAACATAAATCAACAAAATAGTAGAATCTATATGAGGAGTTCACACTTTCATCTAAAGAGAAGAAATATTTGGAAATTGGTTTCTTTTTCAAAGGAACACAGAAATTTTAATGATATTACACCAAAGATAATTTTTCATAAATGTCCTTTATTTTAATAACAATATTTACCTCCATAACTAACACATTAATAATTTGAGGAGTTCTCTTAGTATCAGAATGGGATGAGAACATCTCTTTAGCTTTTTGCAATATGGTGTTTGCGTCTAATCTTTTTGAAGGATCAACCACAATCATGCCTTCAATAACAGTTCGCAACTAATGACTATAGCGATTAGACACAGGTTTGAACTCACCTTTAGTAATATTATTGAATAAATCTACTAATGACATTTTCTCACTCTGTTTAAAGGGACTCTTGAATTCAGCCATCTCATATGCAATACATCCTAATGACCAGATGTCTGATTTCATATCATACCCTTCTCCATGGAGGAGCTCTTCTTTTTAATTGAACATTTACCTCTGGTGACATGTATAAGGGTGTCCCAACTTTAGAATATGCTTCTATGGTTTCTGATGAAAAGATTCTGCCTAATCCCAGATCTCCTACTTTCAAGGTGCCATCTCCCCCAATGAAAATATTAGCAGGTTTTAAATCTCTATGCATAATTCTTTTTTCATGCATGTGTGACAGAGCACTTGCTATTTGTAATATGTAATTCCACAATTAAACCTCTTCAAATGGAGTGTCATCTGCTTAAGCGCTTTTGATTAGCTTTTTTAAATCTCCCCTTTCTGCCCATTCAGTGGCAATTATCAATTCATTATTATACAAGAACGAATCCAGATATTTAATAATGTTCTCATGATCCAAAGGCTACATCAGCTTCACTTCCTTCAAACATTTCTCTCTATGCTTAGGATCCATCATATCAAATATCTTATTTGCAAACATTTCTTACTTTAATCTTCTTTAGAGCAATCACATTGCCTTCCTAATTCATTGCCTTGTAGACTGTTGAGAACTTGCCCTCGCCTATTGCTTTTTACACTCTATAACCATTTATTTCTTAATCTATGAATTATGACATTATCTACTAATATAATTAGCCTAATATTATATTATTATTTATAAATATTTAGCAAAATGTCTATGCGAATTGTCCAATCTACAAAGAAAATACTAGACATGTCACATCCCAGTTAGACTATGCTAAATGGCCAAAGACCTAGTATGTCTCTGATGCCAAAAGCAAAAGTTGTGATAGGATTGAATTCCAAACAAGATAAGAAAACAAATAAAATTGTTATCAAATTGGAAGATCACATCAACAAATCGATTGTTGAATAGAACAATCCTGTATAATGTCCACAAGTCTAAAATACTAAAGAAGAACAATTAGAAAATAAAGAAACCAAAATTTCGATGGAAATCACTCATACTCATTTCGAACTTAAAGTACCCAAGATTATTGTACCAAAATCGCTTGAGATTCCAAAAATCCTTTTACCTTCGTAAATAAAAATTGAATAAGAAGATAAATTAATGACTTATAATTAAACAAATTTGCTGAAGTAATAATTGATTTAAATTAAAAAATGCAATGAACCTATTCAATTACTCTTGCAAGAGAATGATAAACGGAAAAAGTATTACTCGAGAGCATAAAGAGAGAAGGAGGATGTGGTTCATTGGGGTTAAAGGAAATTACTTATTAGTGAGATTTGGTTTTTGACAAAGTATGGTTGTTTATCTAGGAATATTATCTATGCAGGAGCAGCTCCAGGACTTCACATATAATTCTTATCAGATTTATTTTAAAATCACAAATTTTATTTATTTGATCCAAACGACTTTTAGGTTAAATAGGGACCAAAGATTTCTATATACTAACGTTGCTTCACTAACGAAGAAGCCTAAAAATTTAAGGAATTATTTTAGGTATGAATTAATTAACAAGAATGATTATCTATTCATTTCAGACATTCGAACTGCCAATTTTAAATGCATGACCCCTATGGAAAATGAGTAAGCAGTACTAAGAGACAATCAATTACAAATGGAATGGGTTAAAGTCCTCAAACCTTAAAAAGTATCTCAATCCAATCTATATCAATCAAGGCCATGTTGAAATTTCGATGTGCTTACCCCACTGAAATCAATGAGCCAACTGAATTCTTTTAAGGCGAAATCTACATCCAAGCATGGGCGCCAGCATCATCCACAGAAACCAGATTGGTACCTTAAGACTATGTCAATACCAAACTCTACGACAATGTGAAATATGAGGAGCAAATGTTCTATCATAATGACGTTGTCAGAAAGAAGTAGAAGGGTGCATTAAGTTGGGATGACAGAGCAGAAACAGAAGTGTTAATTGAGTACTTACGTAATTCAGGTATTGATGAAAACCAAATAATTAAATAAGTAAACTTAATCAAGGATTAAATTACAAAAAAATTGAATTATTAATGAATGATTCATATATATATATATAAAATATGTTATTCAGATTAATCAAATTATTTTAAAATATCTAATAATAACTATTCCTAATGTTTTAGATGAAAAATCTTATAAACTAATAAAATTTAACTAATCATTTTATCACACTTCTTTTTAAGAGATTCAAAAAATATGAATAAAACAGGATGATATTCTTCATATATTTCTGTATCTAATTTAACTTTCATTTAAATACTAGTATTCATCTTTAGGCTATATTTAGATGACTATTAACATGACTCAGCTCTATAAACCAAAACTACATATTTGTATTAGATATAGATTTAAAAATACTAAAATAAATCAATAAGGAGTGCTTTAAATTGAAGATTAGAGTGAAGATCCGATAGTCTCAATTAAACTTAATATATCTCACCTTCTTAACTATAGCAATTGAAGATATATTTGATAATTATAACTTCTAATCTCTTCATCAATTATATAAAGAGATTTTGAATTAATGAAATATTATATTTTACAAGACTTGGATACAGAAATTCAATTAATATTGTATTCTAATAAATAATTAGGGGTATTATTTTCTTAAATGAATGATTATAAATTGCAATAATTTATATAATGAAAAACTTTGCAACTAACCCCAAAAATATTGGTGGAATGAAGATGCTTAATGACAATATGTTTTTACATCATAAAGCACTGATAGATGCTAAGCCAGCTATCAAAATTAAACCACCCAGACCTGTAAATTATTACTTAAAATATAGCATGTAAACAACATTAAAAAAGTGGATCCCTAAAAACCTAAAGAAATTGATCTTCCAATGTATAAGAATAAACAAGAATTTGATCAAGTTATGAAAACATTTCAAACTGTAATTGGCATGAAAAAGGGTAAGTCATCCTAATCAATTTAGGGAGAATTAATTCAGATGCTCCAATTACAATGGAATTTCGAAGGAACATCTCTGGAAATGCGACAAAAAAAGAAAAATTTGAAAGAGATCAACACATTTTAAATTTGCAATCCCAATATAGAAGAATTGCAAGTGCTGGAAGCATGTAAGAAAGAAAGAAAAATTCTAATGATCCAATAGCCCATCCTCCTAGGTTCTTTAGAAGAGAAGGGGAAACTATGGCAAATATTAAAATCGATAAATTGTTACACCATTTCGTATATAATAATCTTATGCCTTAATAGACAAAAGAATAACGAATGCTTGAAGAAACTCCTAATAGCGAACTCTCTTAAAAGATCGAAGAATTGAACAAAAAGAAGGTTCAACTGTCAAAACCAAAATAACCGAGAGCACAATCAGCTAAACTTCCTACCTAAAAATCTGAATCTTCAAGTAGAATTAAAACTAGGAATGCTGATGACATTACAACTGAAGTGAAAGATATTCCTAAGGTATCCACTAGTTCAGAAGAGGATCTAGAAAAATTAAGGTAGATGCTCATAAGTAAAAACTATTTCTATTTTAAGGGATAATTTTCCATCATAAAATTTTCAAGACATAAGACTTAGAAACCTTATTCGCTCGAGTATTAAATTAAAATCCTTAAATTGATTTGATCAGAGCAGAAATACTCTTTGAAATGATTAGAGAACAACTAAAATCTTAATGAAGATTATATATATATTTAAAAATATAAATTCACAACCTAGAATTAAAATATTGAACTCGTTTAGGCTATTAACCAAAATTACTGTAGTTGGATTATTCTTCAATTTTTATGAGTTAATTGTTTTAAACATAACTAGAGACATTTCCTTGGCTCACAGTTAACTGTGAATAATTTTGGGGCATTTCATATTCCTGTAATAAATCATCCTTCACACGAAATTAATTGGCGTATTCATAAGGACTTTAATATTTTTTAGATTTGACTTAAGCCTTTTGTTGAATCTGCTTACTTTTCTCGTTGCTAAAATATCGATTCGATGATAACTTAGGTAATTCTTAAGGTTATTAGATCTAAATCTTATTATCTATGATTTCCAATTCTTTCCTAAAGGTTTAAGTTTACATTTTATGATCTTCAGGTTTAAATAGAAAATCATCCTTATCAGCAATTTTATCAATACCAATCAATTGATCTAATTGTTGATTTTGATTGAGTACATAATCATCAAATCCATCCTTCTACTATTAGAACTCCAACATCAATTCTCTGCTTGGAAACATTGCATCACTAAAATCATCCCTTTAAATTATTTAATTATCATTTCTAATAAACCTATTTAAAAACAATGAGTAATCCAACGGACTTAATGATGATATTTCAAATTTATTAAGTAATTAATCCAAGGATCTTTTATCAATATATGATTGATTTCCAGCAATAATTTTAAAAATAGTGTTAAACTTCCATTTAACTGATTAAGCCATACCCATTTTCTCGATTTCTATAACTTTCAAGTAGTCAATTTCTAAATAAATCAATTTGGCCACGAAATCCTCTAAATAGAATGATAGTTTGTCTAAAAATAAATTGAAAAATCTAACATTCTGTTATTTAGAGTTTCCTCATAATGAGTTTCATGGCATGACTTTTGTTATATCTTGGAACAAGAAATTCAAGAAACTTCTGATGACTTAGTTTGTCATTTCCTGAACTGTATATGGAGATCCATAAATCACAAAATTTTATTGATAAGCTATATCCATTTTTGCACATAAATCTAAAGATATCAGAGGCTGTCAAGTATCCTTTTGAATTGGCATCAATAGTTCGAAAAGCTTCACTTACATCAAATCGAGTATTTTCTGCTAATGTTACTTTAATGTCTTCAGCCTACATTAGACAAATTGTAAAACATCTTTTTCAGTGTTCAATATAATTCTTAAGAAGATAATGAGTTTCTGTTCAAGCACTTAATTTTAATCATCTTCTGTGACTGTTGGGTTTAACATTAAATTTAAATTACTTTAAATTACTTAATTTATATTTGATTTTGTTTATAAATTTTCAATTAATTCAAAAAATAAAATCATCCTCATTAACCTCCTCTTAATAGAAGAGATCGTTTTCAAATGAGTTAATTTAATTCATTTTTGGTTTCTTTTTGGTTTCCAAATTATTTATTTCCTTTTGTTTGATAACCATTTGATTAGTTTATGCAATGGATTGTTATTCTATTTATTTGATGTTGAATGACGTACTTCTGCTTTGATTAATAGCATCAATATTAAGTGATAGATTCTATTAATTGTTTCTGGTATTATTGTAATATTATTCATTTAGGGTAGTCTTATTTGAGGTTTAATTTTAATTATAGAAAGATTTAGTGGTTGAAAGGTTCTTGATAATTTGTCCATGTTTAAGTGACAGATTGGATTTAATCACTTAAGAGGCATATTGATATTAATTAATTTTAGATTACTTCAAATCTTTTTAAGAAGAAGAGTAGATATTTTACTTTAATGCCATTTTAATTTTGCTATGATGCAAAGTAGGTACAAATTTGGAATATGATTAGGTAAATGTGGATTTGGAAATTGAGCGATAGACATTCTCATTGAGATTATCTACTTTTTTAATTGATCTTTATTGATTACTATGGAAAGATGTTTGGGATTGCATTTTGTTCACTTGAGTCTGTTGTAATTAGAATAGGTGTGCAAGTTGATCAAATGCAGGACGCATATCGTAATCTACTTGAAGTAAGATTTCAAGAAAACGAATATTCTCTTCACTAAGGTTATTCTGTCTACAATTGTATTCAATGTGATAGTTGATTTGTTATTGATTTAGTTTAATGAGATAACTTGGATCCTAGGTTCCAGTTGCAAGACAATAAAGCAAAGAGCCGAACATCCAGGTTTTCATCAATTGGTCTTGTTTATAATTATTTTTGTATCGTTGTTGGTATTTAATTTAGCAGAGAGAATAGCGTAGGCCAAAATCAATAGCGTAGACAGTCTTTTGATCTATGTAAAGAAAGTCGGGATTGAAGTCATAGATTCCTAATGTATCCAACGAATAGAGAGTATATAATTGTTTCAGATACGCATTGAATTGATCGTTTGTAATTTTGGGGGGCATTTTAATCCAGGTGTTGCTGTTCGAATAAGAGATGAGTAGATTGTTTTCATCTTCGATAGCATCTTTGATGTAAGGGTACAATTGAATTTTTTTGATTAAGTTTTCATACATATTAGAGTCTAATTCAGATTTAGGGAAGATAGTGATGTAGTAGGATTACTTGGTTTCATCGAATCCTCGATATAACAATTAGTAAGAGAAGTCTAAAGAAATGGGTAGTTCAATTTAATAATTAGCGATTTGCATAAATTAATAATTATGATTTTTATTTTACTTGTACAAATTACTTAGTCTTTGAGCATCTATGAATTTTTGAATCTCACTCCCTTTTAAATTCAAGAATTGAAGTTAGAGACACTCTAGGAGTACTTTACGTCAGGTTCAATATCAGGATATGTGGGATTGAGTGAATATACTGAGTTGATTGACAAATTGGCTAATTCATTTCCAAATTAAGTGACATTGCAATCCTTCGGTAACACTTATTAAGGAACCCAAATAAAGACAATCAAAATCTCAGCAACCAAATCTCCCAAGTATCAAATAACAATCATTGGCATGTTACGTGGCACTACTGATTTAATCTCAGTAAACTATCTCCTTTATCAATTGTACTATATAACCATCCATTTATCCAATAAAAATCCATTTATGATGACCCTACTATCAGACAAGCAATTGTGGATCACTCCATTGATAAATGCAGACGGACTTCAATATATAACAACCTAATTTGTTTAAATCTCCAGCATACCTCAAATTTTTAAAAATAGAAATCCGTCCAATTCCAACCAATGTTCATAAACAGAATAAGGGGTAGATCTATCAAGGAATTTTCAATACAAATTTGGAATCAATGAGATTGGGTCATCCTCAAACAGATGCAGTCAAATCTACAGAGGAATAAGTGCCTTTTCTGAAGCTGAGACCTTGACAATTGATAAATTAATTCAACAGATAAGACCGAATATCATAATGGTCATGGGAGGTGACTTAGATAAGTTGGTTATTCCAGATTCCAATTCATCAACCTATTACGAATTGCTTTACTAACTATCTATTAAATATTAGCTAAACATGGGTGATTACTAAAAGCTCTATTAGGTTGAAATTAATGGGGATTTATGTTAAAATTACATATATCAAATCAACAAAATATGCTTCACTATTAATATTGGATAATACCTCTTAAATCAGACAATCCTGAACTTCTAGAATCTCTTGTTGGATTTTCTTGCACATTACAGTCCTTCTCTTCAGTATATATTATTTATATTACATAGAATCCAGTTGGAGAAGGTATTTGATTGTAAACATGGGAAGATGCTATGCAATCAACTTGAGTCCAACGAGAAAGGCTGTGTCATAATCATATCCGTTTAAAATGTAGGGTATAATCAATTCAATGACAACATTGTGATGGACATTACGTTAAATTAAGGAGGTGAAAAACTGTATCAGATTGATTCCTATGCTATTGTCTAGAGCATCAATAATATTAGTGATACAAAGTTGGAGAATGGCATAGGGATTGATGAAATCTCCACTGATCGAGTCTACAGATATCAAATAGTTAACAACAAAAAGTTAAGTCAAAACCAAACTGTCTACTTTGTTTTCTTAATCACTCAATACGGATTCTCTTACAATTACATTAATACTGTTGAATCCATCAATTTAACATTCACACTCCAAAACACTTTGCTTAATTCCTAGGTGTTTAAGAGTCTCACCCCCTCAGATTTGGTTGCTAAAAAGTCTAATGAACAACTTCAATAGATATTTCCTAATCGACCTGAATCCTATGTTTTGTTGATATGCTTTGGAGCAATTTCAGTCATCTTCTTTTTCTCCTGGATTATTAGAAAGATTTATCTCTGGATTTATGATCCTCATCAATTTATCGAAGAAAACAAATCCAAAAGTGGAGGATCATCTGATGAGAAGAATCTGGATCAATATCACTCACATAATCTAGTGGAGAGTAGATTAAATACCTAAGTCAAATTCTCTTAAATTGTTCCATTCCAATCCATAAGGTAGAATGACTCGCCTCCTTTGAGTAAACCAGCTGCCCAATAGGCTTAACATGACAGTAAAGGAACTAATGGAAGTCAATTGTTGCCTCATCTAAATCCAATTGAAATCGAAAATAGAGTGCACAAAGCCTTGGAAATAGTGTAATCATAAGAGGATTTGGATAAATAGGAATAAGAATAAGAAGATCAGCAGAATTAGTATAATTACAACATTAACTCATAACAATAAGAACATAATTTACATCAAATAGAAGAAGTACTTGTCAATACTCCAAATAATTAACATTGTAATTAAAATGATGATTAATTAGTTAAATTCGAGGATTGACATCATATATATATATATTATTAATTAAATTTAATCATTCTTCTGATCAATTTTAATTTTCCTTGATATTTCTTAATATCGAAGGATACAATTTAACATGAGCATCAACTGCCCACACATAATCCAAATGAGCATAATCATCTATGAACTCTACTTTCATATGAGTTTAATCCAACTTATTTAACATCTTACCCAAATCATCCGTGTCTGTGATGACATCCTTTGTTCCCAAATAAAAGTACTTGGGAATAGTAAAGTTCTTCAAATTATCCACTGGATATGGAGGAGGATCTCTTTATCCATACAATGCCAAGTTCTAACTAGCTCCATAATCAAAGTATTGCAATTGCTTTGATCTGAAGAATTACATCCTAGAATAATATATTAATAAATCATTACCATTATACGATATTTTTAGATGATGAACCTCCAGGTTCATGAGCAACCATATTGCCGAAACGATTCAAATCGATCTTATTCTTTTAAGGAAAACCACACAATTAATTGGTGATCTCAAAGAAGAAGCTTCTGAATATAAATGGAATCATATAACAAAGTGCTCCTATTTTGACATTAAAACCATCATCAAAAACAAAGAAATAGGGGATTCCCAAGTAATAGATGATTTCAAATATGTAAAACTTAATAGCACATTATATGAAAGTTGATCTCTAAAATAGAAAAGAAAGAGAGTACCAAATTCGAAATGAACATGGCTGGGCCGAGTCCAATGAAACATTTAAGGTGGTCTTGAAATTCAATGTTGTTTGAGAGATAAGCAAAGGCTTGGGTAGTACCTTGAGAGTGGCCCAAATAGATCACTTTTGCTCTTTGAGTAATATTCTTCACATATAACACTATGGCCTTGAAGTCGTATTTGGCTAAGTCGTCAAAGGAGCAATCCCAATATTGTTGATTGTAATTTACACTTTTGAATTTAGTATGACCGATACTATATTTGTTACCCCGGTTATTTGCAAGCCATACGTCATAGCCTAAATCGGCCAGGATGTATGGCAAGGTGAGCTTTTTATCATTGTTGATGAACCAAGACCATGAACTATCCAATAGTCCATGTTGCATAATGATGGGATGTGGATGCGGATGAGTTACATCTTTGTAGATTCTCCAAATTGTGAGGATGTAGCCATCTTCCGTAATTATTTTATGGCTTTCAAAGTTATACCCTTAGGCTAGTATGATGTCAGCTATAGAATTGATAATTTCATATATTACTTGCTTCGGTATATACTCCGTAATAGGGTTTGTGTTTGTTAAGAATTTTCCTAAGTTTATAGAAAATAGTTGGATTTCTTGATTCGCATTCTCTGACAAATAATGAAAGTACATAGTCTGTTAAATAGATTGCTATGTAGGCTGAATAGTAAGTCAATGATAATCCTACATTTGCAATGGGTTTGATGACCCAGATGAAAAAGTAAAATGTGATTGTTTGAATTATTTAAAAATTCATAACTAAGAAGAATTATTATGATAATTGTGTTTGATTTATAATTAATCAAATTTGCCATTCTTCCAATCCTGCAGCTCTCTTTTGACTGTCCATGACTCCATTGACTAAGGTGCATGTTAACCAAGCAGTTAAGAACATTTTGCCATAGTAGGGTACAGCACCTGCATAAAATCCATAGACTCTTTCATAGAAGTAGATTTGCTTGAAGACATCCAAATAATTTTAGTAATTTAATCTATAATTATAATAAAGATTAGAATTACCTATTTTTAGAGGGATCTGGGAAAGCCTTAAGAACTCTGGTTTGGACATTATCCAAAGGTAAGGTGAAAAGAGTTGCCCAGAATGAAGCCCAAGTTAATGCAAGGAAGTGGTTGAATCCAAAATCTCCGAAAACCAACCAGATTTTTTCTTTCATGTAATCATATGGTCCAGTTAAGGACACGTTCAAGGCTGCCAATTTGACAACGTGAGCAAAGGCTCCTCTGAACAATGCTCTGCTCCCTCCTATTGAGTTAATTGATTAATTTTACCTTCTTCAACCTAGATTCTATTAATGGCATCGAATGCGGATTTGTAATTTCTTCTGATTGGTTGAGGGAGACCACCATCAGCAATCATTCTGACTTGAGCCAATTCGAATGGAGATGTAACAAAAGCAGCAAATGCTCCAACAGATCCAGAGAGAACAGCCTTTTCTCTGAGTGTCAAATCATTGAATGGCTTGACTGGCTTGACTTAATCGTATATTGCTTTATATCTAAAAGTTTAAATATTTGATACAAAAAGTTTCTGATAAAGAGATAGCCCAATCTACTGTATAATGCTGCGTCAAATCCATAATAGAAATGGCTCAAGCCACCTCCAGTTTCATGAATCTCTCTGAATATTCTCCATGGATTCACTCCCAATTCATTTCTCAGTTATCTCAAACCAATTCCTTCGGTTCTGACTTAGATTCTAGTTTTAACAAATTCTGGATGTTTATTATATAGCTGTTACCCAATGGTTAAGTGAGGAATGTGGCAACTGCACCTACTGGCACTGAAAGACCAACCACTTCTGTAAGAGATGGCTCCCAATATCTCTTGTATGATCCAAGCATTTTATTTAATTAATTAAAGATATTTAAATTTGATATCAAACAAAATTTATCTTCCTCACTTTTATTATATTACATTCATACACTCCCACTCTCCCTTCCTCATCCATATTGCCTAAGAAAACAATTCAATATAAATCAATATAAAATTTAATCATTTATCGTTTTTTTAATGAAACACAGTGTAATCTGGTTGTGTTTTGTTGCTCTGCTCTTCGCAAATGCCATCAATATGTAAACTAAAAAATCAATAGAGTAGATTGGAAGAGTAAGCACCCTTGTAACCTGAAGAATAAAAACGAAAAGTTCAACATCTCAGATTGAATGAGAAGGTTGTGAATGTTAAAGACTCCCAGGATTTCTACAAATTTGTGGCTCTGAATCAGAAGAGACTCTTTGAAAATCAATTTATCTAGAAATCCTCTGCCTCCGAAAACCTGAGATTACACAATTTCAAAAACATCCAATACACAGCAGACTTAGGCATAGGACAAGCTGGCAATGTCTTTAAAGTTGTATTAGACACAGGCAGTGCCAATCTGTGGATTGATTCAAACAGATGCTCAGAACAAGGTTGTATGAGACATAAACAATACAAACATGAAGAAAGTCATTCGTTTTTACCATTGAATTAAGAATTGACAGTAGAATTCGGTAGTGGAGAACTGAAAGGACTTGTTAATTCTGACACTATCTATTTCGGAGATATCACTCTACCCAGACAAAACTTGGCTGAAATCACAAGCGAAAATGGAATCATATTCAAAAGTCTAGATTTCGATGGCATCCTTGGTTTAGCATATCCACAAATGGCTCCCAAGAACTTCAATCCAGTCTTTGACAATATGATGTAACAACACGCTCTAGAAAAAAATCAATTTGCCTTCTATTTCGCCAAAGACCCAAACGATATCACACACAGTGAATTTACTTTGGGTGGATATAATCAAGCCCACGTTGATGGAGAAATTAATTACCACAATGTTATTGATAAATATTACTGGATGATCAAAGCCGATAGCATTTTAGTGGGAGGCAAAGACATTGGATTATGTAACGACGGCTCCTGCAAATTGATTGTTGATACTGGAACATCCATCATGAGTGGACCCATGGATGATGTTGGCACTTTATTAAGAAATCTGAATGTCAAAGATCATTGTTCAGAAATCAAATCCCTTCCCAATATTACATTCAAGATCGATGGAATTGATTACACCTTGGAACCTGAAGAGTACGTCAAACCTACAGCTGCTGATAGTTCTGCCTTTGCTGAGATGAACAGTTCTGAAGATTGTATTTCGTTTTATTCTATGTAGAATCAATGGTGGAAGTCAATAGTTGGGATTGCATTGCTTCGTTTATTCCCTTGGATATTCAAGAACCTCAAGGACCTGCTTGGATCCTTGGAGATGTGTTCCTTAGAAAATATTACAGCATCTACGATAGAGACAATGACAGAGTCGGTTTTGCCAAAGCCAAACAATGATCGATCAACCATTATGTAACTAAAATAATTAATCCACTTATATTATATTATATTTTATTGATAAATTGTTGTCTGTTAATGCCATAATTAACTCCTTAAACACTTAACAGGTTGTGTGAATACTTTTTGTATTTAGCCAAGTTAGAGTCAGAAATTGAAATTATTCGCAATGTGCTTTGTGAACATGATCGTTTCCATCCATTTTTCATTTTTAAACACATCGATGGAATCTCCATTAACTCAAAGGGTCAATTGAACCCTGCAGACCTACTCCAATTTCTAGAAGACAATGGTTTCGTACACAACCTAGAAGAATGTATACAATTCATTGATTTATACGACGAAGAATCCAAAGGCTACCTCCTTTATTCATAGTAATATTTGTCATAATCCTAGATTCCTGAGAATTTGCCTGCCTCAGAACAATGTAATCTTACGATAAAAGATCGCCCTTTAGAATGTAGACGTCCCTCATTATGATCAAAAGATTTCCTACACACTCTCCAAATTAATCAACTATGAAATTAAATCAATGGAAACTACATCATCCTTTGTGTAAAAACTCCAGGATTGTTCGGATTATAGTCCATCTGCATGTTTTGAATGCATGGATCCCCAGAACTCTCAAGTCTTAATGGCCTCCAATTTCAGAGATCTCTTCTAACAATCAGCCATTGTCATCTATCCTCATGAACTCCAATCCTTATTCAAGAGATTCGATCTGCTCAACGATGGAGTCATTGATGAATGTGAATTTATGAAGTACTTTAGAAAAAGAGTGGTCAATCCAAAGGAATGCAAGACTCCAATCAAGGAGAATTCCTATCTAAACAATTTTAAAGAAAAAAGTCAATAGAAACAATTGTAATCCCAATAATCAAATAGATCTAAGAAAACATCTACTACTCCTATTAAGAAATTAAATTCTATTTTGAAATAAACAGGATAATAATAATCGCCAAAAAAGGAATTTGATAATCAGAGATCTGTCAGTTTTGTTGATAGTTCCAAGACTTCTAAAACTTAGAATATGACTTCCAGTTACATTTTTAAAACTCCCAATTAACAACACAAAAAATATATCGATCAAAAGACAGAACTGAGAGCTTAAATGCAATTATTCAAAGTTTAGAAATCATAGCAAAGTTCAAACAATTCCACAGTCAAGAAACCCACCTAAAAAAGGTCTACTTAAAAACATGCAATCAAGAAATCTCCAAAGAGAAACAAGAACTCCTTTAATCCTTCCATATTTCTAAAGGATACTCTGCTTAAGTTAATGAATTTCGAAAAGGAAATAGAGAGAATCAAACTGAATTTATAAGCAGCACCTGATTTTTCTATTTGCAATACGTTCAGAGCCTTAGATAAAAGGAAGATGGGTTTCTTAGTGAGTGAAGATCTAGAATAATTCATAAATAAACAACAACTCTCACTTATACTAAAGAAAGCATCTCCTGATGGCAGAATTAAATTTAATCAATTCATACAACTGATATCACCAATATCCATCTATCATCAAGAACAACAATCCATCAGAGAGCAGAGTCAGACTCAAAATTACTTTATTCAAGGAAGAATTAAATAATATCTCTGTCTTTTGTTTGAGAAACTGTATCAGAGAGAATTCTTTTTCGAGTAAGTCAATCAGGAAATGAAGCACAATTCCTAATGTGACATCAAATACTTATTTATGATGATTGATGAAGACTCATGTGACAATGAAATCAGTTTAAAAGATGTATGTGTATACAAACTACTTTTTATTAGCTTGATTCCTTTTTGTATAAGTAGGAAGTGCAACCTGAATTAGAAGACTTGGAATTACTATTCAATAGACTGGATACAGATAGAGATGGAAAGGTATCTTTTCTGGATTTTATCAACATTTTTTCCTTTTGATTATATATATATTATTATTATTATTTTGATGCTTCAATTTTTTTAAAGATTAGAGAACCCTGATGCAAAGTTTCACTTATATGATTCCTATTACAGAATAAAAAAGATAGAGAAGGTCTGCCTAAAAGAAAATGTAGATGGTAATGGAATCTTAATACTATTTCCCTAGGCTTATTAATTATTAATGGAATAGACTCCAAAGAGAATTATGAGTACACTAAATTGATGAATTGGGTGTTTTTGGGTCACAGCGGAATTGAGATTGAAACAAATGAATATTTGGACAACACCTTGAGTGAAACAATATTTGTAATAACCAAAGATCATATGAGAGCATATTGTGATTAACAAGGCTTTAAGCAATTAAAACCCTACTTATTATAAATGCCAAATCTCAAACTATTTGTCCCCACCATCAAAGAGGATGAGAACAAAGATGAAAGTGAAGTTTTAAAAATGGCTCAATTTGTGAAAATGATGTAAGGCTTAAAAAGAATTGGTGTCTTGCTCCCATAAGAGAAAAATAGAAATATCGAAAAGTGGCCTATCATATAGGGTTATGGATTATTGGGAAATGGATTTTTTTCGATGTAACACGAAATTGTGAATATGACTGAAAGAATCAATTAGTTATACAAGCCTCATGACAAACATTCAATGAAAACTCTAATTAATGTAGTTTCCCAAAGATTGAATGGCCATGTCTCAGGATCTGTATAATTGTTGTCAGAAATTGCTATTAAAAAAAGACCTGCAGTTACAAGCGAACAAATGGTTGAGATCTTTCTTGACACATTCGAAATCGAAGAGAACAAATACGTTAAACGATCTAATAAGTTAACTCCTACAGTCACCTTCGGAAATTGCAGTTCCTAGGAGAAATTACCTTTACATCTAACCATGGAGAGCAGTGATCTATACTCTTCTCTTCGTTTTTCTAGAACATACTTTCTTACCAAATAAGTGAGCAAAGAAAATGTTATCATTCCAATACATGATGATTTCGAGCATTTTGTTAAAGAGTATCAATATCAAGTCATTGAGCATTCATATCATAAGGATGAATGGTATTAAACATCAATATTTTAGTTTGTTAATTGAAATTTATAAGGCTTTGATTGAGAGCTTTTATTCTGCTTTACAAATGATATGCCAAGATTATAGAAAGATGACTAACTAGTTGATATTTGAATTATCCTAAGAAAGATTGACTGCCACTTTGGCTAATTACAATTTGTAATTCCTCAATGACAACCTGATTGTAACTGTAACTAGCTACAATGCCTTCGGTGAAGAAGTGGCAATCAATTTTAAAGATCCAATATCTTTTAAGCTCACACCTTAATTCTTTTCAATAAGATTAGAATATAAGAGTGTTCCATCACAAGTTGTAGGTGGAACCATTTTGGGCAATGTGATTTTTTCTGATTCTTTCATTCTGCAAGAGAACTGTTATTACGTGATTACTAGCAATATTCCTCATCTTCAAATTATCAACACAGATGCTAGATTCTCAGATGACATTGAGAAGGTCAAAAAGAAATTGCCTCTGGAGAAATTGGGCCAGTAGATTTCAGAGAAGGTTGATAAAAACAGATTATACCTCCCATCCAAACATGCTCTATTAGAAATACCTATCTAAATTGCTTCATATGTCTTACATGAAAATGGCATCAGAATATATACAAATGAGATGGGCTGGTTCTTCATTCTGTTTGATTAAATGAAGAAAATTAAATTTACTTAGGGATTGGAATCAGTTTGGATGATATTTATGACTGAACCTATATTGTGTGCATCCTTGTAAGCCAAGACTGTAGCATTGGAATTTGTAGGCAAGTCAGTTGATTAAGTGTATATGAAAATGATCAATATTCTAAAAGAAAATGAGATCAAAGTAGATTATACTGAGAATCCTAAGGAATTCCAATTGACTAGACTGGGATAGATGATTTTGAAGAGAGAACAAAAAGTTCCATTATTAGGTAATATGATTAGAGAATCCTCATTTTTATTGGATTACTTAGAATCAAAACAATTAGTTATCTTGACTTAAGTCAAAAGTGATCTCAAATTATTAAACTATCTATCATTACAAGATGAATCCAAACAAATTGATGATAGAATTGGAATTATTCTGATAACAGGTTCTTATAGTAGTGGCAAGACTAAATTTGCATAATCTTTGCAGAGATATGCAACTGACTTTAATCAGAAAGCCTAGGTTTTGAGTTTCAGTTTGTTGGAGCAATCCATTTTGGATGAGGAAGGATGGCTCAATAAATTAGAAAACCAATTGAAGTACTCTCAAGAGTAATGCATATGTGTTGTCCCATTCTACTTATCTGTTGATATTATTGTGCAACAATTAAGTAATGGAAAACTTAGTAAATTTGTATACATTAAGAATGTGATTAATAAAATCAACATTAACAACATCTATCAAAATGAGAATTGCTAACCTATGTAAAAGTTATTGATATCCTTTTAGTGACAACTTAGTTAGCCAAAGTCTGCCTGGCTACTGTTAATTTACTATCCTGGACTCCTTTGGAAATGAAGAATCTGAAGTGGAGGAGTACTTTAAGATCTTCAGAACTGTCTGTCTTAAATCTAATATATTTCGTATTACCAATAATATGATATAATCATCTGTGGCCAAAGAAATATATTAATACACATCCTACAATTCAACTCAAAATGCATTTCTTAGAAGCAAATTGGCATCCTATAAAAGTCAAACAGCTACATACCAAAAAGTATTCATTCACAATGCTATTCCTTGTGTGAAATAATTCAGAAAAATACTAAGAGAACTCTTCAAGACCTCACAACAACAAAAGGCATAAGCAAGTAACTATGAGAAACTGTCAGATATTGATAAGTTCATCTTCAGAGTTAAGGAGTTCAATTCTCCCTAAAAACCATCCTTGTCGTATCTAAAAGCTTTTCTAAGATTTGAAGGACAACTAGATAAACTGTATGAATACACAGCCAATCATAATTATACTGTAGAAAGATAAGTCAAATCAGTCAATATTCTACTCAAAGAACAATTGATTAATGGTTCTAAACTTTAAACGCCCTCCTACGTTGGATGGGATACTCATTCTAATTTAGGCTTTTTCATGGTTGGCTAAAATATTACAAAAGAGATTTGCTAATAGTACATTGGGGAATTGATCCAAAAAATGAAACCTTTATAAGCTCTATTGACTAAAAATGATTTATCCAAGGAAACTATCAAGGAGATTGAATTTGAAAATAGAATTATTGGGCTAGAAAATGGAGAGTTTTATGATGGTCAATTTATTAGAAATCAAGACGGAGAAATCTTAGAACATCATCCAAAATTAGATATATTTATTTAGGAGTATTTGAAAATTCAAAATCAGAAGATAATTGAAGCAAATAATTAAATATAATAAGAGTGGAATAATTATTTAAATGCTCTGAAGTGTTGAGATATAATAATGTTTTATCAGTATTTCTATTAAAAAATAAGTCTACAAATATTAACAAACTCAAAAATCATCCAATGTTAAAATTGGTTTATTCTATGCAAAATAATATCCTTTTAAAAGTTTCTAGGTGCAATTACCATTTGAAATCTAATCTAAGGATTTCTTAACTTCTTATAAATGTGTTGACAATTTCGTAGGTTTTTGAACCTAGTCAGTTGTACTTTCAGATTAGGAATCTTTTTTATCCAGTTTCTTAACTAATGACGCATCTGTAGTTTTGATGATCCACGTTGTCTAATCATTAGAGGAGTCTTGCTGTTAAATTAGTATGATAAATTATTACTTTCTTAAGAGATCTATTATTAGTTTATGATTTGGCAAGGGATACAGGAGAGTTGTTGGCATTTGGAGAATGATATGTGAACTTCTTCCTTATATCAATTTGTTAACTACTCTACACACTATGTTTAGAGGATTACTATGCGATAGAAAATAAATCAATTTACTTGATTCAATTTTGATCTCATCTACTGGATAGAAGAATAATATTGTATCTAAAGAACTTGTTTTTCAATTTTTGCTTGTAAATTGGAGATAATTCTTTAGCAGGTTTCTGCTTATTAGTATAAAACAGAGGAAAGTTCTTAATTTTGCAATTTCAATTGATGTTTTTTCTAGGACATATTTTGTATTCTTACTTTAGATAAATTAGATAATTTGTTCTAAAGGTTTTCTATTTCTAGTTTTTAATTCTCTATGATCTTTTCATATTGGATTAGTTTGCGTTCATCAGTTTTAAGCTAATTATTATCAATATCTATCCACCTTTTATCGGTACTCAAACATTCGTCCATTCCTTGACTGTTATTGAGTCTAGAGGTGAAAACTTCGAATTAGTTTGAATTGAAAAAGTCATGAACCTAATCTTATTAACTTTATTTCATTGATTATTATTACTAATATGATTCTAGAACACCTAAAGTTGCATTTAAATAACATACGTTTAAGATCACTAAGTTCTTTTTCTGTATTGTTTAACTTTGACTCAAGAATGTCAATTTCTCTTTATTGCGATTCTATGCATTTAGTTTTATCCAAATTTGTGAAGCTCGTAATTCTGTGTATCTCTACTATTTAATATTTTGTTTAATATTTCTCTAATCTGTTTTAGAATTCTAAAATCATTTGTTCTTAGAGGACAGCTGATGACTTTTCAAAGTACTCGTAAAATTGCTTCTCTATTTAAGAGATTGCACAATCTTAGAGAATCAACTCGAAATTTTTCTTGTTGATTGGCGGATTTTGATTTCCTTGTATTTATACAATAGATTTCATACCTGATTATTTGAGATTTTTCAAACTTTACTATAATTGCTGATTTTCTAACTAAGCTTCAGATAATAAGCATTACAGTTTAGTTAGCTACTGCTTATAATCATCTTGTGAAATTGATTATTGAGATTAATTTTATTATTGTTCTACTCTATATAGCAGTAAAGCATTTTTCTTTTCCAATTCATCGTTAAGCTAGATTTATTAATTTACTTTTGGATATACCTAAATGGCATTTTTCAAAAGAAATCTAAGCCTTTCGATCGTTCTTTGTTCATCATTATTTGTGGTGTTTCCTTTCTTATTATTCTTCGGAGTATTATTTGTAGACACAAGCATTATATTAGATAAGAATTATAAAATTATAATTATGAATAAAATAAAGAGATATTTCGTCAGATTTATATTAATTTTATATCATAGATTAGAATTTCAATATAAACTACAACATCAACTTTGCAATCTCAATAAGCACTCTTGAATGAATATTTTCGTATCCTTGATTATGTAATACACCCTTTTCAATTCATCGAATTGCCTGTTTCTATACACAGCTTCTGTGTCACAGGAATCGCATTTATATTTATAACATTTTTCACAGCAAGAATGTCCACAAGGGATGTACGTTCTGGGTTTTTCAAATAAGTTTTAGCATCTGCAACATCGAAGACTTAACTTGAGTTCAGTCTCTAAGACTTCTATTCTCAATAAATGCTTCTAAATTTAATTTTCTTAAGCAGACTTATCTATCTAATGATTCTATTGAATTAACTTATCCTTGAGAGACTGATTCTAAAATAATAATTATTATAGAAGAGATTTATCATGTTGAGTGTCAATATGTAATTTTGGAGAGATTTCACTTGGTAAAGTTTGCAAAGTCTTTTTGTTTGATTCTTAGTGACCTTTTAACTGTTTTTTAAGATTCTCTAATTAGTTTTGAAGATTTAAAATGACGCTGTTCAATTATTCAATTTGAGAATTGGCATTTTTGATTAAGGTGGTTTGTTTTTTGATAATTTAATCCTAATCTTCAAGTTATTAAAGCAATTATTAAATAGATTATTGATTGTTTTCTTGAGAGTTCCTATAAGAAACTTAAATTTTGTGAAGATTACTGACATTGATTGCATTGTCTTCATCGAATAGCAGTTCTTATTAATCAATTTGTTTCAATTTCATCAGTAAATCATCATACCTTGTATCAGCTTCAAAAGTTTTGCCCTTAGAAAGAATGGCCTTTTGAGATTACTTATGCATTTCATCGATTTTTTTATCATAATTTCTTTTAGTAATTTTTTCATTGAGTTATTGAAGATCTAGTTGTTGCTGCAAAATAAGAATGGATTGTTACTTTAAATTTCGAACATTGGGTACATGAAGGTGGAGAAGCTATCTTCATTACGAATGATTTATTTGTTTAAACATATTCTAGTTGTTTTTATAAAGATTCGATTTAAGATTTTAAAGAGTAAATATCATGATGCTCACTTTTTTATAGAAGCATTTTCCTAGAGGAGATTTCAGGAGTCGTAGCAGTTGGTCTTCTTTTTTACAGCTTTCTTAAATTAGGTAGCATTTTTACTTATTTTTAATTAAAAATTAATGAGACAAACTTATTGATATGTGAACATAGGAATTAATTGAATTAAAAATATAAAAATAAATATATATAAATAATATGTTTAACAAAAAGAAACTCTTGCAAAACATCGTAGAACTCTATTATGAGCAAGTAGAATAGATGGAGACTAACTATGATATTGACAATAGATAGGCCACCAAAATATAGTCGTATTATCGAATGTATGTGTTGCATAAATCTTACAAAAAGAATTAAAATGCAACAATCACAATTCAAAAATATTGCAGAGCCTATCTCGCAAGATAACTAGTAAAATAGAAATTGAGTGAATGCAAAAACAGAAGAAATGTATCTACTATTCTAATATTCCATTAGATTATTTATCTCTCTCACTAAGCATAAACAATCCAAAGATATTTCAGAGGGTATATTTATCGTAAATATGTTCATGACTTTTACCTCAGGAAAAAGCAACTGGAACAAATGAATATCAAAAATCAAAACTTCTTACAAGAATTACGTTCAAAAGCTGAATAAGAAAAGGAAGAAGAGAAAATTAGACATGAATAAGCTGCCAAATAAGAGTTCATGAAATTGGCTACTAATTTGCATCATCTAACATCAACCAAGTCTCAACCTGGAATCTATAAGCCTCCCTTTGCAAAAGAAAATCCAAAAGCCTTTGATATTGAAGTTGAAACTTAATTAAAAATTGCATTTCAAACTAATGTTCAATGGAAATCACAAAAAAGAAGTGGAAGTGCCCAAAGAGCAGTCACCAGTCAAGGATTCAGAATCAGACCACAATCGTAGAAACTCAAATGAATTCATATAAATATATTGTTTTACTGTAATTCAAAACACATATAATACTATTAGATTGATTAGAAACAAAGGCAAGAATAGGATACTGAGGTAGTAATAGAATAAATTGCCTTGTCCAATACATCTTCCTAAAAAGTTGCTGTGATGATGGAACTCTCTTATGCATACATTGCAAGTCTCACAATGATAAGTGTCTTTTCGATAATGAACTATTTCACAAATCTGGAATATAGAGACTAAAAATACCTAACAATTATTATGTTTATTGAGAGTCTCCTGAAGGGAAGTGTTAATTCCTGGATTGATAAGAGCTGCAATCACATACCCTAGAAGTTCTAAAACATTGATTATGATTGTAATGCAAAATTAAATGGTTTTTTGTTTTCTTTTCGTAAACTGGAAATACGTTATGACAAGCAGTGCAATTATCACAAGCAAATTGATTATCCATTATGGACTAATAGCAAATATAGGTTCATCATTAATGAAAATTAAAGGAGTGTAGTTTCCGAAATGTCGTTTCCACACTTTTGCTTTGTTCAATTTCTTCCTAGTCTCATCATCTGAATCTTGATCGAAATACTATTCCTCTTCCTTCATCTTATTGATTTTCATTTCTATTTATGAAATTTCAGAATCATCCAATTCTTTCTCGATTGGTTTCTTTGAATCCTCTATATTGTATTAGATATCTTCTTCATCGAATTATACATTCATATCATCATCATCATCATCGTCTTGCTTTTCAAAATACTCAAAATCCATAAAGTAATTATTTTACTAAATGAGATTGAAAAAAATAATTAAGTTTATTTTTCTTTTTATTAATAACCTGAAAAATGTAAAGGGAAACAAGAGTAAACAATAGATTGGAATAAGATAAAAAGGTTAGGCAGAATTAAATTTCAGAATTGATTAAAATATTTGAGGAAGATTAAATACAAACAGATATTGCTTAATAATTTTCGAATTAGCTTGAATAGGCTGCTTTTGAGTTATCAGGTGGTGAAAATACTAGGGAGTATAGAACTAGATTAAATACAGTCAAAATTCGATTAAATGGCACTAAAGGTAAGTTAATATAATTACAAAATTAGGCCAATTCATTCGATAGGTTCTATTGCAAAGTATTATGACTCCTTTAGAGTTGATGGCATTCGATATGTCGAAATTAAATGAAAATTCAATACAAGCATTCTTGGAACAAAATAATAGGTAGTTTCCTCAAAAGAATGTCTCCAATCGATTAGGTTAGCGAATAGTTGTGGATAAAGATCTTACTTAAAATTCAAATGAAAAACCAAAGGAATCAAATAATGATTTATAAATCAATTCATAACACGAAGAAAAAGAGTAAGCTAATGCAGACAATTTTAATTAACTTGACTAAAATAAACCTACTGAATTCATTGGCCCTGAAATAAAACAGCAGCATATCGATCAGCCTCAACGGGCATCCATAAATACAGAAACAGAAAAAATTGATTTTGCTCCTTAAGAAGAACCCATCTAACAATTTGAAGAATATGTCGATTATGTATTAATCATATCATTTTTAGAGCTTTGAATATAATCAAAAATAAAGAGATTTCGTTGAAGGAAATGACTTTCCTAACATTGAGGAACTCTAAATCAATGAAATCAAATAAAATAATCTTTAAGATGATTAAAATGCAAATAGTCCATTGCCCTCTGACAATGTGTTGAATCAAGAGTTTCTGTAAGATGACCCTTTGGTTGATGGTCCAAAAGAGAATGTTTAAACTAAAATTTTGGATTCTCAAATACAAGAAGAGGAATAGCAATATTATGAACATGAATGCAGTTTCTAAATAAAAGAATAATAATTGATCGACGCCAAAATTCAAAATGAAATTATCGATCCTTAAGGCGATCATTAACTAGCTGAATTTGCAGTTTAGACAAATGACAAAAATGATAATTTTCAAAAAGAATAATAAAATCATACTTAGAATTTAAAACAGGAAACCAACCATATTCATACTCATAATTTTGAACAATAAATATACTAAAAAGTAATGGATTAGCATACATAATAACATGTGAGAGATCTTAAAGAATAAAAAGAAGAGAGCACTGAATAACTACCTCAAAATTATGATGAATTTTTTTAGTTTATTGAGAAAAGGGATTAATAATTTGAAAAGTAAATCAATCAATTAATTGACTAAAATAAAACTTTGACAGAATAATTTTATAAAGTCTAGATAGAGAACTAAGTTCAACAAGAAAATTTGGAAATTTAAAATCTAAACTATCAAAATCGTATTTAATAATTAATCAACGAAAACAATATTTTAAAACTATCTTTTCAATAAAATGAATAACAACAGCAGCAATTACTTGCACATTTAAAAGAATAATCATTAATTGAAAAAGCTTAATTTTAACAAGTTTATCAAAGTTAATTATCTAACCAACAGAAACACAAAGAATTTCTTGAATAAATTAAATTTAACTTGGATTTTAGAAGAGATGCAGTTCTGAAAATATAACAATCAAGCTAATCTAGTGTTAATTTGGAAGATGAAATTGGTTAGATGCAAGATATTTTAGCCAAACAAAATGTGTTTGAACATAATTTTTAAGCAATTGCCTAAGCAAACGAGGTTCAAACATTCAATCAATAATTTTGGGCATCTGAAAATGATGCTTAAACAATTGGCACTATGGTTAATGCAGATTCTGGTTCAACATAAATTCGCAGAAATAAAGAAGCTTTGAACACAGAAGTTTAAGAGGAGGTTGAATAATTCTAAGTATAGAGTGAGCCTCAAAACTTTGGTGAAACAAATTAGGCGAGAGTTGTTTAATAAACAGGAGAGAACTCTTCATTTAAGAATTCTCTTTAAGAGTAAACAAATTCGGAAAAAGAACAATAAATACATGATTAAGTATAAAATAAGAGAACAAACAATATCAAATAAACTGATTAAGATGCAAAGGGTTTAAAAAATGGGGAAGATTAAATTTTATAAGAACAGCAGTAGTTCAGTTAGATTAAAAACTATAATCACAACAAAGGAAGTGAAGTTTAAATGAATCAATAGAGGAAAAGATAATAAGTAAAAAGATCTAATGTGCCTGAATCAGTATTTGATTGACAATGAAATATTGATTAATTTATACCAATAGAAAGAATTGTGTGTATATTAAGAAATACCTCACATAATTGTGTAAGTTTTCATTATTTAAAGTTCTAATCTAAAATATATCCAGATTATAATATTTTATGGTTTTTTTTGTATTTTTATATAGTAGTTCAAATCTTAAATAAGCATTTGATTGTCCAATATTAATATTTTATTAAAAGATGTCTTGGAGAAAACCAAAAGTTATTCATCCCGAAAGTGGAAATGGCTATGAAATAAAGGGATTCACTGAACCAACTTTCAAAAGAATCCCTCATTGTCACAACGATGATGATATTGATGTTGACATTCCAAATGGGGACCTTGAATTTGGTAAGAAAATGTACGGTTAAGCATGCGCTGGTTGCCACGATTTAGGTATATATACAGGTCTATTTTCAAAGACAGTGATCTTGATCAAGGACCAGCTTTGAGAAATTCTTATTTGAGAAGATTAGGATCTAACAAGAAGTTTTCTAATTATGGATGGGATTTGAGAGCAAGAAGATTATATTGGACAAGAAAATTATTGTGGGATTTCTTATAAAATCCAGAGAAAATGTTTTTGGATACTAATATGCAATTTGATGGAGTACTTTATTAAAATATTTTTAGATCCAAGACCCAAGAACTCTAGGCAGTATAATCGACTATATGTAATATTTAACAGTGTATACTTACGATCATAGAGGATCAAAAAGACCCATCTTTTGAAACAGAATCAAATATATATATAAGCATAGCATTAAAATTTTAATATATCTTTTATATATAAGTTAGGCAATATTATATTCACAAATAAACACTGTAAAATAATAATTGTCATTATTTATTTTATAAAAAAAATAGCATCTATTTTCATAATTTATCACCTTCTGATCCGTCTGAACCAAAAATCATTTTAATATTAATAGGTGAAGGCAAGTTATGCTTTATTCAGTAGGTTCAAATAAAGTGCCAACTCAGACTTAATGTATCTGATGAAGTAAATGAAATTATAAATCCAAAAATTACCTCCAAATATTTCCTAAAATAAAACAAAATCAAGTTTATCGCTTGCGATATCAAATTTCTAAGTATTTTGTGCTTAGTTTCTAACAATTTTTTCTCAAATCATAGATAATTTACATAGAATTATAATTATCAAATAATTATGTTATTTTTAGAAATACATTTTTAAAGATTTTGTGATATTCATTTTAATATTCATAATAGCCTGCTAATGCTCATTGAAGGTTGTTAAATGCAATTTCATACTTCTTCTTTTATAATATTACATTATGTATTATATAATAAATGAAAAGAGATTTAAGTGATAAATTTTATATAATATTTAAATTTTAATTAGGAATCATTAGTTTTTGAGTATTGAGCTTTGAACGAATCTGGATTAAATCTTTCTTGCTTATTATGTTTACTGGTCTATTTATGCTTAAGAACCGTATATTTTGTTCCAATCAATTTAATTTTTCCTGTTTACATCTGATATTAACTCATTGCATATAGATGATTTTTGGGATTAAATTATTTCACTTGGCAATAAATCATCATGTTCATGTTTAGAAATGATCTAATTCAATTTATTTTACTCTTATATTTCCTAATATAAAATCTAAAATACTTTTTAAACACGTTCTTCATCCCAATGATAAAGATGCTTCAAATAGTTTTTAAGAACTTTTATACTCTTTTGCATGCTGCTTTCGCAGTAAATAGCAACTGAAGATTTTTTAATTTTTGTCCAAAACTCTTTTTAGAAAACATTTTTACATGCAAGAATAATCTTGAAGCTTCCAATGAATCTTAAAAATTGATGTGTATGTTTAAATAGTAGATTCCGTATGCTTTCATGGATTGATCATTGTCAATGCAATTTATAATAGCACATATATTATGTTATTTTAGGCTCTCCAATGTGCTTTCAATGGACTCAATAGTAGTTGTTTTCTCTAGATTGCAAAAAGGATTAACAAACTCCTATTCGACAACATAGAGATTAACTCCTTCATCTAATCTAAATGCAATGTACATTTATTTTATTTTTATTATTTACGTTGTTTTAATCGCAACATAGAGATTAAAGGTTAGCTATAAATTATGAAAAATATTCTATATTTCAATTAGAAATGATTATTTCATCAGTATTATACAACATTTAATGGAATTTATTAATATATTCGAAAGTAAAACTTCTTCTAATTTCCTTTTCTATTAATATATCAATAATAATAATAGCAATAAAATAAATATTGAAATGGATTAGACATTGTATCAGAACATTTAGAAAAAATTAGAAAACAAAATAGATTTCAGTAATAAGAATGATGATCTTAAGAATTTGTTACTTGAGTGCAATAAGATATAGAGTGTATGATTCATTTTTAAATTAAGAATATACTAGGTTATAAAATAATGACTCAGGTATTTTAAGCAATTCAAAAATCTGGGCAAAAGGTTCTTCTGATGGATTAGGATCAAATATAAATAATTAAGACCTGTAAATCTTTGGCTATCTTGGGATATCTTCATGATCAAGAATAAATTAAAATAATCAATAAAGACAAAGAGTTCAGGGAAAATATAAGAGTTCAAATACAAGATCTTCAATAGCAAGGTAATTTAGAGAAGGCTTTTTTGCTGGACGAAGTAATGAAATACAAAAGTAGAAAATATATTGAGGAATATACGGAAATAAGCAAAGCCATTAAAACTATGGTAAACTTATTAATAGATTTTGGAAATGATTCATTTAATTTCACCTAAATCTTTGATGTCATCCTCAATGCATTGTTGCTTACAGGAAATAATAGTACGATTGGAAGGGATTACCAATTGTTGTCTATTTTAGATAAATTGCAGAAGCTTCTTGATGAAACCAGGTCACCCTATTAATGGACTATCGTAATGGAATCAATATTAAATGCTTCGACCTATATGGAAGAACCAACAGATTTAGTGCAGCCTAATATGATAACGAGAATAATATTATTCAAAGTAAGATAAACTAATAAATTAGATCCCATATATTGAGGATATCTTTAAGTATTTTGGTAAGTATTTAGGGAAATGCTATAAGTTTGAATATAGAATGTTCGAAGCAATGTTAAATTTTGGAGTTACACAATAAACACTTGAATTAATATTGTAATTTAGCAAATAATTTGTTAAAGACTATTAAACAGATATTTTAGTAGAGATGAGAAAGAATCTTATACCTAATCTAATAAAGTATATGAGAACAATCAATTGTTTTGACTAGACCTAAAATTTATTTAATTATTTCTTAATCTCATCCTTTTCATAGGTAGGTGATGCTTAACTAGATTAATAGCATTTTTCAGAAATTATCACAAATTACTATAATAATTTCGATTTATATAACGATAAATAATTACAGAGAATTGCTAATTTTCTTGGTCTGTTACAACAACCTAATAAGAAAAGTTTGAAAAATTATGACCTTTTAGAGTCAAAACTAAAAAAAAAATATATATAAATCCCATCATCAAATTCAAATATACTATTGTAAAATGAACAAATTCAAATTTGGTTTCAAGATGAAAATTCACAAATCGAGGATAAACAACCGAAATTAATAGGCCTGAGAAATTTATTAAATAGTAAGAATTTTTATATTTTAAGCCTGCTACTTGAACAGTTTTATCTAAGCACTCTTTTGGACTTTAGATTTCAGAAATCTGATATTAAATGAATTTAAAAGAGAAGAAATTGTATTTTTAAAACCATTCAGTTTAAAAACAAACTTCCTTAGAGTATTTATCTTCCTGAAATATATTAGTGCTTCTTGTTCTTGGATTCCATGAGTGATGAAATTGATTACACACCATTATTATTAAAAAGATCCTTGAGAGAACCTTATAAAACAGATGATAGACAGTAGGATGCAGCTGAATTTGGTGTTCATTTATTTGAAGATATGGAAAAAAATTTTGATTAAGAAGAATACGTAACTCAATATGTTTATTGTTTATAGAAAAAAATTAAAGAAATATTTTATGGTATGTCAAAATCAACCTTCTAGTGTAAAAATTGTGATAAGCCAACCAAAGGGCCAGATGAAGAATTTATGTATATCACATTGAACTTTGAAAACAATAGAAGAGAAAAAGATGAAATAGAAAAAATGATTCTAAGGCATTAAATGAAGGAATAAATTACATTTAATTGTGAGCAATGCAAAAAAACAAGCCAAAGTACCCGAACTCTAGAATTTTCAAAATTACCTAAAAACATAATTATTTAAATTAATAGATTTGAATTCCAAAATGGAGAGAGATCTAAAATAAATGATCAAATCAATTTAAAACCAAAGATATAAATAAAAGAGAACCAAAAATAATTAACCTATGAACTTTATTCAATCATTATACATTTTGGATAAATACCAGATGCAGGTCATTACACTGTATATTGTAAAGTGAAAGACGAATGGTATCGATATGATGATAGCATTGTAACTAAGATTGAAGGAGATTTTGATAGAGTGTAAAGAAATTTCAGGTAACTAATCAATTAATCTTATTATAGAAAAGAAGAAACTCCATATCTATTATTCTTTAGAAGAGTAAGCGGATGAAATTACATAAAATATTTTTTTCATTTTATTGTTATCTACAATATTTCTAAAAATACCAAATTTAATTGAATTATATCTATATGTTAGCTCATTTTCTTAAAATTCTAAGTCTTAATTAAACTCCTCTCTTTTTACAATAAAATTGAAAAGTGAGTAAAATTATATTTATACCACCTATACATTGTAATATATTGAATGCTCAAATTCTAGCTTGAGAATGCTCAATTCTAATCTAGTTATTATTTTATAATTTCGATCTTTGAAGCCCAAATTTCAATGTTTACTATTGTATTCATCAATTACTGAACTCTGTAAATAACTTACATATTTCTCACAAAATTATCCATACCAATTATTTCTTTTGTTAATAGATTTAAAGATACTTTCAAAATAATAATTTGATCATCGGCTTGGGATATTTTGTCAAAAGAACAAACTAAAATATACAATCAAAATGATTTTGGATGACTAAGTTCAACAAAAAAGGAAATTCCTAAGTAAAGAATATTAAATAATTGATCCCTAACATTAGTAATAGAATGTTAGATTATAATCAGTCAGTAAAGTACGATTACAGCAGGTAACCTGGATAATTATTTTAGAATCTATGTCACAGGAGAGCCTAAAAGTTTCTATTTCAAATTAAGTCAACTATCGGGATACAATAAAATAAGCTAATTCAATAAAATGCTAAACAATAACTTCTCCTTTAATTTTTCCTAGTGCAAGTTTAATTATTAATGAAGATAATCTTTAATTATAGGATATAGAAACAATTATAGGGTTATAAGGAGATCAATAAAATAATTACAATCTCTAGGTAAATTGAAGGCAATNTTATGTATATCACATTGAACTTTGAAAACAATAGAAGAGAAAAAGATGAAATAGAAAAAATGATTCTAAGGCATTAAATGAAGGAATAAATTACATTTAATTGTGAGCAATGCAAAAAAACAAGCCAAAGTACCCGAACTCTAGAATTTTCAAAATTACCTAAAAACATAATTATTTAAATTAATAGATTTGAATTCCAAAATGGAGAGAGATCTAAAATAAATGATCAAATCAATTTAAAACCAAAGATATAAATAAAAGAGAACCAAAAATAATTAACCTATGAACTTTATTCAATCATTATACATTTTGGATAAATACCAGATGCAGGTCATTACACTGTATATTGTAAAGTGAAAGACGAATGGTATCGATATGATGATAGCATTGTAACTAAGATTGAAGGAGATTTTGATAGAGTGTAAAGAAATTTCAGGTAACTAATCAATTAATCTTATTATAGAAAAGAAGAAACTCCATATCTATTATTCTTTAGAAGAGTAAGCGGATGAAATTACATAAAATATTTTTTTCATTTTATTGTTATCTACAATATTTCTAAAAATACCAAATTTAATTGAATTATATCTATATGTTAGCTCATTTTCTTAAAATTCTAAGTCTTAATTAAACTCCTCTCTTTTTACAATAAAATTGAAAAGTGAGTAAAATTATATTTATACCACCTATACATTGTAATATATTGAATGCTCAAATTCTAGCTTGAGAATGCTCAATTCTAATCTAGTTATTATTTTATAATTTCGATCTTTGAAGCCCAAATTTCAATGTTTACTATTGTATTCATCAATTACTGAACTCTGTAAATAACTTACATATTTCTCACAAAATTATCCATACCAATTATTTCTTTTGTTAATAGATTTAAAGATACTTTCAAAATAATAATTTGATCATCGGCTTGGGATATTTTGTCAAAAGAACAAACTAAAATATACAATCAAAATGATTTTGGATGACTAAGTTCAACAAAAAAGGAAATTCCTAAGTAAAGAATATTAAATAATTGATCCCTAACATTAGTAATAGAATGTTAGATTATAATCAGTCAGTAAAGTACGATTACAGCAGGTAACCTGGATAATTATTTTAGAATCTATGTCACAGGAGAGCCTAAAAGTTTCTATTTCAAATTAAGTCAACTATCGGGATACAATAAAATAAGCTAATTCAATAAAATGCTAAACAATAACTTCTCCTTTAATTTTTCCTAGTGCAAGTTTAATTATTAATGAAGATAATCTTTAATTATAGGATATAGAAACAATTATAGGGTTATAAGGAGATCAATAAAATAATTACAATCTCTAGGTAAATTGAAGGCAATTCAAAAATGAGATTAAGATGGTCATTGGAAAGTTAGTATAAACAAAACAATGTGTGGTATTGAATAAAGTTCTTAATTTTCCAAATTAAATCAAGTTTGAACAATTTTTTACTTCATAAATAAAAATAAAATAATAATTGGAAAAATTTTGATGGCTAAAGGATAAGAAGTTAAAGTATTGCCAGAAGAGAAGGATGCATTGGAGAAATTAAGAAAAGCAGTATCGATGATAATTAGTACTGGGAGTATTGATTTTGCAGCGATTTTAAAATTGATTCAATAGAAAAAGGTTTTCATTAATTAAATTGCAACTGAATTATATAAGTATCTTTTTGTGATATATGAAAGTTTAACTAAACAAAATTTAAAAGAAAAAAATGTAGTCTAATTGGTTTTCTTAATTGATTACATTTGCAAGAGTGATGTAAAAGATTTCAAAACAGCCATTAAGTTCTACATTGTCAAGCTCTTTGTCAAAGTTTACAAGAATTAGAAGGAGTTTGGATGTGATCTATTAAAATTGAAAACTGTATTTAAAAGCTGGGTATCCATTTCTTAAACATCATAGTTAAACATCTTTCCATTGCCTACTTTAATCGAAATCAGCAATAAAGTCCAATTAGAATTGAAGGATGATTTGGACTAGTTACCCCACGAGAAGTTAGAAGAACTCAAGAAGTATTACAAAAGTTTGAATGTAAGCGGGGTTGAGCCATTTTTAAATGTATTCTAATTTGATAATTTCCTTAGGGAACCTACAAAAAACCACCCGGAGCGAAGAGACCAATGGAAGATTAGGTCGTTAAGAAGATCAAATAAGAATAAAAATTTTAACAAACCTAAAGGGTTAATGTAGACAACATACAATAAAAGCAAATGAATCTATCCTAATTGCAACACAATTTATAAGGGCATCAATAAATTTATCCATCATAGATAATTCATCATAATTAAACTAATCAAACATCTAGTTCTTAACAGTTTAGAAACCTCCAACCTCCCCAGATGGTTACTTATACACCTTAAAATACTCTGCAAAATAATTTTCCCTATTTAATCCCTTTTTATCAAAATCAGACATCTTAAGGGACAAATTTGGGTCACACTCATCCTCAACCTTCTTAAACACATTAGCAAGTGTCATCTCAACAGCAACGTCAAACTCAACAAGGATAAGACCTCACTATGCAGTTTACTTAATAAAACCCTTTAATTAGTTAATATGCTCAATTATAAGGAAACAATCAATATCAATAACAATAATAATAACAACAATAGCAGTAATAATAGTAGTAACAATAACAATACTAATAATAGCAATAAACATAGTAGTAACAATAGTAATAATAATAGTAACAACCATAATAATAGTAATTACCATAATAATAGTAATAATAATAATAACAATAATAATAACAATAACAATAGTAATATTACTCGCAATAGCAATAATAATCCTTAAATAATTAAAAATAAATAAATATCCCGATAGATCCAAATACAACTACGACAGTATTTGGTTCACTATTCTAATATTTTACTGGGTAACTGTAGGCTCGACATGAGTTAGTTAATAAGGAAACAGTAAAGGATTTTTTAAAGTAACTTATTTGTATGACATATTACTAGAAAATAGATATCATCATCAGAGTTACTCTCAAATCCTAATCGTTATGGAACTTTAATAAAATGCCCAACATGCTTTATGAGATTTAGAAATTAGAGTGCCTACATTTAACATTTGAATAATCATGCAAGTTATCAATTAGAGAAGCTAAGGGAAGATTAGAAAAAGGAAATTCAGATGAGCTGCTCTAGTGAAGTAATATTCTTTTTCATATATAGGAATGGATGTCATCAAACTAAACCATAAAGGAAAGCAAAAATTAAGAAAGAAATTATTCCATAGATTTGGATAAACTGAATAACTCAAACTGTGCATTTTGCTTAGAGAAATTTTAAGGTCGTTGGGATTCAAAAAATTGTAAATGGATTTATGAGAACGTCAGAAATTTCATTTTAGAATCAAATGATTTTGATGACCCTTAATTAATTTCGATTCATTAAAAATGCAATGAAGTTTTAAATGAAATAAATGCTTGAAGATTTTTGATATTTTAATAGAATAATTGTTTTATAATAATAACAAATAAATTAAATTAATTCCATACATATAAAATTATTTTCACTTACTCTCCTTGTTATCCGTTTGAGGAACTATATGAAAAATCTCAAGTTCTTAAATTGATAGAATTTTATTAACTTATTCTGGATTAACAAACTATGACAACTAAGATAAAGCTTTAACTAGTTTTTCATTTTAACTCTCTGTAAAGGAACTTTTACTCTAAAATTTGGAACCTGGGCGAATATTCTTTTTTGAACTTAGTTGAGGCTTATTATCTGATAACATAATTGCTCTGTAGGTTAAAAAACTTTCAAAATTTGAATCATCACAAATCAAAGTATAAGGTTCACCCAATTATTAATACTAATTTTTGTAATCTAATTCTATAAATTCTTAGAGTGATGAAGACGGAGTCTCATCTTACGATCTGATTTCTGAAATTACATCTTCAGCCTCTTCTTCTTCAGAATCCAAATCATAATCTATGAAGGAATACTTGCAAAATGGATTTCTTGGATTAATTGGTTTTAGTTCAATAAGCTTCCCATTATAGAAGCGATTTGAATCACACAACTCAAAATGCACTTTTCTTTTAGATTACTTATGGAGTTTATTCTTGCTTGTTTAGATTTTTTGTTCACAAAAAGATGTTTGCAATTATTATGGAATATAACTTAACATTTCTGAATCAATATATTCTTTCATATAGAATATTTTTTCGAAGTTATTTTATTGTAATAGATCCCATTTCTATAAAGAAGTGTCTTAATTAACTCGTTTTGTTGATTTCTTACATTTCACAACGAAAGATTTGGGGCGACTACTGGTTGGTTGTGGGATACTCTACTCTTAATTTTCAGGAATGATTTCCTAGAATATTGAAGCTTTTTCTTATGAAGGTTGTTCTTCCTTAATCATAGTTAGTTAATTCTTGGATTATTATTCAACAACAGAAATATTTGGAACAGAATTATTTTTAAGGATACTTTAGATATTTACAACTTGATCATTTTTCTTTTGCATTTCAGAATTTGTCAACTAATTATGAAACTTGACTGATTTCACGCTAGACTTTGCAGATGATTCAGATAATTGTTCACACTTATTTAATTGAACATTAGTTTCTGATTCTTCACATTTGATTTCATCAGTAAAGGGAAATTCAGAACTCTTTTTTAAATCCAAATATGAAATAAAGGCTTCTTCTATAGTGTCAATATCTTATGATTCCAAAGAATCAATTATACATTTAATGGATCTTAAAACATCAAAGATTAGTAATCTAAGTTTTCTCACTTTTTGGAATGTCTCAATGTTTGCGTGATCCTTTAAATCCTCAATATTTTTCATTTCATAATAGCCTCTTACATCAGTGGAAGTGAACTTAAGGTTTTCACTATTATTGAACACTTTCTATGTATCTATGAGATTTAAGAATTTTTAATAATCAAATTCCGATCCAAAAGTTACTTCATCTAAATTAATCCCTGAAATTTTTTTCAATTGAACTGGTTCCACAGACTCTTTAATCAATCCCAGCATCTCTTCTAATTCAAATTTCTAATAGTTCTAGAGCCTTTCGTTCAAGAAGTATTTGCAAGAGTGAGCTAATTTACATCTATGGTAAGAAATTGGTTAGCCCTCCAGTTTCATAGAAATCAGCCTCTACAGATACTAAACATTAAATTAACTCTTTTGTATTCTATTAATCAGTTGTTCATTAGGCTAGACTTCCAACATAGGTAAACCCATTTTTGTCAACTGTTTAAAAATATTTTTATAAAAAGGCAATCTTGCTTGAAGAGCTTCCAAAATTTCTAAATCATTGTTGTCTAAATCGTCCTTTTAGGAAAGTTTTGAGTTTTTTGAATTTCTCTAAGCCAATGAAGACCTTTTTTTTGAATGCTTTTTTTGGGACATTTTATAATATTTGTTATATAAAATTAAAGTTAAACTTCAAAAGGTTTTATCAGAATCTATCCAATTTCTATATTGATGTAATAAACAAAGTAAAATAATTCTTGAATTTTGTAATAAAAAAAAATCGTTAGTAGTTTTAAGCCTTTTTATTACTGAGTCGACTACAATCTCGAAATATTTACTCAAATCAAATGAGTCCTCATATGAATAAGTTAATATTATAAATAGTCAATTCAATTATTAAGCTATATTTTCAATTTTAGAAAATTAACAAGATTTCAAGCATAAGTGTTATTCAAAATACAATAATTAGTAAGAATTTATTGACGATTTGATTCTTAATTTGAATAGTTTTAGAATGTGAGATATTTTTAATTTAAATGATTTTTATATCATTAATTTGAAACTAGATAACAATATTATCAATCAAAATTTAAATAGTGAGAAATATGAAGATTGATAGAAGAAGAATAACTTTGGGAATTTTTATTGAAATGAACCACCCATTGTATGAATTAAAAATGTCAAAAATTAGATGATAATAGAATAAAATTTCAATCTTTAGTATCGAGTCGGAGGAAAAATCCTATTTGTTGAAGTTATTCAAATATAAAAATGATTTGGGGTAAGTTTGGTTGTTTGAGAAAGTTTTTTTTAAATGTTGTAATAATCCAGTTGATTCATATGTTATTTACTAGAGAACTGGCTAAACTTAGCAATTCTAAAGTGAAGGTTGATTCAATTCAATATGAAATCTAACAAGAGAGTTGAATTGATAATTCGGATTAAAAGTAGGATGAGTTTATGAGTTATGAAAGTTTAAAGAGTGCCTTTTAAGGGTTGATTGGAATAGGGAAGGCAAAGAAATATTAATTATGTTGACATAATCAAACAGAAGAATTTATAATCTTTACTTAAATTGTAATTCGTCAGTATATATGTGATTGAATGCCTAATTAATTTATTTATTTATAATAAGAATGAGTGGAACAGATGAAGGGTATGTATGAAATTGATTTTTTTGTAGCAGCTTAGATGATTTTGAGGATCAGGAATGTTGTATCAAGACCTCTGTTAATATGAGTTTGTCTGACAGACTCAAATAATAGGCTTTGGATGTTCATAAGATGTTACAACAACTAGAAAAGGAGTTCGCATAGGAGGATTGCCAAACATATTATATTTTGAGCAAGAAGTATTTAAATACATAAGATTACGTAGTTGGTTGGATAAATGGAAACAGCATGTTTCTTACGATAATGTTATAAATAATTCAAATGTCCAAAACACTACGGAATAGATTATTCTTCAAAATTTCAATCATGATCTGTTTGAATAATATCCCAATGAATGCTTCAAGTATTATCCTCTGAGTACTAATCCTTGGAATTAATGGTTGAGACCAAATCTCGAAGAGGGTACACATTACATTGTAATTTCACAATAACTTTCGTCATATTTTAACCAATATTACAGAGGCACTAATATTGTCAGAAATGCCACAGGTAAGGGCAAAGATAAGAAGGTTGTTGTTAATTTGTTGAAGGTATGAAGTATCTTCTTACTAGAATAGTTTAATGCAGTTCTTATGATTCCCAACACTGTCAATCAAATTGCTTAAGACAATCTCACATAATTGGAGAAGGAATATTTACAAGCTGATGAAAGTGCCAATCTCCAAGAATATTATGGCACTATAATGAAAACAGTTCCCACATTCAGAGGAAACTATAGTGGTGTCCGTATTTGGAGATACACCAACGATACAGATCCTCACAAAGCACTCTTTGCCGAAATCAAGAAGCAAGTTCAAGATCTAGATTTTAATGATGACTAGGTCTTTAATTTTACAGGATCCCCAATATAAATTTCATCAGATATCACATTTAAATCATTGAATCTGACAGAAAAAGACATCCTAGTTATAGAAGTATCATCATTATCTTATGCAGTTCCAACAAGCTAACAGACCATGGTGTATCAGACATCCTACTGTTCCAGTTGAAGGAAAATGTGAAGGATGTTGTAATATCGCAGTACTTAACTTCCCCTGCGTATGTAAAAAGGTATCCTATTGTACAGAACAATGCAAAATCAATGATGAGCGATTTCACCTTTCAAAGTGTGATCGTCTTGGATCTGATGATGAATAAGTTAAATCTTTGAACTATTCTGATAATTCAATCAAAGGAATTGCTGGCCTATCTAATTTAGGTAACACTTGCTTCATGAACAGCGGTACCCAATGTTTATCGAACACCTTCCCACTAAAAGAATACTTTATATCAAACAAGTATTTTGAAGAAATTAATGAAGATAATCCCTTAGGAACTAACGGGTAACTAGTTAGAAAATTTGGATCACTTCTCAAAAAGCTCTGGTGTGGTGATAAAAATATTGTAATTCCAACGAGTTTTAAAAAGGCTGTTGGTCAATTCTAACCAATGTTTAAGGGATATCAATAACATGATTCATCAGAATTAATAACATTTTTATTAGATGGATTGCATGAAGATTTAAATAGAGTCAAAAAGAAGCCTTATGTGGAATCTAAAGATTATCAAGGTAGACCTGATAATGAAGTAGCTAAAGAAAGTTGGGAAAACCATTTGGCCAGAAACCAATCAATTATTGTTGATTTAATGCATGGTCAATATAAATCAACTTTGAAATGTCCAACGTGTTAACAGATTTCAATAACTTTTGATCCTTTTTTAACTGTTGGATTGGGTATACCAAATAAGAAATAAAAATCCATTTAAATCAAAGTGATAAAATCAGTAGTTTCAATAGAGACAAAGTTGATAAATTTCGAAAGTTCGAAGAAAACCATTTCTTTACAAAATTTTATTTAAGAATTTGTAGTTGGTGACTTTAAGATTGAACCTGATAGTAAATTGTTGTATTATTCGTCTTTTATGAATGATGTATCAGAGCCAATTAATCCTGCATAAGAAATCAATGTAGTGAGAAAGAACTCGAAGAAAGGATAATTGGTGGTCAAGGTGATGAGTTAGGAAGAAAAGGATATCACAGCAGGCGATAGGATATATATGACTTATGCTCAAAAAGCATATGACTCCTATGGACATACATTTAAAAAAATAATTCAGTCAACAACTTACTAAATAATAAAAAGAAGTTAAAGCTTAGCATAGATTCATATCAGTATATTTAAGAATCTGTTGCCTATATTCTGCGATTTTGTGAAGGAGAGTGAATTGGACACAGAAGAGAAGTTGAAAGAATTTTATGAGTAGAACATTCATGGAAAAGTAAATAAACAAAATTAATTGTTAGTTTTACACCGTTCATAATAAGTAGAATATCATGATGATGTCGAGGGAGTGCATATTTTGTAATTCAGAAAATTGTTAGGAATGTGTACTGAATTACGATGATAAGGAGACATTAGATACGATCTTTAGGAATCATATGGAATTTGATTTGATGTCAAAGATAGAATTAGTAGTGTTTTGGAATAAGAGTCCATTTTAGAATGTTAATGCTGGGGACATCTATCAATATTACTCAAATCAATAATAAAGGAAGTAGATGGAAGGTATAGAATAACAATATAAAAAATAGAGAATAATAACAACTCACTAAATGAGAACAATTAGAAGGGGAGAATAATTGGAAAAAATTATTCTATGGGTATGATGAATTCATAACCGAGAGTTTCACTTCAAGATTGTTTGAGGTTTTCTGAACAGCCAGAGCAATTGGCAGAAGATAATGCTTGGTATTGTAAAGTGTGCAAAGAGCATGTACAGGCTTATAAGAGTATGCAGATTTATAAGGTATTGAAGAATAAAAATAAGGTAGGCTTCAGACATTCTGATTTTCACTTTAAAAAGATTCAAAGCATCTCACGGGTTCTTCAAATAGAAATTGGAAACATTTGTAGAGTTCCCAGTTTAAGGTTTGGATTTGACCGAGTTCATACTCAATAAAAATAAACCTAATGAGAACTGTCAGATTTAAGAGGATTAGAAAAAATTAATATATGATTTATATGCAGTGTCCAACCATTTCGGTGGTATGGGTGGTGGACATTATACAGCCTATGCTAAAAATCACGTAAGAAATATGATGATTATTCATAGGAAAATGGGAAGTGGTATGATTTTGACGATTCTCAAGTAAGTGAAATAAATGAGGATCAGATTGTATCATAAAGTGCTTATGTTTTGTTTTATAAGCGTAGAACTGAAGAAGAGTAAACTTAAACGTTTAATACATAGGAGTTAAATTGAAAAATAATATATATATATATAAATTAATGTAAAACAGGAAATTAAAATGGAAATCAGATTTTGAAAAGTCTGTTATAATCGAAAACTTTGTGAATAGGGGATGGATCAAATCCTAAGAGAAGGAAGAGGAGTCTACAGATTGGAATGTCTATTGGGCAACTGTGTGGAATGTTCGTAACATCTTTAATCCTAAGAATGGATTCAGACTCAATGATCAAGTATTCTCAAAATTAATATGACAGTAAATAATCAATCACTTTCCAAATCATTACGAATTAACACGCAAAGATTGTATGGTGAAGAACCTCAAAAGATTCAAAAGAGAATAAGACAAGGAAGTGTTGGAAACATTCAATTTTGATTTCTTGCCGACTACTTATATTTTCCCTGGAGAATATTCCCTATTTGTAGAAGAATTCCATCGAAATCCGAATCAAACTTGGATCGTTAAACCAGCTGCTAGAAGTCAAGGCAAAGGAATATTTTTGTTAAGGAAAATATAACAATTGAAAAAAATATCAGGAACCGCAATAACTAGTAATATGACTCAATTAAATCTGGCATCTAAAGAGAATTATGTAGTATCTAGATATATTGATAATCCCTTGTTGATTGGCGGAAAGAAATTCGATTTGAGAATGTACGTGCTAGTTACAAATTACAAACCATTAAAAGTTTGGATTTATAATAAAGGATTTGGTAGATTCTGTAATGAACAATACACTACAGACGTTGCTGAAATTGAAAATATGTTTGTACATCTTACAAATGTAGCCATTCAACAATACAGTGATAAATACTCCCAGAAACATGGAGGGAAATACTCAATTGATGCACTCAAACTATACGTGGAATCTGCCTACGGAACTGATGCACTATAGAGAATGATGGATGATATTCATAACATCATGTTAACTTCATTGAAAGTAATATTAATAATAATTTTAGTCTGTTTAAGCTGTGATATAAAATGATAAACATTGCTTTGAGATGTATGGTTATGATATTCTACTTGATTCTAATCTCAAGCCTTGGCTAATCGAAATCAATGCCAGTCCTTCTTTGACTACTACTACTCCTGTTGATAAAAATCTAAAAATGAATCTGATCAATGATGTCTACAACATAGTGCTGCCAAATGATGATTTCCCTGACAATGATTAGAAATGTAATTAGCTTTGTTATATATTCCAGAACAACAACCCACCAAGGTAGGAGGATTCACTCTTTTGTATGATGAGAGTCTAGATCCCAATAACAGGAAAACATAAAAAAGGTAGAGTGTTAAAATATGGAAATGAATTACCAATTAATATTAAATACTTTTTCCTGTTAAAATTTGTATATTGTATAATTGTATTATAAATTAAAAATACCAAGCAGGAGAATAGCAACAACGTAGAGCACAAGAATCAACAATCTTACTGATTATAATTGTAATTCAAAAATAAATGTCCACCTGAGTCTAAAGTTAAATGCAAACCAAAATTGAGTAAAAGCTCAAACCAATAACTGGAGTCTAGTGTGGAATCCAATTGCATAAGGATGGAAAAAGTGAATAAGAATCTGTCGAATAGGTTGATATTCTAATTGATTAATCTCACTACTATGATTGAGATCCTGCTTCATTTATCTCAACTCCTATTTGCTAATACGGTATATTAACGCAATTTTATTCTGTGAAGAATGTTCCAATCATGTTTTTCAAATTCTCTATTATTTACTCTATAAAAATGTGAAGTCCCCAAATAATAATTCCAGATAATTAAGTAAACCCAAGATTATGAGTATTCAGGCTACTAAATTCACCATCCCTTCGCATTCCAAAGAAATTCATATGGATATCGAACAAGAAGAATTCATTAACGAACCCATGCTACAAACTAGATGCAACCAATTGGGAATGCTTAATCACAGAGAGCATTCTCGAACAACAGAAAATAATTTCGCATTTGAGCCATTTGAACAACCCTTACTTACACAAGTCCCTCCTGACCATATGCAATACCAATTGTCATTGATGGAGGAATGTTTTACATCGTTACTTGAAAGTACTATTCCCGATGAAATTCTTTGTAGGGATCAAGAAAAGGTTCTCATCACAAGATTTATCGAGGATGGGATCAAAAATAATGGATAAAAATAAGCATTATGTATATTTAAACCATTAATAAATTAGATATATCAGGAGTGCCTGGAATCGGTAAAACTGCCACAGTCTTAGAAGTCAAAAATAAATTGCACTTCAAAAAATTAGATTTCGATTTCATTTATTTCAATGCCATGAACATCAGAGCTCCCGAAGACATCTATCCATTCCTCTATGAAAAGATCACCAATAAGAAGGAAACCTCCAGGATCAAGTCATGCATTCTTTTAAGTTTTTGATTTTCATGATATTTTTAGCTGAACTCTTCAATAGCCAATATGATTGCATCCAAAAGAACAAGGTTATTTTATTAGATGAATGTGACAATCTCTATACTTCAGATCAATAAGTTCTGTACAACTTGGTAGATTGGCCTCAACAACGTTATGCTCACTTAATCGTCATTATGATAGCAAATACAATGGATTTCCCTGAGAAACTCAAGCCTAAATTACAGTCCAGATTAGGAAATCATCGCATAGTGTTTAGACCTTACAATAGCACTTAGATCGAAAGCATTTTATAGTAGAGGATGAAAACTAGCAAACTCAAACAATTGTTTGCTTCTAACACCTTGAACTATTTGGGCAAAAAGATAGCCACAATCTCAACTGATATTCGCAAAACTCTAAGTGTATGCAGAACAGCTATAGTTTTGGCCAGGGAACAACTGTTGAGGAGAAATTCATTCTCTGAAATAGAAGTAGATCACATTAAATTAGCTTATAATATCATCTACAATAAGCCTTAACACAATGCTTTGCAGTATTTCAATGCTGAATTGAAATTGTTACTAATTATGATAGCCATAGACATACATGTAAAAGGGTAAAACTATGCCTGCTTTCATCAAGTAGTTCAAAGAATGAACTAATAGCAATCCTTACACCACAAGAAACTTTTGAGTTATTATTAAATGAAATAAGCTTTAATAAAATTATCTCAATTGAACTTGATTGAAATTAAGGAGGAGTAGATGTTATTAACGAAGAGCACTTGGCAACAAAAAATATAAGTAAATATTGCATCATTTAATATTTAGAACAGTTTAGACCAGGATAAACTATTTAATTTGGAAGACATTCTTATACAACTTAAAATAAGTATTGATGACATAAAAAATGGACTGTCCAAAGATGAACTTTTCAATGAATTTTCAAATTTATTTTGATAATAACTTAAAAACTTAAAACTATAATATATATAATCATTATAAGAGATTGTCATATATCTTTTGAACATACACCAAGGTTTTGAGAAAACTGTCTTCTCCATAGACTGACTAGGGTGGTAAAACATATGGTAATTATCTGATTTTATAGAAACGATTTCTGAAAAATCTATATAATAAAAATGAAGTTAATATCTATTAAACAACAAATATTGACATAAAAACAGAAAACAGGATTGTTCTTAAATCTATCTCTGTTTCAAGTGTATTAATTAGATTTGTCTATCCCTAATCCATTATATAATCAAAGGCCTCACTAACAAAATTCAATCCAATCAAATCTAATTCAGTTAATTGAATTAGTTTTTCGTATTCATAGTTATTTTGGATATTCTCTCCTACTTTGTCTGCGAAATAAGTTACTGAATACATCAATCCTTCTGTTAATTTTCCATCAATCACAGTGGTACAAAGAGGATCGTCGATAAGGACACAGGAGTTGTTAGTCAAGTATTGCAGTAGATCAAAATAATTTGCATTTGCTTCTGATGTTATCATTGAACTAATATATACAACTTCATTGTAGGAGTCCTAAATCAAAGCCTGATATTATTATATAATCATATCTCCAATTGCAAGGTCCGAATGGGACTTAGAATATTTTTATAGAATTTGATCTGTCATCATCATCTGGTAGAATTATTCAGTGTATAAAATATTTTCATTAAATATTTCTAGGTTATTTTTGAGTTCAGTGATATTTGAAGAGTTAAACACCTTTACAATTAAAAAGTATGTCAATCCAATCAACAATGTCGTTGATTCAACTAAAAAAAACAATCTCTAAAGGTATGGTTTTTCATCTGATATTATGAATTATTTCTTCTGTTCCTATTATTATACTATCTATTGAAATCTCATCGATATTCGTTTATTTGTAAACATATCATTAAAATTAGTGTTAATATTACATTTATCCTTGAATTAAAATTGATACTTGTATAAATTAAGATCAGAGGGTTGTTGATAACGATGCTGTAGAGATAATAATCTAATTGATTCAGTTTCCAAGGCTTTGAATGAAATTTACTCACAGCTTCTGAGAATTCGATTGAGTAGTCTAAACAATTAATGAAATACAAAAGAATATCCAGCTATAAGAATTACTTCATTTACTATAAAGATGATTAAACAAATATCTTGCTAGGTTTCAAGGTCTGAAACATTGCTGTCTATCTATTATTAGAACTTAAGTGTTAATTCTTCATAAGCTTCTTTGTGAACAGAATATTGACTGATCAAAGAGCCAAGTGAATTGTTATACTGTTCTATAGTTGTTGCATTTGTTAGATCGATTCCATAAAGTCCTTATTACATGTAGATAACATAGAATTACTCAGTCCAAGCACTTACTTGCTATTCTTTTCCACTATAATAGTCAAATTAATTTATATAAATTTCTGAGAGGGTAGTTTTAACAAGACTATCATCCAAGTATTGTTGATAATGACTTAAGTAATTTCTACAATTCTCTTAAAGCTGTTCAAGCAATTTACTTTGATATTAGGATTTAGCTTATGAATCATAATCTTATTTTTCTATGTCAATTCCCAAAGCCAATAAAGTATTTTTAGTGTAATCAGTAGTTACAAAGGCTCTCAATATGTCTACAATTTTCATATTGTCTTATAATTTAAATTTGAAATTAAAATAAAAGATAAGCGCCAAACTTAGTAGCAATGATAGACATAGAATATCTAACAAAAATATCAAATTAATTAATCTAGGATTATTATCAGATGATGAAAATTTACTGTATAGATGTGTTTTTTATAGCATAGAAGGCACAGTATTGTTTTGAGTAGTAGGTGTTTGAGTGAGCTTGATTTCTTATTCTTACTACTTTTCAATTTAATTATTCTCAGATTGATTATCTATTTCAAATGATTTTCTTGATATTTTCTTATGAAAATACGACTATTGATATTTGACCCTAAGTTTTGATTTTTCCTCATTTTTATTTTCCAATCTAAACTATTGCAAACTCTACCCATCTATTTAAACACTCATGATTTGTTAATCAAAAGGTTAAATATTGTGGGGATTGCTCATTAATGACAATAGATCTCTTTAAGAATCAAAAGGACTTTAAATTTGATGTCCAATTTGAAACTAGTACCCCTCAAAATGAATTGATTAATTTTCTTATTTTTCTGAAATATTTGAAAACTCGCATCTCTGCTCACTATCTGAAAATTAGGATAATGATTTTAATTTTTCAGACTCTAAGGGTTCATGATTTTATGAAATTTCTAAATTAGTTTCCGTTCTGGACCTTGATTGTAGATTTTTAGATGAATCTACCCAAATTTAACTCATATTATCAGCAAAAGTGATTTTCTAAAACTCTACTGTAAATGACTTGTGTTCTTTCCCATTGATTCTAGTTAATGTCATAATAAATCTACAAGTGACACAGAAGATGTCTTGAACATCATTTTCCTTAGGAATTCTGAACAAAATATCTTCAGCTGTAATAGAAAAATGGTTTAACAATTATTCAGTTTCAGAACAATTCAATTATTAAGAGCAACTATTCTTTTCTAACTTGCATTATTCTAATTCATAAAACTTCTATTCCTTTTCCTTTAATAGTTCTTAGTATTTTTTAGGATTTTAGATAAGGTGGCTCAATTTCATCTTATTTAAGTGTTTACCCTCTTTCAATTTGAATTGTTCCAAAGCCATCGTTGTGATTCCTTCTATTCTTAATTCATGGTTCAAATAGATGTGACCCTTGATATTCTCATAGGCACCATCAGATTGAATTTGCTTGATGAAACTATATATTGGAAACAAGTCTCCAGTAATATTAAAACAAACATCTATGAACATTTCGACAAATAATAGATCTTTATTTTTCTTCTAAGCCAAAAGTCCTCTCTTCTTCCTCAAAATCAATGGCCTGTTAGTCAAGAGGAAGATTTCCATTAATTAATCATGAATATCTGATAGATGAGGTGCTACCAGTTGGTGAACCGTTAGGATTTCTTCCTAAAATTCCCTCTATCCATAACCAAACATATGAGGAGCATTATTCGAGTATTGAATGATCTCTCCTCTTGAGATTTTCCCTTTTTTTGCATGTCTGGCCAAATTAATTTTTAGGTAACAGACTTTTTGACTGTGAGAACCACTGGATTCAAAAAACTTAAAACTTTTGGTTTTCAACTAATTCCTTAAGCGTATAAACTTATCAAAATCATTAACAATCTCTAAACAATAGAACATGTATATCAACAATGAAGATCTTGATTACGAGAACTCATTGAATTATTCAATTTTATTGATGACTTCTAAATTGTAATTCACCATTTCATTCAATAACTGATACAAGGTTTCATAATTAAATTTGTTATCCACCAATTATCTAATGAACTCGTACTTTCTTTGGACATTTTGAAACATATTCGAGATCAACTTATCTCTTCTCACTTCAGTAACTCTGTAATCCTTGTATTACAAAGCAGCCTCAACCTCTTCAATCTTAACCTAAGGGTTCATTTTGAGAAGAATCTGATGTTTTGCATAACTCAGAAGCACAGCCATGGCAACAGATGAAGTTATACGATTCTTGTTTTTAATCTTCTCCTTCATTTCCATTATCAACAGTAACACCTAATAGCATTCTTCAGAACTGCATAAGTACGTAAGTAATTGAGTGATCCTTATAATATCGTAGTCTTCTTTCTCTTTTTCTAGTTCAAAAATCAACTTCGCATAATGTCTTATGTACCTTTTAATTAATTCAACCTGAATCGAGAGGTTCTATATTTTGATATGATAATAGATCCTCATTTCTACACTTTGATAATTATTTTCAATTATTTTTCGTTTTTCCCCTCTGAAGCCTTTGCAATAACAGTAGACATTCTCACATTGATTGATGTGCTATTTCAACAGGACAATTATGTTCAGAATAAACTTCGATCGATTAATATTGATGACGGAAGCATCCTTCTCAATGGACTATTGATCCTCAAGTTTCATTAAATCCACTAGTCTCAAATAATGGATAAAGTATTTTGTATTCATGTTCTACAAGTATTCAATTTAGGTTTGTTTTTGTTTGTTAATCTCCTTTTCAATCACGAATTACTCCTCTTCCTCCATCAGTAGACCAGTTCTTGATTAAAGCCTAGTTGCTGATCTAGATTTTTCTTTGTATTGCGAATTGTATAGTATCTCCTCATTCAGGTAGTCTTTGATTTCATTCAACAATCTAGATGATAGGGGCACTGTGATCAAGGCAATTGAAATAATCTGAATTTGAGTATGCTGAAAAAACAACGAGATTATGACTGAAATAGTAAATGGCAATGCTATTAGGATTGTTTAAACTTTGTAATCTTGCATGTAAGGATGGCAAATGTAGAATTCAATCAATTACCCAACTTATAATATAAGTACCACACTATTGTTTAAGTAGTAATGAGTTGAAGTTCGATCAAAATTGACATCAAAATAGATCAACACATAAAACCATTAAATAAGTATTGGTATCACTACTATGAATTATTGAAGAATAAACCAGAAGGACTGAACCAATCGCAAATGATTGTGATCTCGAATAGTGTAAGTCTTTTAAACACGCATTGAAACATTCCATGCTAATAGGCATCCTATGTTTGTTAGTACATTGAAAAATGTCATCAATCCTTAGAGAGTGTAGCTTAAGCTTTCATCTCCAAAAATAATCACCCAAATCATAAAGTTCCAAAGCATCAGAGGAATAATAAATATATGCGGAAACACATTCAACATAGTAGCTGTTGCGAATTTCTCCAGTTGCTAGAATGAGGTCTACTCATTGCCCATCAATTGCTTCTACATAAAATACTCAATGTAATTGTGCATGTTATATGATCTATTCAACAAGGTTAGATTGTCTAATCAAAAGAAAACTCATACAATTCAAATTATTCTGCTCATCAATTGATGAACGATGCTTGATTGTACTATACTCATAGTATTACTTATGCATTGCAATCACATTCGCACACACAGGCGTAAATAGGATTAGGATTGACACCAATTAAAACCCAATTATTCCTGAATTAGGCATACTCTCAAGAATTAAAATTGAGGGAACGCACAATTTAGAAATCAATTCAAATAATGAATAAGACTCCGTTGGTTCAATTTTCTTATTATAAAGTCTTACTTGAAGGATTTCAATTATTACTTTGAACATAAACAACAATGCCAATCTTTGAAAATGACCTACTACTTCAACGAAAATCCATAAATACTTATAGTCTCGAGAAAGTATGATCTAAGAAAACCCTATTGTAAATTGCTAATATTCCAACCAATATTGTTTAATCATTTAATTTTTTATAATCGATCTAAAATAACACTAATAACACTTATTATTCAACTTAATCAATTAAATGCTCATAATCAAATATTAAATCCCTTAATGTTGTTATCACTTTATTTATTTAAGAAACAATCTTCATAATCAAGTAGACTAAATTTAGAACAATATCATAATATTTCAACCCAACAACTCTTACGCTACTGGAAAAAATGCTCAACTCAATGAAATTACATCAAACACAATCCACCTTTCTTGAATTCCTTAACTAAATTGTTCTCACTATTCAAAAGCGTTAATTGCTAAATTCAACTAAAATTCAATTAAATTTTCTTAATATCAAACCATTAAAGGATTTTATTCACACATTCAATTTAATAACTAATTCAGACAGTATAGATGCGAAGACTAGTTCAACTTACTGGAATTCCATATTAACAATATATTATCAGATAATCTTTATAATACTATTAGTCATATATCTCAATTAATATAATTTAATTTATAAATAATAATACTATTCAAATCTCAAGAAACTGAATTTATTTAATAATGGTGTTTCTGTTTGAATTGTGGGAGTTCGTGAAAAAATAGGCATTTGTTGATGTTTAAAGCTCTGCAATTAATATTATTACATATTACACTAAAACTGTATATAACAGATTACGATAACAATATTAATGCTTTCTTTCAAAATGGTGCAACTAGGTGAAGACATCTTGAGAGAAGAGGTCATCGATCTGAAATGGAGTTAGGAGAGTTTAATGATTGTTGTACTTAAAAATGAATCTTATTCTATGATATAACATTCAAGGCAAAAGAATTAGATTCATATTAATTTAAATACACTTTTTAGATATGATAAGCAACTACTTTTACATATAGATTTAGTTGGATGAAGCCAAATCATCTCTTTATAAATTATAATTGCTTTTATCAATGATTAGGTATTTGGAAAAGAATATTGAGCCATTTGTATAACTGTAGGGGATTTTGTGGAAATTTAATTTTTATATATTCAGACATGTTCTTCATCTATCCTTTGACTTTATTCTGGGATTAGAGATTCATTTCTATTTTACTATTAATTTCCTTATGGTTCTTGTTGTGATTCTTCTCCTCTAAACTTATTTCTAATCTTAGAGATTGCCTTGCCAAAAAACTTAAACCCTTTTGCTGTTAAAGACTAATCCTAATTTAATGCTTCATTGCTATAAGAAACTCCATCGAATTCTTCTAAAGATGTTGAGACATTCTTCAAAAATTGGATGCTCTCATTGTTTCTATATTATTCAATTGATCTAAACAGTTTGTATATCAATCAATACTTTTTTAGAGTTCGTGTAAAAATGTAAAGTTATTTGCTAATCATCGTACCAGGACTAAAAGCTTAAGCAGTATTTTAGAGGAATAACTTATTGATTGAAACTATTTTTGGTTGCTCCTGGACAGTTATCTGGGATTATTGAACCGGGAATTCTTCTTAAATTAATGGAGCACTTTCAGCTTCGTGATTCATTTGGATTTATTTAATTAATATTGTATATTATTTAATATATTTATGTAATTCCAATCACATATTAGTAAAATAATTCTAAGAATTCCTAAATTATACTCAACTCTAATGATATGAATGCTTGATTATCAAAATAAATATTATTTTATGAGTATTAACCATTAAATTTATTTTTAATGCTCAAATATTAATTTGATCTTTATAATAGTGTTATTAGTTAGATGGGGGAATTTATAAATTAACATAAATAAAATTCTCTTTAAAATTCAAAAATTAACCAATACCATGAATCTTAATAATATATATATTTTTTTTTGATCATTTGCATAACAATCTTAATTCCTAAGCCCTCTATTTCTCCAAATCATGTTTTCCACAATAAAGGTAAAATATGAAAGAGAACGATAACATGAATAGAATGCCCAAACCCAAAGAGATAAAACCCATGATTGTTACGTAATCCTCATAATACTTTTAAAACTTTAAGAAACAACTTTAACCTGATGTATTGCCCCTATTGATGTCTGAAAAAACAAAAATGGAAGTGCTAGTACACCAACCAGAACACGAAAAGTTCATTTCCAAAATCTAAGCACTTAGAAATTGTTCTTACATTCATCAATTGAACTGGGTATTTGTATTACTCAGTATCAAATCCTACACAACTTTGTACATTAGATGGCAAAACAGAGGAGGAAAATCCTACCTTTCCTCTTAGAACTGATTTATCTTTAAATTTAGTAGCATCCAAATTGCATGGACATTTTACAGAACAAAAAGATTCGTTGGCACTTTTAACTCCGTCACTTAATTCTTTGAAATTCTGAGTAGACTCACATGCTAAATTCTATAATAATTCTACATCTCCCAAAATATTCTTTCGACTTGAAATTCAACAAATAAAACAATACAACAAAAAGGATTCCAAATAATAATACACTTAGGTGATGAAGGATCAAGAAACCTCTTTGGAAACACACTTTTTTAGCTGTAGATCCTAAAATTCCGAAAATTCCGAAAATGATAAGAGAAACCCCAATCACAAGGGCGCCGTATTTTTAACCAAACATTCCAAAATCTGAATCGAATTTAAAATACCCTAATGTTGATATTTCATGTTACCATCATAATTTTTGAATAGTATCAGTGAAACTATGTAAATTCCATAGCCAGTTAAGGTTAAACCAATTGAAATAAGAGTAATTGCACTCAATTACACTACTTTTTAAGAGAGCCATGAGAATAATTACATTAATTATTTATAAATAATATTGATAAGAACAATTAAAAGTTATACAAATTTTAGAGATATAACAAATAAACAAAAAGCTATTCCTCAATTTTATTCAATTTTCTTTGGTAAATTTCTTTATCTTTCAGTCTAAGGTTCTTGATGTTTTAAACTAGTTAGACTACATTACCTGGATAGTTTAGTTTGAGGTTCCTGATTCAATTCACATTGAGATCTCCCCTTCTAATATTATTTAAGTTTGTTGGCGTACCATGTGTTGAAATCAAAATATTTATAATCAAGTAAGGCTTAAACAGCTTCCATAGCTTGACAACAATCAAGTCTCTGTTGGGGTTCAGCTTTTACAAAGAGTTACACCAAATCAAAAGCTGAACCCTTTTCTTTAATTGTGAATTAACACAATTTGTTATTTCTAAAAGTTTCTTTTTCATTTTCGCTGTTGAATAGTCCATCTAAGGTCAACAGTTTGTAGAGAATGCATCCAGCACTAAATAAGTCGACCTTAAAATCATAGGCTTGTTTCTTGTTCCAAACATTAAGCACTTCTGGGGCAGAATAGCCAGCCGTTCCACAAGAAGGATATTATTCAAGTTATTTACCATTGAAGCAAGCCAAACCGAAATCAATTATTTTGATTTAATTATTATGATACATCAGATTTGCTGGTTTGAGATCTCTATGGATTATGCCATTTTGATGAATGCTTTGCAATCCTTTGAGGAGTGACTAAATTTAATTTCAACAATTACCTCCATTATGCTCAAGGCTTCTTATATAGTAAAGGGCTTATTTCTACGATCGAGATGTTGTTTTAGATTGGAGCCAGGGAGGTATTCTGTCACAATGTAATAGTTGAGATCATCTTTGTAAACCTCTTTGATTTCAAGGATGTTCAAGGCATTCGATTGTTTGAGTCTTTTTAGTATTTCAATTTCATTTTTAATGGCCGGACTCTGATTGTTTTGACACTTGACACTCTTGATGGCCACGCGATTGGAGGTGAATCTACAGATTTCCTTTGTGACCTTAACGATATTTGGATATAACAACCTTTCCAAAAGAACCAGTTTATAGGATTTCCTCCTTTTTGTAAAACATTTCTATTTTTTCGTAACACACAAAAGCACCCATCTTGGATTTGAGGTTGACCATATCATTGGGATTTCCAAAAAAGTCTTTTATTTTATCTTAATACGGGAGCTAAAATCCAACTATTTTATTGTTCTAAAGAGACCAAGTGAATACTTTGTCAATCTTTAATTAATAGATATATTTTGGATCCTACTGGTTTTGTTTCTATATAAAATTACCAATTTTCTTTACTTCACTTAGAGTGAGACACTGATTTGTTAATTGCAAGTAATATTTTCGATTCAAGAAAAAGTGATGTCTCTCTACTATACATTCATAGAGAATGTTGGCATTGTTGGCTAATGAAGTCTGTCCAGAAGACGTAGGAATTAACATTTATTACATTGTAAATAATAATACTCAATAAGCATTTAATCTTACTATATTCAAATATACCATCTTGTGCTAATATACACAAAAATGGTTTAGCCGTTATTAATTCATCAAAACAAATTGGTACTCTAATTTTTACGTTCTTGATGTATCTATCTTTTTAATAGTCTCGCAATAATTGGTAGGTTAGTTTAATCAGACGAATTAATCCAATTAATTTGCGATCAAAGTTGAGATGTTTTTAAATTGTATTTTATTTTTTTTATAATTTTTTAGTATATACACATTATAATTAATTATATATTTATTGATCAAATACTTACTAGATGATTGTAAATGACTATTCTCCTTGGGATTATAAATGATCTACATTTGAATCGATTCAGGAAATTATGAATCTCAGATGTTTTAGCCTCCTTATTGTATGGGATGTACACTTGAATATGAATGTGTATAGTAGGACATAAATCGAAGCCAGATATGGTTGCAGTTTACTTGAATACATCTTCATTTGATTGAATCTCTGTATGTAATGAAATGATTTATGCAAAGTCAGATGGGTGCAAATTTAAATAGTTTGCATATCAATTATATAACACAATAAATTTTAAAATTAATTCGTCATTATTTAGCAGTGTTTGATAAGATGCCTCTAAAGATTTTTGATCCTCCAAAATTCAGAATCTAATTAATTTATAAAATTAATGTACTGGTGATTGAAGTTTACTTCCTTTGCCATTCTCCTTTTCGATCTTACAACTTGAAGGTTTGTGTTCCAAAGATTATGATCTTTCTTTTAATTCTCCTGGAGTGGGAGGAAGATTGACTGGATTAGTGGCAGGAGTCTGATACTTAGTCCTTTTCACCGTCCTTTTATTCTAATTAGCCAGACCTTCAGCCTTCTTAGCCTTCTCTTTCTACTCCTTTTTGATATGAATAAAAATAATATTACTTTGAGGAGTTTCTTTTCAGCTTCTTTTTGGGCGGATAAAATGAAGTTCTTAAAAATTAAGGAATCTCTAACAACCTTAGAGCAAGTGAGGCTTCTGAAATATTGATCTAGCAATTGCTTCCGTTCCTCTATCAAATCTGGGTCAGAATTGACTGACTTCCACCAATGAGTTCCAGGAAAAGAGGGTAGTGTTATTTTGAGAGTCTCGAGAGCTTGGTGAAACTTTTTAAGTTCTGAGTATCTTTATTGATTAGAAAAGACTAGTTGATTTTTTTAATTGAAAAAGCTTGTAAATAGGAGATCACTGTTACTTTAATTGATAATACACTGTTTATTCACTCTTTTGCGATTGAGAAACTGTAATTACGAAGTCTAATACATTGTCTTACATTAAAATACTCTAAATTAATTGCACTAAATAATATTTTAATATTTGCTTAGATTCCATATTGCTTAATGTTATATGATTCGTATTAAATTCAATGTTCTTTGATTGGTTGGTTACTAGTAGTAAGGGGGAAGGGGTGAATATAGAATTAAAATGAGGGATCGGTTATTTCTCAATGGTGAGGCAAAGAGAGGGATCTGAGCAATCGGGAAGGGAGATGGAGAGGATGCAAAGTGGTCATTGACAAAATGGAATACGAATTTTTCTGTATTATTAACGATATTATTAATATAAATAATTATATAGTTAACTAGAATGAATGAGTCAGACAAAGAGAATAAGAACGGTATCAGGCTCAATAACAGGAGGATTATCGGGAATTATTAGCTTAGTATTGAAATTATGTTAATAACCAGTTAAAACATTGGGAGAAGGTACTTTTGGAAAGGTGAAGCTGGCCGTTCATTTGAAATCACAGGAGAAAGTGGCAATTAAAATATTGGAGAAGGAGAGAATAGTAGAAGTGGCAGATGTAGAACGAGTGTCCAGAGAAATACACATCTTGAAATTGATTAGACACAAACATGTAATTCAATTGTACGAAGTATGCATTTCCATTCAATATGTAGATAATTGAAACTCCCAAGCATATCTTTATAGTGATGGAATTTGCAAATGGAGGGGAGCTCTTTGAATATATAGTCAAACATTAACGACTTTAAGAAATTGAGGCCTGCAAATTTTATCAATAACTGATATCAGGTATCGAGTACTTGCACAAACTCTGTATCGTACATCGAGACCTCAAGCCAGAAAATCTACTCTTAGACTTCAACAATTCTATAAAAATCGTAGATTTTGGATTAGGGAACACATACAAAAAAGGTGAATTGCTTAAAACAGCATGTGGCAGTCCCTGTTACGCAGCTCCAGAAATGATAGCTGGCCAGAAATACGACTGTTTGATGGTTGACATTTGGAGCAGCGGAGTCATCCTATTCGCTAGCATTTGTGGATACCTGCCCTTTGAGGTATGATTTAAATACATAATTCATTCAAGGATCAAAACACCTCAGCTCTCTATAAAAAAATACTCAACGGAGAATACTAGATACCCAAATTTGTTTCAAATGAAGGAGCCAATTTTATCAAGGCAGTTTTAACAACCGATCCCAAAAAGAGGATTACTGTTGAACAAATGAAAGCACACCCCTGGTTTAACCTCTACTAAAGTTAGTCCAAGATCTCCCCAGGAATCATCGTTGGATATAACAGAATGCCTATTGATGACTCAGTTGTAGATTCTTTATCCCAACAAGGCTATGACAAAGAATACATCATTAAGTGTTTAGATGCCAACAAACACAATGATGTTACAACTGCTTACTATTTGGCATTGAAACGCAATTTAATCAATGGAATTCAATCCAAAGCTGACATTAACAGCAGCGTTTTCGAAGAATCCCTATTGGAACCTAAATAAAGACCCAAAAAACGTACTCATCCATTATAATATCTCGTTAGCTCCCATTTCCAATATCGTCGCCACTTCCATCTTCAAATAAAATAGATCTGGTTCAGTTTAATAGAATGGACAAACCAACAACAATTCTTAAAATAGAGGCAAGAGTGTTCCATAAGCCATTAGTGATGACCAAACCTAAATGCTTGTTAACTATGCTCATAAGATGAAATACCAACCCATCAATCCACAATAGAAATTTGCCATACCAACAGATGTCACTCAAATAATCTCACTTTAATCTGTCGATGACACTTTAGAGAGACCCAAATCCATCTCTTATCACATTCCCAAAAAGACTCCTACCAATCACTAGTCTTCAGAACACAATAAAAGTAAGACTGGTGTCTAAAGAGATTCTGTCTCACCACAGTCGAAATCTAAATAAAAGAAAAGCCTGCAAACTAAATAAGTGAATTCCTCCTTTGAATATGTCAGTGTCAATAACTACAGTACCAAACAAACTGAAGAACGCAAGAAAAGCAATAGCAAACATGGAACCAAAGATTTATTTGATTTAACCAACTATCAAAAAAAGTTAATGATTGATTGCAATCAAAAACCTACTAGCCAATTATGGCAATTACAAAATAACTTTAGATAGAACTCTAGATTGTATGAGATACCAACTTCGACTAAAACTAGTAACTCTGTCAATAAAAGATCAAAAGTTATCAAACAAGAAAATAACAATAAGAGTACAAATCAAAAAAGTACTTTAAATAATAGTTTTAATTTTGATAAAAAATCCTATTATAATTGAAAATACTAAAGCTTCATAGTTTGAGTATGATAATTATACACATTCATATATCATTTTTTATTATTATTTTTGTTAAATTCTCTCTTACTTTACTTTAGAAATGTGTATTAGATTATAATAAATAAATTATGTTTACTACTTAAAATTACTAAAAAATATCAATTTAATATTCATTTTGGCATTAATTTGAAATCTTAAAAATGTAAATCAACCTCTCTGTTTATCAAAAATAAAGAGTTTAGAACAATATTTTGATATGATTTATTGTTAATCATCCTCTAGAATGTTTCTTTCATGTTTCTATTGTAAATATTATACATATATATATACTTGTATTCCTCTATCTTTTTATCATGAATCTCAAGTGTTATGTCTATCATCCAAAAAAATAGTTTCAATAAATACAACTACTTGTTCGCTAATAAAATCTTCGTTAATTTTGAAATGTCAATTTATACTAAATATTACTTAAATTTATTTTCATTGAATTATTCAATTTTGCTGCATTGTATCAAAAAGTTAAAGGCTTACAACAAATCAAAAGTGTGCTTCTGTCTAGGATTTGACAAAGCAATTTAGTAAACTGTTGAAAATAGATTGTAATATTATTTGGGGTTGTTATTGTTTTTAACAAAAAACTTAGGTGTAGCACTTGAAGTAAATCTTAACTCTTGAGCCTTCAAATTGAATAAACATTCCGTTGTCAACAATATTATACCAGATATGTAGTATAAATTCATTGCTAAATGAGTAAATCCTGTTTTTCTGAATTCTAAATAGCTCTTAAGATCTTCCATTCTCATATCGATATTGTTAATAAAAGCTTTATGTGTTGCCAGCAATTCGTTCTAATTAAATGTATAAAGTTACAATGTTATTTCCTTTGATGATGTTTTCAATAAAATCTTTATGATATTCAAGAAGATTTTATTAGAACTGCTCTTGCACTATAGATTCAATAAAATCCTAAGTTTTTTGATTGTCTCCAAACATATTCTCAAAATTTTCAAAGAATTTTTTGTTCTAAAATACTTCAACTCCATATTTGTATTTCATCATCTCAGTCTGAATTTTATCGATTGCCTGCTCAAGATTAGGTTCAGTAAGTATTATTAGTAATCCTCCGATATCTGGGTATTTTTCAAATACCTATCCTAGGATATCATTCAAAATTAAATTCAATTCAATTATTGTATTTTCATTTTCTATACTCAAAAGGGATTGCACAATAAAGAATAATGTGAAGTATTCTAATTTAGAAACTAAGGAAGCAGAAGAATTGTAAATTTCCTTTAAGACTTCCTCATACCTTTGTAAGAGAATGTCCATTTTATAGCCAATCTTCCTTGGAATGGCATCTTATAGATCCTGCAATGACCAATTGTCACTTTAGTCATTATTTTGGATATGAGTAGTTTTTAGAGTCATCCATAGGAATAAATCTTGATCTTATGGAAAGTGATTGTTTTCAAAAACCTATGATACTGACCCAGAATCGAAGGCAATCAAATAACATTATTCGAATAAGTCATCATCGCAAAATTAATCAAGCTTTTATATTTTCTATTGATTTGTTTCACTAATAGATACATTAAAAACAATTACTTCCTAACTTCCAAGAGTTCAAAAAACAATTAGTATTTTTGATTCTTGGCAACTTAAAACATGATAGATTTTGCTTATTATAATTATCCACACCTCATCAATAGGAATAAAATTCCACTTGGGTAATATTACCCAACTCTCTGAATGTTTAGACCTTTGGCCAAGATATCATAGTAAATATCTTTAAATTTCTCTAAAGATAGCAGAATATGGATTACAATTAATATTGGCTAAATCCAAGACACCAATTCTTCTGCTCATTTCACTTTCCAACAATCGTATTGAGTTCTAAAGCAGATCCTTTTGAATTTTTTGGGATTGGAACTAAATTCCTTTAAATTGGAGAGATAACAATCTCATAATATCTTTGTGATCACTTTGGATGTTAACAAAGCATGAAAACAAAGATTCGTAATAGTCTGCTTTATCGATATTCTCCTTGATTTTTAGTAAATTTTAGAATTCCAAAAATTGCTCCAATTTTTAGTAAAATTCCTATTCAATAAACAATTTTTCAATAATTAGTTGATTGTGTGTGTTAAAAGAGATAGATTTGATGGAGACCGACTTTGGTTAGACTTGATCTGCTTTATTCTCATGTAACAGGTTTATTAGTTCTTTTGTCTGTCTACTCTGTGTTAGCGCTTCTTTTTTCTAAATTGAATTTATCATCTATAAATGATGCTAGTATATATATTGTTACATTTTTGTTCATTTGGAATTTGTTGTTGAGTTCTAAATAGTTGGACACTTGTTGCGAATACAACTCCTTGACTTTAAGTTAAGATTAAAACAATAGATTTTGTTTCTCTTGATCTGCTTTGATTCTTTGACTCAATCTCTATAATTCATCCTTCTTGGTGTATTCTAAATTACGCTCATTCAAGTTAAATTTTTGAAATAATTAACACACCTTTTAACTGAGAGTGTCAACCAATAAATCTAATATAATTATTTAAATAATACATTGAGTTTGTTTAACATTGATTTGCTTTTGGAATTTTTTCTGGATCCTGTTTTTTAAATACTTGGTTTGCTACACGAATAGTTGCAATTCCTATTATTTTGTCTATGAATATTAGGCAATCATAAATTACCAATTCTGGCTTTTCCTTGTAATACTTAACCAGGTTCTCGAATTCGCTTTTCTTGATTGCTTGATTTTGAGCTTACACAGTTGCAGTCGTAGGCTATAGTGGCTGCAATTATTGAACTGGTTATGGCTACGGCAATAATCCTTATTGTGTTTAGTTTGCTGGTGGCAATGTTTGCGCTATATTAGAATTATCGAATTACGCTAACCAAATATAGATGGGGGCTACTGTGTGTTAGATTATGGATTAGGAATCGTTGTTGGCTGCAATCCTAAATTCATCATTAGAGCACTTTTTATTTAAAATATTAAAAATTATTAAGCACACTTCATTATACTGAGTAATCTTATTTAAAAGAATCTCAGTAATTTTGGAGGGTAGGAAATCTCCATAAAGAGCATTGTGAATTGGATTAATCAGTAGGTAGTATAGATAAATAAGTACATATATAAATATAGAAAAAGTAATTCATCTTAGTTTGCCAATGGTTGATTTGTGGATTTTAGTAATTCTGAAAGTGCTAATAGACTTTTTTTATTGGAAGTCCATTTCACCAAAATCTAATTTCCTTTGTACGCATTGCATCTCAGCATCGCTGAATGTTTTTTAGAATTTGTCCGCGAATGGTAAACTTTGCATGTATGTTGTTTTGCTTGATGATTTTGGAGGTGTGAAAGACATTTTGTAAACAATAATTTTTATTATTAAAAATATTATTATTATTTTTAATGCATATATGTATAAACTACTTTTATTTTTCCTACTATTTTATTCACTTATCACATAAAAATTTAATTTTGTTTAAGCTCATTAAAATTATACGTTGTATGTTTAAATTCAAATTAAATTAATTATGAACAATAAAGGCATGTTTAAGCACAGGGACACCAACACTTTTTTAACCAACCATCCAGCTGCAGAAAAACAAAAGAAAAAACCATTTGAATATTTGAATCTGTCCTATTCCAAGCAATTTGATGGTTCGCCCATGAAGAAGCAACCTTACACATCGAAAGCCAATGAAAATTAATGCAAAAGTCAATAAGAACCTTCGTTTCCAAGACAAAACACTCTTCCCAATTATGAACCAACAAGATGTTCTAGCCTTAAAAATGGAATCATCAAAGCTTATGCAGCAAACACAAATTAAGGATTAGTGAGAGATTACAATGAAGATAGAGTCTCAATCATACTAAACATCATTAAACCCTAAAGCAGAGAAAATGAACCATGGCCCAAATGTTCCTACTTTGGAGTCTACGACGGACATGGTGGTTCAGCATGCGCAGACTTTTTGCGAGACAACTTGCATTAATTTGTAGTGAAGGAACCAGACTTTCCCTGGAATCCGATCAACGCTATAACAAAAGGATTTGAAGCAGCAGAAAAATGCTTCTTACAAATGGCCCAAGATTCATTCAATAATGGCATTCCCGAAAGAAGTGGGTCATGTGCAATTGTCATATTGATGATTGGAGATTCTTGTTATGTAGCAAATGTAGGCGATAGCAGAGCAATATTGAGTGCAGAAAGTGGGAAAAAGGTAATTGATCTTTCAAAAGATCACAAGCCAGAATTAGAGAGGGATAGAATTATCAAAGGAGGAGGGCAGGTTTATCAAACGCATGGTGTAAACGGAGAAGGCTTACCAATTTTAGGACCTATGAGAGTGAACCCTGGAAGATTATCTGTTTCAAGAACTTTTGGAGATATCGAAGCCAAATTAGAAAAATTTGGTGGGAATCCAAAGATTGTCATAGCTGAACCAGAAATCAAACATCTTAAGATAGTTAATGATCACGATTTTATTGTTCTCGGAAGTAACATTGACATATGTAATAGTAGGTGATGGGATATTTGATACGATGAGTTCAAAGGATGTGATTACTTAGATTTGGAAGGATGTTCAACAGAATCAAATTACGAATGATCTACATAATATGATGTCAAATGCAGTGGAGTCAGTAATAAAGGAAAGTTTATTGCGTAAGACTACTGATAATGTGACTTTGTTAATTATAGCCTTTTCAGTCACTCCTTAGAGAGAGTAAGAAGCGAGGGTTAAGACAATGTCATATATTGATAAACTAGTTAATTTTCCATAAAGTAACAACTCGACTAATTCAAGAACTAGGTATGAGTGTGTATTTTAATGATTATAGAAAGTAAAATGATGAAAATAATCCATTTTTCATGAATGCTCAAAAATTGAAATAAAATCCAAAGTTAATGAAAAGCAATTTTGAAGATCATTTTCAGTATCGTTTAATCGGTTGATGATTTTAATGAAAAACAATTAAATTTGAAATATTTTTTCAAAATATTATAATATCTCCAAGTAAATGTTCTCTATAAGAGAAGAAGCCAAAAATAATCAAAAATAACGGGATTTTAGAAGGCAATTTAATAATATATTGTAATATTAATTAATCATCTAAATGTCAAATTTTACACCCTCCCAAAAATTATCAGACTTGCTGAAACATGAAGGAAGATCAAATTCGATGCATTCATTCTATAATAATAGATCATCATGCTACTCGACGATTAATTTGAATAGCTCGTTGCTGAATGGATGGGATACTCAGAATCATCAACCTATCTCAATTTTAACTTCGAATCGAAGTGATGTCAAATAGATCAATGTCTCTGCCTCAAAATAAGTATTGCACTCCTAATAGTTAAGGATATCACAAATGAGATAGTATCATCTAAACATGATAGGAGATCGTCTACTCATCTATTTGTTCATTCAGGATTGGATGCTTATGAGAAGTACCAGAGTTAGCCAAGGAGAGATATGAAGATATATCCAAACTATAAATAGGAATTGCTGCATGAGGTAGTGAAGATAGAAAAACCATTTTATATTACTTCTGTTGAAGAGGTCGAAAGGTATTGGAAAGCAAAGGAGCTCATGCTACTCAGACAAAAAAGTTAATTGGAATTCGAAATAAAGTTGTAAGCACAACTTGCTAATAAAAAGCCAGTCATTCTTAAGGTAGAACCATTACAAGAGATCACACAAACCGAAGTTGAAATATAATAATTAGAAATATTATTGAAGTATGAGTCCCTAATAAGAATAGGAACTAGAACAAGTAGATTAACGAATTGAAATTGGAAAGTGAGGAATTGGATGTCAAATTTGAGAACTTGTTGGATTAAGACAATGATACACAATTCCTCAGATATGAAAAATAGCTTAAGCATATTCAATAATCATTTAAGGATTTGAATAGAAGGTTTCATGAGACTGAAGAACAAATATCGATGAAAGAAAATGAGATAGAATCGAGAAAAAAACAAATGCAGCGGAAGTCTTCAATAATAATGCCTTCGAATCTAAGGAACTCTATGACTGACTCTAAATTTAAGTAGAGGTCATCTTTCAAAAGATAGAGTATAAACTCTGGAACGATGAGTCCGACTCGAGTGACCTTCTCATAGAAGAGCTAACCCTCAGAAGAGTGCATTAAATTCAAACATTGATATTATTTCTATTCTGTTTAAATATTGTAGACATAAAGATTTTTAGATTATTGATTGTTGATCTATATTGTGATAAACAATCTTATCACTTTCCAAATAATGTACTTCTAATTATTGGTAATGAATCTTAAAAGGTTTGCTCAGTTCTAACATCTAGTGTATTTTTGCAGACAATCAGACCCTCCTTATTTGTTAAAAGTATTCCTCCGAAGCACTTCTTATCATTTTCTGTTTTGGAAATGACCTTGGGATATCAAGGAGTTCAATACCTCTGAGGCAGATTCCTGTAAGGAGTAATCTTGAACTCCTTTTATTGAGTTATCTATGAGAGTTCTTTCGTCCAAACACTTATCTTCATCAACTTCTATTTTGACTTCAAATTCAAGGCCGTTCAACTCCTTTCTTAAGATATCCTAAAACTCAGCTATGGCATCATCGATCACATTCTTTACATGTCTGATATCTCGATGGAGACATCTACTATGTAATTTCAAGATTACCTAACTACTACTTCGTGCTCAAACAATTTGATTAGACCTTGTACAATTAAGTTTTTGAGTAATTCCTCATAAAATCGCTCGTCCTATCTGATCATTTTATATATTTGGTATTAGGACTATGAGACTATGATTATCAATGTACATCAGAATAGATCTTCATCAATGCTTGATTTCTGGCATTCATCAATCTCATTCTAGCTCCATTGACTAGTGCACTGTGCTTGATTCTCTCTTATTGGGCTTTCTTCTTATATTTTGTATTGATTTCTTCTTAAATGTTAGATTTCTCTCTCTCAACAATCGACTTCTTCTCCTTCTCAAATTACTTAAATGCCTTCACTTCAATCTCAAAGCATTTTTCTCTAGCTTCCTATAACACGAAGTCCGCCAAGGATATTTGGTCCTAATACATAAAATGTAATATTAATTAATCAGAAATAATATTTTTATAGTATTTTCTTCAATAAATTAGTGTCCACAGGCTTAGGCAGTATTTCTTTCATCCCCGATTTCATAGCATAATCAATATTCTCTTTACTGTCATATGCACTACACATGATCACTACGCACTATATTTAATGATGCGAAAACACCTACAATATTTCTTTAGTTGCCTAACATCCATCCATCTCTGGCATATCAATATCCATGAATATCAACTTGTACCCACATTTGCACTGAGTTACTTTCTGTTTAGCCATCTCTATAGCCATATAACCATCATAAGCACTATCAACTTTCACATTGAAATATTTCAGTACAGTCGATAATGCCATATGATTAAATGGAATATCATCACAAATCATCACATTAACGCATTGACACTTGATTCTCCCTATACTTCTGTATGGTTCTTGGATGTGATCTTCCGTAGGCTCGATCATCTGATCCAAATATTGCTTCATGTCCTTCACATAGAATTTGCTTTTCGTGTATTGATTAACTGAACTGAAAATACATAAATCTCCAGTATCGCATAATTTCCTCGCTATCTGACTACTCACTTTCAACCCTAATCCAACATATTACATATAGTCCTCGTCCCCCCTCCTACTCCAATCTAACTCGCAATTCTTTAAAATCTTGGTAATCAAATACAACTTCTCTACTGGAATTCCACAACCTGTATCGAACACTTCAAATTAATATGTAGACCCAGCCCTTTACACTACAAAATGTATTTCTCCTTTTTATTTTGTATATTTGACTGAGTTGTTCATTAAATTCACTATGATTTGCATAATTCTATCATAATCACTGCTAATGTATGTATCATCACAACTTGTTATAGTAAGAGTAATCTATTTTTATTCACATTCTGCTTTAAAGTAATCCTCAATTGTTTTTATAATGGTAGACAATTTGAATAATTGAGGTCTTAATTTAAAAGTTTAAGCTTCGAAATTTGCGTAATCCAAAATATCGTTAATTTGATGTAATAACTTCTTGTTTGATATTATTGCAGGTTTCAAATATTAGTCATTTAGTTCTCCTTTTAGATTCTGATCTAGTATCTGTAATAATTACAAGGAACAATTTAAGGGAGTTCGCAATTCATGAGAAAAAGAATTAATCAATTTCGAATAGAATCGATATCTCTCCTGCATATCTTACTGGTATTCAAAATTTGTAATGTTTTCAATCACTATCATACAACCATTAGCTATATCGTATATTCTTATTTCAAAGGTTTTCCCAGTATTAGTATCTTTATATTTTAATACATTTATTTTTGTTTCTTCCAGATTTTTAATTTTGTGTTTATGTATGATTTGAGCTATATCCGATACATTACTAACGTGGGTTGTCTTCTATTACAAGGTTGCTCTTCTTTGTTGGCAGAATGATTGCAAGCGTTTGATTGGAAAATCTGACTATTCATCTAAGGATTCAAAAATGGACTTGTGTCTCTCGTTTTTCCGAAAGCTGCCATTCTGTTGGGATTGCAAATACGCTCTAAATCATGGATATCAATACTTTTAAATCATCAGATATAATGCTTATTATAAATTGTTTTCAATTTATGAGGAAATATATTTTCTCACTTTATTATTGGAACTAACGACTTAAAGGTTATTATCAAGCAAACAGACTCCACACGGGATTCTGTTAAGGATGTCGTATAATTCTACAGATTCCATCATCAATCCCATATTAAGATAATTTTGATTTCGATTTATCAATTACGAATTTCTCTAGAATGGTTTTCTTTCCTGCAAATAATATGAATTATCCTTACCTTTTCACACAAATAAATAAATAAAGCAACAAATTGAACACCAAAATAAACCCAGTCTATAATTTCGAAATTAAATGCATTCATCGTGCTAATTCTTACGCTGTAAAATACTAGTAATAACCACTTGTGGTTAATTTTGCTGTATAAAGTCGCCACAATTGATGGTGTAAATGGAGCATCATAAAAACACAATTCCAATAAGAGTGAGATTCTAAAGTATTTCCAAACTAAACGTTCACTTTTGAAGAGCAAGAGTAAAACAATTATAAGAGCAGCAGATATGGCAATTAGATGGACATTCTTTGATAAGCTTGCACTAATTAAATGCTTTATGGCAAAAACTAAGTGAAGGCATCGTTTATATTTATGAAAAATCATTTATTTTGATCATATTTGACTTATAAATTGTATAATCAACACTAAAATAAAGAAAAATAAAACTCTGATTCCCAGCATTGATTTGCTGATAATACTAAGTTAAATCAAACCGTACCAAAAATGAAAAATCTTATGTACAACACAAATTATTTAAAAAATACTTCATCTTATATTAAATCTCTATATAATTAAATAATTTAAATGGCTAGACAATTATTTTTCAAATTGATGTAGACATTCATAGATTCGAATCATAAATACATATCGTCATTATTTCAAATGGATTTTTAAGTATCAATTCAAACAAGATTAATGTTTTGATGTAAAATAATCAAATTAAAGGTATATATAAATGATAATTCAATTGATGAGGCTTTAAGAAAAGTCTCTTCTTTCTCTAATAGATTATAATATATCTATAAACCTTTTAATTGAACTTCTCATATCTTCGCTTACATCTTACCCTATACACCAAATTAACTTCTCACAAATTTCCATATCTATCCTAGTTATAAAAAATGGTTTGTCAGTGAATATTCCTACTACGGATTGAAGTACAACATGATAATTTGGTTACTCTTAGGAAAAATAAAATATAGATCTTGCATTTTATTTACTCATTTTCTAAAATACCTCATACCATTCAGATAGCATAGGTTTTTTCTCATACATCTTTTTCCAACAAATTAAAAGCAAATTTTAAAGCTAGTTGATTTGACTCAAATACAACTCATGTTTGAGCTAAATTGAACCTAAAACTCTATCATAGTGTCTATTTTTTAAAATTTTTATTCTTTATTGTTTTCTTTATTCCTATGTTTATACTCCATATATGTTAAAAATCAATTTTTATATCTCTTCCTGTTACAGTTCACAAATTTTAATCTTTATTATCATCATTCTTAACTTTCACTAATTCAATGCAGCACGTGTGATTTGTCGTATCAATAATCACAAATTCATGTCTCAACGCTTGCCCAGTAATTATCCAAGTAAGAGCAGTTGCAATACCTGATGGAATATACTACCAGACAGATTAGCAACATCTGTCTATTTAAGTTATCTTCTCGTTCATCACTTCAGACAATTAAATGCCATTAATGGGTCCATTATTATATAATATTTGCTTACAAAATTAACCTCTTTCCAGTTCCAATTCTTATTCCAATTATAAATCGACTCTTTGGGTCTTTTATGCCTCCCCTAGCCTTATCAATGAAATCTTCGAATCAAAAATTGTTGAAATCAAAGCTATTAATGCATTTCCAACAACAATATCTGAGGCCATAAACATCATCATTTAGAAATAGTTAATTCAATATTTTTAATAGTCAATTATGATTTTGTTTAGCACATTTCAACCTGCATAATAGAATTTGGTTCTAAGATGATTGTAATAGAATTTTTGTATAAAAAATTATATATAATATTAATTGTAAATATAATTAATAAATCAATACTAATTAAAAGATGATTAATATTTTCATATAGATAAATATATATGTTAATTCAATTAACTAGGGTTTAAGAAAAGTCTATTCCATTTCTAATAGATGATACAAGTCTAACAAAATTCTCGATGGAACTTTTCATTTAATCAGATATCTTTGATCCATGCCAAAGCATTTTTTCTAATGCAATCATATCTAATCTTGGCAGAAAGAATGGCTTATCAGTAAAAATTCCAAAAATTGATTAAAGCACAATATCATAATCTGGTTATTCTAATGAAAAATAATATATTGATCTTGCATATTATTTACTCATTTTCTAAAATAAATTAAAAAAATTAGCTGTTCTACTTTTGTTCTAATAAATCTTTCTCCAACTAATTAAAAGCAAATTTGAAAAATAATTGATTTGACTCAAATACAACTCATGTTTGAGCTTAATTGAACCTAAAACTCTATCATAGTGTCTATTTTTTAAAATTTGTATTCTTAATTGTTTTCTTTATTCCTATGTTTATACTCCATATATGTTAAAAATCATTTTTTATATCTCTTCCTGTTAATCATTCTTAACTTTCACTAATTCAATGCAGCATGTGTGATTTGTCGTATCAATAATCACAAATTCATGTCTCATTGCTTGTCCAGTTAAAGCCCAAGTAAAAATAGTTGCAATACCTGATGGAAAATACTACCAGACAGATTAGCAACATCTGTCTATTTAAATTATCGTCTCGTTCATCACTTCAGACAATTAAATGTCATTAATGGGTTGATTATTATATAATATTTGCTTACAAAATTAACCTCTTTCCAATTCCAATTCTTATTCTAATAATATATTAATTCCCTGTGTCTGCTAGGCGTCTGATAACCTTACTAATGAAGTAATAGAATTGGCCAATAGTGGAACTAATTCTATCAATACATCTCCAATCCATGCTGCTTCAGCTCCTGTAACTAGTGCAATCATAATTTCTAATTTTATAATTCAATAAATTTATTAATGAAAATATGAATTTGATTTCAGACATTTGAAGAATAGATCCTGAATAATTTTTAGACATTTATAATTGATATAATAAATAAGGCATTTTATAATTTAAATTGATAAAGATGTTTATATATTTGATGCATTGCAATTTTATGCATTTAATCATACTTTACAATTGAGTGCACAACTAAACAAAATATTCATAATTGATACAATATAGAAATCCAAATTTTTATTTATCAGATTTAAATACAAATTCTTTCTGTTATAACTAAGCAAACAATTAATTTAGAATATTATTCAACAATCTTAAGAATGATTAAAATATTTTGTTTGTTAAGTCAGATTTAATGATTAATATATTAATTCTAATTAATGACACATTGTAAGGAATATTCACTTTTATTAGTTTTGAGGAGAAAAGTGTTTACTTTTTCTTATGGATTAACTATAGACTTTGGATTTCTCTTTAAGTTATTTTAGTTTTTCTGGTTCGCCTTGGTTAAATCTTGTTAAAGCAAGATTACTATCGCTGAATTTAATCTAAATTTATATAAATAGAAATACTTCAAAGTTTATCTTCTATAATAGAGGTCTTTTAAATTAGAACAAAGGAGATTGTTCTTCTTAGTTTTTAGTCATTAAACTCTTAATTTTCATCAATTTTCCTAAATCAAGTGACATTTTCAATTTATTAATTTCTAATTTGCATTGATCCTTGAAATTCCATAGAGTTTGGCCACAATTTTATTCGAAGCTAGGTATATCCATATTTGAAGTTATCTATTCTATGATATAGATAAAATTAAATACCAGCCTTCAATAATTCTCCTGTCTTCTGATTGTTATTCAACTGATATTTGACCAAAACGTTATCAAAACAACCAAACATATTGATGACGTAAAACTCTCCATTTTCTGGTTGTATTTACTCCCTATAATCTATAAACAAAGATTCATTCATTTGCTATTCCTACTGTGCGAGCTCAATGTCGATATCAGGCAATTTCAATTATATCTTTTGCTTCTTTAAGTTGATCTACCCCCTGTTAAACGTAGCAATAATCGCATTATAATCTTAGGAAGTCTCTGGTAGTACAAATTAGGAATTAGTGATTTCAATTTAATAGTTAAAGTTATCCTTCTCCTTCAGGAAATCCTCCTCATGCTTTATTTGCAATTACAAATCAAAGTCCTTTTAATATTTTTCTTTCAATTCATCCAAATTCTTCTACAATATTGCTTCCACCCTCTACTTAAATGCTTGAAGTTCATTGATGTATCTTGAGATCAAGTAAAATCTCATGTTCCTGATTGAGATTATCTTGTTTTCCATGTTGAAAACCACAACCTACTTACTATCAATGGGCTCAATCAAATTTTAATAAATGGTTTTTTCTCCTGCTGAATTCTATGGTTTCATCTCTATTTGCTGTATTGACAATTACAAATTGGTCTGATTCCTCTTATTTAAATAAATTGAATGAAATTGAAACAAAAAGAAGTCCTTCTCCTACTCCTGCAATTTAATAATCAATGATTCTATTATAAGTTCGGATGCAAACTTATATGCCTTCTTGTAATTATTGATTTGATTAACAAATATATTCACTTGCTTTTCCTCCCTATTGAAAGCATTGAGTTCTTGCTGAAATATGTATTTCAATAGATGCTATTTCAATGAAATCGTTTCTTCTATATTTATCAGATAGAAACTATTGATTGCAATCAATAAGTCCTAAACCTTCTATTGCGAAAGCAATATTTTGGCTTATTCCACCTTTGCCTTCACCAACGGGTACGAATTTTGGAATGACAAATTAATATGCAAGGCATACTTAGCTCTTTGGCCTCCGATATCCTTTCCTGGCATTACTAGCAAGTTCTCCTTTTATCTACCCATAATACTGATTTGGATGTCATCAACCGATAAACTCAGTTCGCCTTTGCTTTTGGTCACCAACACTATTTTGATGTCCACCTAAGAGACCTGATTGAAATTAAATTTGATGGTATCACATCGTAAGATCTGATCCTCTTCGTAATTGTTGATAGAAGACCTCGTTTTAGGAATCTAGATGTTGCTAAGATTCTATGGGTAATAGCTTTGAATGGCTCTCTTTTGTATGGGATTGAATCTCTACCTTTCCATCAAGTAGATTTAGACAAAGACTCTCAGTTGACTAAGCTTAAAGAATGTTTCATTGGATTTCAAGTAAATATTCTAGATGATTGCACATACAATCATTTCATCAATGACTTTCAAAGGATTCTCCTTTAATTTGACTTTGTTCTTTTCCTTTTTCAAGAGATCCTAATTTACTAGATTAAAGGCATTTTCCTAGATGTTCATTATTGTGGATATGTTTTTCAGTATGGTAATAACATTGTAGGTGGCAAACTGATTACTGAATGTGGCTTTGATATTTTCGATAGCAAAGAAGAGTTTCATTTTTGAGTGTTTTTCTTAGTAAATTTCTTCAGCCACATTCAGGAGCAGATTGGCTCTCAAAGGTTTGTGAAAGTAGAATAGTAAATAGATGGGATCCTTAACATTTTATTAATCAATTAAGTTATTTTAAGATTGCTAATCCTTTTCTTCATACTCAGCAAAATCATGATTGAACATCTCTAGCTCTTTGTTTCTGCAATAGAAAATAAATTTATCATCCAATTTGTCGCTTAGGATTTAGGATTCTTAAACGAAAAGTTAAGGTTCAAAGACAATGGGAGTTTTCTCAACATTGGATTCATCAATCTCATCTGGTAGGCGATATGGCTATGGTCTTAAAGATGCACCTTCAAAATGTGATTTCGATTTTTCAACTGAAAAAGGAGGAGGAGGTGGAATTTCCAATTTATTTGATTGAGACATCTCCACATCATTCTTAGACTTCTGACAATGTATTGCTATGGTATCCTTAAAGTACCCTTTGTCATGTGTGATTATAAAGAGGGGCATCTCAAACACAGTGACATAACAAACACTTTTACTAGTTTTGGGAGTGCTTTTGAATGAAATTGAAATCCCTGAGTTGGTATGAGTCTCAACAAAGGTTACTTGACTATGTTTCTTTGATATTTATTGTTCTTCTATCTTCTTCTTTTGCGTTCTAAAATAGATCATCTAATTTTCGAATTCAAATAACGAAAATAAATTAATATCATTCTGAATCCTTGGAATTGAACCAAAAATAATGTTACTCAAAGAGAGACTTTTACGAAATCTCAAAATGCAATGTTTACAATCCTTTTTTTGTTTCTTATGATCATTCTACAATACAAGTAATTCAGCCCTCATCAAACTATCTTTACTCATTTGATATCTGAACTCTTGGGGTCGCTTTTTCTCCTTCTATTTCAACTTCTTGTTGATAATCATGAGTAATTCAATAAAGCAAATTTGTGAGTCATTAATCTGCAGATCAATATATGGGATTTAGATGTATAATTTCTTATCTGTAATCAGGGGGTGATTCTCTACCAGTGAGTCAAACGAAAAAAGCAAGAACCTCGATTCCAATATGATAGACTTAATTCCTGATATTTTATTTACTGGCTTGCTTTATAGATTGGTTTGCGAATTCAGTTGTTTGTCTTCATATTGATTTTTAGATGTGACCGCATGTCTCAGAGGAAATTATATCGGTCTTTAAAGCTATTCACTGTTGTTTCTTTAGAAAGACAATGGAGGAGAGCCTTATTAGTCCTTACCACTTCGCTAGGATTGCATTTACTTTTCGTAGTTTTTCATCTCTTCATTATAATATCTGTAATCGATGGAAAAGTATTTATGAGCAATTTGAAACTGTTCTAATATAATTTTGTTGATGCAATAGTATTTCTACTCCTCAAAGAAATTGTCCATTTTATTTTTGTCAACAGATGTAAAGAAGCTCTTGAAATCCTTATCCTGACGCATCTTCTCTAAATTTATAGTCTTTATAAACAGATTCTTAAACTGGAGTTTCAACTCTGTTTTTATTTTGCTTGCAATAGAATCAGTCACTATTCTTATTTTGAATTTGTCAACCATTTCAAGAGAGAACTTCCACTGCTATTGCTTAATTGTCTCCTTGGCCAAGGGTTTGCTCTTAACTATGCATTATAATAATTTGTTGTCTTCTTTGCATTGCTTGTAAGATTGCGATTCAAAAATTTGCTATTTCTAACTATCCATAAAATATATCAAAGACGTGACAGCCTTGGTGGATAATAGAAAAGAAAAGGCAGTTATTTTAATCTTAATCTTACTCTTTGGGTTTGATTTACTTTGATAAACAGCTTCTTTGGTATGGCATTTGTTAATCTCGTTGTTTCTGAGAATTCTGTATTCCGAATGCTCTCCTCTGAAATTTAGAGACACCTATAACGCATAGATCTGTTGATCCTGCTCTTTTTTTAGTTGTATTTGAGGAAATGTCAATTTGTCCCTCAAATTGCTGATGCATGTAGGCAAGATCATTTCTCCGAATTCTTCAATGAAGGGTATGAATAGGACTCTTCGTATGATGTCAACTATTTTGTTGTGTGCTTCTTGGAGGAACACATGTTTATTATTATTATCGCAAATAATCCATTGATTCGGTTTTTCTCTTTCGTTTGCATTAATGGTGACATTCCTAAGAAAATCCCAATGATTCTTTTCGTTTTTCTCACTTTTCTCATTAGGCAATTGTTGTTTTGATATGTGAATGAAGAGAGGGTCTTCGATTTCCTGTCTGTCATCGAAATATTTATCGTAGGATTTAAATTGCTCAGTAGTGAAATCCTAAAAGCCATTCTTATCTTTCTCATAATCATCCAGAAAACTCTTTATATTCTACATCCTATTCTATTTGAGGAACTCTCCCAACATCTGATAACATATTTCACTATTTAAGAATTGTTAAGAATCCTTTGTAACTGAGATTTCGAAGATCTCGTTGAAGAATTCGCAATACTTGATCTAAGATTTCGAATTTAATTATAATTATTTCTTCTCTTACTAGGATTCATCAGGCGACTTTCCAAACAATGGAGATTGCAGTAAATTGCGAGGTTCCTTCTCATCCATTATTTTCAACAATATTCCAGGAGAAATCACTTTGATGTCTCCTATGTAGATCTTCTCTTCCAATTCCCTCTATCCTTTGGGCTGTGGAGTTTGAATTCCTCCATTTTAATATATGTGAAGTGGAACTCTGATTCCAATGAAACTGATCAATAGAACAAACTTTTAATGCAGAGGCTAATCTGCGTTTTATTTTTGTTCCTAATTGTTGACTTTTTCTAAACTGTTCGACTATTGAGATATCTCTGAATCTACTCCATTTAAATCCTCCATATCTTCATAAAAACTGTCGATGTAGTTGACTGAATGAAATGATTTATCCTCACCCTACTTCAACTCACTATAGACCTGAGTTAAAGTGTTTACGTTAGATGATTGTCTAACCTTCTTTCTTGAAGATGCTTGTTTTTTTAATAATTTAAGATGGTACCTGCATTAACAGAACTTAAAGATCTTCGTGTTTTCAGGTGTGTATTTAACACAGTTCAGTTCCCTTTGTTCAAAAATCAAAAAGAAGATAGAATGGATTTTCAGTTTGAAATCTATTTTTAATTAATTGGGATGATTGTTTTCTCCTTTCAAATAACTAGTCAACACATTGGTTTTATCTCTTTCTAAGATTTCATAGAGATTTATTTTTTCATCATCTTCAAGTTCTATTGGGATGTCATCATTCCTTTTGGTGTGATCCTTAAAGGAGTTCTAATTATTAATAGTGTTGGTCCAAATCTCAAGGAGTGGTTTGACACTCTGATCGTTTTGGCCATCCTTCGCTGAATTGCAATATCTCTTGGCTTCCATTCTGATTTCCTAAAATGCCCATTCTCGGTATTTCAATAAGTCCTTGAGAGGCAGATTGTCCTCGCAGATTTTGAACTTAGATTCATCCTTTGCAGTCCACTGGGACAACCATGGCACCAATACAATGTTTTATTTTCTCTTGTATAATTAGATGTATCTTTTCATTGAGACCAATTTCTTAGATGAAAAACTAAGATCCAATTTCTAACTCTTTTGTTTAAGAATGATGGAATTAATGAAATACTTCCACCAATCTGAATAATTATTTTTTATTTCTTTGGTGGGTCTTAGATGAAAATTATCTTAAATTATTTCTTAACATGATAGTACCTCATTCAATTTAATTAAATAGTTCTTTTATTCCTTATTCAATTGGATGATGACAGGAGATCTGATTAATGCTTCTAACACCATGATAGGCTATGTAAGTTATTCGTAATTTTTATTAAGAGTGTACTTGATTTCGATATCGATTGGCATCAGAATCATTTGCACATCTTTCTTGGTCAGGATATAGGAAGCCTCCTTTTTCAATGACATACTCAATTTATTGATCTGCAACAATTTAAATGTGCTGTTGAGATCGTTGTTGAAGTTTTATTTGAATTCCCCATCGGTTGCTTTGATTGAGGCATCAAACTTAATTCTCAAGATAGTCTCGTATCCAAGAATTGAGAAATTGCAAAATCTAACATTAAACTATTTTATGATGATGGACATATTGTTGAATATCCCATCAACTATTTTCTGAATCCAATTGGGTGGGGATAATTTTTCAAAATATTTGGCCATCTATTCTTCCCATAATTTTAATTTATGCTTTTTCAAATTCTCTACTCCCTATTACTGATAATCTTTGTTTTGAGTAAATTTATTGATCTCCTAAATGGTACAAACGAGTAGTTCTACTCCCTCAATGATTAATTCCGGTTGATGTTTTTTATAGTTAAGAGGCATCTGTAAAGGGTTAAACTTCATACACTTACATTCAGAGTGATGGAATTGATTTTGCCATCAATAATATAGAGCGGGAATTTGAAATTAAGCAAAGCTTGTTTTTTGATGGACAAATTCTTTAATACGATATTGGATGAAATTCCCAAAGAAAACTAAATTCATAGGGGAAAATCAATTTACTTTTGCCATATTATTTTGGGAGAAATCCTGTAAGTATTCCAAGAGATAAGAAGACAGTCTTTTAATAAAGTATTCTTCAATTTCTTTGGCCATTTATAATATAATTATTATGATCAAAATGATATTAATTATTATGTGATCTTGTGTGTCTCCCCCCCCCTCATGGCAAATACGATATCAAAAAGTATGCTAATCCTCCTAAATTTGAAAATTAAATGTATTTACATAATTAGTATAATATAATATAGATATATTCATTGTGTAGAAACCAACTTCTTCTTCTTTGGTTCATACATCTGCAGTTGTTCTTTTTGCCAAATGAATTATCTCTGATCTGCTGGAGTCATACGAAGTAAAATATGAGTCTAAGTCAGAATTGAAATCTTACTCTTCGAGTTTGATGCAGCATGGTTTTACCCTCTGGATTTTCATTGACCGATTCGTCGTAGTTGAGATTCATCTTGTTCCAAGGGTCAGCCTTGTTCAGAATCAAGAAGTAGGCGATGTTATTCTATTTGTGGATCAAGGCAAGATACAAGGGAGTTCTGCCCACGATGTCTTGAGAATCTGGATCTGCTCCATATTTTAATAAGATCTTGGCAGTAGATTCCAAACCTCTCATTGCACACCAATGAAGAGTGGTCATGAGCAAATGATCGTATTCATAAACCAAGTACTTGTTGTCATCAAGACACTTGATGATTTCCTTGTCCTGACCCTATTTACACAATTAAAAGAAGTGTTTCGACGACGGATGTTCAAAGGGTTTATTGGGAAACACTTTGTGCGACAAAAATTCAGCCGTTGTCAATTTAAGCTTCTCCAAATGTCTCAAATATTGAATCAAAGAGGCTCTGATTGCCTTGTATTTATGCTTTAGGGGAATGTTCTCAGATGGGAATTTCTGAAAGTTGAGCAACCCTCTTATTTACTTACTTCCATAGAGTTTGTTCTTGTTATAGAGAATGTTATTTACATTAAAATCGTCGATTTCAGAGCAATCCCTATATCTAGAGAGTTGATTCGGACTCGCAAATTGAGTGACTGATGGTTGTTGAGGTTGGGTCTGTTTGGAGAGGATTTCTGACTTGAAATCACTTTTAGTGATGTCACTTACTAGTTGATATTTGGGATCGATGGTTAAGGAATGGAACTTGGTGGTCGTTTAATTTGGCCGATAAGTTTGAGATTTAATGATTTGGGATTATTTGGAGAGAATAGTTGGTATTTTTTTATTCAATTTAACTACAAATCTTTACGGTTTATGATTTAATTGTAATTTTTTTGTTTGCATAATTTAAGAAGCAGTAGGAGTGTGCGTTTTCGTAGTGCTTTTACAATAATAATGATTGGAGGAGGGAAGAGTGGGTATTTGTCTAACGTGAGTGTGAATGAATGGAATGTCACACAGCAATTGACTTAACAAGATGGGATGGTTCTGCACATCTTGATGATTTGGGACCAGCGACTTGAATTTGGTTTTCCTTGGAGTTGTAGGCACTGATCCCTGGATCTTGTCAAGGTTCAACAGGCGTATATAGTTGGTTTTGGAGAATCTAAATAAGGCAATATGAATACTGGTTTTCAGTCTTGTTTCTTTTCATAAAATATTAATATATATATAATAATGGATAAGGACATTGATGTAGACAAGGTTAATTATATCTCCATCATAGATCATAGAGAAGTTGTTGGAAACCAAAGGAGCTCGCAATGGAAAACCAGTAAATCTGACTGAAAGTGAAATCAGATCACTATGCGTGAAAAGCAGGGAGATTTTCTTAACTCAACCCATGTTGCTAGAATTGGAAGCACCCATCAAAATATGTGGTAATTCACTCTCATTATATCAAGGTGATATTCATGGACAATACACAGATTTGTTGAGATTATTTGAATATGGGGGATATCCACCTGAAGCTAATTATTTATTTCTAGGAGATTACGTCGATAGGGGCAGACAATCCTTGGAAACCATCTGTCTACTACTTGCTTATAAGATTAAATATCCTGAGAATTTCTTCCTGCTCAGAGGAAATCATGAGTGCTCTTAAATCAATCGTATATACGGATTCTATGATGAATGCAAAAGAAGATATAACATCAAATTGTGGAAAACCTTCACAGATTGTTTCAATTGTTTGCCTGTCTGCGCAGTCATCGACGAAAAGATCATCTGCATGCATGGGGGGTTATCTCCTGAACTGACAAATTTAGAATAAATTCACAGGATCATGAGACCCATTGAAGTTCCAGACACTGGGTTATTGTGCGATTTGTTGTGGTCAGATCCTGAAAAAGATACCTAAGGATGGCAAGGTTGCTTAAATCATCTCCTATTTAGATAACGAAAGAGGAGTCTCTTACATCTTTGGAACTGATGTCATATCTAATTTCTTAAAGAAAAACGACTTGGATCTGGTCTGCAGAGCTCATCAAGTCGTTGAGGAAGGCTATGAATTCTTCGCTAAGAGACAACTAGTTACGCTCTTCTCTGCACCCAATTACTGTGGAGAATTTGATAATTCAGGTATTTTTTATAATTCAACCATTTTTAGGAGCTCTAATGAGTGTTGATGAAACTTTGATGTGCTCATTTCAAATACTAAAATCACAGGACAAAAAAAATGTTCCATAGGCTAGACCAAGAACACCAAAATACGTTAATTGATATATATATTTGAATCATTATATATAACACAATATTTCAAAATAATGTGTTAAGATTGAATATACCTAACCAATTATGTAATATACATCCTGCTATCTATGTAATAATAATGGCCATAAAAATTATTTAATTTCAAAGTCTGATTACTTGATCAGATTGTAAAAGTTGTATAATTGTAAAATTTGTAGTATTAGAGATTCTAAATTTATATATATTGTATAATCATAAATTTAAGTGTGTTATCCATTTTTTAACTTCTAATTTTCATTAATATTAATAAATAAGTGATATTTGTTATGGACACACCTCCATAAAATAATTATAAACATAATGTTGATGATAATTTCAGACATGATCTATGCTAAAGAATCCAAACAAAAACTGGAAGTAAATACTTGATATATTATTAGAAATGCCTCAAAATCAGAATTAATAGGCAAAGTAATTTTCAGAAAAGGATCAACTCTAAAAGATATAGAATGAATTGAGGGCACAATTAAAGTTCATTGATGAAACTAATTGGATGTTTGAGGGATTGAACAACGCAAATGATAATTTTTGAATTTTATTACATTGTTAATCCTACTTATAAATTTATACATATAGTTTTAATTAGAAATACTCTATAAAATAAGAGAGTGCTTTGTGAAGGAGTGATTTAAATTTGAGATCGACGTAGAGTTCTTGAATTTGAATAATTAAGAGAAAATAATGAAAAGTCAGTTAATTAATGAATATAGATGATGGGAATAAGAGTAGGCCAATAAATTTTAAATAAGTAATGCCCAATTAAATGCTGAAGACGGCAAGTTTGATGAGAGAAAGGGAGAGAACCCTGGGAATTGGATGTGAATTGATTATATTAGTTGAATATTATAGCAATTTAATAGTAGTTACTTTGAATAATTTATATTTTTTAATGGACTCATTATAAATACAGAAGCAACTTATGGTTGAGTAATTGAATAAGTTGGAATACATGGATAAAATACTGCCTCTGCACAAGGATGAAGTTTAAGCAGAGAAGAAACTGCAAGTTCAGATCAATAGTCTGAATTTCAAAAGAATTATTGAAGGGCAGGAGAATAACAAATTGATGGCAGAAATAGAGGAGTCGAAGTTAGACGTATAGAAGAGTAGACACAAAGCCTTCCAGAAATACTTCACCTCATTTATGACGGAGTAATAACAGTAAGATGTCAATATTCTTGAATTCAATTAAAGTGATTTCGAAGTTTTTCAATAAATGAAGGAGAGGTAAAGATAGTTGGCATAGGAAGATCTAACAATTGCTAGGTAGAAAGAGAAGAGCAATCAGATATTTGAATAAAATCTGATGAAGAAATGGGACAGAGTGAGGAAAAGTAGTATATTGAGTTATTCTAAGAATTGCGAATGATTGGTAGAATGAAACGATTATATGACGAAGTAAAATTGTATGGTACAAGTTGTAGAGTGGAGACCTCCATAAAAAGACATGAGGTGATTCAGGAACTGGAACAGATGCTCAACAAGCAGAATCAGTAAATTAGCAAGCCGATGCCATAGAAACACAGTAACAATTAAGTCTATGCATAGAGCATCTCTTCCTACCGGATTCGAAATTCAAGAAATATTGGCAATATGTTCTGATGATATTGTTGATTTACACTGCCTTTATTACTCCCATTCGGTTAGCATTCATAGAAGAATTCAACTTAGTATGGTTTACTTTGGAATTAATAGTAGACATCTTATTTTTTTTGGACATCTTGATCACATTTAATACAGCCTATTTCAACGAGGAAGGAGTGCTTATAGTTGATCGTTAATAAATAGCAATTCAATATCTAAGAACTTGGTTAATATTCGATTTGATGGCTGTATTTCCTACTGATCAAATCTTTAAGAATGAGGCTCAAAAATTATCTCAATATTTCAAGTATCAATATTAATTTAAGACAATATAATAGATTGACCAGATTGCCTCGGATGTATAAATTGATAAGTATCAGTAGAATGTGGTCAACAGTTTAGAATTCTCAGGATCATAATGATTGTTTTTCAGCAATCCAAGATTTGATAAACTTGAATTCTACCACTGTGAGAGTGCTTAAGTTTTTTGGAACTGTTCTTGTATGTGTACATATCATGGGTTGTCTCTGGTATCTAGTTGCCAAACTCAATGACTTTGGTCCAAACACATGGGTGTATGAATTGGATTTACTGAACAAAAGTGAATATGAATTGTACTTAACCTCCATCTATTGGGCTGTGGCTACAATTTGCACAGTGGGATTCGGAGATATCCATGCTTTCAATGACAGTAAAGTATAAATTAGACATAGCTGAAAGAATTGTGTGTATATTTTGGATGTTCTTTGGAGTTGGATTCTACTCATTCACAGTTGGTTCACTCTCCACTTTGATGGGAACTTTGGATACCAGAGAATCTCATTTGCAGAGCAAAATCACTTTTATGGATGAGTTCTGTGAAGAAACCAAACTGTCCTTGTAGATGAAACACAAAATCAGGAAGGTCTTGGAATACAACTCAATGATTAACATATTCTCCTCTGCTGAAGTGGACGAGTTCCTGTCTGAAATACCTACCAATCTCAAATATCAAATCGCCCAAGCCATGTATGCTGGTCTCAAAAATAGAGTCTCTTTCTTTAAGAATAAGGATTCAGTCTTCATCTCCACTCTCATTCCCAAATTATAGCCTTTAAAAATCAATGCTGGAGAATTTGTATACAACAAGGGAGAATATCCCAATCAAGTATATTTCATTGTCAATGGCAGAGTCAATATGGTTATTGGAGTGTATTCAATCACCTTTAAAACATATGTTACAGGTAGTTATTTTGGGGAAATTGAAATATTTGATAACAGTGCACGCTTTCATTCAGCCAGAGCTGAGTTAGAATGTGAATTGTTGGCCATTGAATAGGATGTATTTAAAAAAATATTGCAAGCATTCCCAGAATACTTTGAAGAAATTAAAGCAATTTCATTAGAAAAACTAAAGAGGGAAAAGGAGGCCATTGAAAAATTATAAGATTTAACTGGATTATCCCAAACTTCTGAATTCTTTAACAAGAAAAGAACTCAATCCATCTATAAATCAATTAAATAGAGAGAATCTGTCCATTTCATAGATTACAGTGAAGAATCTGAATAAGATATGAAATCAATGAGATCCAGCAAACTTGGTTTCTTCAAAAAGAAAACCAATCATTTGATGCCTGAGGAAAGTCTTACTACTCGATTACACACTCAAGAAGATACCTCGTAAAAGAACCTTGTAGCTTCAGATAGTAGCCAAAAAAAAAATGAAGAACCTGAAAAAGTAATTACTTTGCCAATTCCAGATTAAGTCAAAAGATAGAGTGAACACAAAATTAAATTATATGGAGAAGTGCCTAATACCATTTCATAATTTAATGAAGATACTGATCAATCTCAATAACAAAATAATACTCAAAGAATCTAAAGCGAAGAACCAACTCGTCCTCCCAAACCTAAATAAGTTAGATATATTAGCCAGAATCTCAGATGCAGTCCAAAGAGAAATGACAATCGAAAACCATCCATCTAGATAAATTCCACTAATGAAATTACAAACTCTGATACTCCATTTATCTCTTCAGTCAGGTCTAACTTTATCAAACCTTCCATTAAAATTGATGAAGTCTCTCATGAATCAGAAGGGTCCAATAAAAACTCTCCCAAAATGTCCATACTTTCTCAAAATGCCTTATCTCCTTAAAATTCCCCCAGAAGAAATTCAATACCATCGAGAGTTCCAAAACCATCTCCTTTCCAAACTCAACAATCTATTTTCAAAGCTGCCAGCAACCAATATATTGAGGCGAGTAAACTTAAGAATCTGCCCAGATTTGGTGGGTTCAGAAGAACATATAGAAAAGAAAGGGAAATCGAAGTCTTAGAAGAAACAATTGAAAATGAAGATTATACCTAGTTGCAATCAAAATTAGTGGAGCTCTTGGAGAAGATCAAGAAATAGAAGGAAGAATAAAAAACAAAAAAATCAAAGATCTAATTCAATATCATTAATCCATTGCCTAAAAAGATTGTTTTACAATAAAAAGATTCTATTAGTATTTCAGATTTACCAGATGTTGAAAAATAATAATTAGATAGTAATAGTAGTGGTATATTAGAATGATATCACACATAAATTTCATCTCAACTTAATTATTTATTTATAAATTTTTTCATATTCTTCTGAATCTCCTTGTATTTTTTAACATTTCATTACATAAACAGAGTCACATAAAAGTGCTATTGCATAAGTCATTACAAAATCGCATTTACTTATCTTCAATTCAAATTTGCTCCTTTTTACTTCGTAGTTTTATTATTATAGATGAGATATGATTTTTTAAGTCATCCTTTAAGGGTCCACAAAAACCAGTTGGTTCAGATGATATGGACCTTCGTGTTACTTCACTACAATCAAGGGACTTTGTGGTCTCTCATAGGAATGCTGATTATTGAAATTGGGAGCTCTGTAGACAGCAGATCTTTAAGGAGTTTTCAAGGTTCTCGGTTTTTAAGGCATAGGGGAACGATCTGCATTTTCAAGGGCTCTTTATTTAAATTACAATGCTTTTAGTTTGATTTATTCTACAGTAGGAAATAAAGTTTCTGGTTTTTTTTCAATGCTCAAGGAAACCTACCTAGCTCTAGTGGTACAATCATATTAATTGTAATTGAATTGTGATTGATAGATGGGAGTATTATTTAATGATGTTTGAATGGATGGCCTTTCAGGAAAGGGTATCTAAGCAGACAAATTTAACTAATTATTGGTAGTTGTATCGTTGTCCTAAGGCTAATCTTGGTTGCTTTCAAATTAATTATTTTGAACAGGTTCAATTTAGGATAGATTGATTAAATTCTAGATTTCATTAAAATTTTCGCTGATTTCCTCAACCTCATTGGGATTCTAAGTTTCTGGTATTTGTGAGATTTTTTCTTATTAAGAATTTTATATATTAAAAGTCTTTATAGAGTTGGTAGATTTCTATTCCTGAGTATTCTTTTGGGGAGTCCTATTCTCCTTAGTGTCAGCCTGACTTATTCTTTAGGGTTGAATGTTTGAGGTCTCTTTTAGGATGGCTTCCTGTGGGTGTTGTGGAGGAGGAATTTAGATTAATTTATATTAAAATGCCTCTTCTTGATCCTACTACTTTTCCCTTAAATATTTATTTAACAATAAATAGTAGGTAGTGGTCACTGGGTCATGTTTGTTGGCTTTTAAGTAGGCGTATGCTTAAGGTAATTTGAAATTGTAGGTAGCCAATTACTGCAAGACCTCATTGCAGATGTTGATTTCTCCATATCCTGGAGTCAAAATGGGATTGGCAATGCAGGTTTGTATCCAATAATGCTTCACTATTTAATGGATGTTATATCTTTTGAGAGGATCTACTTATAATATTTTTTCAAGGAGGTCTTTGCATAAAGGACTCATGTATTTTGGGGTAGCATATTCTCCGTAGATGATTTTTTTATACATTTAGGTTTGGTTGTTGTCTTCAAAAGGGAGGTATCCATTGACCATAGCAAAAAGAATGACTCCACAACTCCAAGTGTCTGCGGATTTGGGATCGTACTCCTTTCCTGCTATCATCTCAGGGGCAGCATAACAGGGACTACCACAGGCTGTTTTGAGCAGTTGACCATCCCTAAATTGATTTGAGAGACCGAAATCTACAATTTTGATCTTGTTATTTTCATCTAATAGCAAATTCTCAGGTTTGAGATCTCTAATATATTTAAATATGGTTACCTGTGCATAACGTAATTGTCATGCATATATTGAACTCCAGAGAGAATTTGCATCAAATATTCCGCTGCCTCTTTTTCATTCAATCTTTAGTTTCTAATTATAACATCAAACAATTCTCCTCCTGGTGCGTATTCCATAATCAAATATAATGAATTTACAGTTTCAACTATCTTCAAATAATTGAGGTCTTTACTTCATAGATCTATATTATGTTGGGGTGACGCAATTTCTTCAGACAATTAATCTCCCTAGAGATTCTTTAGTAATCAGTCTCTTCTTTCATTTTATCCTTCTCCAAAATTTTAATGGCAACTGTTTCGTTCGTAATAGTATGCTGACCCAATCTGACCTGTCCGAAAGTTCCCTCTCCGATAGTTTTGCCGAGGGTGTAATTTCCTATTGATTTAATACTCATTCAAAAATTAAATTAACTGATGGGAAGTGTTTGTAAGAAACAAGATGACGAAAATGAACTTAATAGTTTAATTCCAAAAAAGAAAGGAGACACCATCACCATATCCTAAAACCATGGAGGAGGGTCTCAGATCATCTAAAAAAAGAGAAGCACCGGAAATAAGGGAGATTATGAACCAGATGCTGTTGTGGAAAAAATAGAAGTGGAAGTATCTTTTACTATATGATGAAAGCTTAAACGTAATGATAGAAAAAAGTTGGTTAAGGTTGAAGCTCGTTAGGATCAAGAGGAAATAGTAGAAAACATCTAAAAAAGTAATAAAAAGAAGTCGCCTTTTGATTACTAACTTATTTTGAATTCATTCACCACAAATTCTCTATTTCAATCCCTTTCCCAATAGGAACAGTAAACAATATTAAAATATTTCTTCAGGGAAGCTATTTTAGAATAGATGTTTTATTGCACTACATCAGATGGCCAATTTGTATTCCGACAGGGAGATTTGAAGGCAAGCTCCTTTTTTCTAATTGGTATTATTGCTCAATATTGAAGAACGTGGCTAGTGTCAGATCATAATAGATGGAGAAGTGAAGAAAGTATTAAAACAATCTGACTCATTTGGAGAGAGAGCACTATTATACAATGCTCCTAGATCTGCATCTGTGAGAGCAGTTGGGGATTGTGCATTTTGGGCTATCGATAGAAATCTATTTAGAAAAATGATTGAGGATATGAGAATGCATGAATTTGAGGAGAATAGACAATTTGTAGAAAATTTGAAATCATTTGGTATAGTATCCAATATATCCAATAGAATTTTTAACTTTTGATTAAAGAACAGCCATCTCAAGTGTGTTGTTTACAGTGCAATTCAAGAAAGGAGAGATTATAGTATAACAAGATGAAACAGCAACTTCATTTTTCATAATTAAAAAGGGATCAGTTTCAGTCATTTAGAATGACAATGAGATTAGAAAGATGAAGAAAGGTGAGTCATTTGGAGAGATGGCTTTATTCTAGAATTCTAAACGAGGAGCCACAGTCAAAGCAGCCGAAGAAGATGTGAGATGTCTTGTGATCACAAGAGATGAATTAACTAAAATTTTAGGAGACAAAATCTAAGTTATTATGTTCACAAATAAATAATTATGGGCTATTCAAAAACATTAAGTCTTAGGATAATTAACTGAACTCTAAATCCAAAAAATTGTGCAAAATATGAATCAATTCAATTATGAACAAGGAGCTGTAGTCTTTGAGGAAAAAGTGTAGAAATTGGTGATTGTTTTAAAAGGAGAACTAATATTTGTAAATATCTACGTTTATACTTAAGGCAGACTGGGTCTAAAATGAAAGCCGCTAGTGAAGGTTAAGTTTTTGGAGACGCTTACTTCAACAAGTAACAACTCAGTGACCCAGTCATTGCCAAAGATAAATGCATCCTAGCAGAGATTGATTTCAAAAGATTTGAAGAAGTCATCGGTGGTGCCTTAGATCAAGTAATTAATAAAAATTAAAAAATCAGTGAAAAGTAAATAGAACAAACTAATTTTATAATAGACACAAGAAATAAGAGAGTTAGAAACATGATTACTCTCATCTTAAGCTAGAAGAATTCATTTCATTAAAGAAATTGGGATAGGGATAATTTGGAAATGTTTATTTGGTCAAAAATCCTAAGGACAATCCTACACATTTTTATGCTTTGAAATGCATATCCAAAGCATAAATTGTTGATTAACATCTAGAAAAACATTTAGCATAAGAAAAGCAAGTGTTGACATCTGTGCATCATCCATTCCTAATGAGATATTATTGCAGTTTCAAGGATTCTAATCATGTATTCTTCCTTGTAGAGTTCATCAAAGGAATGGAACTCTTTGATGTAATTAGAGACATTGGTTTATTGAGTGCTTTTGATACTCAATTCTACATTGGGTCTCTCATTCTATGCATAGAGTATCTCAATAAACAAAAGATTGTTTACAGAGATATCAAACCTGAAAATATCATGGTTGATGAAAAAGGTTATGTGAGACTAATAGATATGGGAACGGCAAAGTTTCTAAACCATAAAAGCGGCAGAACTTATACTATCATTGGAACTCCTCATTACATGGCCCCAGAAATCTTACAAGGTAAGGGTTACACTTTCCCTGTCGACATCTGGTCAATTGGTATCTGTATGTACGAGTTTATGTGTGGATAAGTTCCTTATGCTGAAGAGGCTGAAGATCCATATGAAATCTATGAGGATATCTAAAAGAAGCAATTATCTTATCCTCAATTTCTCAAAGATAGGAAGGCTAAGAAGTTTATGGAGTAATTGCTTAATAAAACACCTGAGTTGAGATTGGGAGGGTCCTATGCCAGTCTGAAGGCCAATTCATGGTTTGACTAATTTGATTGGGTACTTTTTAATTGTATTTTCAAATAGGATAAGCTGTATGATAAGGAAATGAAGGCTCCTTATATGCCACCTTAATAGAAGATGCCAGCCACAGGTAAGGATGTGTAAGGTACACCAATAATGAAAGAGCTCTAAAATCTGAATGCCCAAGTCTATAAAAAGGAGAAAGCGAAAGATCCTAACTGGGATCAAGAATATTGAAGTATTTTATGCACACAACTTTTTTATGAAGAATCTATACAATTAACTAATTAATATCAATAGATACAATATGAAAAATTAATTATTAATTAATGACTATTTTTTTCCATAAAATTTTAGATGCTGAGACTGAGAGATAATATAATTGCTTCCAAAATGAATAAATCATTAAAATTCAAAATAAATAAAAAGTTCTAATCCTTCTATTAATAAGTGTTTTTACAATTTAAAAAGGAATTGAGAAAAGTTGGACTTCATTATCCTTTAATCTATTCGGATTTATTTTTATAACAATATCCTACAAGTTTGTGAAAAAAGCTTCCATGTATTACAAATATTTGCTCTTGGTTATTGTTTTGATATTTAATATTTTTTACCCTTTGAATCGCTACATTGGTACAATTCCAAATCAAGACACTTATTTGGATGGCTACTTTATTTGCCTTGGTTCATTATCGTAAGTTATTCATACTACCTATTTAGAATCCTCAATAGTGTAGAGGCTTAAGCCAAGTACATGGTGATGATACCAATTCTAGTATTTAATTTGTATGTAGGGCCTTATAATGAAACTGGCCTGTGGTCACAAGGCTTGAAGTTTGGGATTATGACAGTCATGGACATTCAATTTGGAATACAATAGGAAATTTATAGAAGAAAATAGTTTTTCAAGTTGAATTGCAATAAAATAATTCAAAATTATTTCAACTCCTAAGATTTGTTCGACATCTTCAAGGTTAAATTCGACGAAAATGTTAAGTCCATAAAATTATCATCCCTATTAGAAAAACAAAAGTTTAATGAATTTTAACAATTAGATTTTAAATAGCGAATAAGAAAAATATTAGTTCATCCTAAAAAATATAACACTGAGATGAAAAAGAAAAATTAATAGAACCAATTTTAATGGAACAAAATTAATTTGGAAACATTTCTACTTTACTTTCTAAAAGGAATAAAACCCAAAACAGAATTTAAATTATTTGAGTCTTTCAAGAACAAATTGAAAGTAGAGCTTGAAGAAATCTCAATTAAAAATTTAGTATAGAATGAAATTTCTACATTCAACTCCAAACAAATTGTAATATATAAAATTCATCACTATAAGACTCCTCAAGCTTTGATAATCTTGAAACAACATTAGATATCCACTAAAATCAAGAAGTTGAAACTCAAACAAGAAAATTATAAGCTCATTATAAAGTACTTTATTTCCATCTTTAACTCTTCCTTTAAGAAATGCTTAACAATATTGCAGGATTTCAATCAAATTTGCGAATTCAATATAAATTCATAGCAATAATTAATATTTCGTGAGCATCACACTTAGTTAAATAAAGCTTGGAATTCATTTAGAAACATGGTAGATTTTATGCAATTATCATGCAATATCAACCCATTGGCAACCTTCAATATTCTGCAAATGATTGAATAGTTAATATAAGCAGTTAAATATCTGCATCATGATAATGTTGTAGATCTGGAAATCATAAATAAATTAAAAAGTTCATTTGTTGTCTCTAATAATGCAAAGATGAAATAACTCTTCTTAAATTTGTTCTATTATATATTAGATCTAAATTATGGAAAAATTTAAATCATATTACAAGAGGAGTAAAATAGCAATGATAATATTATTGATGTAAAGATTAAGTATCAAAGAGAAAGCATATTTACAAAGTCAGAATTATCCAGTTTTCCAATCATAAATCCAATGACCTTTTCAGATTTACAACGTAATTCAAGGAGCATGTTTAATTTAGAAATACCCATTAGCATTTGGTTGGTAAGACTTTTAGGACCAAAAGATAAAATTATAATTAGAAAAATGAAATAGTAATATGAATTAGAATTTTAATTGTATAAAATATTAACTGCTGATATGAGTTTACAACAATATTATAATATAAAACTAGAAAATCAAATCATATTACAACAAGAAGAATAACCTTTGATCACAAATTGTATTTCTATATAGCCCTGTTTATATGGACAATGACTTTATATTTTCAAAATTAGCATTATTGATCGTCTATTTTCTTAATCATTTAGTCAATAAAAAATAAATACATTTGAATAACAAAGAGTTTAAATTCTTCTTTAAAATGTAGATCTTAATATAAAGGAGAATTGAAATTACGAACTAGATTATCTGTTATATGTAACATTTTTATTTAATAATTTGATATATTTTTGATAATAAAGTCATGAATCTACTTTTTATATAGATTTGATTGAGGGAGAAGATTCAGAATCTGAATCATCCTATTATTCAATTTGGGGCATTCTACTAGGAAGGTCAGACAGAAAATGTGTCTATGTAACAGGTGAAAAGTTAGTTAAACTTTTGACTTCCTTTCTCATGTTAATCCTAAAGAGTTGAATAATATCATCATCTAAGAATTCAACCAAATGTTGGTTAATTTGATCATCCTTAAATTTGGCAAGATTGTTGAATGCTGTTTAAGCCTCAATTGCTTTCTCAAGTTCTGATTACTCAGGCTTTAGAATTGAAAAATAGGATTGCTTATTGCTCGAATGCAAATCTATGTTCGGTTTCGGTAGGAAATCAAATAATTTGATTTGATCTGGGGACAATAAAATCATTTTTAATTTATCAATTTCTTGCAATTTCTTTACTATGTAAGTAATATCAAGAGAATTATTAATCTTGCTCATTGAATACGAGATCAATTGCTACTTCTAGCCTCTTGCACAAGGGATATAATCACAAAAGGATAATTCTAATTTACTGTTCCTCTCATCGAAGAATCGTTTGATGCTATCCTATAAGGCATTAATCAAAAACTTATGGTCGTTCTTCTCTGAATTTCTGCCGTTCGTTGTCATTTATCGATTTATCCTCTCTAGTTGTGAAGTTTTCAATTGAATTGACTTCAACCTTTATTTAGCAGTATTGCTTGGGTGTATCTTTTGTTACTACTCTTCGTTTTGATTGTTTAGGTTAAAGTTAAATAATTCGTTCAAGAGGGTGACTTTATAAGACAATTCGTTTAAGGGAGTTACAATAAATAAAGCAGCTAAAATGAAGATTTCGCAAAGGCCACCGAAGTCACTTAGACTTTATTGAATTTTGGGATATGAGATTTGATAGATTTATGTCAAATTATCTAAGTAGAAGCGATAAGTCGCATATACTTTTTCATCTTGGGAGTCGAAGTTCTCATATAGATTATTGATTGATAGAGATTTAGTGGTTTCTAATTCTTGCAAGATGTATCCGTGATCCTATTTGACTTCTGTAATTTGGAAGATGCCATTGAATCTTTTGGTGTAATATTAATTGATAACATTTTTAAATGTCTTGCCATATAATTGATGGGGTTGGTCAAAGTTCATAGTGTCTGCATAAGTTGATAGTGTCTTAATAATTATCTCATCATTTTCTATTAATGGACATTTACTGCTAGTTAATTAATAATAAAATTACGTTTCTTCGCATTGATTAATAGAAACTTCTATATACTTATAATAGTCTGAATCCAAACTGCCCTCTATAATTACATGTGGAACTGACTCCCAATCTATGCAATATTGAACTAGCGAAGTATTGACAAAATAATCGTGAAGTCCTTCTTGTTTTTAACATCGTATTAGAGGAATATTTGTTTTTTCAATATTAGGAGTCATCTTCGAGTTGGTTTTATCTTCAAATAGTTGACTCACCAACCACATTGAAACAGTGTATGAATCTCCGAGATCATAATTTAGAGAACTGATAGTAATCGTGAAATTTTCTTTCGATAAATATATTGGGGGTTGTTGTTGTGAGTATGATTGGTTAGTAAGTAAGGTAGGATTGTCATGTATTACAAATGACGAAACGATATTGATAAATTGGATTAAAAGCACGGAAATTATGCCCATGGTCATAAAGGTGCCCAGCAAAGTTCTGTGTCCCCCTTGCTTAAGGAGGAACAAATCAACTGGTTTGACAAAGACGTTAATGTATTTTAGATAGTGAATAGCTTGATCGAGTTTTTTTTGATTCATTTATAATGATAATGATTGAGATTTGAAAACCTTTTAATGAATTGTTTTAGGAAATATACTATGGTAATGATTTAAGAGTTTTTAATATTGAGAATTCAAAATATATTAATACTAATAATAAGAATAAATATTCATTCATCCTCTTATGATTAAATAATCCTTTATAAAATTACTTTTTCCAATCCCATAGAATTTCTGAACATGATTTGCTCATTTAAGCCAAATTTCTTTTTAACTAGATTCGAGTGGGGGAATATTTCATCCATGAATGAAAACTCTTCAAAATTAAAATAAGGCTTAAAATCCTATCTTCTTGAGTGAATAGAAGACAACTTATATTATTACAACTTGTTTGCTTATTACACATAATTACATATTTATTTTTATAGTTAGTGTTTATCTTTAGTATTTAAATTAATTGAGAAGGATGGTTTTGATAATTTTTTTGCTTTAGGTCTGGGGATTTTATCTACATTCATCTTCTATCTTCTTAATTAATTAATCAATCTAGAAGGAGGCAGTCTCAGTTACTTGTGCTGATGTAATTAGTTCACCACATAATCATAAGATTCATTTTCAGTTTTGATGGAACTGTTAACATGCGAAGACTTCTCATCCTTGGGTACATAGAGAGTCTTGTAGATGAGGTTCCTATTTTGAGAACTCATTTAAGTCTTTGATTTGGTTGTAAGACTTTGTTTATCAAAGTGAATAATTGGAAGAATCTCCTTACTCATATTAATAATAAACTTATAAAATAATTCACACAACATTAATCCATTTATGTGGTTTGCTTCCAGTCTAAAGGAATAATAATGAAGGAATACTTGAATCTCAGTGATCATATCAAACAACTAGTGAGACAACTCACCAGCATTTAACTTAGGATCATACTTAACTTCGTAGATTTAGTCATTATATCCAATAGCTTCGATTGGTTGAATGCTGACAGCAGTGCCTGATCCGAACATTTCAATCATCTACATATAGAGAGATTTATGTTACTCTTCCTTCACTTATTGCCTCGATGACTTCTTGGATGTACACCTTCTTTTCTATAACTTTGAATTATTTCATCTCTCTGGTTAATTCCTGAATTTAATTTCAATTTAATACAAGCAATGAGTCTCTGACGATTCCTGGCAATATGGTACCATCGAGTTGAGGAGTAACCAATTCTCTTTCTCCTTGCTTATTCTTCCAGAAGAAAAACAAATTGCAAACTCCCATCTCCTAAACCAATCCGTCTGGTAACATCCACAAATTTTGATGGAATCCAATTTTTTAAACTTCCTTCAATGGCATGACGGTGGGAGCATAATTACCTGCAACTTTATATCCTCCAACGCCTCCTGGAGCTGAACGAATCTATTTTATACAAGCAAATTATTACTGTTGTGGTATTACAAAATACTCTAACTGGTTTTAGACCAGATGGGAAATATGGACCCACAGGACATAAAACAACAAACAATTTTGCTCTGCTGGATGCTCTCACTCCTAAAGCTTCCTCTGTTGCTATGATGGTTGGTCTTATGTAACAACTAAATCCTGGTCTGTCAGGTATCCAATCCTGATCCACTTTCAATAAACCTTCAATGCATTTTTATAATTCTGCCCCATCAAAGTCAGGCAAAGAAAGTCTCTTTGCTGACTGTTTCATTCTGTACATATTGCAATCCAATCTAAAGGTTCTGATAGTCTTGTTTGGACCTTTGTATGCCTAATAATAATCCATTTTTCAAAATACTTTAGCTCCTTCAAAACACTCAATGGCATAATGTAAGCATGCAGCAAATGGGTGGATGGAAAAGCTTTTAAAAGGAATAATCTAAGGACGTGACCAACTAACCATAATATTGACTTGATTACCCCATTTTTTCAGTCCAATCAATTTCTAACATATGATCAGTGTGAAATGCTCCGAAAGTCATTATTTTAGGATCACAAGGTGGTTTCGTTATGTAATGCATGGTGTGAGTGGTTGTCATATCTCTGGCCTAGAAATTAGGATTGCGAAAATTACTTAGAAGGAGGGATATGGACTAGTGAGGTCTAGATTTTTGTAGTAGGAAAATCGGAAGAATAACTGCCATATAAATGAAATGATGATACCTTTTGAACTTTTGACGCACTCATGGACCGTAAAATAAATATTTAAATAATTTGATATCTATATTAAACAATTACGCATTATGTCAATGTAAATTAACTCATTGATTACGCTATTATACATTTACGAATTATTGCATTAAAATTCAATGACCTAATATCACCTGGAGAATATTGACATTGTTAATTAGTCATCATCAAATTAAGATAGATGTATAACAATCAAAAGATGATATTAAATGACAACTTAAGGGAATAATTAATTTAAATATTAAGTTGAGTCTTCCCTTCCCACTCAAAACAAATTGCTATGAAGAATAATTGATTAACTAAGCTCAATAGAAACAAGAATTGATCAATTATGGAAGTTTGAAGAATACTTTCCTATCTTGACTTAAATCTTGGATAATCACTAAATATAAATGATAATGTATAATAGCAAACTAAGCATTTGGATTAGATGTTTCTTCAGATATTGGAAGCATTCTACATTTTCACACTTTGTTTTAAATTAAAAGAGATATTGATATGCTGTTCATAAAGCATTTTAAGAATATGGATTTGGATTACGTAATTTGAATACATAATATTCTGAAGTACATATTCAAGAATCAGATTAAAGTAATCAAAAATATATACAAAAAATGTTTTGTGCATTCCTAATTTAGAATAGAATAGAAATAGAAAAATCATATTTTGATGGTTTTAATGAAAAATAGAATTAAAACTTCATATATGTGATTTAGTATGGAAATCCTAAAAGTAACTTAAGAATTATTTAATATTTCATACTAAATTAATACCTATTTGATAGCATTCAAAAGAATATCAGATTTCTTATACTGCTCAACATAAGATTTGTTCTGAGTTATAATGAACACGAATGAGCAATTCTTAAATTATGTTGTGACATAGCTATAAGGTGACACTTTTGATCATAATAGATTTTTTGTATTAAATTAATTAATATTTTAACAGTATGGGTTAATCGCAATCCCAAAATCTAGAACAATCACGTATGAGTGTTCCAAAAATCAACTAATTACAGTTTTGGAAATCAGTAAATGACATCCGGTATGGAGAAATCAAAGTCTACAAATTAAATGATGGCCATGCAGTTGCTGTAAAAGATCACATCTTTCAAGATGATGAATAATGGCATCTCTTTCGACAACAAGCAGAATAACAGATGTAATCTAGATAGAAAGATCCATTCTTAATTGAAATGCTGGATTTATAATTTATTACAGAAAAAGAATTATGCACTCAGATGACTTAAGCGCATAGTGTATATGAGTATTTTGATGAATACTTGGAAAGATTGATTGTAGAACAAGCAGCATCTAAGCAACATTTTGAAGAAATTGAAATAGCAGCCATGCTTCATTGTACTGTATTGTCTTTATTCATTTCATTCTAGTTGGTAGCCATTCAGAAGTTGAGCATTCAACAAAGGTCTCATGGAGACATCAGACCACTTACCATAAGTGTCACATCATTTCCTAAAAACTGTGCAATCCGATAACATGAACCATACCCAATTTATAAATTAACAGATATTCAATAACTAACAGACTTAAATGCCTTCAAACGATGTGTGACCAAATAAGTGGCAAACTACAATTTAAGTCCTGAACAATTGCAATTTCTTAAACAAAAAGTCCTTAGACCCACATATGATATGAACAAATCAGATGTCTTCAGCATCGGCTTAACTGCCCTGTAGATGACGACACTGAAAAGTATCAACGATATTTACGACTATCCTCATTATCTGATTAATACGGAGAAGTTAGATACCTACATACGAGAGATGAAAACACTGTATAGTGAACAGTTATGTTCTATAGTGTGTTAATTGTTATAATTAGCCCCTGAAACCAGACCTAATTCAAGACAAGCCAATGATCTGTTAATTGGTTACAGATTTCAACTTGAAGATTATTTCAGAGTATTTTGTTCATCCTATTAAGTAATCGACTCTCTAAGAAAGCTTACCTAATTATTCAATTGATTTTAGATTGCAAAATAGTAATCAAAAAATTGAGTAATAAGTGGTCAGCAGAGTAGTAGACACTACTGACGTTTATGAACAATTAGAGCTCCTGGAATAAAGAACTAAAATTGCACTTCAAAGAAGTTAGGATGCATAAAATAAGTGCCAAAAAACACCAGGCAAACAATTAGAACAAACTAGAAGTTGCTAATTATATAGCAATCTAACCCCCATCACTTAATAAGAGCTTTAATTATAATTAAGTGATTACAAACAAGATAATTTAAATCAGCAATCTTCCTACTATAACCAGCATCCCAATTACCAAAAACAAGAAATTCATCAATTTTAGATTCAAGAACATGAACATTATGAATATAACTAATAAGAAATTGAGGACAAGCCTAAGTAAAGTGTTGTGGAATAATTTACTCCCTCCAATTTAAAAACCATAGAACAAAGACCCAATATTTATAATGCAACCACCCTTTCATAATAATAATTATTTGAATCAATTAATACTGATTAAGCTAAATCATATTAGCAATAACAATATTCTTAATAATATCAGAATCAATCAAAATACTAGCCATAACCAAGATAATCCTAGCTTCTTAGAGATTAAGAGTTGACAAAATAATTGACTGGATAATAAGAATTTATCCCAAATTATTAGCACTTACAAGATAATCATGAGTAATCTCCTTATAATTCCAAATAAGATATCCATTAGCAACTCTCTGATCACTTTGAAGCCTAACAATAAGTGGGAGTAAGATTATCAGGTACCCAAGCATAGAGGTAGAGACAACAAACTGGTTCAATAGTGGAAACTAGAAGATCTAATCATTAATGATTAATTATAATGATAATCTATAAATATCTAATTATAATCAATAATATTCAGTCAATAGTATTAACTATTAATTAATTTCAGAGTTCATTTGGTAGACCATGTAATCTTTCCAAATAATCCATTACTGGAGTACTTAAGGCTGCCTGAACTATAAATTGAGACAGCCTCAGCTACCAACCAGCATAGTACCCAATCAAACCTTTATCCTTATAAACTTTGATAAAAGCCTTTGGGAGAGTTAGTTATTTGTAATTTCCATTTTGTTCCATTTAATATGCTGTCTTTACAGCATCAAATGGTTAGACAAAAAGGATGTTTGGAATGGCAGTCAATAGACTGCACATTGCAATTTAAGGCAAAGTTAGAGCATGACTTGGGCTCTCTTTAAAAGAGTACCTAATCTTGTGGTCCCAATAGAGGTAATTGGTCCAAGATACTACTTATTTCAAAACCATAGCCTCCATGCCGGTGTAAAGATTCCTCATAAAATGAGACAATGACCTTTCATTTCTCCATAACTATTTAAGTACTAATGATATTAATTGAATTTACTTGATTTTGATTAATGTTGAGTCATCAATTAACATTTAATTCTTTCCAAAGGACAAGTGACAAAAGATTCAAATAATGCGATTGTTGCACCTGCCAATCCTTTGTGCAAGGCGGGATGATGCTCAATCCAAGTTTATGGTAAAAGTTCCCTATAGTATTTGGGGATCAATATCATCATTGGCCATCTATTATGTTGATATTTAAAATATACCTGTAGTATTGTTTAAACAATTGAATACTGACTTGGGATGAGAAACCAGCAAAAACCCCTTTGAGAACTCCGTTCCTTTTATAAGTATCTTTGAATAATTATTTCATCGATGATTGAGTGTTCTCAGCTTGAAGTAAAGTCTTGAATCTATCAAATACATGATCAATGGGCAATCCAAGAATTACTCTAGATATACCAATTATCTATGTTTCTAAGATTGGCTTCAAATATTTCTTAGTACGAACTTTGAATATGGATTCAGACATTCCGATTATATAATAATTATTCAATAAGACGATTGAATTCTGGTTTAATAATAAAGAAAATAGCAATTTTAATACGCATTATTTACAATGTTGGAACTCTTTTTATCATTAATTCATAATCTAATGATGCATCATTGATTATCATTCACACTTTTTTAAATAAATTATAAATCATTTAATAATGATCTGCCCCTTTCATCACCTTTTCGTATTTCCTCACATTCACCTATTATAAAGCATAGTTTTTACAGATTCTTAGTGAGAAACATCAAACTTTTATGGATTCAAAAAAGAACTACATCATGTCTAAATTATAATAATTTTGCTGTATCTTAGATTATATAATATTTTTTGTTTATAAGCTATCGATATTAGTTCTAAAAACTAATTTGATTCCCAAGTACTTAGTTCTATAGAGGCAAAGAAAATGCTAAGTTATTAATGTACTAAGTTACAAACTACCAAAGAATGTGATTATATTGTTCAAATATATATTTCTCATTTTATGTTAACTTTCAAATTATTATTCATGGATAAATAAATTGAATAAAAGAAAATGTTTCCATATCAACGTTTACAAAGGACTCATAGATTAATTATTATAAAATAAAATACCTAATACTTAAATATAATAAAAAATATTAGAACACTTCTAAATTAAAAAAAATGATAATATTTATCAAGTTATTTAAGAATAAAGAGTTTTTTAGTTTACACATGATTGCTTTTATAAGTTTATTAATTTAAACTACTACTGATTAGTAGTTGCTTCATCATGCAAATAATATATTTAGAATTGATGTAATTTAGAATATTAAACTTGGAAATAAAACGAATTAATTTTACAAATGAAAATCGCATATTTATTGTTGTGCTTGGTTGTCATCTAAGGAATCGAATTCGAATCATTTTAAAGGGCTATCGACTTTGATCCAGCATCAATAGACTCTCCTAATTGTAAAACAGATGATGAATACACAAACACTTATGAAGCGTATTGAAAAACTTAATGAAAGATTCTTCCCTTGGATTACTGTCTTAGAAGAAGGTGAGGTTGAAATGCAAGAAGATCACAGTGTGCTATCATAAGCGAAAGAGAAGATCATATAGGCTAGGGAATTTATTGAAAGTTTGGATGAAGGTTAATTATATTTCATTCTTAGAACTCCAACAAGAGAAACAAAAAGAGCCTGAAAATTAGAATAATGAGAGTAGCTCTTAGGTTCAAGATGCTTAGACAGAAAAAGCTGGAGAAGCAGTAGAAGAATAAGTAAAGCAAGAGGAAAAAGCGGATGAGGATGAAGAAGAGGATCCTTTTGGTTGGGGAACAGGCGAAATTCCTTAGCTTCTAGTCCATAAGAAGGAGAGAAAAGCTCATAAGAATACTCATGCATTTATTCAAATAATGAATGGAAATAAGTTATCTAAATTCAAGAGTGTATGATTTATGATTGATGATTAGAAAATCAGTAAGCTAATTTCAATGGCAACTGAAATGTAGGATAATTAGGATGAGGATGCTTAGAAAAGAAGACAAAGAAAAATTGAATTATGTGATGAAATCATAGATGAGTTAACAGACATGATTTTATTTTTGGAAAAAGTGATGAATGATTATGTAAGAAATTTTATGATATGTAATAGGATTATTAAAATGAAATCTATGAATTATTTAAGAAAAAGCAACAACAGATTTAAGAAGTGGCAACTAATTGTGGTCAAAGAGTGATTAGTTATTAGGATGTGAGTTTGATTGAGGAGAAGAAATCCTAAGAGAAAAAGAAAATATAGCATCAAATAAAATCTAAGAGAAGAAATCCAGTTAGTTTTTTGTAAATTGTTATTGACGATGAAGAAAGTTAATAACATCAACTAGAATACTAAAAATAAATATTGTAGAGTTAAGGAATGTTGGGATTCTTGAGAGCATCTGGAAAATAAGTAAAATTGATATAATGATATCTTATTTTTATTAATATATTTAAAAAGATGTTGATACATAATAATTAGAATATGATATCTCATTTCCATGTTTACATCTAAACCAATTCTTCAGCAACCGATGGATGAATTCCAACAACATTATCTAAGTCACTCTTCTTTGCTTTTAATTTGATCACAACACCAAAACCTTATGTCACTTCTGCAGCATCAGGTCCTAGATAATGGAATCCAATAACAACATCATCATCCTTTTTCACAATCAATTTAGCATAGCATGTCCCCTTTCTGTTAGCAAAATTCCAAAACAGAGGAGTGAATTCAGATGCAAAGATCTTAAGATTTTCTTTTCCAAATTTCTTAATGGCTGCCTCCTCTGAATATCCAACGCACCCATATTCTAAAGGTGTAAAGACAGTTGTTGAGACATCTGAATACTCCATGATTTGATTTCCATTGCAATATAGCCTTTTTATTAAGCGTTTTCCGCACATAATGGCTGTTGGTGTCAATTCTAATCTTCCTTATACACAATCTCCAATGGCAAAGATATTTGGAACAGATGTTGAATCAGCATCATTTGCTATAATCTTCCCAGATTCTTTATTGGTTTATACACCCACTTATTCTAAACCTAAATTTTAAGTGTCTGCGCTTCTTCCTATGGCAAGCAACACTGTATCAAAGACTTCACTTTATTCTTATCCATTCAATACCCATTTCACTAACCTTTTTCCATCTACATCCTCTATTGAACTTGGAATTGTTCCTCTTATAAATTTGGTTCCTTGAATTTTCATAAACTCACCAATTCTTTCAGCCACTTCTTAGTCGAATCCTCTTAAAAGAATGCTTCTCACCATTACAGTAACATCATAACCTAAACCTGTTAGAAATCCAGCGCATTCTAATGCTACATAAGATGCTCCAACTACTAATGTTTTTCCAGGTGCTTTTTCTAAAAGATTTATTTTAAAGTCTAATACTTAAAGAAAATAAATCATCTGAAGTAATGGTCAATTATTTAACATTGGGAATGTCAGTTGGAAAAGAAGGTCTAGATCCAACTGCAATAACTATGTATTCTGCAGTAACAAATTCAGATTATCCGTCTTTATCAATGAGTTCGACAGTGTGATCATCCTTTAACTTACCTATTATGTATATAGACTAAGAGAGTTACCTAATTTATTATAATATGTAATTCCATTGGTTGTGACCAACCAATCATCATTGCCTTTGTTTATTCCTTTGACTTATCTTTAAACTTCATTCACCAAAATGTTCCAATCATTCTTTGAATGAGGGTCTACTCCTTGCCATCCAGTTGCTGTCAATTCATGTCTAATTTCTCCAATCAATGCTGTCATATGCATCAGTTTTTTAGGAATGCATCCAACATTGGGACATGTTCCTCCTGTTCCCCATTAGGTTCCATGTGGACTTGGTTTGATATAGTCTGCTAATCCCACTCGTTTGCCTAATTTTTAGGCTTCATCAACCACTGTTAGACCACCGGAACCTCCACCTATAACAAATATGTCATATTGATATTATGGATTCATTGACAATTTTATATTCAAAATTCTTTGCAATTTATATAATAATCATTCATTTTCTCCCTTTTCTGCATATCCAAGCTGTAGTTCCTATGACCATCGGCCATTTGATTGGAGCCATAAGTTTATAAATAATATACGCTGCTGTGGGTGTACCATACGTCTCAAACTATGCCCATTTTCCTTGTGTTGTATCAAATCCTAGTCTAATGAAAAATGATAGGAAATACTTTGATCCAACTTCTTTGACATCGACTCCCTATTTGAGTGCAAAGTAAACTATCCCATAATTGACTACTGAGTAAGACAAGTAGACACCGATCCCCAATTTGCCGTAAGTAGCAAAGAATTGTTTTGCCTTTTATTACATTTATATATATATTAATTAGCCTAAATAATGGAGAGTTAATAGACATAATTAATTTTATTGAAAAGACTTAGTTTTATATTAATATAATTAACAATATTATTTTTATCGAATAAAATATTAATGCAAGGAAAACATAACTTTATATTTTCATTGGACGGAGAGCAAAAATCATTCTTTGTTTCAAATTTGGATGTCGCATCCTTTTGTCGTTTGATTCGTTCCGCATTTTAAGTTGATAAGACTATCACAGCATTATAAGATGCGTAAGGTAAATGCAACGATATAATAGGAAACATTTGCGATTTACATTATTTTTGCAATAATCTGCACGCTCACAAGGATAAATTCTACATTATATTGACCGAACAAAGGAAAGCTGAAAGACAGAGTAGAAAGTCTCATAAAAGTAAAAACTCCAGAGTGCTAACAACAAATGATGAACCTTCATACTATGTTGAATTTGGAGCCTTCTTATAAGAAATCCAGCAAATAAGATTCAGGTATTTTTGAAGAGTCATCTAGTCCCCAACATCCAGTTTTGACAATAGTGTTGGTATTTGACAATGAATACTAGGCTGGCATCTTCGGTCAGCCCATAGTAATGAGAATCTACAAAACATTTGCGTTTCTCTAAGCCTATTACACAATAATCTAAGAGGAGGAATCTGATTCTTTGTTATTAACGGTTTTTGAAAATTAAATTCTCAAACATGAAATGGAGATGAAAATTAATCATTCCGTAGCTGAAGATGTGTGCTATTAGATTGAGCAATTGCTTTGTGAGGAAGAAGAGCCAGAACCTATATTATAAGGTAGTTTTGCTACTCCTAATAGTAATGCAAACAACAACATCCCCTTGATTGTCACTAGGGGGAACGAGAAATAGATTTTATAGGTGGAGGCAAATGATAACTTTCATTCAAGTTAAGGCAAAAGAACACATGGGTATAATTTGTGTTAATAAGTGTAATGAGGGTAAAGAAGGCAGTTGACAAATTTCGAAATCGATTCGAATCCAGAGAATATGAATACCTCTTAGGATTAATTATAGGCTAAGATCAATCAGTCTTTGCTGCATATCAATTATTTTAAAAATAACAAGACGACGAGAATTTCATTAGAAATTTGAAATCACTCCTACCTCAAGAGGACAACAATAACCTTTCGTTGTAAAAATGATATATTTTGTTAATTAGTTAAAACAATCTCAAATTCATCACTAGTCCCAGTCGAAGTGATCTTCATTAATCTGTTAACTTCCCCTATGATTGTAATCCAACTCCAGGTTTGAGATCAACTGTGACAATAATGGAATAATTACTTAGTTCAGGAGATTTAGATTCAATCGAGTCTGGAATGTTGAGAGAATTGAGAATGGACAGTGATTTGGACGACTTGGTAAAAAGCCTTATGGAATACCCTCAAGATGTACAATAATATCCCATTTTATAAGGTTCTACTTTAAATAATAAGACAATATTTGCAAAGCCTATTTTAGTAAGAAATAACTAAGAATTTCAATTCTCATTAGGTAGAGTACTTTCTATAAGAAAATGCAAATAAATAAAATCCCATTTATGAGGGATTTCAAAGATTTGGATAAAATGGATAATTATAGGAGCTATTTTTGCTCCTGAAAGACAATGTTGGACAATTAGAATAATAATTAAGAGAAGAAAATAGCTATTCTTATTATTTGATGCATAAACGACGTAAGGATAGTCAAGATGAACATTTCCATTTCCATTTAAATTTACCTTAAGTTAATTAATAGGAAGAACGAAAATTAAGTGTTGATTCATAAGTATTAGAGAGCAAGAAAGAAATCAACTTTATTGATAGATATCATGTCAAAGTGTTACAAAAATACAGTAATGAAGATTATGAAAAACTGTTTATGACTGTTTATGATCAATGTAGCAAATTCTGTGATGAACACGAAAAAGCCAAATTACATGGATTTTATACTGCTTAAAATTAAAGGCTACTAGAAATCTTAGATAAATATGGATAAAGATATGATATCGATTGCATTAAATCAGATATCAACGATTTATTAACTTTACAAAATAAAAAAATTGATGAAATCCCTTCACCTACTCATGGAGCTGTTATTGAACCAAAAATGCATAAATATTAAAATTTCAAATTTATTATAAATTTTTTATACGAGATTGATAAAGTCATTACTCTAAGGTAAGCAAAGGCATTTTATTATTTATATTCAATTGAGGATATGTCTGTTATGGCAGCTTATGAAGTGTATTGCGAAACAAAGGAATAAGACGAGTTTTTAAATACTCTAAACCTCATATTCAAGGTGTATTCATCCTCTTCTAGATTTGACTTCAATGAAATCGAGTAGTTTGATAGTTTGATTGAACAGCAATTAACTATTCTGTTTGCCTACAGAAGGTGTTTGAATCAAGAACAAAGGTTGGCATTGGAATAAGTAATATATCAAATGATATTGTTAGAATATGATCTCAGATAATACATTATTGAAACTCTTTAGGGATTTCCTTAGATAGAGAGATCAGAGGGTATTCATCTAGAAGTTATCAGATTTTGCAAATAGTCAAATTGAAAAGTAAAAAGACAATTAATCAATGGATCCTTACATGAAGAAGATCGATTAAAATAATCAACATAAAGATTTAATAAAAGACATCTGTGCTAAATTCTTAAAGACAAAGGTGAAATAAATTGATCTTCTGATGGATGCAATTGACAAGGACAATATTATGCTGAAATCTTCATTGGAAGTCTATGACTACAATTTAGATAAATAAGATTTAGTAGAAAATATCCAGTTAATCTATAATTACATCTTAAAATCTAATGTGAAAAGCATATTGAAAGCAAACTTAATTGAATTAGGTAGATCAAAAACTGATGTAAGTATTTTAGTGATGATTAATAGTTAACCTACTTATTAAGAAATATTAATCAAGATGAGCCAATTCTTAAAGGAGCGTTTGAATTGTATTTCTAAACTAAAGATGAAGCAGAACTCAAGGATACTATTAGTCGAATACTCAAATTTAGCAATATTTGATTATTATTATTTTATGTACAAAGTTGAACTTGTAGATTCATCTGAATTCAAAGATCGTTAAAAATACTATAAACATCTATTGCAAACATATTGTCAATGGAGTTTTCTGAAATACTTTGTGTATAGTATTATCTGGTTGATTGGTGGGAGAGTATAATCATAAAATAATCTAAAAGATCTCAATTCATTATTCAATGCAAGGGTTATACGTAATAATAACAGGATTCGCACTTATCTTTACCAATTTAGGTACTAGAGAAAAAGGCACTTTGAGTGCATATAGCATATTTAATAAAGGATATAAGAAGTTAATGGGTTAGATGACTGAAGAGGATGTGGCCAATATGTATAATATGGGAGGAGTTAAAAAGAAGGAGGATTTAAGTGATGATGATGATGACAAGATCTCCAAGGATTTTGAAGGATTGTCGATGGAATAAATGATGGCTAAATTGACAAAATTGGGAAATAAACTATGTTTTTGCAATTCAGGTAAGAAATATAAAAAATGTCATTACTATATACATTAAAGAATTAAATAGTAAGAAGATGAAGAAAGAAGAAAAGGAATTAAAAAAAATTGATAATATTATAAATGATTAATTCTTTGATCACAACCTAAGCTTTTTAAAAAATGCAACAAGACTCCCCTTTGAATAGAGAATGCTTTGAATGTGGAGCACCGAATCCAACTTGGGTGAGTTTACCAAACTCTGTATTTCTTTGTTTGCCTTGTTCTGGCATACATCGTAGTCTTGGTGTACATGTGTCCTTTGTTCGATCTACAAATTTAGACAGCTGGTCAGACAAACAATTAAAAATGATAATGATGGGGGGAAACGATAAACTCAAAGAATACTTCACTTCCATTGGCGTCTATACTGACCCATCCAAACAACAGGACATCTCATGGAAATACAGAACCAAAGGAGCATCCTATTATAGAGAATGTGTAATTCAATAATTCTTAACCTTTAGATCAAAGCAAAGACTGAAGAAAGGGAAGTCCCACCACCTATTTCAGTCGAAGAAGCTCTAGAAGAAGATCCTCAATTGGCAAAATCTAATTTTAATCCTTTGCCTAAGAAGGGAGAACAATAACAATAATATTAACCTATGCAAATGAAACAAGAAGATGACGATACTCTTGATAAGATGAAGACCTTCTTTTCTGTTGGGTTCTAAAAAACATCGGAGGCAGCTAAAGAAGCCAAGAAGAAATTGGAGGATAAATATAATGATGAGGAATTTCAATAGAAATTAACCTAGTTCAAAACCGATTTCTCTTAGAAAACCAATGAAGTGGCTGTAAACTTGCAATCATATTTTAGGAAAAAACTAAAGTTGTTGCCGAAAAGAGTTACGAAACTGTTAAAGAGGGAACTCTGTCAGCCTGGAACTTTTTGAAGACTAAGTTCAACGATTTACAGAAGAAGGATCCACAACCCGAGCAATTTGAGATTTTAGAACAACCCAAGAATCAATGAAATTCTATAAACTTGTTTAAAAATAATTAATATATTATAATGGCATATTAATCACAATGTAATTCTCAAATGAATACCAATCATTCTTTAAAACCACCTGTGGATTCTCTGTTAGGAAAAGTAGTGTGCAAAAATTACCTTATTGTTTCCAAAATTAATGAAGGATCATTTGGTAAGGTGTATAAGGCTATTCACTAAATTAAACAAGATTATTATGCAGTCAAAATTGAGGCCCAAGAACATAGATAAAAGAAGGGTGAGACTTTGAGATTGGAAGCAGAGATTCTCAAAAAACTTAATGGTGAAAGAGGGATCCCTAGGTTATACTATTATATTGAAGATTCAACTTAAAGAGTGCTTGTTGAAACCTTATTGGGTATTGATTTAATAATTAAATATTTTAGGAAGGAACCTTGACGAATTGTATAACTTATGCAACCACAAATTTTCTTTAAAAACCGTCTTACTCTTCATGGACCAAGCCATTAGTCGATTAGAATATCTTCATTCCTAAGGGGTAAATAATTTAGTGAGATAAAGTGCCCTAGTATATTCACAGAGACATTAAGCCAGAGAATTTCATGATAGGAATTCCTCCAAATGAAAACCTCATTTATCTCATTGACTTCGGACTCAACGCCCCAATTTACGATTCATAAAAGAGACTGTTGCCAAAATTAAAAGGTCAACCATTAGTCGGAACTGCTCGCTTTACCCCAATCTGTTCTCATTAAGGATATAGCTAAAGCAGGGCAAGTGATTTAGAGTCCTTAGGTTATTTGGCCATATTTTTTTTAAAAGGTTCTCTCCCTTGGATGAAGGTCGAAGCTTAAACCAAAGAGGAGCGATTTTATTTAATTGGGTAAAAGAAGATGAGAGAAACTCCTATGTCGTTGTGGTAACAATGTAATGTAATTTTAGTGTGGGATTACCTAGAGAGTTTGAGGGATACTTCAACTACATTTTCAATGTTTCTCATGATACTGAACCTTCTTACACTTACTTGAGAAAGTTGTTAAAAGGGTTGATGCATAGAATGCAATATAATGATAATGTTTTTGACTGGTAAGAGATTATTAAGAAGGAGGAGGAGAGTAAGAAAAGTTCCAATAAAAAAATTAAGTTAAACGCTTAAACCTAACAATTCAAACCCATTGAATCTGAGGATGAGCAAGATAGTCCTAAGGTGGCTATGATGTAATCAAAAGATTCGAAGAAAAGCTCGTCAAATTTTCTTAAAAGAAGTATCACTGATCAATTGAATTTCTCAAAGTAATAAAGTGTCAATCAAAGGAATAATATCGAACTTTTAATTTCACAAAATGAATTGCTTAATCTTAGATTAAAGTAGAAACTATTAATAAATAACAATAATAACGCTTAGGAAGAACCTGAAAATTTTGGCTTCGGAGTTATGAATGAATATTATCCATATCCTACCATGCAGTAATAAATGGATTAGTTGATTACAATTATTACTAAATTTATTATTAATTAATGAAAAAATCTCCTCATCTTAAATTGTAGATTATTAAAATGCGTCCTATAGTATGCAATACAGAATTGGCTTTCATTATTCCAACCGACAAAGAAAGAAAAGTCTCCATGAGTATCACAGTTAAATTTTAATTTAGAACGTAAAATGAAAACTAGCGACGAACAAATTAAACATGCACGCTTAAGATATTAAGAACTATTCTACTAATAGGAGGCCAACTTAGAATATTTATATGATTAACTAACAGAGAGAATGGAAAAATATAATCTTCAAAAATAAAAACAATTAGCAAGCAAAGCCAAATATGCATGTGACTACAATTTTAGATGGAAGTAAAGACTTTAAGAACAAAAATGGTTAGATATTTATATGAGTAGGTTTGTCAGCTGAAAGAGAATTTTATTTTTAAGAGATGCATTTTCAAGATTTCTAGAAGAGACATACACGAAGCAAAAGCTTGGCTTTGCCTAAGATAGAAATTATCAAAAAGACAGAACCATGTCCTACCATTAAAAAAAAAGAAGAATAATCTTCTGACAAACAGAGAAAAATTATTTATTGTTCCTATCAAAGGGATTTGAAATAAGTATACTAAAATAGTAATTATTAGATGAAAAGATCCTTTGAAATAGCATAAAAACTAGATTAGGATGATCATCGAATAATGAAGTAGAAAACCTTAGACATAAAACCAAAATAAAAAGTACCTCAAAAGCACGATGACAATACATTTCTAACTTATGTTTGACATCTAAATTGTATTATTCATTATTATTATTTAAAATACGTCATTTTTACTCCTCAACTTTAAAGCTTTTTCCTTCTTTATTATAGACATGATATTATATAATACTTAATTTATATAATAAAATATCTCCTAGCTCCTTCTAATAAGATTACTTATTTATAACCTAACAGCTATTCTAAATTAAATAATTATCATTTCATATAACATTTATAAGGCTCAATCCATTTTACACATAATATTGCATTGATTTGTTCTATAATTAAGTTATAATTTGCAGAAACTAATTTTAAATGAGGTCAGATATTTTCCTTTCATCATTAATTCACATCTACTTCAATCCTAAACTTACATTCATGAGTATTTTTTATGCAACTCCTTTCAAAATCAACCTTCTATCCGAATTTAACATTTAATAAATTTGCGCCTCTTTATTATTGATATTAATATTGATTTTTTGTTTTTAGAATATACATAATCCATATGCTAATCCTTATTTATAATTTCTTTCAACTAGTATTTTACTTGGTGTATCAGTTCGTCTACTTCTCATATTAGTTTTTATGAACATCTATTCTAGAAATTTATATTCTCAACTCTCATTTTACATAAAAACAAATCAAGCACAAAGTTAAAGCTGATGAAGAACGAAAGGAATAAAGTTGCAACTTGTATTAATTAATTAAGTCTTAGAAATTTATTAAAATTTTAGTGAAATAATTATTATAGCAACCCTGGAAAAATAGCTAAAATAGGAGTTTTATTAAATATTTTGAAAAATCAAAGAATTTCAATTACAAAAGGAGAAATAAATTTATATTTATATAGTTCTAGTCCTCAACATATTAATTTATATATAGTCAAAAATTAGATTCATGATTTAAATAAAGGAGTTTTGGATATTTTATTCTCAAGTAAATTTATAAATTCATTAAGATTAATCTAATTATCAATAATTATTATACCATTCCATCATTATCGTTATCACATTGATCTAAAATTTCCTACCACATTTCTTCATCTATCTCTTCATCAAATAATTCATTAAGTTCTTGTTTAGTAATTAACCCATTGCCATCTAAATCAAACAGTTTGAATGACTACTCAATTCTTTATCTACTTAGAGATTTCTCTTTATTTATTGTTGCTGTTATGAATTCGCTGAAATCTACAATTCCAGAACCATTTGCGTCTAATTAGGGAAATAGTTCTTCTACAACTGTTTCTGCAGCTAATTTGTCCCCTTTGTGAATCTTTAAATAAGCTACAACTAATGAATTTTAATACCTTAATATAGTTCATCTTTACTGACTGTTCCATCTCCATTTTTATCTATCTCTTGAAAAATCTCGAGAAGATCATTTTTTTCTTGATTTGTTACCACTTGAACAGTAATAAACTAAAAGATTGCATATTTTAATTTATTTTTTGAATCGAAATCCTATAATTTACTAAGAGTCAAACTATTAATCTGACCTTTAGCTTTATTATTTTTGATCCATTCATGATTCAAGGCATCTGCAGCTGAAATCCTATTAACAGGATTATATAGAAGCATTCTTCTAATTAAATCTTTTCCAGTGTTAGAAACTTTCCCCCAATCATTTGGATCAAATGAATATTCACCTTTTTTTACTTTTAGAAGAACTTCTTATTCATTAGTTCCCATGAAAGGAGGATATCCACTCAAGAGAATATATAATATCACTCCAAGAGACCAAATATCACATTTTTCATCATAATTTGCATCAAGTACCTCTGGGGCAACATAAAAAGGCTAAAAAAATAATAATGAGCTACAGTCCCAATTCTTTTTTGCAGCTTCTCACAATTTTATAATTTTGCACTTGCACCAAAGTCTATGATTTTAATGGAAGCTTGATCATGCTTCTAATCAAATAATATATTTTCTGGTTTTAAATCTCTATGAACAATTCCTTTTTAATGACAATAAGAGACGGCTGACAATATTTATTTCATAAAATTGGCAATCTCTTTCTCCGTTAATATTGAAACAAGTTTAATTTTCTCAAATAATTCCCCACCCTCGCAATATTCACTTACCAAATAATAGCTATATGTGTCAGAAAATATCTCATATAATTTGACTATATTTGGATGATCTATATCCATTAAAATCGCTGTTTCTTCTAATAACCGTTCCTCATCTTCTTGTTTCATCTTCTCTTTCAGTATCATTTTCACGGCCCTTATCATTCCTAAGTTAGAGGTCGTGATGCTACTTACCAGTTTATTTATGGACGACTTTATAGACTTTACCAAACCCTCCTTAACCAATCATTTCTTTAATCAAATATGATTCATTGATGTTTTTTTTTGAATTGACCCTGACGAACATAGTTTACTTTATGTTCCATTGCTTAGAACTAGTCTTCATGTATTCTTATTTTATTTCTACATCAGTTATATCTTTTGTATAAGAAGTATTTTTAATTGGAAAATTTATTTCTTTTTCCTTCTAAATACTACAATTAGCATCAAGATTTAGAACACTTTGAATGAATTCGTTCTAAAATTATTCTGAATTTTCTTTAAGAATAATTGAATTTGTTTAGTTTTCTAATGATTTTGAAGCACAAAAACCATTGGGAAAGGATTTACAACAACCCATTAAAAATAATTAATCTATATAAATTGATTATTATATTTCCGATCTCATAATTTTAGCTCACAAATTGCAGGGTTTTTAAGTTTAATCATAGAAAATGAAGAGGAACTGAAATAACTGTTAATTCCCTTAACGAAAATACAAATTCAAGAAAATTATATTTTGAGAATCAGATCTATATTATAAAGTGATTTTAAATCTTAATTGTATCAAAAATTCAATTAATCAGAGCTTTTAATTTTTTACTTTGATTATTTATAATTCACTGCTTCTACTTCAGATTTTGTCTTTTTTATTGTTTTCCTAACCTATTCAAATTTTTCGTATTGGGAAATTCTCATATAACAACCCTAAATGGTCACTAAATAATATCCAAGTATCCCTGTCATTATTTGCTTAGGCGTAAAGGCTTCAATTATCTTATAAAAAATATACAATACTTTTAACATTATTCCAAAATTTTGTATATTGGACTTGACAATTACATATGTCAAAATAGGAACAATGTCATCTGTGCCATAGCTCTTAATAGATTCAAGTTCAGGATGCTTATCATAATATTCCTTTATGCAACTATGAATTTCAGTAAAAGTTTTGGAGATAATTTTCAATTAGTTTATAGGTGATTGTACTTATTCCAGTTGCTTTAAAGTATTTATTGCTGATTAGTATGGTTGATTAAAATCTTCAAAATCAGAATATTGTATTGATGGATTACCTTTTAAATCATTGTTTTAGGGTTGAAATGCTATTTCAATTTGTTAGTTCAGCAATAATTATTAAGGAACATCAAAATCATCAATCTTATTATTCTTTATCAGTCTCAAGTTAAATTAATATTAGGAGTTCTCATATGCATAAAGCTCAGAGAAACTCTTGATAATTTTTTGATAGATTCTTTCATCTAAAAATAGGACATTAATCACAAATGCAATAGTGTTAGTGCTAGTAAAGCAGTTTAATAATTAAGTTTAATGGACAAACTTATCTATCATGTAGTAACTTTCTATGCAATTCACAAAGAATTTAAGGAACTCAATAATTTCATCACAAAGTTCTGTGCTTTTGATCAATTGATTCCTATTTTTATCTCTTCTAAATGAATCTCTAAACCAAATTTAAGGCCCAGTATAATTTACAATATAATTTTGAAATGTTTATAAGATTAATCCACATGGATGGTCAGCAATTTTAATTTGTTAGTAAATCATTCCCATAATTTCTCTGAAGAATTTTTTCTCATTCATACCAGATTTCTTTCTATCTTCGAAGATTGTGTTGACCTCTTCTTCATAATACTCAAAAATATTTATTTTAGATTATTCATTTTATTCAAAATGGTTTGAAATTTTGTTCTAATAAAATGAAGAAGTTGTTTCGTAGCAACTTATAATCAATCTTATTTTATTTAGATAGATAGCTTGCAATTCTTCGAAATTCTTATTATCGATACTTTATAATCTAAGCTTTACGAGATCCGACCATTAATAGAGTTTAAATTAGCCTCTGTTTAATTTTCTTAATGTATACTCAATCCAAGATAATTAAATCTCCACTACTTGAGTTTTGATTAGGCCAAAGCAGTTGCAACAAGCAAAACAATACGATAATTTATTTTCTTAAACAAATATTTTAGAATTTTCAACCTATGATGACTCAATAGTATTCGTATGTTGGCCTGATGTGATTAGAAAATATACTTAAGAGTAATTCAGAAGAATCTTATCTTTCAACTTTTGCTGATTTATTTCCCATATTTAAAATATAATAATATCTAATAGAAATTAATACCGAAGTATCTAACTTCTATTTTTAAATTATCTATATGATAACAAATTATTGATTCTTATTAATCTTTTGAATGGATAGTTCTTATCCTAAAGCAAGGATTTTAAGGCTTGATGATTTATTATAAAGATATTAATTTAAGACACAAGATATTTAAACTAATTAATCGAAAAAGACTTGCTTAAAAGATATTATGAATTATAATGTTTATCAATATCTTTACAATAAGTCAATATTATTTTTATTAATATGATTTAATCTTTACCTTCCAGAAATAAACAACTGATAGAGTCACCATTTGTATGGTTAAAAGAGAAAGCAGAAAGAGATAGATAAAGAACAGGGTATATATCGCTTCAATATCTAGAGTCCCTTCCAATTTATGGTACATATCAGGTAAGATCTATGATTTATCCCAATTTCTTAAACTCCATCCAGGTGGAGATTACTTCTTAAAATTGACATAAGGACAGGATATAACTGAAATGTATTATACCCATCATTTAAACATGGAGAAATGCAATGCTATTTTAGAAAAATATTATGTTAGGGACGCAGACAAGATTGAATAATATTTTGACTTTGATGAAAAAGGATTCTATCTGACTCTTCATAAAAAGGTGAGTGATTATTTCAAAACTAGAGATAAGGGACCAACTTCGGTAATGAAACTAGTTGTTTTCATAGCTCTCTTTTCATTCAATAGTACATTCTTGTTAACTTGTATCTACTAAAGTTATTTATTGGCATTTCTATGTGGATATACACTTTTTGTTTGTTTTGGATTAGGACATAATTTCCTACATTAAGGTTCATATGAGCCTAGAAGATACTTGGCCGATTTATCATTCTTCTCCCATTTCCATTGGGCAATTACACATTGCATTTCTCATCATCATTTCACCAACAGTAACATTGATTTAGAAGTGACATCATTTGAACCCTATTACAAGACCCAAAAATCTAAACTTCCTAATAATAAATATATGTGTTACTATATGGATTTATTTTTTGCTATAGTAAGTACCATGTAGTTTTTGTCTACTATTTTATAACTGCTAAAAGGAGAAGAGAAAATAAGGAAAGAATACTTTATTCCAATTGTTGAATGTTTAATATTATAATATTTTTGTGGAGATATTTTTGAAGGATTTAAGCTTTTTATGATTATTCAATCCACTTCAAGCTACCTAACCCTCAAGTATTCAATAATTACTCATCATAATAACATATGCTATACTGATGGCTGTTCTATAGTGCCTTCTAGAGATTTTGGCATATATACCTTATAGACGAGTTAAGATCACGACCCACAAGTGATATTCCCTTTTAACATGTTCCTTTTTTAAGGGTTCAATTAACACACCTTACATCACATGTTTCCAACTGTGGATGAGTCTAGAATTCCTGAAATATACTGTTTTTTATTGGAAACAATACAAGAATTCAAATTAGAACATATCTACAAATAACGAACAGTTTCTGAATTGTACAAGGCTCATAATGCTTTTGTTTTTGGAAAATGATTATTCAAATATAATTATTTTCATAAAATTTAAAAATCAAGATTATTTTATTATTACTTTCAATTATTTTATTAAAAATACTTTTAGGTGTCAATTATATATTTATTAAATTTTATATTAATAAAGCAAATGACAATAAATAAATTATAAATCAACAACGAGTTCTCACTTTAATTTCGAAGTAAGCTTAGTCTAATATACTTGAATTGACGTTTTGTTCTGATTTTCATTGCTTTGTCCAATTTCAACTTTTATCTATTCCTTCTATAGGAAAGATCATTCTTAAAATTTCTATTAATTACTCTTTCCTATTAGGATTTAGAAATTTATCAAATGTGAGTAATAATTAATTATAAATAACCAGAAGATTACAATAAGATTGTAAACTAATTTTCCATTCAATATTATTTTAATTTTATCATTTATTCAAAATATTTTTACATATAAACTAACTTAATGTTATTGACCAAAATTTTTAGAGAAAAACTCCTTACTCTAGACGGTTGCCATAGATTCTTTGTCTAAGGAGTAAATAACTAATAGAGATTCAATAAATTTAGTTTTAGAATGGTGGAAATTTCTTAAATATATCAGAAAAATCTATCAAGATTTATGTAATTAAAAATTAGTCCTACATAATACCATTAAGTATTTTCTTGAACTGACATTTTAATTTTTTTTGACAAGTTGTAATCATTTTTGAGATCCATCCATAATACTATTTAATTATCTAATGCTATAAAAACATATTTTTTAAAATGAGGTTTAATGAAGTTTAATAAAAAATATTTGCAATTCATTTAATTCAGAGTATGTGTGTTTCTTAAAGTGTAAATATCATTATTTTAATAGTTCCATCAAAAAATATAAGCACAAAATTTTATCATTTTTTAAAAGCTATAGATGAGATCACAAAGCTATAAGTTATATTTTATAGGAACAAAGGTTGAAATATTGATAGCCACCTTTGATTTTAATTTATACTGAAGATGACTTAAATTGAAATTGTTTTATTAATAATCATTACAGCCCAGAAAATAAATTTGAAAAAAAGTGTAAGAATTGCACTCAAATCACATTTAAATTAAATTTTATTTAGACACATTTTAATGATATAGCATAGTTATAATCATTATCGGCAAATAGGAATCTGAAATATTTTACTCTAAATTAATCCTTGCCCTCGAACTTGGTTTATTTACCACGTCCTCAAAATTATGTTTGATTGACGTGTTTTGATAGTTAAGATTTTTAATAAGAAGAATATAAATCTATTTTAGAATAACAATTTTCTGAAAACTAAACTTTAGATGAATCTAAAGAAGGTTCATAATGATAAAAGGAATTTGGAAATCTAATCCTGTTTAACTATACCCTTTAATGCTTAGGGGGGAAGAAAGAAGTATCACTTCAAGAAAGTATATCAGAGCATATCTTACCTTCAAAAAATTGAGAATTTTAAATTAAAAAAAGTAAATTTATAATTTTTTCCTTTAGAATATTCGTTTTTAATTAAATAAATATTAAGTTAATTCTATTTAATTTTTTTTTAATAAGGTATCATAATTGATGTTGACTTCATGTTAGAATTTGGTATAACTTTTATTCCATAAAACAAGTAAGCAGCGAAATTCGATTTTATAATAAAAATAGCATCATATTATGTAGTTATGATGCTTTTTGATTATAATCAAAGCTGTTTGCTTTCTATTTAGTTTTCTAAAATCAAACTGCCTTTTTATTTGAATAATTATCTGTTTCTGATCTACTTGTATTATTTCTTATTCAACTAGATATCGATTGTTGTCATAGGAGAGAATTTTATGTAGTCTTAAATTTTCTCTGTTTTGAATATTTTAATTAAGAAAGGGAAGACTAATTCTTCAACATCTTTTTGATAAAGCCTATCTCCTATAAAAACCTTGGCTTAACTCGTTTTAACAACTAATCTCTTTTATTTTATTAATATTATTGAATTGCTAATAAATTATTTGTAATCTCTTAAAAATTTTTAGATGGAGATAAATAAACTTTTAATAATTTAGAATTTGATTGTAATTGATGAAAATTGTTATGGTGAGAATTCATATATTTTGGGAATTGTTTTATTATTTATGAATATAGAAATTATAACACACAAAATTCGAAATAATTTTGCCGGCTAATTTACAATCACCCTTTACTAGAAAATGTAAAATTAAGTATCAAATTGATTGATGAATTAGTCAAGGCAAAATAGAAAATAAATTATAAATAATGGAATAATAAAATAAATCTTCTCATATTATGCTTTTTTAAAATGGAATAATAAATAACAAGAATTTTTTTAGAAGCCTATCAACAGAATGATACGTATTTAGCACACTCTTAAGAGGTTACTTATAGTAAAGCCTTATTATAGTTTCTTTATTGATGCTGAAGTTCTAATCTATGAAACAAAACCCACGTAATTTTTATGAATCTTCATTTGACTATATCCTCGAGCCTATCCGCAAATGCCCATTCTAAAATTTAATGAGATTTCTCCCTCCAATCTCAGTAATAAAATTTCAACAATCCAGTTGTTCCATTCTTTTCAACAATTTATCTGATTGCTTAAAAATTTAATAGATGGGGCAATCATCTTTTTATTTCTCTATTCTTTCTTAGTTAATAACCTCTCTTCCATCAACCCTTACTCTAACGCTCCTCCTATATTATTAGTCACTTAATGAATAGATGGATATTGATATTGTTAGATGAAGTAGCTAAATTTTGAACCAAAATTGGATATCAATCTTCATTATGCAATATTATGCAATAAATAAATTTTACAATCTGTGATAATTCATCTGGTTAAATTAAATTAAATTAATTGTAGGTGATTTACAATGAAATATTTTTTAATAATTCTCTAATTAGCTTGATGTTTCTTGATTAGTTTATTGAGTTTAAATAATCTTTTAGCTACAAATTATTCAACCATAAGCTCTTAGGTTTTTATCTTCTAATCATAAGAAAAGACTCCTTTAATAAAAGCGTTGGCTACAACTTAATATTTTTTATACATTAATGAATTGATTTTTTGATATTATACAAAAATCAAATGATGATAAAAAATAAATCAAATAGTGATGAAAATGATATTCTAAATCGATAGCTAGTGCCTGAAAAATTTAAAAGGAGATGACATCTCCTTATTCATAATTACTTTTCGAAATACTTTTTGCCCATGGAAAACTAGTAAATTATAATCATGCTATGCTATTTATTGAGTTTAATTTTTTACACAAGTAAACAAGAAATAAAAATAATTTTAGACCGCTTTTTACTATGAGAGAGAAAATTAACTCCACTATTATACCGCTAACACTCTCACAAATATTAATTAAAATTCCAAATAATTAGGAATATTCACAATATAAATTTGAGTAAGTAAATTTGATGGCTTTTGCCTGATAGCAATCCAATAAGATAAACTGTAATTATTTTATTCAAAAAAAAGAGATCATTTTAGTCTTATTGGATAAGCTTTGGCAGTCGGGATTATTATATCACTATTAGGATTCTTCAAATTTAATTTAATTGTAACAGCTTTTGATGCATCTCAATTAATATTGGCAATAAAATATTCTTGTTAAAAAAAAAAAGGTTTGAATAAAAAATTTTCAAGGAAAAAGAAAATTAAATTAAATTTCAAAGAGAAAAGAAAGAAATAAATAAATACCGAACATTTCATGTTATTTTAGAGGGATTTTAAAAAAGGTCATATTTAAAGTTTTAAAAGAATATTTTCACGTAATAATATTTGGCGAGAGTTTATATGATTGGAATGGCTTAAGCTGATTTGGGATTCAAGATCTCCTAATTGAAATAATGGGAACCTGAGTGTGATAGAAGTGCATGATTATCGAATATATATATGAAAAACTACAGATTGTAAAAATGAAAGCAAAAGTAAAATAATGATCAAAAAAGAGATCAAAAAAATTCATATTAGTATATAGATTTGACATATATAATGTAGATTACATACTTAAGGTACTTGAAAAGTTTTTAGGTAATTTTTATCTTTAAAAGCATATTTTTAGTGTGAATAGGGGATGCTCTCTTTGAGAAGATATTTAAATTGACTCTAAAACAAATTTAAAAGTGTTGTAGACTATTTTATCAAAATAATTTTTTGCTTGAATAATTCAATGGATTTAATAAAACACAATTATAGAATTTGTAATATAAAAGCAAAAAAAATAATCATATCGATTTAAAATGATATTTTAAAATTTCTATAACCTATTATTTTTCCTATTTCTATTAATACGCAGTCAGGAACTCTCAAAAAAATGCGTTTGTGGACATGCTCGTAGTTAAACTTCATGTGAAAACTCAGGTTTATGCATCTGGTAGAATGGGGTGTGTGTTTTAAACAATGCTAGAACATACATTGAAGAGAATTAAGAAGAGAAATTATGCAAGAATTTTGCAGAAGAAGATTGTAGAATATAAAAGTAATGTGGTTTTTATTTGGGTCAGTGTAATAACTTCATCGATTGTCTAGTATTCTAAAAAGATGAATGCTAACAATCTTCCTATAGGTGTGTTTCTGATGGCACAAAGTGTGTAGAAATGTTGGAATGTAAGGACTACAAAACCGAGATAGGATGCTCTAATAAAAATTCAAATGGCGGATATTGTTTTTGGGTAAAAGAAATGAGGCAGAAGTGTAGAGAAGTTATTATATGTGAAGAGCTACCAATATATTTGACTAGACATGACATGTGTAAGTAAGGTCTAGATGGGTGTACGGTTAATGAGCAAGGATATGGATGTATTAAATAAAAGGACTTATGCACTTAATACTTCAAAGACTTTTAATGCTTTGAAAGTAAATAAAAAACCTAAAACTGCTTTTGGGATATAAAAAATGGCAAATGTGTTGAAAGAATATGCGAAAATCTACCTTTTACTTATGATTATGAATGTAAATCATATTTAAGTGATTGTACATCAAACGGGATTCATTGTATAGAAAGGAAGTAATGTAGTGATGCTCAGAATAAGTTTGGTTGTGTTACAGATGCCTAGGGAAACAAGTGTGAATATCATAAAAATTAATGTAAAATCAAAACCTGTGAAACTGCTTTGGATTCACTTAAAAATTATCAATAATGCTAAGATTATGACAATTTGTTAGATTGCGTTACCTCTGAAAATGGAGGATGTAAATAAAGACCTTAAACATGTGGAGGTTATGTAAACGAAGTAGATTGTTATTCAATTAAATAATAAGATTGTATATGGTAAAAAAATAAATGCGAAAAAAGAGAATGTAATCATGCTCCACTTTATTTTAGTTAAACTGATTGTAAGCAATATGGAAATTGTATAGGCAAAGTAGATGGTGGATGTTAATAGACACCAAACGTTTGTGAAGAGATTTTATTAGAATAATTTTGCGAATTTAATTATAATAGCGAACGTTGTATTTGGCTTCAAGGGAAATGTACATTACTAGAATGTAATAAATTGAAATTGCCAACTTTCAAAAATCATATAATGTGTTAAGAGGCAAGTTCAAGTTGCACATTTAATCTTGATAATTTTGGTTGTAAAGATTATATATGCGAAAATATTTAAGAAATTGAGTTTTGCTAGATTGATTCAAAAGGGAAAGTTTGCTAAATTAATTAAGGATGTATAGACAAAAAATGTCTTACTGCTCCACCAAATTATGAGAGCAATTAATAATGTGAAGAGTGGTTACCATTTTGCACAGTTAATGTATAAGAATTATCAAATTCTAAACTATTGATAGGATGTGTTGATAAAAATAATTAATGCGAATTGGCTTAAGAAGAACAATGCTATTCTACATTTTAGGGAATTAAGTGTAAATGGGATAAAGTAGGTAACTTGTGTATTTATTCAATTTGCACCGATGCAGATCCTAACATATATTTAACAAATGTAGATTGTAACTCATATAAAGTGTTGGAGGGTACTTGTATTATAGGAACTCCTGGCTTTGGATGCTAACTATGGCCGAATGCTTGTGACGATTTGATAAGTTAATAATAGTGCGAAGTAAATCTTTAAGATGGAACCAAATGTTTTTGGACTGGTAGTTTATGTAAATTATTAGAATGTTCAGATGCTTCTCCACTTAATTATACAAATAATTTTGAATGTAATTCTTGGCTTGATTATTGTATCTTTAATCATATATTGGGAGGCTGCATGATCAGACCTAGTTATGTTGATTGTACTTCCTCTCCAAATGATATTATGTATGATACGCACTTTGAATGTTAAGCATGGAATCCTAAATGCACTGTGAGCTCATCTTTTAATTCAGAAGGCTGTGAATTGAAAAAGGCATAATGTTCAGACTATATCAGGTAAAGAAATTGCAAAACGAATTTGGCTGGTTAACAATGTTTTTGGAATGATTTTGACCAAAAATGTCTGGATTAGAGTGGTGATGACGATTGTAGCGCCAGAATATATGGAGATTTATCACATGAAAATTGCGAAAATTTTCTAAAAAAGTGTACAGTAGGAAATATTACTAGATCTTGTACAAATCTTTTAGATAATTGTGATTATTTATTAGAATAACAATGTGTAATCACAAGATATAGATAACCTTGCAAATGGGATGCAAAAAATCACATTTGCAAAAATGTTCTATGTAGTGATAATATGACTGCTCAAACTGAAGTTGAATGTTTATAATTTAAATTCTATAGATAGTGTCAATTAAAGATTCATTCTTCCGGATAGTTTGGACCTGGATGTGAGGATAGACCATATTTTTGTCATACAATTACGGATCCTTTAATATGCAAATTAACACTAACAATAGAAAATCATAGATGCTATTATTTTAATTTTAGGTGTTAATATTTAGATTATAGATTGTGTGAAGTTATCTAAGATAGTAAAAGCAATGAGGATTGTTAGTTATACAATACCTTATGCGTACTTTAATCAAGTGGATAAGGATGCTACTCTATTTTGAATTGTTCAGATTTATCTAATAATGTTTGTAAAAGTGCTATAATGAAATTTAATAATAAGTGCAACTATTATGGCGGTTGTTACCTAAATCAATATTGCAACTATTAATCAATTGGTAATTGTGAAGGCAGAAAAGCAGGATTAGGGTAAAGATGTCATATTTTATGCGAAGACTCTAATTGCGATCCATTTTGTGTGATGCAAAAAAAAGATTATCAACCACAATTTCAATCATTTTAATCATTTTAAGAAAGGAGCAAATAATGTTAGGATTATTCATCAAATTACAGATATGTTACTAGTTGTTAATGCTGTCAAAGTATGAATGATTGCAGCCAACAATAAGGTGGATAATAATTATGTGATTCATCAATTGCAATTTCAAGTTCAATTTCAATATGTGGATATGATTATTAGACAAATACTTGTTAGAATAGAATATGCGAGCATATAAGTTACATTAATTATCCTGTTATTACAGATTAAATTTGTTTTGATTGGAAATATGATTGTGTTCTTAGTGTTTCTGGTTGTATAGGTTTTACAGGAAATTGCTCATTAATTAAATTAATTTATCAATGCTATTCATTAAATTGCTATTGGTAAAGTAGTAAATGTGTAAATCATATTGATTGCCAAATTAATACAACCGCTGTTACAAATCGCGAATGCTTATTAGTAAACCCTGACTACTGCAGATTGAATTACACAAAAGGCTTCGGATGCGCTCATTATAGTTGTTATCATATCAAGGAAGAAACAATATGTAATTCATCAAATCTTTACGATGGATAAAATTGTAAATGGATAAATGGCTCTTGTTAATTTCGTTCTTGCTCAGATAATTTACAATAATCTGAGTGTGAGAGTAGTTATTAAAGTTATTTCTAAGAACTCACCAAATGTTTTTGGTGTTAGGATGGTTTAATATGCTCTATTAATAAATATTGCAATCAAAGTAGTATGATTTCACCAAATTCGCATCAAGATTGCAACAATTTAAATTAACTGTTAACAATTCAATTTATATCAAGTGTAATTTGCATAATAAAAAAATCATCATGTTCTAGCTACACTTACAAGGATGCTTGTGTTAGCACGATAGATGGGGTCGATTGTTAATGGAGTTCTGGTATTTGTGAAAATAAATGCGAAGCAGTAATATCTTCTTCTAACAAAGAATGTTATGATTGGAATTCTAATTGTATGTATAGTAATTAATAATGCAAACCCTTAGATTGCTTGCTTTTAACAGTAATGGTAGATTGTAATATTTATTCTTCAAAGTGTTTTTGGGAGGGCTCTACCTGCAAAACCATTAGTGATTGTAGTAATTATTCTACAAGTACTGTATGTTCAAATAATAATAATTCAGAAGGTATTCCATGCTTCTGGAATAGTACATAATGCATAGAAAAAACATGTTAAAATATACCTACTACACCATCTTCTTTCCTAGACTGCAATAATTGGAATACAAATTGTTAGTTTAATGCGAATGATAATACATGTGTAGAAGACTGTACTTCAGCTGATAATTCACATATCACACATGATTAATGTGAATCTTATTATGTTAACAAAAGCTGCACCGTCAAGCTTGATCTTATTTAATGTGTAAACCTTCCTATTTCATGTGGATTAGCAAAAGAAACATAATGTTATTTAGATAGAGATGGTAACTAATGCTACTACTCAAAATCAACACAATTGTGCTTAAACTTAACATGTTCAAATTTGGACACAGATTTTACAAGTCACGAAAAATGTAACTAAAAATTTAAATAGTGTACAGTAAATACGACATTGAATGGATGCTAATAGTTGAATGATTGCAATAGTTATTCAATCCAAGAATAATGTTATCTTGATCAAAATAATTTTGAATGTTAATGGATTAAGAGTAAAAATATATGTAAAATAAAGGAATGTTCATCGGCCTAAATCAATCAATATACAGCATTTAGTTGCCGTTAGTATTTTAATGATTCCTGCACTGTAAACAAAAATTTAGATGGATGCGAAATTGGCTAATCCTTTTGTATGAGCTATAATTATCAACAGTGCATCAGTGATGGATAAATTAACTTAAAAGGAGTAGAGTGTTTCTGGAATGAGGAGAGAAATATCTGTTAAGAACGAATATGCACAAATGGACCTTCTAATGCCACATCTCATTCTGAATGTATACTTTTCCTTTCAACTTGTCAAAAAGGAGGTTGCCGTGAAAAAGGGTGTTTTGATTATTATTATGCAATAGATTCAGCTTGTGCGTCTATATTTGAAGACAAGAGATGCGTAACAAATGGATTTCGATGTGTTTTAAGAAAGGACTGCCAAGATGTTACTATTATCGATGGATGTACATTTGACATTAATTTAAATCCTTGTATTTGGATTGATGAAAAGTGTTAAGCTAAAACTTGCTAGACTGCAGAAGTCACACTTCTTAAATATGAGGAATGCAATTCATATTTGCCATATTGCACGGTTAATTAGGATGGAGGATGCACTGATAAGCAGAGTTGTTAGGATTATGAAATTAAAGAAGCTTGCTATGCAGATAGTGAGAATTTTCAATGTATTTGGGATATCAATTTAAATAAGTGCTTCTCCTATTAATGTATTGATTACTGTGGTAATGGCATAGTTACAAATCAGGATGAATAATGTGATGATGGTAATTACTTACCATATGATGGTTGTTATAAATGTCAATTTCAATGTCCATAAGGATGCAATATTTGTAATGGCAGATAGTGTTAAGAATGTAATAAGAATGGATGGTAATTAGTTGAAGGTGTTTGTTCATCAAAATGTGGTGATGGTGTTGCAGTTGGAAATGAATAATGCGATGATGGAAATAATATTGAATTTGATGGTTGCTATTAGTGTTCTTACTAATGTAGCGAAATGTGTGTAGATTGTTTTCAAGGGCAATGTATATTATGTAAAGATGGGTTTGTTGAAGACGGACCAAAATGTAAAAATATATGTGGAGATGGGTATTTAGTATAGCAATATGAATAATGTGATGATGGAAACCATTAAAATAATGATGGATGCACTAATACTTGTAAAGTTGAAAATAATTGGAAATGCTCAACAGATCATAATTTTAGTTTTTGCTCTTATGCCATTCTGCCTAAAATTATATTGACCAAGCTGTCTAAAACGGATACAACTTATCAAGAGTTTAAATTATCATTTTCTGAACCTGTGTGTCTTAATGAAAAAGGCATTAGTGAAGAACAATTTCTGCAGTTGATTTTTGTTCAAATACAAAATGTTAAAGATAACGACTATGATATAGAAATCAAATCAATGATCTCAATCAGCACTTAATTGTCAGATGTAGCTTATAAAATATTAATAAATTTTAATACCAATGTTTAAAATCCTGTTTTATAAGTCAAAATTAATAGTGAAAACATAGTAAATAACTAAGGGAACACCTTATTCTCAAAGGAGGCAAAATTAGAATTTAGGTCTTCTTACAAGATGTCAGCTTATCAATTGTCCCTTATGTCTAAGACTTCCATGCTGAGTAAGATTGTATTGTATTTCATCATAATTATAAGTGGAATTTCTTTTTTATGTGGGAATTTAGAGATTTTATGGAATCTACTTGATTTGCTGTAATAATTATCATATATGAAATTTCACAATATTGTCTTCCCCTAAAATTTAGAAAGTTATTTTGAGATCTTTACTATTGGGTCTTTTACTCCAATTATTGATAAATTATAAATAGATCAGAATTTACAAGACAAATTTAATTTCTAAATTCCTAATATATAGGCTAAATGGAAATTTTAATATTATGAAATTAATTGTTACTTTTTGTAAAACCTCTAAACGCTTTTAGTTATGTTAATGATGGGATCCCTCTATTATATAATTTCCTATTTATTTTAAAAATTTCTTGTTTTCAGCAATTATCAAAATTGGCCAACAGTTTATCAGAAAGATTATTTTTTCAAAGTAGCTAAATTTACTTTTTTCATTTAGAAGATTGCAAGAAAATATTATTAGTATTTTATTTACTCTGGACTAATCAGAATTTTTACCTCTAACTTTTATGAGTTGACATATTCATCAATTTTATAATTAGTAAATTTTAATACTAAGACTACTTTAAACACTGCTATCTATTTTCTAGCTCTTATTACAATGATATGTAATATTTTCCTATTAGGCATTTTCTCTTGTTATCTTAGCAAAAAGAACGCAGTTCCTATGAATTTATCCGTTTTGGTAGAGGGGATTAAGTCCTAAACTAATTAAGGAGCTAAATAATATTTTACAATTTTGTTGATAAAAAAAACTTTATTCATTGTTAATTTAGTCGCAATGTAGGGTCTAATGGGGGTTTAAAGCCTCATTACAGCTTGTTTATCCGGAGTATTCTCTTGTTATTTCTATATAATTAAACCTTTTAAGAACAATTTTGAAAATATCAAAATAATAATTACAGAGATGTTGATTGTCCTGAATCTTTTAATCTTTTCCTTATATGAAATTCTCAAATAAAATCAAGACAAAGAGTAGGCTGAACGTTTAGGTTGGATTAATATATGCGGTTTCACATTGATACTTCTAACAACCTTATCGATTGATATATACCAATAATTTTTATAATATAAGGAACTTGTGATAAGTAAGGTTAGTATTTGCTTAAGGATCTCCCGTATGAAAACATAATAATCAAGAATACTTTTTTTTTGATTTATAAATACAAAAATTATGGATATATTTTTTTTCATGATTATATTCTTCTTTAAGCAGAAGTTAACTCCTGAGACTATTTATTATTTTGAGCGATATTAGTTTTCCAAGCATTTTTCGATATGAAGCTTACATATTGTAATCTCTAGATTTAACATTTGTAGAAAGGTAAAGGAAATATTAATCAATATATTCAACAAATTTGTAGACGGTTAGGTCACATACATATTGACCTTTTTTCAGAATTAACTGTTCGTATGATAGTACAAGTAGAGCAACCTTTTTTTCTAATGGCTACAAGGGATACAACCTTAAGGCAATTTTGATATTTATGAATTGCCATCGAGACAGAGGAGAGCCATACTATTCCTATATAAGGTGAAGTTACTAATTACTTTCAAAAAGTCAATAAGATCTTGAAAGGTTTATGCGAAAATATCAGGTATAATTTACCTAAAAACATGCAATTAACGACAAAATTAATAGTCATTGAAGAACTCATTCAAAAATATTTAAAAATTCATTAATAGCTTTAAAAAAGAATGTCATTTGTGCTTCAGGTTTAAGACTCGTGATTAAGCCTAAATATTATTAGCAAAATTTTGGATTACACCACGCACGATACATTTGATGATTCCCATTGTAATATTATTATATAGCTATATTCTCAGAAGAATGATCTTATTGAATTCCCTAAATTGTTCCAAAGGTATTAAGTCTCTCTATTAACTGGAAAAAAAGACTAATTCAGGTTAGACAAATTACTTAAATTCTAATTACATTTTTAATACAAAGTTAAACAAAATTTTAAATTTATTACATTGAAAACCAAGAGATAAGTAAAGTTGAAGGATAGAATACAAACATTTTTAATTATTTTCCCAACTTAAAGATATCTCCTTTTTGGTTTTCGCAAAGGGTAGAATAATAACAATTAGCCTAGGTTAATGGAGGAGTAACAATAATAAAGTAATTCTAAAAAGATAATAACTAATCCTAAGTTTAGATATTTAGAACCTAGGACAAGTCTGGGCATGCAATTTAGTTTGATAAATTTATATTGTAAAGAAAATTGTAATCAGGTTCGAAAAGCATAATTATGAAAGGGAGTACTTCCTTTTACTGAAAGCGGAATTAATAGCTTCATTTTATAAACTACTTATATAAATAATAAGTTGTTGATGAGTTATGGATTCATTAAAGCTGAATAGAAAAGGGAGATTAATACTAAGGAAACATAAATAAAGAATCAAAAGAAGAAAAATAGGATAACTTAAAATTTTTAATATTATGGGATTATTTGAAAAAAGTAATCATAATGATGATCTTAGATAACAACTTTCTCACACAAGTTATAAACTATCTAGTGCTAATAAACGAATCTTGGTGGACAGAAGTACCTAATTACGTTGATGATGAGGAATTTGCTTCAATTATATTAATTATATTGTACAATATTACTCATTATATTGATTAAGTTTAGCTTGAATAACTTAAAGCGGTATGATTATGAATATTTCATGAGAAGGAATGAAGAAATTTTATTCTGGCAATCTGATTATCTTTACTTTTTCTTTCTTTATAATTCTTTGATCTTCTCTATTAATTTTATCAATGAGATTGGAAGATCTTAATAGTAATGACTGTTCCAAATAAAATATATTTTGAGGATTTATTATTAAGACAAATGTTCGCTACCTCATTAAAAAGAGAATATTTGAGAATGTTAAAACTTAATTAATCTTATTACAAATAATATTTAATTGACGAGTATTAAAGATTAGGAACCATTTTTTTTACCAAATATTTAGGGATAGACTTAGCAAAGTGACTTTATCAAAATAGATTATTTAAGATCTTGACTATCTTGGTTAGTACAAATGTGGAGATTATAAAACTTTTCAAATAACAAATAAGGTAAACGATATTCTGAAAACACATTAATTTGTCTGCCTATTTGCCTCATTCATGCACATAAGTATAATGTCTTATATCTTTGAGGCTTGCAAATCTTATTTACCACTGAATACTCAGCCATCTAGAAGATTACTGTTATAACATAACACAATTTGCAGTAGTAGACTTATCAACACATTTTGCAACGAATCATCTGGTGTGCATATTTTTTATTTAGTCAAAAATAAAATAATCAATTTGTGGTTATGTAGATCGTTAGTTCCTAGCATTAAAAGATTAGAAAACTAAGAAGCATTATTTTAGCTTGCATTAACCCGAAGTACTGAATCATACTATTTTTTAAAAAGACTAAAAACTACCGTTTGTGTAATATGAGCTAATGGCTTGATCAATATTTTATACATCCTGTTAATGATGAGTTGGAGAAGGGAAATATTTATCAGTCTTGATGAATCTTGATTGCTTTGAGCATTTTAATTGTACTAGTTATTTCTAGCCTCATGCACAAATTTTCAAAGCATTCTTAGCAAGCAGTGTAAACACAGGCACATCCTTATTGAATTTAAGAGAAGCCAGATCAATGAATTAGAGACAATATGTATCAAAACTACATGGCTACCAGAATATTATGTGAAAAACCAATTTATAAATGAGAACTGTTGCTTATGCATTATATTATTTTACTGAATGAGACTTTTCAACTAGTTCCCTAATTGTTCAACCTTATATTTTAATTCGAACACTGTTGTTCTCGTTCGTAATTTCTACCAGAATAGTATCTAGCAATAATATTTCCTTGTTTTTAAATACTTCTGAATATTTTAATGATGCCCTAAATCGTAATGCTTGTATTAATAAAGGCGGACCTTACATTTATGATTATTAAGAATTGCAACATGATCCTTTATTCAACTGCAAATTTGAATTGAGTGTATTGTGTGAATGGAAGGAATTGTTATAATAGATATTGCACCTCTCCATATTTGTATCAGCCTTCTTTTCTGTCATTAATAATCAATAGGTCTTTGCAAGTGTAAATGATTTCCAACTACCTATTATAAATTATTTGCAAACTAGCAATGTTGATGAAGTCCATGCATATCTACCAGTCCAAATACATCATTGTATTTAGCACTTTCAATAGTGTACAGTCCTTTAATACTTTAAATGGTAAATGGCTACTATTATTTTCCAACTTCTTCCACAAAATATGATAATTGTTAGAATTGTGTTTAGACTTATTCTATTTGTTTCTGTACTTTCATACTTGAATTAATGAATATTGCTCATCAAGTCAGAATGCCCCATAATACATGTTTAGCTTGCATCTTAAGTTGCAGACTTAGAAGCTAAACTGTCTTGTGATGTCTAATTGGAATGACAAAACAGTATTATAATACTTAACTCTTTTCAGTTCAGTATTTTAAAATATTTGTAAATTTTGGACAGCCTCAAATTTACTATAACTACAGCCACATATTATAGATTTTTCGCTGGATATCATATTAATAATAGAGATTAAACCTTTAAGTTTGCTCTAGGTTTGAATGTTCCAACTATTTGTTCATGCTATTACTTACTTTGATCATTTTGAATTCATCTTTATCACCTCTACTGGAACACTTTTAAAAATTGTGAACTTATTTTTAATCATAGTTTGTGTTCCATGTTGTCAATTATGTATGCTACCTTCAAATCAGCGAACTAATCTGATGCTTGTGTATTATCTATTTTGAGGCATACACTGCTATCAACATTGAACACCAACTTTATCACATTCTTGAATTGAGAGTCTTGATTATTTGGCCTTTATTTTTTTTTGCATAGTTTTTGTAAATCCTAGGCCTGTTTCCTTTTGTTTAATGCAAGAATCTCGAACTAGAAAACAAGGATTACTGATCCAACAGCACTTATTTTTGTGTTGGTGTACTCTTTAAGAAAGTGTTCCAACAATTTTCTAATTTATACATTACATGCTGTTAGCTTTTCTGTAGCTTCTTTATTTAACCTGTAGCAAACTACAGTCATTATCCTCATGCTTTATATAGAATTGAGGATCTGACTCTATTTAGATCATATCTTTTTTGGCTTTTCCTTCTAAATATTTTGATTAGCCAAAATTCATCTTACCCGCTTGATAAAAGCAAACATTTGTTCAAGTTATATTGACCTTCTGCCTTACAATAGTTCAAAATAATGTAATTCGTGCAAGTCTTTTAAATTTATTCAACTGCTCCAATATATGTTTGGTTTTAACCCTGACTTTGAAGCTATGTATGTCATAGACTTCACACCGGTTACTCAGACAAGTTGTGCACTTTTTCTTAGTATGAAATTTGCAACACTTGTCTAATCCAATCAATATCGTATTCAATCTGAAAGAGGCTCTGATTAAATAAACTTACATGTCATTTTTCGATTACCGCAAAGCTCAAATTTTACAGTCTTGATTTAATGACAACTTCAAGCTTAATCTAAAAATAGCAGACATTTTATAACGCCTTCTGTTATGGAAGGCATTGTTGTTAATAAGCATCATTCCTTTACTTGTGTTGTTACAGATATAGGACATCTTTTATTTTTCAGAGTAGAACTCAAGCTTGCCCAATCTCAAGATGAGCTAGATCATGCACACTCTATATATCTGCAAATTGCAATACAAATTGTAGTGAAAGCTAAAATGTTAGGCTGAAAAAAGGAGAATTTAAGCATGGCTCCCTCAAGCATGTGTAATTCTGGAAATTCTTCTTGAAAGGAGATCAATATACATAGTATAACTGATGACTAGACTGGAGAAGACTCTTTATCAACTTGTGATCCATCCTGTTGAAGCACTGATATTGGATCGGATAAATGTTCTACCTCTTTTGCTGGATTTGATTTATATGGACCATCGCCTTCCCATCATTATTTCAAACAACTACCAAATATGTTCTATCAGCTGTATATCAATAGGTTATTTAAACTTGGTTGTTAATCCTTTTAAAAGTAGTTCAAAAGTAGAGATCCCACTACCTATCTGCTATAAATTGCTATTTTCAATTACAAATCCTACATGCTTAACCTTTCATGAATTGTTATGTCTACTGTGTTACTTGTATTAGAGGGTAGGGATTATAAAAAAATTTCTACATCAAAAAAAGTAATTATTATTATTAATCTGATTCTTGTTATCTTAATAAAAAGAATTGTAACTGAAGGTTAAAATTTCCTAAATCAATTTTGTCCTACTGTATGCTCCTCATCTGCTTGCCTAAATAATAATGTTGTGGATAATGGAAAGAATAGATGCAAAACTCAATACTTAGCTTATTAGTATTTGGTTACTGCATTAGGCATTACTTATAAATATAATGCAAATAATGTTGTCTCATTGAATATTTAATATCTAGTCCAAATTATACAGTATTGTTTCATAAGCATCTATATTGCAGCTTTGACTTATAGCTACTATATCACTGCATGCAATTTTAATAATCGAGACTGCGGCCATGCAGCTCTGTGTTAGCCACTTATTTAAAATGTCTTAACAATCAATATTGATGATCGTTACTAACCTTTAAAATTGAAATGCAAACTAAAAATTACTTGCAACTGTCACTTTCATGCAAAGGATTAATGATACCTCTAATGTGCTAAACTATTTGTAAGAACTAGCAAAGTTAAATTAAGCCACTTCCTTGTATCGAATTACAATAAATGTTAAGCAAGTTGTATCACTATCCTCAAGTATTAATACATTACTGAAGCTCATGAAGCTCTTGTACTTCATGCCAGTTACCTTATACAGCTTATAAACTAACTGTGTCAATAATTATCAGGTTTGTCTGCATTTTATAAATCATCATTAATTGTTAGAATGTTCTACTTTTCTATTATAATTCATCAGACCCATTATCAAATAACGGTAATAAATATTCTTATCAGTTTAAATCATGAATTGCTAGTAACTGTATGCATAGCAGTATCATAGTCAGTTTTATTTGATAATAAGAGGTGCTCTACATGATTTATGAATGCTTACAAACCAGAAGTAATGTCTTTGTAAATTTAGTGAACCATAGGATCCAATGCACTAAATTCCTTAGACTCAAAAGGTAAGTACCTTCCAAAATTTGCTAAAAGTTGAATGGTTTTCAATGAGGCAAGCTAAGACTAGTTATGTAGACTGATATTTTTTCAAGTATTCCCTTAGAATCCCCATTAATAATATCTTATCATTGTAGGAAGGGTCTTACTTATCCAGAAGTTAGCAAAGATTCTTCTCATTATCTTAATAACCTTCGTTCTTAGCTTGTCTTCCTTCATCCTGTGGCAATTATCCCAATGTCCAAGAATGAAAGATGATTTTATTTTATTATTGATGAGATATTTTGCCAATGCTCTTCATTTACCACTTTCAGTATGAGTCTTTTGGCTGATTGCCATCTCTCAAAAATTAAACACAAGCACTATCTTTGAAAGCGGCATTCATTTGAATTAGAATACCTCCATAAAGAAAAAATCAATAGGTGTCTTGACAAGACATTCCTAAAAATTATATTCTTAATAATCCAAGCAAATAGACTGAATTTTTAACCCAAAAGGGTTTTTTTCCAAATATTACTTTTTCATTAAATTTATTCTAAATTATCCACAATCATAATACCTTAGTGAGATGTCGATGAATGAGATTTAAAATTCAAAGATTGTTGTTTATCGTTAACAAACTGCATTTTGTATTTAGGAATGCTTTAAATTACACTTTGATTCAGACTATCAATTACATGATGATTCCTCTTGATCCTATCCTCTTATGTCTGTCTTTTTACAGTTTCTTCCTGTGTAGCGAGATTAAGCACTCTTTATTTATGCACTAATTAACAAGGTACAAATAGAATGGACGACTGTAATACTGACCTGAAACAACTAAGAATTGTATGATTGCTCTCTTTAGCAACGAAAATATCCTATTTTTTGTGAATTGTGTGTTGATGGCTATAATTTAAGAATTGTTTCATCACTTGCGATCCATAATGTCAGTGATGTTGTGATACTAGATCGCTTATTGTTTCTTCTTTTGTTAGAGGTTATTAGATTAAGCATCACCTACAAGTTATGTATATGTCCTTAATTTTGGACAACTAGTGCAAATTCTTCGACACATGCTTTATATAGTAATACATGAAAATATAAAACATAGTTTACATCAACAAGTAATTGCAATCCTTCTTGTGATGAGTACTAAAACTAAGATAACCTATATTTAGATGATGAACCATTTATAAATATTCCCAAGCTGACTCTTGTTCCTTTGCGCTCAAATCTTATTCTTGTGATAATTCGTTTACAATAATGTGTGTGTAAATATGTTACTATCATTTATCCAGCTAACCTAACACAACTAAACTATAAACCTTTTATTAAGTTTCTTTCATTGAGAATTAAGTCTCTTATTTAACATTTAATTAAAGATTTGTTTATTGATTTATACTTATCAATGCTTTTTGGTTATTATACGTAGGTTTCTCTTTCTTTTATTTTCCTGCCTATCAACCCATATCCCCTTATTTGACAATTTTGACTAAACCCAAAATTCACTTAATCACTTGCACTTATTTCTTGATTTTCTCTCACTTGTAATTGATATAAAATTACACCTTTACTATTAATTTAAATACATTTAATGAAGTGTGTTGGATCTGCCCAGTTAAATTTTTGAAGTTGACGCATCATTAGCATCATCATCTCCAAAAATGTTCTTGTATTTGCTTTTTCTCCTTTTGAGGTTGTCAAGAGGTTCATGAGACTTTTATTTTGGTATAATGTTTTAATTAGAAATTGACATCCATTTTTTGTTAGCCATTCTAAAATTAATTTATCAAAGGCATATAATGATTAAGCATTAATGAATTGAAAGTTCATCTTATGTAATTCCTATTATAGGAACTCCAAAATGATTATCAAGGTTAGTGGAGATGAATGATTTCAAATCCTACCAAACATCATTTAATACTTTTTACCTTAGGAATTGACTGGTTGATCTATACCTATATCAGCAAGCAATTTAATATTTCCAATTCTTAAAAATTATGACATTCTATGTAGTATTTTTACTATCCAACTTTGATTGTGTACATTATTTTCCTATTACTATGCTCCTTCTTGAAAAGATTACGTTAATTTCTCTTTCCTAGAAAATTATAATGTAACTACATTACTATTCCCAGATAACTTTGCAACTTGCGCGATGCTCCTACTACTGAATACGTATCATTAAATCTTCTGATCATCTGAATAAAAAGAGTGCGTGCCTGTGCAATCCCTTGTTTATATATATTTATTTATGGATTTCTTAACTATCATTGCTTGCAATTGTTGTTCGAAGCTTACTGTCCGTGGGTTGTTGGATATATGTTAAATTCCAGTAAAAAAATGGCATACTTGGCGCTTTCTCGAATGTCCAGTAGATCTAATGTTACTTATTAGTATCTTCCCTCACCATGCATTACATAGGATGATCAAAACACCTACAACTTGCTAGGACACTCTCTTAAGTCTAATAGTGGTAGTTAGTACTAGAGCTCATCTTTTTGTCTCATAAATGCTTACTAATCCTGACTCTTATCCATCTTATTGATACTTTCTAAATAACTTGTAAATAATCTATTCATAAGTCTCCAGCCGTTTGACACTTTTGCATGGTTCTTAGATGAATTCTCGCTCTAGTCCTAAATGACCCTTTTATGATATGAATCGAACTTTTAGTGATACATCTAAGTTAAATTTTCCGCTGCCAATTCAGCTATCTAGAAGGATCATTTAATTTGAAAAATCTCATACTGGAAAGCATTATTGATAGCAAGGCCATTGTTCATCAACTTTACTGCAGTTAATTGAGTTTATTTTTTGATGATGCAACATGAGCACTCAGATACAGAGTTGAAGCATAAAGTTGACTAATCGTCATCGACTGCATGTATCATTGCTTAATTAATGGCATATAAGATAAGCCGAACAGGTTTTGCTCTTTTGCAAGAGCACAAAATGTATTACATTAAATATATGCAAAATTATATAAAAAAGATCCTATTAGAAATTTAGTACAGTTACACATATTGATTGTTGGTCTTGATATTTCCAACAGGTTTACAACAGTACAAGTACTACAATACTTGTTGGCTGGTGTAATAGCATCCACAAAAGTTGAACATTAGACTCACATATTCTTTTAAAAAAAAAATTGACATATGCCACTAAAGTAGCAGCCAATAATACAAGTTTAAATCTATATGGTGTTCTTATGGTTGTTTATAAGGATTATTACATCATTGACAATCATTATTACGGATATCAGTCTTACAATCCAACTTTGTATTTAACTGGGATGTGACAAAATTGTAGGAGCAAAAGGAAAGTGCTTAGTTGCCATAGAAGACACATCCATCACTACAATGATATTGAGCAGCAACTTAAACATATAATTTTATACTTATATCCACTTAGATTCCTGTTAAAGATGTGTGGCATAAGAATTAAGACACATAGTACAATAGTACTAACTTTGTAATAGCATTGTTTCATTCAGTCTTTGAATCAAACATTAAAGACAAATATTTTAACACTAATAACATTGAAAAGAGCTAGGATTGAAGAGCATTCAAAGGCACAATCAGTGCAAGTCCTTGTCTATGAGGTTCAAAATTAGAAGTTTATTTCTTTTAATCCTACATCTGCCAAGGTAAAAGTTACCCCTTTAATGAAAGTTAGTTGCGAATAGTTGCTAAACATTTTGAGGATAATATCTATCTTGTTATGGGTAGTTGCTTAATTGTTCAACATAATTTGCAGGTAAACATATGGAATTGACACAGTTTATACCAAAGTAAATTACAATTATTTCTGTGATGGTGGCTGCATCTTATGTAGAACATGAGCGATGTTTGCTCATCTGTTTTTAACTGAAACTTGATGAGTTTTTAAAGCGTATTTTATCATACAATAAATGGTCATGCGCCTTTCCGTATAATGTGTGAACCTGTCCAACCTTCTGTATTAAAATATGATGAGCCTTGCAAACTCTTTTGCTACATTATGATTTTGACAACTGATATATATATTTTCATTAAGGTAATTTCTTATCAGGCTCTTATGAAATTTAAAAAACTTGATTATCACTTTTGTGTATAAGTGCTTACACTAAAATGTAAATACATGGTTTGATTTACATCTGCCATTGCTGGCTGTTCAACTTGCACTAAATGTATCATTGGTTTTAACATCGTAAATATTGTACTCTATTCTCCACTGCTTTAAAGCTGAAAGCAATCAGCTACAACTTGGTAAAGTGATGCTGTTTTCTCAATCGACCATATGCTTTGATTCAAGTTAAACTCTCACTCACCAGCTAATCTTTATGTAAATTCGCTTAGTAGATTGGTATTATTTGTTTGTATGTTCATCACAATGCTTTGGGATGATCATCAAAAAACTTGTGCAAACTCCCTTAACCTAGTAATCAATGTTACTAGCTTAGACTTCTTATTTTAGATGTTAACTTCATTTATTGAATGTGAAGGATATTAAAAAGAAGTTAATGATTGTGTAAGTGTTCCATTTCTAAAACTTGTTAAGTAAGATTTTGCTTAGTTTACAAAATTTGAAAATCATCAGTGAACTTCAATGGAAATTCTAGTAATTTAGTTATGCATTTTCAAAACCTAATCAGCTGAATTATGAGCTATTTGGGTTGAATTTATTAATTATAATTCTTTTTTATTTTTTGCTACTTGACTCACACTTTTGCTAAAAGTATTGATAATAGTTCAATATTTACTGATAGTATCGCCAACTGAGAATTATATGCTGATGACTATTTTGGAGTATATTGATCATCAACTTGTGAACCACCCTGTAGCAATATATAAGAGAAGATTCAGAAGAATACTTGGTGTCATGGTAGGTGTGGCATACTTTAATTGTAAATCAAGTTACAAGATTAAAAGTATGTATTTTAAGTACCAGATTCTCTGAAAGTAGTGATGCTTCCTTTTAGTATTAATCCTGCATTGGCATATCTGAAAGCTTGTTTTAAATCATGCATGTGCTACGTTCGGTAGATTTAATATTACTTATTCATGTTAATAGCCAATTATTATCATTCTGGGGCAATGCAATACAGTGATTAATATATTTTCCACAGCAAAAGAATCTTGCCACTGTAAATACCCTTCAGAATGAGCAAATCTCCACAATTTGTACCAAAACTTCTATTGCACACCTGGAAAGAATACTTTTAATTTTTTGTGCTAATCAGCTAATTAAAATCAAAAATTACATTTAATTTTATTTATCCTTTCCTTCAAACTTTGTTTATAAATTGAAAATAATTTTTGTTCTCGTTAGAGGGAAATTTACGTTGGTATCTATGAACTATTTCGTTAACAGTGGCACATTTTATAATATTGAGACTTTCAAACATAATTTAATGATTCCTTCTCATCTCCTAGTCGAGACAGTTTATTTTACAATTGGCTAAACAGCATTTCTCATCAAAATATAGATGGAAAGACTTCCGACGGCCAGTTTAAATTTGAGATGTCTTTTATTCAACCAAGGCTAATGGTCATAATGCTAACTTTAGAGTTTGTTAATCACTTCGATTTTGATGATCGACAAATTCCAAATGATTTACACCAATTGAGTTTAGATTTAAAGGTGATCAATCAATTATTTATGTTCCGAGCAGAAGGGTTGACCAGAGAGACTATTTTCTTTTTGGGATCAAAGCAAGCCCAGAATTAAATGCTTACAGTTTACAAATGACATTCCTAATCTATATCCCTTTTTTATTATGAGTTCTGATGCTCATCTTAATGAACATACTATTTTAACTGAATTTTATCATGGTCTATCAATAATATTAACTTAAAGAATAATGATTGATCCAGATGAGGCCTGAGGTTAACTAAATTTATAAATTCTATACTAAATATATTTCAATTAAATTTAATATATTTTAAACCATATTCTTGTTTCATATTTTTAATATTATTTCATCAAATTTAAACTTGTAGACTAATTAATGGAAGTGCCATTATCATTTATTTTCTTGTTGATTTTTATACATTTTTGCTTATTTCCCTTTCAAATCACATATTTAAATCTTCCTTACCTATTTGATGAAGCTAACCCCATCCTTAAATTTCTCTAATTTAACAGTTATGAAATTTTTAAGGGCCTAAGACTAGGATGATTTGAAAATTAATTATATACTATTCTAATTTTAATAACTTTCTAACAGACTTTAAGAACTACTTGTTAATAAAATTAACTCTTTTATAAATAAAATTTGGTCTGCTAATTTCATTTTAGAGTTGTCATCTGGAGCTTTGATATTTTAAATAATGAATATTTCTAATGAGGAAATTAATTAATTAGCTAATAGAATCATACTACTTGATTCCTAAATTTAGAAAACTATGATTCAGCATCAAAATTTTTGATTTAAAGTACAAAATTATCTCCAGCTACAAAGTATTTTCACAAGCATTATTTGCTTAGCTTTGTGATGAAAGGAAACAATATTTTTATATCAATAAATCAATCTCTTGCATTAAATTTCAAGAAATATGAATAGTACTAAAATATCATTTTGTATTTAAATTTATAAATTATCATTGTTGTGTTTATTTTCTAATTATATTTCGTTTGATGAGTTATCTCAAGTTATCGAATAGCCTCCATCATCACTTAATGATCCAAACATACGATTTGTTCCAAATTAAATAGATTACTCAAGTTGAAATTGTCCATTTTTTGTCATTGATATAACGTTGATATATTATTTATCATGTTTATTAAATAATAACCATTTTGATTTAATTTATTATTATGGAAAGAATACAGTATCATCATTCCCTTAAATAACAATAATCAAATAACCTCAACAAATTTAACTAAAGTCTTTTAGACTCCTTTGGATCTCGAAATTTAAACTCATATCTGGAAAAGCTTAATTGCCCCTCACATCTACTATACCTTAAATGCTATCTCTACCCAAAAATACTAGAACTTATACAATCAAATAAAATACTTTATAAATAAAGTATGAAAAAACAAACTGGAATTCCAAGAAATACCCCTAATAATTTATTAGAACTCCTTATCCCAAATTTATAATATCAAATTATGCAATACTCTAAATAAACACTCAGAAAAATGCAACCAACCAACTTTATCAATTCAATCTAACAAATTTGTATTAAATTTTGACCA